TCTATATAGTTAAAACTAACTATAATATATAAAATAATAAGTTTATAGAGCTAGATTAACTATATATATATATATAGTTAGAAGAAGAAAGCTCTAAGAAGAAATTATTCTAACTTCTATCTCTTATTACGCTATACCTAGAAGAGCTAGTGCTATAGAAGTTTTCTAGAACTCTTTATTATGTTATAAATACTATATACTATAAGTTTTATATATTATTATAGAGATATAATACTAGTAACTAGAAGTAAACTAGATTTTTTCTTAAAAGTTAGTTAAATACGTATAGCTTCTTAATTACGTAATACATCTTAGTGCAATTTTAATAGTAGGTGTATATAGTATAGTTCTATCTATATTTAAAATTTTATAGAAAAATATTAAGATTTCGCTTAGTTATTTAAGAAAAACGGGTTGATTTTCGTTAATTTTCGTTGCCAAGAAATCGTGGGGCGTTCGATGATATGAGGCGTTCGATGATAAAGTACGTTATATAAATTTTTATAGAAAAGTATTAAGGTTTCGCTTAGTTATTTAAGAAATACAGGTTGATTTTCGTTAATTTTCCTTGCCAAGAGAAAGTGGTCGGTTCGGTGGTGTGGTCGGCTCGCTGGTGAAGTACGTTATCTATTATAGTTCTTATTTTAGAGGGGGGTAAGAGATACTAAAAAGTGTGCGTTAAGTGGGGTCTGTGCGTTGAGTGGGGAAACACGGTAAGCTAGGGCGGGACTGTACAGCCGTCCGGTGAAGCGGTGGAACAAATCGCGCAGCGGCAAGTGCGTGGGAGGGGGGGTGCAACGATGATAAGGTTCAAAAGCAGAGCCAGCCCCAGCGTCTTTATACGGAAGCCATTATCGAGAAGGACAACACTACCACGGTTCCGCCTAAACCCATCAACACCACGATGATGTAGGCTTCCAGCATATATTCCTCAACAAGCGAATAAACTAGAACGAATTTTATTGAGTTCAACACTTGGACGACACAAGGAAGCAATGGAACGAACGCAGTAGGCGTTTATTACCTGCTGGATCTCGATTAGCGTTTCAATACAGCTAACCGCATTAGGAATGGCGCGGCCGCCTACATTGCTGACGATCGGAAACGCACTCTCTGGGATCGCGCTACCCAACGATACCACGAAGAACTCAAGAACCATTATAACGACGACCTCGAACAGTGCGTCTGGCCCACGACTTCCATTGACCAACTCTATGAATATGCGAAGAGCACTGCGGATGCGTCTTTGCGCAAGTCGCTCTTGCGCGCACTTTCGCGTCTCAAACCGGGACTTGGTTACCTGAGCGACTTCGTATCAGCTTTGGCGATTTGTATAGGCGTCGACATAAGGATAACTGCGTTAATTTGGGGTAGCATTCGCTTGCTGCTAATGGTAGTAGCTGCTCGGGTCCTTTCGTGAGGCACAATGCTGACCCAAAGACAGATCGCAGCCCCGCTTGGTGATATGCTTGACCAAGTCATCACTCACCTGGAAGACCTAACTTACACCCTCCCGAAGCTTGCACTGTATGCAGAAAATCTACCTCCGAACCCAAGACTGGATGACGTCCTCGTTGATGTCTACGCAGAAGTGATCTGGTTCTGTGCGCATACGATCAGCTTTTTCCAAGACCATCGCTCTCATTGTCAGCACTTTCAGGGTCACAGATGAAGGCACCTTTGCTTACCATCCACAGTGACACTCATTCGGAGAGACTGGCCAAGACTCACTACTGACTTGGAGCGATCGATTAAACGGTTGCGCCGTCATTCTGAACAGGTGGAACTCGAAGTGGAAGGGCTCCGCCACAAGTTCAGCCCCGTTCAGCAAGAGCAGTTCAATGCTCTGATGCGGAGAATGACCGTCAGAGACGACTTCGATTCATCTTCTAAATTACGCTGCTTCCACGTTTCGCTCTCTTTGAACGCGCGCTTCGTCCAACGACTTGAGCTCGTCGACAAAATCGGAGAGGCTTTGGATTACGTACCAGGAGAGCGCCGCGCTCGTACACTAGCTATTTACGGCATAGGAGGGGCTGGCAAAACGCTAGTTGCGCTTCAATATGCGTACCGAGCATACGAAAGGCAGACGTTTGACGTCGTCCTTTGGATATCAGCAGATTCGCACGTAAGGATGATTCAGGACTATCTTGCAATCGCGCAGCACCTTGAACTTATCCCGACCGTTTCCCGACCTGCAGATCCGACGGAGGCCATGACCAAAGTAAAGGCATGGCTCGCAGATCGAAGTAAGAGCGTGATCCCGAATTCGGCTACTATACTAAAGTATTTAGAATGTTCCTGGCTTGTCATTTTTGACAATGCTGATGATTTGGCCACCTTGAGCCATGGCTGGCCTGGCGGTTTCCTTGGGTCAATACTAATAACCACACGAGACTATAGTGCGGCTTCCCATCCTGCCTCAGAGGGCTTGCAAGTAAGACCATTCGAAGTCCAAGCTGGCACAGAAGCCTTCTTGCATATGCTTGGCTCAGGATATGAGGGAGATAAGAATGCTGAACTTGCACGAGAGATCACAGAAGCTGTTGGCGGCCTACCTCTTGCACTGAATCAAGTCAGCACGTACATTCGATCTCAGAGGACCGCACTGGAGGAATTTGTGCCCCTCTACAAGAGACGCCAGCGAAAGATCCATGAGAAGAGACCAGAAGGATTCGACTCTGCGCTTACTGTCGCCACCGTATGGAATATAGCTCTACAGAAGTTATCCGGTGATTCTGCCACGCTTCAAAAACTCCTTGCGTTCTTCGAACCAGATGGAATCGACGAGGCTCTGCTTCAGCGTGGTGCAGAAAAGATGCAGGACGAAGACACAAGATCCGGGGTCGAGTTCACGGCAAACGAGCTACAATTTCTGACAGATGAAATAGAGTAAGCCACATGATAGATGACAAGTTAATGTCGCTGACCATTTTTGCTGTTTCAACGACGCAAAATCACCACTCTTCCGCGCATCGCTCATCGACCGGGACTCAAAGAGGCGGGCCGTCTCCCTCCATCGCTTACTCCAGTCTGCAATCCTCTACGAACTCAAGCCAGATGAAAAAGCTCATTATCTGTCCATGAGTGTCAGGCTACTGAAAGAGGTCTTTCCTAGCTCCTGGTCCGATGATAGTGATGGCTACGTTTTCAAGCAATGGAACTGGTGTGGCATCTGCCTTCCGCATGCTCTTTATATGGCAAGGCAGCTTTCGAATGAGAGCATGAAAGAGTCCGTCATGAATGATTTCCTAGAGTTGCTAAACCGCAGTGCATGGTAAGAGCCCAAGTCCCTTCCTCTTGTCTCGCTAATACGTTCTCCAGGTTTTTATATGAGACGGAAAGCTACTCAGACTGCGAGTTTCTTGTCAAGACCAGTTTGCGAATCATTTCGAAACACAAACTGTCTGAATCTCGGCCCTATTCCATGGCGGTCAACTTCCTTGGTCTGATCGAAATCGACCTGGGCCTTCCGGTCCAGGCTCTCTCTCACTTCAAAGAATGTCTCGACCTCCGATACAAGCTCCTACCCGAAGATGACTGGGGTATTGGCGTAAGCCTTAGCAATATGGGTTTGGCCTATACGGAGATGGGCGATATCACCAAAGCCATGGAGTATCACTCTAAGGCGCTAGAGTTTCGTAAACGCATCAAGTGCCGCTTAATCAACAACTCCATCTCAAACATGGCTTCTCTTTTGCTCCGGAAAGGTGAACCCGAGGAGGCAGAAAAATGGATCAGACAGATGCGCGGTTTTGAAAATTTCAAAGATGACGACTTCCTCCAAGCCGACATGCCTCGTTTTGCAGGGTGAGCAGCGCGCACACTTCCCAGCCCTGAACAACGTTCGCTAATTCCTTCAGGGACCTCGTCCTAATCAGTATGATCCGCGAGGCCCAAGGCAAAATTCAAGAGGCCTTGGACACAATGATGAAGGTCCTGCAATACTATCGGCGTAAATTTGGAGCGCGATTCAAAACCTGCGACTCCCTCTGCCGGATTGCGCATCTGCTCAACAAGCTACAACGTCCAACGGCTGGCTTGTAAGCTCAATCATATCATTCAGCTTGGCGTCATCTACTAACGATCCCAAAAGGATCTTTCTTGAGGAATGTACTTCCATTGCTGCTAGCTTGCCCCTCGGCGAAAACTACTTGGCACTAGCCCATTTCCGGATCTACCAGATCAAGAGCGCACTGGGTCAGCCAGCGCAGGCGAATCAGAATCTGATGAAGGCGATCGCCGCCCGCGAGACAGTGCTTGGCCGAACAGATGGTCATCGGAGCTTTAGGTTTGGAGAGACTGAGGAGGAGGCCTACACGAGATTGGTACCATGGCTGCTTTGGTAAGGAACTCGGCTGATCTTTGGTTATGACCCATGTGGTATTTGCAGCCAAGGGCACTCCGATTCAATCGCTTCAGCTCGCTCCTCCTTGTAACAGTCGCTTTCTTTATGCGAACGTCCGTTCCTTAAGTGTGCCTAGCTTCCAAATAATGACCCTATATTAATGGTTCATATGAGACTGGGTCGTGCAGGCACATCTCCTCGCCAGATCTATGCTCCTCGTCGTCGGGGGTGGGCACTTCACAACCGCATCAGCCACGCCGACTGTGCGAGTCCCTTGTACTGCAATCTTGCGAACAAAACCATCCATCCCTGGTTCTAGACTCTGGAGCTCGGCCACTTCTTCCTCAAGAGGGGATAGGTGGTTCTCGACGAGGAAGGGTGTGAGTATTCTGAAAGCATGAGGAAGAATTTTCAGGAGCATGGGGAGACTACGCGAAAGTTGTGCCGGTAAACGAGCTATCTGAATGATGGGACGTCTTGAGGGTTCGAAGGCGGACCGGTGGGCAAACGCATATTTTAACCCTGAAACTCGATGGTGCGATGCCAAAGACACGACTGCGAGCTTCATCTGCGCGGCTCAGAAGTGCGGCGTGAAAATAGTAGCTAGCGACGTGATGGGGCTACTCCTGGACATAAATGTGGGCCATATAGCCGGCGTGCGAACAGCAGGTATTCAGCGCTTACTCTCCGCCGGAGAAGCTGAGCACATATCCAAATAGGGATTACCTATCGTGGTTTATGCAGATGACTGCGTAGTCGTGCGAGAACAAGACGTCCAAGATCAACGATGTGAAGACTGAGCTTGTGCACACGGTGAGCATGCCATCTGGATATAAGTTCTCCGTTCTGTCTCCGCGGAGCTAGGAGGACGTTTCGGGACGCTCAAGCGCGAGGCCGGGGAGCTTATTGCTTCATTAATGCCGGATTTTTCGCGCAGCAGGAAGCTGGATCGTTGGCGCATGCGTTGGGGCGCGAAGCTACCGACTGAGGACTGGTTGATGTGCGCGTATCGGCATCCCCTGCTAGGAAACCTGCACCTTGTGGTGGGCGGCAGTTTTCAGAGCTACAAGTGAGTGAATCCGTCAACTTCTCGAGAAGCTCCAGAAGTGACAGTGAATTGAGTAGGTTCATGCCGATAGTGGGTAAGTATATGTGCAAAGGGTTGAATGGGAAGGGTTAGGGAACGGAGAAGGAGAGTGCATGAGGGTGGAAGAAGCAGGAAAAGCTGAAGGGGACACGGAGAAAGGAGCTGGGCGTTATGGCGAGAACGACGCGCAAACGGGAGCTGAGAGAGCTTGAAGAGAGTGAGAGGTTGTCAAAGCTTTCACAGTGGGATGCTGGCCTCACGAGTCGAAGTTCAAGGAGACCGAGCAACCAAATCTCCGTCTTTTCATTACATCCGACTACCAGGCCAATTTCCTACTATACTAAGAGATCTTTCGGGTTGGAGAACGTGGTCGGAAGCAGCGTACCTGGAAAGTGAGACGGAGACGCAACGCTAAACGCACCAATGCACGCTCATGCGGTGTGCATTGCAATTCGGTCGCCGGAAGCCCTTCAGGGCATTCCGGTTTCCAAGCGAATCGCGAACCAGCTGGCCGCGCTTCCTTTGAGCAGAAGCTACGAACCACTTTTATTCCGTTGCGAGTCCGTGGAAGACCGTGTCGTCGACGCGCCACTCAACCGAGAACTTACCTTCGCGCTCGGTATACGCCACTTTAGGAAAGACTAACTGCATGAACAAGTCAAGAGAAATGGGGCGAGCCAGATCCACGATTAATGTCTGGAGAGCCGGAAATCTGTTCTTGAACGCCGGTCGACGCCCCTCGGAGTACCGGTAGAAATATTGATCGTCGACCACCAGAGATGCGATAGCTTTGATCTGGGCAGGTATCCGGTGATCCAGCCAGCAGTCCATGGCGCAATACCCCAACCCTCTATGTTTGCCGACTCGCTTGTTCACATGTCCCGTGAACTTGAACGTGTTGAGGGAGTAAGGCAGGATTGCCGTCTCGGCATAGACCTGGCGACTTACGCGCGGGAGCTGGAATGTGGGTTTGACGAAGCCCGAAATGACTCCGGATAAAGGAAGCGCCGTCTGAGTGAGAACGTATGTGTACAGACGGGTCTTCTTGTCGAACGATTTATGGCCGGCAGTGATGGTGATTTCATGACCGCCGAGCGCTAAGGCGAAGATCTTGTTCCTGATCTCGGCGGGGAGAGCCAGCAATGGGGACTCCACGGCGTTCTTCTTTGTGCTATATCTTGGTCAGTCATGGTGACTTTTTCTAACGATTCAGTATGAGGGGTGAAGGCCGACAGAGGAACTTACATGTTCATGAGCCGCGCGGGCGCCTTCAGGTTCAAAAGCCCATTTTGGTATGTCTTGACAGTCCAGCTCTTCCCGACGCGGGCCTTCGGATCGGCGACTTTGTCGATGTCTGCTCCGGGACCGGCAGCGGCCTTGCGAGTTGTTTTGCGCGGTGCCATTGCAGTGTTTGAGAGATGGCGACGGCGAGGGCAAAGCAGAGACTTATATTGGTGAGGTGAGAATCAATGCCTGGGTCGATGGCAAGAGCTAGCCCATTGCGGAAGGAGCGATCGTGACGAGCGTGAGGACAAAATTTTGGTGGTAGAAGAGCTTATGAAGACATTCAGCCTCACTAGCACAAAAAAAGAGTAAGACGATCAAACCCCCAATAAGTAATTTAGTGAAAGAAAAAGCTGAACTCCTAGAATTTACTATCATCACCCCAAGGAAGTGAGTTTCTGGAGAATCCGCATCGAGAAGCACCGAAATTCACCTCGACCTTGGCCCCCTCCCGTGGCCGCCTAACAATCCGAAAGAAGCGGAGAGTGGAACGCTCGAATCCCCCAGTTCTGTCCCCTAATATTGCCTTAGGTGCTCTAGGTACTCAATGAGCGCAAACTACTGTGAGGAGCTAGTGACTGCACTATTCATAGCGTAACGCGCTTGGACGTCCATTCGGTCCCCAGTGCCACTCCACCTCCACATGCTCACCCTCCCACTCTTTTATCTTCCTCAAGATGCGCGCCTTGCTCTCTTCCAGCGTCTCACTCATGTATCTGCTGAAATACGGGACCAGGATATCGACACCGATGCGCTTGATGCCCGGGAACTTTGCGCAGAATTTCTTGCGGAACCCGAGGTGGTAGAGCCGCATATACTCCATGGGCACGTCGACGGATGTGACGAGGCGAAGCTGACCTGGGGCGCGATCCTTGATCCACCGGTCCATAGTGTCGACGTTGTTGAAGGTGAAGGTATTGAGGGTGTAGATGAGCGGCGATGTCTCGACGTACATCTGGCGACAGATTTTGTGGAGCAGAAAGGTTGGTCGGATGTAGTTCCATTGCACGGGATATCTAGTAGCCATAGGACGCGTGTCGAAGAGCAGCTTGGGGGCCTTCCGTGCGGAGCGACTACAATGGCCGCGGATGTCGATTTGGTATCCACCGAGTGCATAGCGCCAGATTTTATTCCTTATTTCAGGAGGCAAGCAAAGTAGTGGTGATTGCAGCGAGTTTTGCTTCGCACTGCTGCTTGGTTAGTAGTCGCTTCTTGGCGGCTCGCAGCACAGAAGAATGCTTACATCTTCATGAGCTCGGAAGACTCGGAGACCGCGACATTGAGCAATCCATTCTTGTGCTTGGGTGGAGCGCCGCTAGCCCGCTTCTTCGCAACTCGATTGCTCGGATCGATGACGGGACGGGATCCCTTCGCTTTCGCGGTCTTGACGTGCTTCCTGGGCGCCATGGTCGTAGTTTTGGGGAAAGGAGGCAGAGGAAGGAGATCTGTGAACGGGCAGGAGTCGGTGAGGGTGCGGCTGAGCATCTATAAGTGTGGGCTGCTACGAGATATGTGAGTGAAGATGAACGGTGTAATCTATTGAAGTGAGAGTGCGGAGTAAGAAGGCTAACACCTGATGAAGGTGAAGATGAGCGTTGAACGAGCCTCGCGATCCCCAATGGGGGGCGTCAACTGGGCTGCTCTGTGGGGATTAGCAGTTTTTCAGATTTGACCATGGCGAGGGAGTAGTACTGACCTGGTCGGATTTCTATCTGGTATTACCGGAATACCCAGGGATGTCATCTCGTAGAGGTCCCCTCAAGAAGGCAAAGGATTCAGCCTTCAAGGTAGTCAGGTTCTAGCTGGCTTTCGCAGCCGTTTTCCGGCGTTCAACCTCATCATCTACTATACGTGAACCCATTTTCGAACGCGAAGATTGGCCAGGTTTCTATGTATTCCGTAAACACGATCTCGAGGCCCTTCTTTTCCCTCCGGGCTAGGGCATTAGAGATCATCCCCTTCAACATGCGATCCGTTTCGGGTTTAAAGGGGTCCCGAATGAGGTTGAACAGTTCCTTCTGGTCAACAACCACTCTTTTAAGCCCAGGAAAGATGTCTGAGAAGGGGCGCTGGCTCTCCGTCCAGACATCTTCGGTCCACTGGGCTGAGGGCGACACTTCCCTAACGGCAGCGAGTTGAACGGGAAGACGATTGCATACCCACCGCCTCATCGAACCTTCTGTGAATATGAAGCGGAGACGCGCATATGGGAGGAGAGCCGCTACATGGTACAGCTGCCGGCAGACGAGCGGGACCTGGAAAGACAATCGCTTGGGCACACTGTACTCTCCCCACCGGTAATAATTTTCACACCTGGGTTTGAGTAGGGCATTCCGGAGATTCATTCCGTTCCAGTATATGAAGACGTCTTGCTCCGGAATAAGATAGAAGATAATCATCTCGAGTAGTTCAGTAGGTAGCAGCAGAAGGGATGACTGCGTGGCGTTGAATCGGTACCTTCACTACGTTAGAAGCTTGACTACTGAAGAGCAGGTTTTCTGGCATCTCACTCTTCAATCTTCTGTTCAGGTACTTCCAGAGGCAGAAGTCCTTCTCGGTCATTCTTCTTTGTCCGTCGCCTAGGGACGCCTGGCTTCTTCCCCACAGTCGGATGGCGGCCTTTGGCTACTTTCCGACTTTTTCGCGACTTCGCCTTTCGAGGTGGCATAATTTTGCGTGCGTTTGGGTGCAAGCTCGAGATTCCAGAGAGTGTGTGTGCGGGTGTGTTGGGGTTGAAGCAATCGAAGCGGGGCGATGTGGACAAAGATGAAACGGCGCCAACCCGTTCTAGGAAAGGTCAGGAATCGTGTATTTCCAAGTTCCTCCCTTCTCAGCCTAGTGCGGCGATGCACAACTCAGCTTCGAGCCAGCCTTCTCCATGACGGCTGATCTCCAACCTCAATCATCCGCTTCGTTCACTATGCGGCTCATCAACACTAGCACTGGCCAGTTTGAGGAATTCATCGGCCGAAACATACCTAAATATGCCATCCTCTCGCACACGTGGGAAGGCGGAGAGGTCAGCCTGAAGGATGTGGAGAACGGTATACACCAGAACAAGGAAGGATGGAAAAAGATTGCAAAGACCTGTGAACTGGCTGCTCGAGATGGGCTGGGGTATGCCTGGGTAGGTACGTCGCGACGCCTCATACGTGCAAGTTGGTTCGAGCTCGAGAAGGCCACGGGTATAGGCCTTCGGTAGAGGACTTACATGACTTTATTTCTGAGCTTCTGTGTTCTTCTAAATGCTAATTTACGCCTCAACTCACGCAGACACTTGCTGCATCGACAAGTCTAGTAGTGCCGAGCTCACGGAGGCCATCAATTCCATGTACCGCTGGTATCAGCGAGCTGAGGTCTGCTACGCCTTCCTCTCGGATCTACCGGCGTCCAGACATTTGGATGACACGTTGAGGAACTGCCGCTGGTTGTAAGAGTGCCCTCACCCATGCGGGCACAGGCATACTAAACCTTCGTCAGCACGCGAGGCTGGACGTTACAAGAACTGATAGCGCCCGAGCACGTCCTTTTCTTCGACCAGGAGTGGAATAACAGAGGGTCCAAGAGAGCTCTAGCGGAACAGCTCTCCTGCATAACCGAAATCGGCGTGTTAGTATTGCGGGGCCAATATCCGCTCCACATGATAGCAGTAGCCCAGAAGATGTCCTGGGCGTCGTTTAGAGAAACTACCCGGACCGAAGACACAGCATATTGTCTGCTGGGCATATTCGACGTTAATATGCCCTTGCTGTATGGCGAGGAAGAGAATGCTTTCCGAAGATTGCAAGAAGAGATCATCAAATCTACCGCTGACTTAAGCATATTTGCATGGACTCTTCCATTTCCAATATCCGAGCGCCGCACTCTCTGCGTCATGCTGGCGGAGAGCCCCGCTGCCTTCTCCAAGTGCGGATCACTCGCCCAACTTCCGTTGCCTGACCGGACTGAGTTTTCGATCTCGAACACCGGAGTCAAGACGCGCGCGCAAGTGCTGTGGCAGAGCATTCCGGGGAAGAAGACATATAGTTACGTCTTACCACTCGACTGCGTCAGCCCGGCTGGAGAGGCCCTGGGAGTGCGACTAAGAAAAGTTGGCCCAGACCAGTTCCTCCGAGAAGACACTTGCACACTAGTTAAATGCGAAAATGGTAGCTCAAACCCGCCCAGGGAGATATATCTGCTCACAAGGCCTTTGCAGCCACTTTTCGATCAAAGTCTTCGCAATATACCCGCGAACTTGCTCATTCCGTGGACGCGGACGCACGCGCTTCAGATCGAGCTGCTTCTCGAAATGCACATCTATGATGCGTGGCCATGGGGACGGTTCGACAATGAAGATCAAGTCTTCTTCGTGACCGGAAATCGCCAATCGGACTCCTGCATTCTGAGGCTTAACGGAGTATTCAACTTTCCCTTCGATGAGTACTACGTGGGATGCTCGTTTGACTGTATGCTCTACGCCGTCGGATGGGCGAATGCGACCCCCGGGCACTTGCAATGCAGTCTCTTTGAGTACCGTCCGTATGCCGAGCGAGTGAACGAGCTCAAATCCAGGATTTCAGACTGGGACCACGACAGCGCACATGTCCTGGGCTTATTGGCTTATCATCAGGTCCCAAAGTCGGCTGGGGTCGCCAAGAAGATACCAGGGTCGTCGAAGAGCGCCCTCTTGTCGTTCACGCCACGTTTGGTGAGCGACCCGACCATCTGTCACAAAGACTTTTGGAGAATTGAATTCTCCTGCAGAGTCTACGAGACTGCAGAACTTCCTCTTATCGATCAAGGAGAATGGACTGTTGAATAGTGGACCTGTTGGCTCTGCAGCAGCACAGGAATCTTCATTATCATGTCGCCCCGTAACACGTGTGTACAACGCTCTTGTTTGTCGCAACCAAAGCCGCTAACCAATGCAGCATTTTCTGAGGTTGTTCCAGTCCGTGAACGTGATCTTAAGCCAATGGGGTTCTCTCTGCTGGCAGCACCTATGGCCGCGCAACGGAAGTCGCCGTTCCTTTCTCATACAGCTGCGGTGCCACTTGCGGCCATGACGTGAGGTAGAAGGCGGAAGTTAGAGAGTGAGAAGAGTTGCGGTGGGAGAGGGAAAGTTGAGTGGAAGTGCCGTCCGGCTAATTAATGCGGAAAGCGCGATGGTGGGGTAGCGCTACGGGTTCTCACGTGCTTCTTTCATTCACTCCCTCGGCGCACATGCACGCGACGTCGGGTGCGTCGCTCAACCGCAGCAAAGCAGACCACGCATGCGATGTGTGAAACCATCATTGCTCAACCGCGCTGTCGGCCCCTTTTGCGCCCGCACTAGAAAAGATCGCAGGACTTTTCAATGAGAGTATCGGTAGACAACCTAGAAGCGTAGCGCTCACGGCTGAGACTCCAATGCTGGACCATATGCCATTATCCCAAACATTCTTACATGTGCTAGATTTCAAGTTCTTACCGAGGACTCACTCGTTCGGTGTGCCATATGATCTTCTCCATCTTCTCTGTGCTCCGCAAGGCAAACGAAAACTGCTCGACGCCCACCGCCTGGGCCTTTACCCGTGAGCGGATTCGTTGAGGGGAGATTAACGAATCGCATAGCCTGGAAAGTCATTAATCGCTGTGAAAGTCTGCCGAGTAGTAGTTCGGCCAATCCATGGAGGAAAGAGCCGTGGTGAGGGAAAGAGCCGCGGGTCGAACTTGAGAATCCCCAATTGTCAACACTGCTTTGCATGGGCTCCAGAATCAATAGCGCACTCCAACTCTTCGCGATTACCAACTCCCGATTCCGAGCAGAGTCCCAAGAGAAGCAAATGACGTTGACATTCCTAATCGGCAACCATGTGTCGTCAATATAGACTAGGTAGGCTCGGAAGAGGTCGCATACGGAGCTATATTATGTGCGTTATTGGGAGGATCGACGCAGGGACTAGCTGCGCTGCACGCTGCAATATTGCCGGAGGACTAACCACGAAGGATTGCAGACGCGGTTATTGAGGTAAACGCCGTGGAGCCTAACCGAGGCTTGGGAATTGAGCAGGATAGGTCGCTGCTCTTAAGTATTGGGATCAATGCGGGATTACGGAAAAGGAGAAATAAAGCGCAGAGGGCGTGGGATGTACAAGGGGGATAAATGATAAGAGACACGTGGGAGAAAAACTTGGAAATGTGTGATGGATGACATTCCAATATTTCAAGATGCAGTAGTGTACCCATCGCGACCTAGGGGGCCTCTTGACCCTGCTCTTCCTTACCTTAACGCCGCGCAATGCACCGTGATATCGTGCCCAGAGAATCCGAAGAGCCGGAGACGGCGGAGAAAGGACCGACGATGAATGTCGGTTTAAGAAAGCAAGCCGAGACCCTCACTCGCAAGTGGAGAGCATCTTCCTCAGCACGCCCATCAATGTGCCGTTTTCCAGGGCCGCCGCGACTCTCTCCTTGTCTCCAAGCTGCTTGTTCACAGCCTCATCCGTGCTATGTGTGCCCTTCTTGATACGGACGTCAACCCGGAAGCGCGGAGGCAGGGCTTGCTCAAGTCTCACGCGGACGCCTAAACCGATGACGGTGGCCAGCGAGCAGTGCGTAATGGTGGGAGTGATCTCCACAAGCACGGTGCTGATGGAGGAATAGGGCGACGCGGGCGGGATGATGTGGATGTCAGGGAGATTTACGACTGCGAGCGAACCGAGGGACAGCGGATGCTCTGGGTCAGAGATGGAAGAAATGAGGTCTGTAGACAGGCCCGTCAGCACAGGAACAGGGGGCGCTTGGTCGCTGCGGCTCACCGTAGACCTCTTGTTCGTCAATGGCCTCGACGGCGTCGTCATCAGAGTCGCTGGATGAAACGGGCTGCTCAAACGGATCGTTCAGGTAGTTGTACTGCGGTATGAGGTCGTCAAACAGGCCGGAGCCGCCATGGTCGCGCCTGTGGACGGCAGATGTGCGGCGGCGCGAGGGCAGGTCCGAGGGGTTCAGGATGGTGGGGTTGGCGTTCTGCTTGTCCAGGTCCATGGCGGGCGCAATGCGTCAGAAAGCCAGGTGCCAAGCGTGCTGTGTAGTATCTGCCCTGGGTCGTGAGAGAAGGGGCGCCGGTCCGACTGGCGGGTTGTGGTTGCATCGTGCTGCGGCAAAAAACCCTGAGGTGTGGTGGTGAGCCCCCAGATTCGCCTCCAAAAACGCCAAGCACCCCACCATCGTCATTAGATTTCAGGGAGAAAAAGCGCGCTGACCAAGAGCTTGTAAATGCGTTGCCTGCCAGTTTATCCGACTGAAGACTGAACAGGAGCATGGGAGTTTGTGGGGTCGACGATTCGGGCTAGCGTGTCGAAACGCCCGAAGCGTCCAGCGTCACAGGGAAACCTCCTGCAGCTCATCCCTACAGCACGCACTCGCAGACTACAGCGTCGCCGTGGCGTGGCAGGTCGGCGACTACACCTTTGTGGCCAGCACGTACCCGGCAGAAACTGTCTCGTCCAAGCAGTTGCGCAGCGGGAGACGGCTTCTTGCCTCTATAAGCGGCTGGCGCGGGACCTGGGCGGCCTGCAGCAGGTGAGCATCATGGCAGGCGCTGTCAAAACGATCCCAGGTTGCTCACAAACGCGCCACCGGCACGCCTAATTACTAGCTGCTGGACGAGTGCAACGGTGAACACTACCGCCGTATCAGCGTATCTGCCCGATCGTTGCCAAGCCTCCTACGGTATTCAACCTCACGAGCACGAGCACGAGCACGAGCTTCGCGCGCTCGCGGGACGCCTTCCAGCGCTAGACGCATCGAAGCTTGTCCGCCTTCTACGCCTTCGTGTGGAACTTCTTCTGGCAGCGGCGCGGGAGGACCAGGCGAAGATTGCGCATCCGTGCTGATCACCTCAGCCGTCCCCCTGCCCGCTCAGGCACGCGGCATCGCCGAAGCGACCCTGGCCATTATCGATGGGAACCAAGGACCTGGGACCGATGCAGAAGAATCGTGGTTGGCTGCGTCGCCAAAAGGAGTGAATGTTCTGCTCTCCGGGAGCAGCCCCGATCAGATATCCGGACTCGCCAAACTTCGGACACGAGCAGAGTCGCATTTGTCGCTGAGCAAGACGTCTTCACCATCTCGACATGTTCCACGGGCGGCCTTATTTCAGCAGGTGTTGAACAGCTCTCCACCGGTGGACCGCTGACGGCTATCTATTGACGACTTTATCGACTTGGCAACATATATTGTCGTCCTGGCCAACGGCTGCGCGCGTGCAGTAGTCTACCACAGGACGAAGGCTCATTCGATCCGTGGGGTTGGGACGTGAGAATGGACGCAGAACCGCCTGCTGGCCCTGTTAAACCGGCGACCCGGAGTGCACAGTAACGAATGGTGCGCGTCCCTGGGGCGGCTCAAAATTACTTTCATGCGCTCGACTGCTGACGACGCAACTGTTCAGCCAAGGGACGGTGACGATTGCGCTGAAATATCGTTTGATGCGAGATGGTGTTACACATGTGGTCAAAGCCCGTCTGTGGCTTCGTGTAGCCAATTACTGCCGAGGCATTTGGGGCCTCGAGGGAGGGGTGTGAGGGCGGCCGGAAGACGTCTTCGAGCCCAACCCAGCGAGACGGCTGCAAGACATCTATTAGACGGATGTCGAATCCGCGCTCGTGGAGATGAAGCCGGCAAGCTCGGTCCTAGACCAAGCGAGCGAGCGGCGCACGCAGGAGGAGAGGCGCGCCATCTTCTCTCCTCCTTCCGTCTTGAGACGGCCCAGTAGGGCGCGAGGGCGCCAATGATGCCTGAGGCTGCTGATGGTGGTGCAAACGCAGAGGGTGTTTCCGCCCCTTTTGCCATCGACGCGGGCGATTGAGATCTATTATATGCCAGGGAGCGCATTAAGTATTCGTCATCGCGGCTCACTACTCCTGGCGTCTGTAATTTCGAGGACTACTGGCGACCCACTGCAAGCCGTGGCTTCCTGGGAGGCAATTGAAGAGGGCTAGGAGGCTCAAATGGCAAACTCGACATGGCAGGGAACAGGCGGTTTGGAACGTCAAGAAGGGGCCCTGGTGTCGGCTGTGGTCCACCGTAGGCCCCTCAGAGACAAGCGGAACCATGGCGTGTGTGAGATGTCCAACGGGCGGCATCTGCGGAACCTGATTTGCTTCTGCCGCAGGCCATCCACCACTGCTTGCGCTCCTTAACGTCGACCCTCGAGGCAGCACACGGGGAACCGCGCTGGATTCGCTGCGCAGAGGGCGGCCTTCGCACGCCTAGAAGGCAGCGGACCAGAGACGGGCAGTCAGCTCTGCCCCTATTCTTGTGTTAAGTATAGGAGCGGTTGCCAGCAGCAGATCGCAGTACTCTAGACTACCTTTGTACGAGGGTAGCACTCGTGCACGCAGCTCTATCGACATTCCCTGACTAGGACGTCAAAACCCCCTGCAGCTCACGACACCCCCACAAGTCTCCAACGGCAGTTCCCATGGCCTGCAAGTGAGAGCTTGAGTGCGCGCTCGGATGCTTACGAGGAGACGTTACTGCGCGGCCTGCATTCCCCTCACGACAGGTTTTGGCAGACTCGACTGCCGCCCGCCGCTGCAGCCCTCCATTCCAGGTTCCCCTTCGCGCCGCCGCTGCGTCCCAAGGCCTCAGGAGACTCACACGCACACGCCACCATTGGTGCCATCTGCACGCACGCGAGGACCACGCTGCGCCGCCTTCTGGAAGACCCCGGCATGCCATACGTCGACTCGACTACCCTCTATGCGCCCTGATTGATCTACGGCACCGTATAACAACATCACCCGGCGCTGCGGAGATTTCCCTCCCGCTGTAGACCGCCGTACATTAGCACTGCCCAGCCTCACGTCGACTTGTGCTGGATTTCCGGGCTCGATCGCATTTTCGCCGTGTGCCAGCTCGTCAGCGGTCCAGAGCGCCGTCGCCGCGCCCATCGATTGGCTGCCGAAGCCACCCCAACTGGGCAAGAGCGCACTGCCAACCCCGCTGTCATTCGGCGCAACACCACCACACAAGGAACCGCCCCCAAGCACGCAGTCGCTGTTCGCAAGACACGCCGCATTCGACGAGGACCAGAGGACCAGCGGACCAGAGGACCCACGATGCCCGGCGAGAGCAGCGGACGGCCGCTCCTGCCGCAGACGGCGCAGATGCAGAGCTACACCTTCGCGCCGCCGACGCTGGCGCCGCGGGAGAACCAGCGCAGTGAGTTCGGTCGCCGCGATGCGCCGCAGAAAATGGAGACTCACCATGCCGCGCAGATTACGTCTTCGTGGACGAGCATAACAGGCACAAGCGCCTCAAAGGTGCGCCGGCAGCTCGCCGATCCCCGCCCGCCCCGGCCTCAGACCGCTGACTGCAGACAGTGATGAGAGCGTGCGAAGGCTGCCGCAGGCGCAAGATCAAATGCGACGCGGCGACGACGAACGCCTGGCCTTGCGCCGCCTGTATCAGGCTGAAGCTCAACTGCGTGCCGCCGACGGTCAGCTATGACAAGGACTACAACGCTAACACGCAGACCTTCGAGCTGGAGACGAAGCCCTTGGAGTACGCCCAACCCACGCCAAATCCGCAGCATGACTTCCAGCGCCAGCCCGTGATGCCCGGACCGCATGGCCTTGCCCAGCAGATGCCGCCCTCGCTGCCCACGCCAGTCACCGGCTCCTATGCCGACGGCATGAGGATGTACCAAACCGCGCCCTACATGGAGCAGCAGCCGCAGGAACACATCCAGTACGCGCCCATGCCACAGCCTCAGGCGGTCCAGCAGAACATGAACTATCCCCCGCCTTCCATGTACTCCGAGACCCCGGGCCCCCCACCCGCAATGACCATGACCCCGCCGGAAACCGAAGGCAGTTGGAAGCATGATCCGTCATCAAGCTTAGCTGAAGCATTAGGGGAACTGAAGATTGACCACACGGCAATCGGTGAGCACGTCTCGATGCGGCTTGCCCATGAGTAAGAAACTAACCATTGTAGCACCGTACATTGCGAACCAAAGGAAGGCCCTTGCCGAGACGCCTGCGCAAGAAGAGTTCGAGGTCCAGCTGCCGCTGTCGACCAGCTTAGACCATACGGTTCGAATACCGCAGGAAATGATGCCGTCGGACGAGCAGGCACTGCACTATTTTGACTACTTCTTTACCAACATCCATCCCTATTGCCCGGTCATCAACAAGGCCTACTTCTATCAACAATGGCAGAGCGCGCGAGATTCAATATCGCCGCTAATGCTTGAAGCAATCTTTGCCTGTGCGACAATGATGTTGGGCGATGATGCCGAAGGAAACAAATGGTTGGCCCTCGCGTCTAGTCAGTGCACCCGTTTCCACCATCTTTCTTCCTTCGCTGACATCCGGGTTAGAGCATGAGGAAAGCTTCAAAGATGTTCCTCGCTTGAGTACGATGCAAGCGATGATTTTACTCATGAAGGCACGAGAAGCGTCTCCTAAGCGCGGCTATTTCTGGCGCTCATGGATGACTGTTGTCAGCCTAGTCGCTATGGCGAAGGATCTCGAAATGCAGGATCATCACGAAAACCACCAGATGGGCAAATCATGCGGTTCGACAGCGCACGATTGCATTACGAAGACCAGAGTGTGGCACATGCTGTTCGTTCTTGAGGTAATGGTTGGAGGTCCTCAAGGTTAGCCAAACAATCGCTCATTTAATCTTGATGCTTACCCGTAACAGGACGCTTCGACTTCTCGGTCGATCTGGACTCCGTCGACTTCGAGATGCCACGGCCCGTTGCCGGACTAGATGCCTCCGAGTTCCAGATCTCGCGCCAATTTACCCAATACATTCGCATCGTGAAGAACATCCAACAGACAACGCTCCTACATGCAAAGCTGAAAAAGAAGACGAACGACTGGGCACTAGACCCCAGCTTTGTGGGCCATAATGCAGATTACCCAGTTTGGCTACGGGAACTTCCAGAGGACATGCAAATTGTATATCCGGCTGACGGCTCAGCCCCGTGGATCAACTCGCATTACATTGCGAACATGCACTCCTACCACTATTTGGGAGTTATAATGCACTTGCGCCCGCAGCTCCACGCCGTGTCGGACTCATACGACGGTATTTGGAAACAGCACATGATATCCTGTTACTCGGCGGCAAAGAGCATGTGCAAACTGCAAGAGGCTGTCTTGAAGACGTATGGCCTGCCCGGGCTGCTATGCATGCTAAGGGGCATCAGCTTTACGATATATTCCGTCCTCACCTGCACCATGCTTCACCTTGTAAGTACACCCAAGTTATCACAACTGACTGTTCTCTAACCGGATCAGGTTGCTATTACCTGCCCAGACCCCGAACTTAACAACGATGCGCGAGAATTTTTTGTTCGGCACATGCGCGTTCTGGAAACATGTACTCCGGCATGGCCAATGCCCGAGATGCACCAGCAAGTGAATAACCTACGCCAGGCCTTCTCGGCAGACATCACCAAACCTTTCGAACTAAAGCCGACATTTCCATTTGGTAGCCCGCAGGTACATGCGCAGTCCAGTCCCACGAGCAACCCTGGTTCCTACCGGTCTCGTCTACCAAGCCAGCATTCACCTCTGGATCAACCAGGTCAGGTCAACTACCATGCACATCCCATCACTCCACCAATCTCGGCATCCGAACACGACACCAAGGCTGACTCTCCCGTAGCTCAGTCTTTGGTCATGATGGCTTCTGGTCAACGTGCGCCTCAGCCCGCGGCGGGAATGCAGATGCAGGAACATGTGCAATGGAATCCCCAGCGCATCTTTGAGTGAGCTGCCTCATCCCAATCTTTCTTCGATAGAGACTAATCAGAGTGCCACAGTCAATGGAATGTAGCCTTCGGTACGCCTCCTCCTCCTCCCAGTACAGCATCGCAATCCTCTCCGCCGCTAAGACCGCCAACCGCAGGCAACAACTACGAGCTCCGGACACCACAAGAGACTAGCCAGCCCAGCTACCAGATGCCGAGTGTGTCTCCCCAGTCCAGCAGTCTCCAGGGTGCCCAATCGCAACTTCCCGCTTCATCCAGCTATACTGCACCGAACGCTTCGTACGTCACACCCACGATGTGGCAAGAAGTAGTCGCCAGCTCGTTCCCGGACGGTTTGAAGCGGCGTTGGGACCACGGAAATCCTTCCATAGTCGACCAGTCCATGTATAAGCGGGCACGATGATGGTTCCGTCCGTAAGACAATAACACATAGGCCCCGGAACCTCCGAAGTGTGGCGGATCCGGCTAAGGTCGAGCAGCAAGCAAGATGAGGAGGAGGAGCAGGAAGGTGGTACAGGCAGTCTCTTGTTATCTGCTTCAGGATCCGTCGATGGACATCCTCGCACCGCACCACACCGCACCCATCCGCTCCGGCTACCCAACCGACCCGTCTCGAGAAACATGATCAGTGCAGCTCGAATTCCTGGTTTATCTAACCAAATCGAAATGCTGTAGACCAGTGAACGGTTTCTCAACACCAACACAATTTCATCAGGCTGCAGGCTCCCGACGATTACGTGTCACGTTCTGCTTGTGGACTCGAGCTCTAGCCCGTCGAAACAGTACGCACGATTTCACCAAAAAAATTTAATGTTTGCTTTTTAGCACTGATACCCCACGGCCAACCCGCTACGACATCCGCCGTTGCGACCGGTACCCGAGGATGCTCTGGTTGTACAACGATGTACGATCCTGTAGTAATACTTTTCACTTAGGTGTTGTTTAAGCACAAAAGGCGTGGGACTAGGTACACCATCTGGCATGGTTCAAATGATATTCGGCCGACTTTGGCCCCAGTGTTCGATGCGAAGCCAATTACACCTTCTGTTTCCGTTCGTCATCTCACAACCGCGGCACCGGAGTAGCGGAGTGTACTCCAGATCACTCACAATTACGAGTAGCAGCAAGCGAATGAGCTCGAATGCCCTCTGTTACAGTCTTGGCCGCTCGCTACGGGAACTTTCAAGATTTCTCCGCAGTCAATCAATAACAGAGTAGCCGCATCTGCGTCCTCTACCCGGTTCTCCAGCGCTACCCCAGAGATTTATATGCACGAATCTATCGCTAGCGGATGCACGCGCATTTGGTGCCTTACCGCACTAACCTAGCCTACAGCTTTGCGGCCACGAATCTTCCGCCTTACTTTAGGCAAATTGGCTCATGCAGCTGCACGTTCTGCCTTCTGTCCTGCAACCCGTCGCGCGGGCACATTTTTGCCACGCAGATACATATGTACCTACATGGGCGTTCAATTCACGGCAGTAAGCCACCTACATCACACCAACATTGCCGTTGACCCGCGCCCCTCCAATCCTTACTAACCCTTCCGTTCCAGAACATGTCCCGCTTCTGGGGAGATCGTCAAGCTTCCCAATAATAATGCCAAGCATCCTCGGAATATTCCGTCGCTTGCCGAGTGCCCCTTCCGACATTCCGTTCCGGGAGAGGGAACGACGGCATCATGAATCAAGCATGTCAAGCAACTATCGCAAGCGGATACGGTGCGGAATTTCTCCACAAAAGTGTCGACCACAGAAACCGGGATCTGGTTTGCACCGTGAGTACCTGTAGCAACAATACGCGACGTAAATCTTGAAAGGCTATACGAAAAACGGGCGGTATGCAATTTGGATACTGACCAGACACGGGCTCGGAAGTCCGGAGAGGCAAAAGGCGGGAGGAATACTCTTCCTGTGCCGAGGCGACAGATGTCGGCCAGGGACGCCCTTTTGACATGTGAATTGGCCGGTGCGCTAACTCGTGCAGCGGGCGGCGGGACAGACAGCAAGGCGCAAGGCACAGACCTCCTTCCTCAGGCCCCAGGATGTTGGAGGGAAAAGATGATTGATGATGTTGCGTTGCGCGTGTTCAGGGGGCCGGTTCTTGGCGCTGGTGTGGGGTGGAACGTGCGTTGCGTTTGCGTGCGTGGTGTGTGGATGCAGGGATACGTGCGAAATCTTGGAATTCGAAAAGCTTTCAATAATTTTGCATTTTGCGTCGACGAATTGAAGGGTGTGGAAAACGCCAGTTTTAGCTTTTTGGGTAAAGGCTTCCGCAGTGGCTGGATGGGATTGTCGGCACATAATCGGGAGTTGAGCAATTAGTCGCTGGTGGTTAGTTCGTGTGGCGAGGTTGGGGGAAGGTGGAGCGAGTATAGTATTCAAGGTTTGTACACGTACCCGGTATCAAAGGATTGCGGGGTGCCTCAGGCATGAGTCGAGCTAGGTACCTACAGTACTATGCGATCCTTCGTGCGAAAGCTTCAGGTTCCCCCTGCCTGGGTTTCGCTTCGCTGCTCCGGTATATAGACGCCCCGCAGCCGGACCGACTCCCCTCGAATAAGAACACTACAATCCACTTCTCCCGCTCGCGGGTTTATAGTCTACTACAGTACCGGTAGCAGTTAGTAGCTGGGTAATGATTTACACCCAGCTACCGGCCTGCTACTGAAGTACGTACTGCAGATGTGTAGACTAGGCGTCCGTCAGCAAGCAGCATTAGAATTAGAATTAGAGGTCTGGAAGCTCCTCCGCGCGTCGACGTCGTCACTGGACCTGAACGGATCTTTCGTTATCGTTATCGTTCTTGTACTGTGGTGCTGGATGGAGCGATGTGTTTACGACGGCTGGCTTGGGGGGCTTATATTAAAGGCTAGGGCATGAGGGGGTGGTGGAGAGGTTGTGGACTTGTGAAAGCTACAGTAGGTGTCTATTGTACCGCTTTCGAGCGATTACTGCTGTGTTGAAGATGTCTGAAGGGAAGGCAAAGGGATTGCATGGATAGGTTGGAAGATGTGGACCCTGCTCGGGGTATCTTTGAGGGATTTTGGGCTGGGTGGTTTCGTACGAGGGCTAGTAAGCACGGAAGAGCACTTCGACATCTATCTCCTCATTTGACTCTGTAAATACCAACCTAAACCCAGTAAGTCATTGCGCGGCATTCAACCAGCCCCATCGCGCGCGTTTCGAGGGAGCTGCTGGAGCATGAACATCCCTTAGACTCCATTTGCCCATAACTCCGGCTCGACGAGGACTTCGAGTTTCGAGAGCGAGTAGTGAGCAAGAACGCGAAAGGGGCTCCAGTGCCGTAGCAGACGTTGACCATGCGTTAGCTTGTTTATGCTGGACAGGAGATTGGAGAACGTCAGGGCCGGATGTGGAATATTCCTCGCTAACTTCGTAATCTGGTGTGTCCGCCCTTGAACTTCGCTTTCTCCATGAGGATGAATTGCTATCACGTGACAGAAGCCCGCTGTGATTCTTCCAGTAGCTTCGAATTTCAGGTAGGAAGGAGAGAAAGCGCAGCATTTCAACAGGGCTAAAGGGAGAGCTCTCCGTGTTACTGTACGATCGATTGGCGTAGATTAGCAAGTCCGCTAGATGGGCTATGAGAAATGCAACATCCAAGGAATCTGATGAGTCTCTCCTCCGTGCTTCGCTCGGGTGCCATTATTACGTAGGTGCATATCGAGTAATAAGATGGAAAGAGTGAGTGAATCATCTGTCCAAGTGAATGTCGTCGGTCGGGCCAAAGCTTTGCCGACGCCCAATTCGGAAGGCGGCAGCAAGCGGCAGAACTTTCCCAATCGCCTTTCGCAACTTTTGACTCCACCCCTCTTACTTCCCAACTGGGCTGTCACCGCGGCATGGTATGCTTCGATCCTTCGTCCGTATTGTAGCAAGAGCCATGGCTTCTCCGGAACCCAAGCGCGTGCCAATTCCAAAGAATGGCGTCGATTACCGCGGCAAAGTCGTTCTTGCGCCAATGGTGCGGTCCGGGGAGTTGCCTTCGCGGTTACTGGCGCTGAAGTATGGGGCGGATTTGGTGTGGGGTGAGTCGCATAGATGAGGAGACGCTATGAGTAGATTCTAAGCATTTCTGCAGGCCCAGAAACCATCGACCGCGCAATAATAGGCACAACCCGCCGCCTCAACCCGCATACCTCCACGATCGAATTCTCCCGCCTGCCTACGTCCAAGATAAAGAACCCCGCGCTGGATCCCGAGAAACGCGAGAGCGTCATCTACCGCATACATCCTGAGCTCGAGAAGGGAAAACTGATATACCAAATCGGCACCGCAAACCCAGACTTGGCCGTACAAGCAGCGAAGATAGTAGCCCCAGATGTGGCAGGAATCGATCTAAACTCAGGCTGCCCAAAGCCATTCTCAACAGGTGGCGGCATGGGCGCGGCGCTCCTTAAGACGCCAGATTTACTCTGCAACATCCTGACAAGTCTAGTGGAAGAGGTGGGCAAGGTGTACGAGATAGGGATCAGCGTCAAGATACGGCTCTTGGACAAACCGGAGGATACAGAAGCTTTGGTTAGGAGGCTAGTGACAACGGGCATCACGGGCTTGACCGTGCATTGCCGGACAACACCTATGCGGCCCAGGGAAAGGGCGATAAGAGCGCAGCTCAAGATGATCGGGGAGGTGTGCAGAGAGGCGGGTGTCGCGTGCCTTATGAACGGCGACGTGACTTCAAGGATGGAGGCGCTGCAGCTGGCCGAGGAGTACGGTGTCGACGGGGCGATGATCGCAACTGAGGCCGAGAAGAACCCGAGCTGCTTCAGGCCGGATGCAGAAGGCGGACCACACGAGTGGCGGTCGCAGTGGAAGACAGTGGTGACCGAGTACATGCGTTTTGCGCTGCAGGTGGAGAACCGATGGGGCAACACCAAATATCTCCTTGGCCAGATGATTCCCGGGAAGGCGAAGTGCTATCAGGACATGAATCGGTCGAAGTGCTACGCGGACGTCATCAAGGCACTGGACCTGCAAGATGTGGATAACATGCTGGAGCAGGCGAAGGCTGTGGATGAGCGGTTAGGGATTCCACCACAAGAATCGCGGGCTTCGAAAAAGGCGCGGGTGAGGGAGTCCAAACAGGAAGAGACGAAGAAAGAGGTGGATGAGAAGAAAGAAAAGCGGGTGGGAGAATTCGTGGAAGGACAGAACGCTAAACGCGTCAAGCTTCCTGAAGCTGCACCTGAGATCCCGGTCGTCCCACAGGACATGACCGCTCCAGCCGCGCTCAGTGTATAATTTAGAAGAACGGCTGCCTGGCATTTCTTCCTGCATAGCGTAGGAACTGTGGTGTTAAGGGCATTTTCAGGGATGATGGCAGGTCCTTTTGCAAGCATTTAGCTCCGGCATATGAGCTGATCATCTCGGGTACACAATGATAGAACATTTGTTACACTCTCCCAAAAACCTCAACAACTATAACGAACCCACGACTCTCTTCATTAGATGCCCTGAATGCCTTCGACCCCCAGCATGCGGCCAGCAACCGAGCTCCTCTCTAGGAAAGCGTGCGCACCGCCATTCAATCCCGCGCGAAGACCGCGTATAGCGACATGTTCGCCTGTTCAATGAGCTCTGTTATAAGAATGCTATTCGCTGGCAATCACTGTTCCCTCAGGCTCGACCCTTCAGACCGAGATGCTTGTCCGCGGCTCAGCATCAACCATGCAGGATAGTAGTGCTGATGTTCACCATCATCATCACAGTAGTAGCAGATGTCGCTGCTTCCTTTCGACATGCGGTCTGCCTCCGTTTCAAAGAAGGGATTAGCCATGAGGATGGCGATTTAGCTTTCTAGCCGCCGGGCTTTGAAATCGGTCAACTAGTGAGGGAGATCTCGGGAGCAGGAGAATATGAATCAATGATGGCTGTTGTTTTGTGTGTGGAATATGCAGAGGTTCGGGAGCACACGAGACTCCATGTACAGAATGGCAATGCCTTTGTGATGTGACGGCAGAGGCGGCGCCCGCATATGGTGGGAAGAGCTGGAGCTTTGGATTCAGACACCGCAGCTTGCCATTACGCATAAGGGCGCGCTTTTAGATATCTAATGCGCTGCCGAGGGTTTTACGTTTTCCTAGATCGGCAATACTGTGAAGTTGCAGACCTTTTGAATCGCGATCTATGGTGATTGCGCGAGACGCAGCACGGCATTGCGAGGCTCAAGGTCGTTTTAGGAGCCCCCACATACGCCGGCACGGAGACCGCTTTCGAAACGCATATGCGTTTATGATAACGCTTCTACGCAGCGGAGGAAGAGCGTATGCGACGCTCGACCCTCCCTCCAGCCATGGTAAGAAATAGATTCCCTTTTTGGACTCGTTCTCCTCAGAGCCCGCGAAGCTTTACTTGCTGATGCTCACGGTCAGGTTCCAGACCACATAAGAGAGGTTGATTATGCGTTCATTCTTGCAAGGCAGGCGCAGGCGCCGAGCGGACATGCGGCGTCGTGCTCTCCGTTTTGGTCGAAATGCGAGCCAGGGGGGCAAAGGAAAGCCATGCACAAGTTCTGGAAGATCTTTTGGTTCCGCTCCGGGTGAGTGTGTCTAAAGGAGGTGGGAACGCCATTCGCTCCTGTTGCACTCCTTTCTAGTTTAACGCTAGGAGGTTGACTCCGCGGCAGAACATGGAGTTGGTGTCCTAAGGGTTTGGTATGGCGCGGCAGCTTTGACGGCGCTAATGATTGAAGAGTAGAGGTATTTTTGGCTAGTGCGGAGAGCTTTCCGGTGGGGTCGATGGGATCGAACTTGGAGCAATCGCGATCGCTGGACTCCCGAAGCTCTGCTTCTCCATAGAGGGACCAACCATCATCTTTGGTCAAAAGGAGTGTTGAGTAGAGAGAGTTCGCTCGGATTGATGGAAAGGGGGCCCGAGAAGGTATCCATACGTTTCAGAATGTTCGATTTGGACTCCTGGTTTAGGGTCCGCCGAGCATGAGAACTCCTCGAGTCGTATTGTACTCATGCCGTCGCTCCATATTGAGATTCTTTCGGCCATCTTTAGTCAAGTCGGTTGGGTGGACTTTCGCTGCCATTGGAGGAGACCGGCGCTTAGTCACCAATGGGGACTAGTTTTGGACGACTCCATGCCGTGGTAGATCATAGTATTTTGGACCAGCTTTCCGAACGCAAGTTAAGGTCTCGAATAATCTCATAACAACAGAAGGGGAGACTTGTACAACCGACGAGTGATCTGACAAACACCGTCCTGGACCCCCTCCGGGCCCTATAGATTGTACGATCCGAACATTTCCATGGAAAAGGAAGTCTTGGTTTTTATGGAGCTTCCAAGAACCGAGGGTAGAGAGCCGGGATCAGAGACCGCGACAGCATAGCGTTGACCCGAGCCCCTTTTGGTGGTTGCCTGGAACCGAGAAATCCAATCCGGGCACATCGGCCTGCTGCAAAGAACTTTTAGTCGGGCATGTTCTGGAGTGTGGTGCAGAGGAGCAAGACAGCGCGAAGGGTTTATGAATCTCGACCGAGCACAAAGACCTTGTATGAAGGGGGATGGGCGGTGCTGCTGTGGAAGTAGATCTCAGTTAGAGGCGGAAGCAGAAAGAAAGCGTATCGGCGCTCTGACCGACCTTTCGTAGCCATTAAGACGCGGGCGCGCGAGTATTATGGGTGCTGACTTGGGACATGGAGAAAGCAAACGCAGAACATGCGGACAAATGTTTGCGAATTTTAGCACCAAATAAAAGGCTTTCAAAGCATGCCAGTTCCTTTCCGCGAATTTCGTGGGCCACCCGTCGAGCAGAAAAGCAGCAGAGCATAACCCAGATTGGCTTCTAATCGGAAGTCTTCCCACATAGATGACATAGATCTAGACTCTTGTGGCAGAAAACGCCGAAAGGTGGAAATTGCTCCATGTCGCCCTATTCTACCTGAAGGGCCTTCAGCGCCTTTACACCAACCGATCCATTTCAAGTTACTCCCCTGAATGCGTAGTTTGGATACGCCCGGGTCGAAATTAAAAAACCGCGCGGCAAAACCAACTATGCGAAATACCTCTTATCGTTTTTTAATAGTCCACCAATTCCATTCTTCACCCACACACGCCTTTCTAAGCCCCACCACCTAACCAATCTACATGTACCTCTGCCCACTCGCTCAGCAGCGCCTCCTGCCTCGTCACTCTAACACGTGGCCGCATTTGCTTCACGCGCAAATACCGCTGCTTCACCTCCCCCACACGCACAAGCCACAGCACTAGCGGGTACGCCGCAAAAGCCACCCAGGCCATTGCCGCAAACTTGTCCGTGGCCCCTAGACTCTTCGCGCACTTTTCCGCCGTCCAATCCGCCGGACATGTACGATACGTTCGGAGATAAGAATATAGAATCGCATACGCGAGGGCTGCGAGTGGCGTGGGCGGCTTCGCAATCCACGGCGCCAGGTCTCGGGCTAGTAGGGTGATTTCTTGCTGCGCGAAGGCGCGCGGATAGAGGAGCGTGGTGTGTAGGTGCAGGACGAAGTGGAGGGAGGACCGGAGCAAGCGATAAGGGATCCAGAACGGGAGGTAGAAGCGGGGGAGTGCGACTAGGGGGACGAATCGCTGCACGTAAAGCGCTAGGTAGAATATTGTGAGGAGCAGGTCTAGGAGCAGGTCTAGCAGTATGGTGTACTCTGAGCTCAGCGTAGTTGCGGACGGTGGGTTGTAGGCGCGCCAGTGTCGGGGGTAGATTGTCAAGGGGTGGGTTCGATTTCTCTAATATATAGAAGGACTGCTAAGTGTATCCGGTGAAAGAACCGACCGCGTCCGAAGGATCCCGGTGACTCGCGCATTACCGGCGGCGTGAAAGGATTCTATCACTATCTCCTACAGGAATCCCAGAGAAACGCAATTCACAATCGTCCGAGCTAGATCTTCCGCCACCGCAACGCCACGGCAGCCGCAATAACCGGCAACACGCTGACTAGCTCACCCAATCCCGCAAATTCAGGCGGAATTCTCGCATGTACGAATGCCCCAGCCCCCAACAAGATAGCAAACAAGTTGTAGACGAAGCTCCACGCAAAGTTGAACGCAATGCGGTGGATCGCTAACTTGCTGACGGCGATCATAGTCAAGATACCAGACAAGCTAGGACGCATGAGGATGACGTCCGCGGCGGATTTAGCCACGTCGGTGCCGGTTGACATGTGGATACCGATGGTGGCTTGGGCGAGGGCGACTGCGTCGTTGGTTCCGTCGCCGCAGAAGACGACGACCGGTTTCCTGTTCTTCGCGTTGGACGTGGTCGATGACTCGAGGAGCGTCCGGATGTATGCCTGTTTGTCTGCTGGAGTGCATCGCGAGCGGACCTTCGTGTCGGGTATCTGCAGCTGGGAAGCAACAGCGCGCACTGCCCCGTCATCGTCGCCGGAAAGGATGTGTACCGAAACCCCAGCTTCGTGGAGCTTGGAAACGGTGGCTAGAGAGTCGGGACGCAGCGAGTCCTCGAGACCATATACTGCATTGAGAGTGCCATCGGTTGTGAAGCAAAATGCTGTTAGGCCTTGCGATAGAACAGACTGGACAGTAGGATGCGAAGACAAACCCAGCCACCTAGAATTTCCGGCTCGAAGGGTTTGGCCTGAGCACCTGCCTTCAACTCCCTTGCCCGCAAGCGCTTGGGGATCAGCGACGGACGACGCCGACACGCCGCTTGTCTTGAGATGGGTCGCAATCGCTGTGGAAACCGGATGCTTAATCCCGCCAACTAGGCCCAATAAAAGAGACTTTGCTACTTCGGCATCGTCCGCGAAGTATTCCTCTTGGGATACGGAAAGCTCGCCCCTCGTCAGAGTCCCAGTCTTGTCGAAAACCATGTCTGTCGTCTTGTACGCTACTTCGATGCTGTCCGCAGACTTGAAGATGACCCCATGTTGCGCTGCAACCCCGGACGCTATGACTATGACCATCGGCACCGCCAGACCTATGGCACAGGGGCATGAGACAATCAGGACTGTAATGGCGTAAGTGATGGCTTGGATCGTAGCCTCGGATCCAGACTGATTCCGTACAGCGACGCCGACTGCGATCCAGATGATGAACGTGATGATTGTCAACGTGACCACTACAGGCACGAAGTAGCTGGCGACGCGATCCGCGATGTCCTGGATCTTTGGCTTCGACAGCTTTGCCTCATCGACCATGGACGCGATAGTGCTAATCGTATTGTCCCCAGGCAACCGTGTGAGTCTGACCGTGAGAGTACCGGAACAATTAATGGAGCCAGCAATGACGGCCGACTTGGGCTGCTTCTCCACGGGAGTCGATTCGCCGGTGATCATGGATTCGTCGACCTCAGAGTGTCCGGAGATGACGGTGCCGTCTGTCGGAATCTGGGTATCCGGGACTACCTTGAAGACGTCTCCATATTGAAGAAGCCTTGCGTCGATCGCCTTTTCAACGCGTGCTTCATCGATGACGAGAGCGGTCTTCGTCTGTAGTGCGCGGATCGAGATGGACTCGGCGGCTTTTTGGCGGGCGAGTGCAGCAAAGAATCGGCCGACCATAATGAGCGTCACGAGTAGCGTGCTGGTTTCGAAGAACTGGCCGGTTGACAGAGGGTTTCCCGCAACAAGGTAGCCGAAGGAGACAACGGAGAAGATGTAGGCAGCGCTTGTGCTCAGAACAATGAGCATGTCGAGTTCAACCGTTCGGGAAAAGATGAGATCCTTGAACGCTTTCGGATAGAAAGGTCCGGCGATGACTACCTGCACGATAGTCGCAAGGGCCAGCGAAGCGGAGCCGTACGCGGTCTCTCTCTCTGGGAGAGGCGCCCATGCCAAAACGAGAACAGGAATGGTGAAAATCGCAGAGAGGAGAGTCATGAGGGCCAAATGGCGGACATGCCTGCTCCCTGCATCCAGCGTAGGATCTGCGCGAACCGGGGCAAGCTGCATAGGAACGTCCCAGCCCTTGTCGAGGAGATGGCGCGCACCGCATATCTTCGCATCATAATCGACACGGATGATCTTCTTGTCTACAAGTCGTACGTCAGTGACGCCATCCGGCCATTGACCCTTGACGAAACTTATTGGGTCCGAGGGGGGAATGAGATCAAGACTGGAGCCCTGGTTCGTTACACGCTCGTATTTGAACTCTGTCGTGCGTTCAAGATGCTTGATGACGTCGCCAGCGGATACGGTCCGTGGATCCAAGTCGAATTCGGCCCTGGCAAGCACGAGACTCGTCTTGAGGTTGAGGACGGAGTCCAGCTTCCCGATCGTTCGCTTAAGCTTCGTCTCGCACCCAGTACAAGTCATCCCCGACACGCTGAGAATGACATGCTCCCTACCCGCAAGGCCCTTCTCTGGGTCGACGTGTCCAGGTACTTTGGGAAATACCTCCTCGACCGTTTCTACAAACTCTTCTAACTTTGGTCCGCCACAGCAACCATCGGCACAGGAAGCCTTGTCTGTTGAGCTACAGATAGGGCTTTTCGGTGCGCAACAGGAGTCGATCGAGGACCCGCAGGACGTTGCGCGCGAGGAACGAAACGTCTTCCGAGGCGCTCGATTGGTGGGCTTGCAGCATGATTCCTGACCAAGTGCGATCAACGCTCGGCAGATGCATCCTATGGCCTCCAGTTTATCCTGGTAACGTCGTCGAGCTTTCTGTGAATGCTCGTCACATGCTCTTCCATCCCTTCCTCGATGGCACTCGGAAGTTGAGCCCGGCTCGGTCTTGGCTGCGTAGTGCTGGTCAGTAAGCAACAAGAATATCGGACCGGGAGCATTCTTACTCTCACTATCGAAGGAGGAACGCAATACAGAATCGCCGCTTTTGCACTCCCGGAGAGCAAGACGCTCGATGCAGGTAGCATCGCAGCAAGGGGATGCCTTGCCTTCACAACAGGGAGGCGCGTCTGAAGAGTTCGCGGGCTGCGGCGCGACTGACGAGCAGCAACCTTTGTTGCAGGCGTTGCGTGTCGGCGCTCGGGCAGTCTCTGGTTCAGCACTGTCTACAGCCTTTGGCGGTTGGGACACGGGCTTTGAACAGCAGCCCTTGACGCAAGTAACGTCAGCTATGGGCTTGGGTGCGTAGCAGTCGTCACGGGGAGCAATGTCTTCGTCTTCGGATTGCTTGCCAGCGATGCCCTCGCGGGGATTGTCCTGAGGAACGGCACCAGAGGTGAAGCCGTCATTGTTGACGGGCCTGTCGGGGGAACAGCTATCGTCGCCACAGCCATCGTCCTTTTCCTCAAGATTGGGATTGATGGTAGGGACAGGCTCCTTGGGCCCGCCACAACAGCCTGAACCACAAGGCATGGTTGTTTATCTGGGTGAATGGGTCGATGGGTGGCAAGAGCTGTGTAGAGATGAAGCGTGCAACAGAGGAAGGAAAGCTCAAATTGTGCGGGGCTTGTGTTTTTGTGGTCGGTGTGGGATATGGCGAGAGGGGATGCCTCCCTGCTCGATATGTCATCGATTGGGGGCTTGGCACCGATAACATATCGACCTGCACCTCCTCTCCTAAGAAAGATGGCGCCTTCCTACATATTTTCTCAACAGGTTAGGAGTTCCATCTCGGCGTCTCTTCGAATCGCGAAAGACTCTGCGTATACCTTCTGCTTCGCCCTCCAACGCATCGCCCAACTCCTCTTGTGTCATCTCGCTCGGTCTCTCCACCACACCGTCGGCTCTCCTGGGTTGTGCGGGCTTCACGTCGTCGCCGCACGACGGCAAAAGCATCGGTGTGGATGGGGAACCATAACGGTCGCGAACGAGTGCTTAGTCATTGGACTTGGCGCACTAGGCCGCAAGCATCAGCATTTCCCACCACTAAGTTCTCGGACGAGTAGTTGCGCTCCAGAAACTTCTGTGCAACCAGAGTTTGTTAGTCTCTTGCTATCACGGGGACGCGTTCAACGCGTAGCTACCAACATGTTGGCTGGCGGGATGGTAGGGTATCCAGGCATCCATGCTGACGAGCTCAGAGTCGACGTCTACACAGTATCGGAAGTAGGGGATGAGAAGGAGGGCGTACCCGAAGCCGGATGGCCCTGTCATGCATGAGTTGACGAAGAGTTTGTGGATGCCCAGGTGGCGTTCCTCGAGCACGGACAAAGTTGCAATTACAACAGGTGAGCTGAACGCCTCCTCCGCTGCGAAATCAATTAACGGAACCAGATGCCCAAGGGTGCCCAGGTGGGTTTCAGACTGATGCCCGACCCAAGAAGCGCACCTGCCCAACAGCTTCGCCGAACCAAGCCCAGAAACGCTGCATGTCCCTGGTAATCCAGCCTCACTCCACCTCAACACCAAGCCCATGCCTATCATAGTCCTTCCCCAGCAACTTGTCTCGCGCCTCAAAGTACCCCTTCATCTGCCACCTCCAGCTCTCCAGATACGGCTTCAGGTCCGCGTGCTCAGGTGTCCACCACTTCTCGTGTAGGCTCTTGACGCCACCATCCAGGTCGGCCACGGTCGGGTAATGGATGTTCCACGTGTTCCCGAGCTGCTGCCAGGGCATGTTGCCGTCTCTCCTGTGCGCGTAATTCAGCAGGTTCTGCTCCATCATGCTGGGGTCGAAGCGGCCGGGGATCTGGAGGAGCGAGGTGTAGTAGTTGAACGCCTCCAGCGACGGTTGAAAGACAAAGAAGCCGCCGTTGAAATAGTTGATATTCATGAAGTCGTGGTGTTCGTCCGTCGGAGGGTAACCGTGCTCGTGCGACATCTCCGGTATGCCCGCGAATGCGTACTTCTCGGGCAGCGGCTGCTCGTCGTCCTTGATTGCGTCCGCCAGGTCCAGCGTGGTCTGCATCGTTACGGCCGGGTCGTCGAAGATGCCATCGATGGGCTCCGTCAGCACAGTGTCGCCGTCGAGCATGGCAATGCGGTCGAACTGCGTGAGCTCCCACAGCCGCAGCTTCACCATGATATCCCGCCACGCGCTCGTCGCCGCCTGGACCCAGTCGGCGTAGAGCCAGTCGCCCACAACCACAATGGCGCCGTCCTTGCGCAGACGGTTGCGCTTGGATTCGGACACGTTCTTCGTCGCCATGACGACGAACGGGATGCTTCTATCTCTCGATGCTGTCTCCTTGGCGTGCAGAAGCTGGTAGGTCAGGACACGCACCGCGACGAAGTAGGGGTCGTTTTCGTCCGAGTCTTCCTCTCCAGCAAGGAACGTCGCGAATGCGCGTTTCGATTTCACGCCGGTGAGCTCGGCGGGCCGCCATTGTTCGTGGGAGGGCCAGAATGCCGGGGGCAGTACGCCTTTGGTCTTTTGGGTGACTTTGCAGACGACGCCGTCGCCGTCCTCCTCACATCCGTCCGGCACTGGAGTATAAACGAAGAAGAGAAGCAGAATCAGAACAGAAAGGAGAGTATATACGAGCTTTGACCGGAGGTAAGGCGAGGACGATGGAAAGAGCGAAGCCATGGTGTATCGTTGCCATCCGTAACGGTGAGCGGGAGAGAGATAAATGCTGAGAACGCAGATGGGAGGCGCCAGAAGGAACAGAACAAGCAAGGGAAATCACTGAACGCGAAGCATTGGGCTTCGATCGCCGTAGACATGGCTGGTTTGGATATGCGGATGGTGCTACGACATAGCCAGGGGAGCGTTAGGGACCTCCCTTGGTATTACCTGGGCGACCAGTCGCGGCCTTATACGCCCTCCTAACGAGACTCGGGAGAACTTGTAGAGCGGCTTGTTCATGTTTATGGATGCGTCGGCTTCGATGTGTGATTCTTGCTGTTCTTGGTTACGCCACCAGTCAGCGCGGTAACTATCCCAAAGTCTTCAGGTTAATGCGTTACCGTAGTCAACAGCCATGACAAGCTGCAACACCAACAACCGCCACTGAAGAAAATGTCAAGCCTCACGGTTTACGCGGATGATCCCACAGCGCAGGACGATATCCCTCAGGAGGCGGACCATGGCCCAGCGATCAGTACCGCGACAGTTTCCCAGCCCGAAAGAACATCCACCCTTGCCGCGCTGGATCCGAACATCGATTGAAACCGTCTTGCAGAAATGTACCCATCTGTGCTCAATGTAGTACAGAAGTACGGTAGGAGGCAAGGGCGCGGGTCCAGCCAAGGAGAGACATGCGCGGGCCAATTAACCTCCTCGTGCTTGTTCAACAGCCGACGCCGGGCAAGAAATGCAATCGGAAGCCGAGTCTGGACGTACTTCTCCTGGCCGCGGGGATCATTTGCGTATAGAAATGGTAGAGTTGGGTCGCACGGAATCGCGTCTCGTTCCTTAGCGATGTGGTACCGGCCACCCATTTTCATCTCTTCCAGTTCACCCGCGAAAAAATAAGCAACGAGCTGAGAAGAAGCTTTCATCTGCCGGCGGTACTGGATGGTAGGTAGTGTATGGCATCAATGGATCGACAGAAGCATCGCAGTTCGTGTGATGCCATTTCGTTGCGTTCGTCTCTCTTATTTCGCCATGCCTCTTTCCCAGTATGATAGCCCCTGCTCTCCTCACTTGGTCTGGGACGTGTTTCCTCCCTAAAGCTGTAGCTGTTTTGCAACAATTTCTTTGTAAGGCTCCGCTCTTATCATAACAGGAACCCCCTACGCTAGGTAGAGACTCATTCGCTCCGCGCCGGCTTCCCAGAAGCTCACCACTGCGATCGGGTGGTGAATGTGGAGTCCCTTCATCGCCGCCCGTCTCGCGTTATCGGATAGAAAGTAGACGACTAAAGGTGTTCGGGGTTCCAGCGACTGAGAGCGTGGCCGTGGCTCGCTTCGATAGATGCTAGGTGCACGTGTTGACGCGTCGCGAAGCAAAGTGGCATCGACTAGGTATCGCCCAACGTGACCGGCCCGTGGACGTCTTTTGGCTTGCGAGATCGTCTCATCTGCTCAGATGATGTAGCGATCTTCTCTTCGAAGCCGGGAAAGAGGTTGAGCTTCGCGCGTCCTTACTAGAAGAGGGCTAGCTCGGCGCGTCACGTACTCCCGTCAAATCTTCCACAAAACTCAGCAAGCACTCTCCTGAACCACACCGCGTCGATTGGCACCGCAAATCTTTGCGCAACCGTCTCTACAGCAGCTTGCTCATCTATGGAGGTCCTTCCAAACGAACACCTAGTCAGAATTCCGGCTATCCGGATCTGCTTACGCTCACGATGCCAAAGTACGCGGAAACTATGCACTTCGCACGACTTTGCCTCGTGTCACGGCGACTGAACGAACTCGCGACACCTATGCTGGACGTAGTCATTGATGTCTGGTTGCTCACCTCGCGGACCTCTTAGGTGGCCCTCATACAACGCCCAGGTCTTCAGACTACATTGGCTTACAACATCTTATTCCGAATGCAGGACCAAAGACTACTTCGTGTCTTGGATTCTCTCAATGCAAATCTTCATATGTTTAATCACTCCTTTCACTCTCCTCGATTACTTGCATCCTTTTCCACACTCCAAAATTTTATTCCATTATTTTCTTGCGTGGTCTCCTTTGTTGCCCTGCACAACGCGCTAACATTGTTCTACCACAATGATATCTATTACTATTTTTTTGGACGACCCTATATACAACATTGTTCCCATACGAAGTCCAAATAAACTCGCCTCTCTCCACCCAGGCTCAGCATCAAGTTCAGCTTTCTTCGAACCAGGAGCATGGATTCCCTACACGTCGAGCAGCTCACGGCAGCTGGCCTGCCGTCCACGAAGACCCCTCCCGCGCTTCCACTTCCGCACTCCGACGAGCATGCCTTGGTCTGCGAAACGTGCTCTTCAATAACTGCTCCGTGCCTCGCGTTCCTGCCGGCTCTCCCACTGCCACCCGCCGACGAGGAAGACGTGCTTGCCGATGCCTACGATCCCCAGGATTGGAAGCTCATCGCCAGCAAATACCACAAAAGGGCATCTGTCGGCAAGTGTAGCTTCAGCTACGTGTACCTAAGTGAGGCCTCCCAGTTCTACAAGATGATGCGCGGCTTAGTCAGCAGCAGCCTCCACCTGATTGACAAATATAACCTAGACCAGCAAACCGGTTCGTCAGGCCACTCCAACCAGGACCTTCTGACAAAAGGCAGCATCACACCAGAAGACCGCGAGCTAATCAATGCCAGGGACGCCGTCGCCCAGCGCGTCATCTCCATCCAGGAGAACTACAAGCACTGTCCCCCAAGCTGCGGCTTCACTGATCCGCTATGGGCCGATGCGCGGCCCGATATGTACTTCGAGCGCAATTGGTGTGCGCACCAGTATGAGGTGGTGGGGAAAGACTCGTATTATCCTGATAACGGGTTCTTCCCTGCGCTTGCGAAGAAGTACAGGGCGTCTTTGCCGGGCCTGGAAAGGCTGTGTGCGGAGATTGATAGGGTGCGTGAGGATGAGTCCGCTTGGGAGCTTCCTCCGCCGCTGTTCTTGCCGCCTGAAACACACGGAGCGGAAGACACTGAGGACTTCGGCGGCGCTGATTCATCTCCCGATGACGATGTGGGCGACTATCCACAGCCTGTCGCAGTCAAAGCTCACCGGAGCTGCATTATAATGCCGCGTATTCGCCTGCCGTCTGTCAGCGGCATTCTGTTCCGGAGCCGCTTTGTGAGGGACACCGTGGAGCGGGTTTCCATCTTTCTGCTGGATAGCCTGCGGGACTGGGAGTATCAGCACCCCGATTTCGAGAGTGAGGTGTCCGAATATTGCGAGCCGGAGCCGGAGCCGGAGCCGGAGCCGGAGCCGGAGCCGCAGCCTGCGAAGGAATGGACGACCGAGGACGGAGAGCTGAACTATTGGTGATCCAGTGATCGTGCTAGCAGAACTTCTAGGGCCATTTCCATTTACCGCTCGTCCGATCCCTTGATGCCCCGACAACGGAGACGGCCGTAATACATGCAAGTTTTCCAAAGAATACATATACTCTTACCTCTATAGAGAACCCAAAATTTGAGACTAAGTGACAGGAGGCGAGTAGGATACGCTTGACGCGCCGATCGTGAGCACGGGATATCAAAATATCCTACAGGGAAGCGAAGTTTGGAAAGATATAAACTAAGTGGACGAGACGAAGATACGCACGAAAGGAATGCTATTGTTACTTATGATATACCGAGCCACTATGACGTGAAAGGCATCTGAAGACACTCATATTGTTGGAGGGTGAGGATGCTCAGCGCGCGGCAATCGTTAAAGGGAATCCAGATCCTGAGTCATACCCTATGGCTATGCAATGCATATAGTCTGTTCGCAGAAAAAGAGGGCTCTAGGGGAGATGAAGACTTGGGAGATTCCGGATACACCGTCACTATCCCTGCAGGAGTGAGACTAATGAGAGACACCCCGAAGAGGCCAAGACATCTTACAGCCCCGAGCTCCCAGACTCCGTGCGAATAAGACGAAGAACTAGCAGTGAGGATCGCCCAACCAGACGTTAGTAGGCGAGAGGGCTGGAAGTTCAAGAATAGTTGGGCAACAGTTTGAACGCGCAAAGGAGTGAAATGGGACAGAAGAAGAGAATAGAAATGTGGGTGTATTGTGGCAAGAAATACCCTACTGTAGCCTCACGAGAGGATCGTCAGCATTTTGGTGCAATAATGAGACACATTGGTCTATCAATGGTATCGCAATAATCAAAACGCCATCCCATGCATTCGCAGTCGCATGTTCACGTTCATCCGCTGTTTTTCGCCGCCATCATCACCGCGGCATTACCTTCGTTTCGACAAAAGCTCAAGGTTGAGCAAATCCTCCGGCAGCCTCGGCGTCCTCGGGGATTTGGTTCTCGCGGAGCCAGGCGTCGTGCTTCTTGTCGGCGGCAGCCCACTGCCTGAAGCAGAGATTGAAGAACTCGTCTATCCAAACCGATCCTCTGGCCGAGAAGTCAGCTTGGGTGATGTCTGGGTCGCGGCCCACTTCGAACTTACGGAGTTTCTGCAGTTCGTCTAGTATCGGCTGCAGGTTGTCATCGTCGAACTTGGTGGCCAGCGACGGGATGAGGGTCTTGGCCTCGTCGGCGGTGTCGGGACAGAGGGATCCTGCTCTAACATCAGCTATATGCGCAATACGCCAAGAAGTAGAGTATGTGTTACCAAGCAGCGCCCGCTCAACAGAGGAGATTTGGGGGTTCGCGTCGAAGATGGCGCCCATTGCATGCAGGTTTTCAGTCTGCTTGTAACGGGAGAACATGTCGAGGTAGTCGACGAACTGCTGGATCGATCTATGCACTCTCAGCATGAGGCTCTTTCCCAGTATGCGCCCGTTGCGTATGCGCAGACCACCGCCAACAGCTTCCCCGCAGCTCCACTTACTGCGAATCGTTGTGCACCCTGTCCCCGCCCAGCGGGTTGGCATTCGTGTCCTTCTTCCGCCTCGCGCCATGTATAGCCGTAACCACAGCGCGGGCCTCAGAGATCGAGAGCGCGTGTTCCCCTTCGAAGTCGCCCAGCTTGGGTTCGGCGCCCAGCTCCTCTTCCTGCTGGACGGGCGGCTTCGGCCTTGACACCATCCTTGGCGGGCGGAATGTGGGAGCCTGCACAGGCGCGCGGGGAGCGTCCTTCATTTCCTCCTCCATGGCGGCGAGCGGTTGGCGGTGTAGAGATACGGCGGGTTGTGGTGGGAGGAGAGTGTGCGGTCGGCTGGAGGGAGGGCCTTTGTCGAGGCCTGCAGCCCTTTGTCCGTCTGCAGCTCCGGCGGGCGCGAAGGGGGACCGCTTCTACAAATGGTTAGATGCTTTCTCCGGACGCGTCCAAGATGGTGACGGTTCGGGACGGGGGCGGGACGACAAGCCTTCCGTGGAGGATTTTCGAGGCTGTCGCGACAAAGTTGCTCGCGATGTTCTAGCGCATGCGGGCGCCAAGACATGACGGTCACGTGCCACGCAGGCTCCCCGCGCATTCACATTTCTCCGGCGGGTGTGCGCTGAGACAGGGTGCCTGCGCATTAGCAATTAGCAGCAGCTGCTATAGCAGCTCGGCGAGGTGTCAAGCGGCAGCTGTGTGGATCAGGCGCACACACGCAGTCTACTTGGGCGCTGACAGCGACTTTGGTTGCTGCGAGCCACGTTCGCGCGCCTGTCACGTCGCACGCAGCGCCAGGCACAGCACAGCGGCTACAGCAACGGCGTTTGACAGGGCTAAAATAAGCACGCTGGCCTGAGGCCTCAATGAGGGCGCAGGTGGTGACGGCGCGCTGCTCGCGCACTTATGCGGATCGGCCTCTTTAATTTCGTCGAAAGCAGTTTAGCGCAAAGAAGCGCTGTCCTACCTGCACCACAAGCCTCAACCTCACGGCAACACTTCACGATCCCCACGCCCTGCCTCTGCCGCCTGCAAGTCTCCCAGAGAGGCGCCCCGACTGCCGACTCCCGTGCTGCGAGTCGCTGGCCCGTCGCTGCTCGCCGTCGGCTGGCCTGGCTGTGTTTCAGCCGCTGTTCAGGGACCCAATTCGAACCCCCCGAGCTCTGCCAGGCACTTTTCTCGCCTCGAGCCCCTCCGTCTCCGCCTCCCTCTCCTCCGCGACGCATGCTGCCGACCGCGCCCCCGAGCGACCTTTGCGAGCCCTTTCACCTCGCCGCCGCCGCCGCCTCGACACACCGCCCGCGACAACTCACCGCCGCGCAGATTGCGGTCGCCAACGCACACCCGCCCCTCACGGCCGTGTCCCTAGCAACGCTGCTCTATCCGCTTCACAACCCCGCCGCCGTCACCACAACACACTTCCGCGCCCTGTCCGCCGCCACTTGATCGCCGTTCGACGAGTCGCCGCCGTCTTCTGTCCGTCGCGCCCGCTCTTCAACCTCTGCCCGACTCCGACAACTTGATCCCTGTCTGGGCTGTGGCGACCATCTCCAGCGCTGGCACACCTCCGCCATGAGCACTCCCGGGGAGGGACCGCCTTCGCTGGGAGGTCAGGGAGCCCCGCAGCAGCACGGCTACGACCCGCGCAGCAACGGCCTCACACGACAGCCCACCAATCCGCTCGACATGGAGAGCTCGCAGAATCCCTCTTCCCAGAGAAGGCATGACGCTCCGTCGCGGTCGCTGACCGACCCAGAACGGCAACAACACGATCCGGCGAAAGAGAAGCCCAAGCGGAGTAAGATTTGTGGGAAGTGTGGTGAAGGCCTGACAGGGCAGTTTGTCCGGGCGCTAGGAGATACATACCATCTGGAGTGCTTTACCTGTCATGTAGGTGCCCAACGTCACAAGTGCACGGAACCCTTGGAGGGCAGACCCAGCCCATTCAGCTCTATTAGGTTCGCATTTATAGCGGCCCCTCTAAAATCTTTTTTCTGCCCCTCCAACCCAGCGCCGATGGGTCAAGAATGTGCTAACCATCGTGCAGGACTGTGGCAAAATCGTAGCCTCTAAATTCTTCCCCGTCCCCGAGAAGCCGCCAGGCCAGTATCCGCTGTGCGAGACGGACTATTTCCGGCGTCTGGACCTGCTCTGCTTTGATTGCGGGCAGGCTCTCCGTGGATCATACATCACCGCTTTGGACCGAAAGTATCACATCGAGCACTTTACATGCTCAGTCTGCCCGACCGTCTTTGGCGCATCGGACAGCTACTATGAGCACGAGGGCAACGTCTACTGCCACTATCACTACTCGACTAATTTCGCGCAGCGTTGCAACGGGTGCCAAACGTCAATTCTCAAGCAGTTTGTCGAAATCTTCCGCAACGGGCAAAATCAGCATTGGCACCCGGAGTGCTACATGATTCACAAATACTGGAACGTGCGCCTACACTCCACTGGACAGCCAATCATTCAGGCCCCGGCAGAATCCGATGGGGGAGCAACGGATGAGGTGCGCGAGCGTGTGCGCAAGCAAGAAGAAGAGATAGAAGCAAAAGTCAATTGGATATGGAAGACTCTGTCAGCATTTGAGGAGAAATCAGCGACGTGCATATCCGACATGCTCCTCCACGTCAGCAACGGCGCCTATGTGGACGGGGTAGTCGCCGCCAAGAAGTTTATTGTCCACATCGAACTCTTGTTCCTCGCCGCGGACGATCTCGATGCGCAGCTTGTCGCCAACACGCCAAAGGGCCTCACGTATTCGCGAGAGTCGAAATTGCTGTGCAAGAAAGTTGTAGCCTTCTTTGCGCTCCTCACCCAGTCGCAGGGGACCGGGGTGCGACGGCTTGGCGTCACCCAGGAACTTCTCTCGCTTGTTACCGGGCTCGCTCACTACCTCAAGCTACTGATCCGAATCTGCCTGCAGGGGGCCCTGAAATTAGAACGCGAAACCAGGAGTGCGAGCGGGTTGACGAGTTTCCTAGCCCAAGTTAACTCGCTGGATGCCCGCCTGGAACAGGAGGCCGAGAAGGACCAAGCAGCCGAATCTGCTGTCCTCGTCCCGCGATGGGCAGACGCATGTCCAATATGCGACACCCAGGTGGAGGACAAGTGCTTACACTTGAACAATATGTCGTTCAACTACGGCTGCATGGTCTGCCGTGGTTGTGGTGCTGACCTGCGCAACGACATCAAGAATGCATACTGGAGCAAGTCGAAACAGCGGGTATTCTGCCCAGCATGTGCCGCCGCCCAGCCAGACGCGGAGAGCGGCTTTGTGCATGTAACCAAGCTCCGCCAGTATGTACACTTGCTAAAGGTCGCCCATGCTCGTCTCATGGCTACGCTACGATCCAGCGGCGCGCTACCGCACACGTCAGGTACGTCACACTTTCATCCGCCATCGCGCATCAACGCCTCCTCATGCCATATCTTGACACGAGCCAGGCATTCCGCCGCGACTCACAAGGTTATATTCCCACTAACGTGCTTCAGATGACCCTAATCTTGCGGCCTACGACTCGTCTCAGGGACATCGCCTAGGCGACGCTGCTTCGGACCTCCAGCCATCTCATCCGCGGCAGGAGACTCGCTCGAAATCGTTTGGAGGATCTTCCGCCAACGATGCCCCAAGCAACCCCAACGCGACTTACGAGCAGTCCATGTCCGACGTCAGACGGTTACGATCGACCCGGTTGGATAAACATCTCTCGAACACCATGAAGCGTGCCCGCGCATCGAGGATCATAGACGGCCCTGAAGCCATGGAAGCCGGAGGGGATGCGCACGCTCGAGGGAATATGCAAATCGTCCAGGAGCGTGAAGCCCCTGGTGATGCCGACAACGTCACCCTCGCGGTCAATTCTCTTGCATTAGACGATATCGCCCGAATGGCTGCGCTGGAACAGCAACGAGAGCAGCGTCCGAATGCCTTCCGTGCCGGCGGAAGCGCGCTTCTTGGACAAGACCAACCTAGGCTCATCAATGGTCACCGGCGCGACTTTTCGGGAGGGCAACCTACACCTGAAGGAAGACCGCGCACCTACTTCTCCGAGCTTTCTCCGCTAGAATACTTCAAATTGAAGGGGCTTGCCGTGCTTCAACTTGGTCTGCTCCTTGACGAAAATCAGTATAACCAAGGCGATCTCCTCGATCTCATTGAGACTAAGCGATCCAATTTCTGGGGCAAAATTGGCTTCGGCAAAGCCTTCAAAACCGACAAGAACAAGCCGAAGAAGGGCAACTCTGGAGTCGAAAAACCGGTCTCCGAAAAGGCGACATTCAGGCAATCACTTGAGCTTCTCGTAGAGAAGTACGGCGCCGAGTCCACAGATGGCGTTGGTCCCGGTACTCTGAGGGTTCCCGCGTTGCTCCAGGATGCCGTTACTGCGATGAGGAGCATGGATATGTCCATCGAGGGCGTGTTCCGAAAGAACGGCAATCTCAAAGCTTTGCGAGAACTGGAGGAGGAAATCGATGCCAAGGGCGTCGAGATGGTGGATCTCAACACCAAAAACCCTGTGATACTGGCCAACCTGCTTAAGCGCTTCCTTCGTTTGATGCCGGACCCGGTGCTCACGCTGAAGCTGTATCGCTTGTTCATGACAGCGAATGGTGCGTATATGTCGGTAACTCCCCCCAAACCTCACTGCTAACATGAACAGATATCCCGGACGACGCACAACGGAAGAAGGTTCTGCACTTGGTCTGTTGTCTGTTACCCAAAGCCCATCGTGACACCATGGAAGTCTTGTTCTGCTTCCTGAATTGGGTCTCGTCGTTCCACACGGTCGACGAAGAATCCGGCAATAAGATGGACACATGGAATATCGCCACTGTCATGGCTCCGAATATTCTACGAGAGAATAACGAAAAAGAGATGAAGAGCGTTGATCAGGGTGCTGTCAAGGTGGTTTTCGACTTGATTGAGAACAACGATGAGTTCTGCGAGGTAAGTAAACCCAGGCTCTTCCCTTGATCATCCTAAATTGCTACAGGTGCCTGAAGAGATCGTCGAGCTTCTAAACGACGACGGCTCGCCCGAGCTTACTCCAAAGGAGATCATGAAGCAGTGGGAGCAGCGCGGCAAGAACCCGAGTGTGACCGCACCCACCTCTTCGCCGCGGAACCCATCAGGGGCGTCGTCGAGAAAGGATCAGCGTAACGCTCCGCACATCACGCAGGCCGACCACAATCCCCAAGCGTGGTCAGGCGAATCATCAGTACGCCACGTTGCCGGAGCAGGCGGCCACAGTCTTGGACCGTCCAATACTCACAGCACCCCGCCTCAACATTACGATCTAGGTACTCCGAATCTCCCGTACAGCCAGGCTGCTCCTGGATCGGCCGAGAGTCATCGTACCGGATCGCCTCATCGGCACAGTTACCGTTCGCCCGCATTCCAGAAGCAGACACAGCTCGGCACTGCTGGCGCGGGATGAACGACGACTTACACATTTCTGAACATTGGAGTGTTCTGGCGTTGGTCTAATTTCACAGTTCCGAAACATCGCAAAACGATACCAGCGAGCGCAGATACCATTCTCGAGCGACAAAACTGTTTTTATGTACGCCTGGGCAATACCGGCCCATTTTTCGCACCCGTTACAGAGCGGCTTCACGACTGGACTGGGCTTGTTACGTTGGAAGGGATTCCCTACGACGGTTGCAGTCATATGCAGCATTTGGAAACGGCGTTCTGGGTAAGTGACAATGTCTTTTTTTGCGTTCTGCCATCTGCCTGTCATCTGCCGGGTTTGGGCGCTTTTGGTTTCTGGATGTGGCTTGGTTGAGTGGAGTGGTGGGCTGCACATGGGAGCATGGCCTGGGGTTGGAGAGTTTGATGGCTCCGCTGCATATGGAGCTGTTTTGGAGGTTGGTGTACGACTTTGGGTTGCGTTGAGCAGTAAGCGAGATTGGAGCTGGACAGTTGGTGGAAGAGGTCCGGCCATTGGAGGAGAGAGAGATTTTGCAGGCTGACATGCGCCTGGGTGGATAATGTGCATGGATTGGAGGTAATTGGAGAAGCCGTGAACCAGTTCAAAAAGGCTTTGATTTCTTCAATCGGTCGCTGCTGACCCTTATATTTTCTCACTATTCCCCTGCCATTCGTCGTCTTCCTCTTCTTGGCTCGTCGCTCCTTCCCGTCCTGTTTACCTTGAGCGGGGCGAAGTATTTCCGAAGCCACGGTGCAGTCCCGCGTCACCCACATCCCTCTTCCCCCTCACCTCACTTCGCCACTCACAAATACAGCTCACGTCAATGGCCTCGAGCGGCTTTAGTTCAGTTCGTGATCCGGCCCCAGTGCGGCAAGTCAGTTTGATCGAAGCAACTTGCATTTCTTCACCATCCTCGCATAGCCTGCTTACTGTAACGATGAATCCTGCCACGGCGAAACTAGCACTCAAGCTCCAGCTCGACGACATCGATGTGGTCCTCAAGTCGCTGCCGACCTCCAGCAGCGACATCCGCGCTAAAAACGAAGTGGCCGCCTTTAGAGCCCTTCGTAATGAGTTGGTGATAAAGTAGATGGAGGTGAATGGCCAGTGTGCCGCGATGAATATCCTAAGGGAGGAGCATGCAAATCGAATGGCATACAAGCGCTTGCTTGGCTAGGAGGGGCAGGCCGCGAGTAAGTGCAGAGAGTGTCGTGGTAAGCAACACACTAAAACCGTATCCAGACGACCATGAGATGACATGCAGGCTCGCTGGCCTCAATGTGCCTGCGCACGACAGCGAAAAGACAACCTGCAACGGAGTTGAATGGCGGCGTCACGGGGATACATGTGGAGGTGGATCTCGGCGGTTCGCAGACTGCACCACCAGATGATCGCCCTATCAAGAAAGCGCGCCATGGGGGATGATGCTACAGCACTGAGAGATAAACAGGATGGCCGCTGTAAGCGAGTGAAGACCGATGCCGCTGGACAGGGACTACCGGCTCCTCCGTCTACACTAGGTAAGGAAGCATCCAAGACAGGTCAATCCTTGAATAAGTCAATCGAGGAGAAGCCCGCGGAACTGGTTTCTGCCGAAGGGTCTAGTAGCAGCAAGGACAAAGGCAAAGCCAAAGCGGCCATGCAAGCCGTGTGCGCCTCATGTCTTGACTTCCACCAGAAATTCGATGTCCTCGAGCTTGCATGCAAGAGCCCGGAAGAATTCGAGAAGCACGCCTACTGCCGGGAATGCCTCGAGGGACTCTTCGACTCATCGATTACCGATTCGAGCATTTTCCACCGCGTTGCTGCTCCAAGATCATTCCGCTGTTCTCGTGTACGCCATTCCTATCCAAGGAAACGATTGTCCGCTTCATAGAGAAGAAAGACGAGCTGGACACGATCAACCACACATATTGCAGCCACCCGAGCTGTGCAAAGTGGATCAAGCCCGAACACATCGTGGCCGAGGTCGCAACGTGCCCAGCGTGCTCGCAGAAGACATGTGCTACATGCAAGGGCAAGCAGCATGCTGGTCCGGTGAACAATGCTCGTCCAGCGAACAACAACCACCACCACAATCGCAATCAAAATGGAGGCCTGTATGAGCATCATAATAGGAACCACTACGCCCGCCAACGCCACGAGTGTGACTTTGGGCGCTACTATTAAAACGATGGTAAACGACACGACGTACGATTTCTGCGGCGACGAGCTGCATTGGATCTTTCATTGCGAGAGGTGTGGCATGCAGACTTGCGCCAGGTGCCGTGATCATGAGTACCTAATGAGGCTTGGTGAAATGTTCCAAGCTGAAGGACACTTGTGAGAAGAAGATGGATCCTGCGTGGTGGGCTGTTTTCCGTTCGTATGAGGTATGGATATGGGGGAACCACAACGGCGGTGGTGATATATGTGAACGTGCCTCGAGGGAAAAATCGATAGTCGCATATAACACACCTACCCCTCTTGCAGCACAAAACTAAATCTACAACACAAATATCGCTCACACCCCCCTATCTCCAATCCCACTCCACCACAATCCTACTTCCTAACCGCCACAACAAACAACCGCGGATACCCCAACATCACCCTCCCATCCGCCAACGCCGGATACGCCCCCCGCAACCTCCTCTCATACTCCGCCAAAAACCCCCGCCGCGCCGCCTCATCCCCCTCCGCAATCCGATGCACGTACGGCTGCAGCCCCGTGCCCCGCACCCACTCGACGATCGCCCCCGCGTCCGCCAGCACGTGCTGGTACGTCGTGCGCCAGATGTGCACGCAAGCCGCGTGCGGCGCGAGTGCGTTGTACCATTCGCGCGGCGATTCGATGGGGTCGAGATCCGGGCGCGAGGGGTTGGATAGGTCGCCGATGCCGGAGGTGGCGAAGTAGGGGAGCCAGGGTGCGTCCGCAGCGGCTGGTGCTGGGGTTCCTGGGGCTGTGTCTGGATCTGGGGATGGGGATGGGGAATTCAAAGCCGTCTCCCGCATCAAGCGATGGCTCGGCTCGTCGTAGTTATCCGGGACCTGCAGCGCGACAACACCGCCGCTCTTCAATCCCTCAAAAAGTCGTACTAGCGTGCCAATGCGTTCCCCCCTCCTTAGCCAGTGGAACACCGCGTTGCTGAACAGCACGTCTGTCTCCGCGGCTGGGGCGTACGTCGCCAGATCCCCCGCGACAAAGTCCACGCCCGGCAGCACGGCGCGCGCGCGCGCTAGCATGTCCGGCGACGAGTCCATGCCTGTGAGCTGGGCGCCTGGGACCGCGGCGAGGAGCGCAGAGGTGGACGTCCCCGGGCCGCAGCCTAGGTCGTGGATTATGGGGGATTGGGTGGGGATGTAGGGGAGCGTGCGGGAGAGGAGGTCGTGGATGGCGAGGGTGCGCTCGGGGGCGAATTTGAGGTATTGCTGGGCGGACCAGTCGGGGGGAGTGGGCTGCGTGGGCTGGGATGGAGGGGTGGAGGTGGAGATGGAGGTGGTGGGCATGTTGGCCGTCCTCGTGGGGGTGGTGGTGTGGAAGGCCTGGATGCGGTTGTGGCGATGGTTGCGGTGGTGTTGGCGAGAGATACTTCGGTTTGCCGATGCGGCTTGAAAGGGTAGAGATAGAAGAAGACGGAAAGATAGAGGTATGACAGCACGTGCGGGACGGACTGAAGCAAATAACGGGATGGAGGCCTCGGGCGTTGAACGAAGGGTGTGGAGAGAGCGCCGGGCTATCCTCATCTTTCTGGCATCAATTCTCGGCGTCGGGTCCGAATGATCCTACCAGCGCGTAAGGCTACTTCCTTGGAGATGTATATGGAAATGCTGAACTGTGAGACTAGACGTTGGACGCGACGGGACGTTAGAGGCCGACGGGTGAGGTCGTCGGTAGGGCTGGCCAATCAGAAGCAGCGAGTGGGGCAGTGCGGGGAGTTTTCTCGCGCCCTTTCGGTCCGCGTCCGGCTAGCACTCAGGGAACATGCACGCAGTACGGTGATAAGACGCTCGAGGCGTCTATCAAATTGCGAGATGCTTCGTAAGAGCCAGTTGTATACCAAATGCCTTCTCGCTCATCTCAAGACTCCGCATTACATCCACATTTTCGTAAAATCAGGTTGTATAGTAGTCGATAACAAAGCCCCTCAAGCTTAGATACTACCAAGCTTACCCGCCGTGATCTCCGGATGGCGCGTTATCTCGCTGCTATATTCCAACGGCTGCGACGGATCATCCGGAATGCGGACTCTCCTGCTCATAACCTCAACCATCAGGCTGTCCAAGTCTTTGTCATGGACGCGCGATCCATCGCCCTTATCTAATTAGCTCTCTATCCGCCTGGTGGAAAACTAGGTAGAACGCTTACCGCAAAGACGTTCCAGGTCAAGCTGCTCTTCAAGTACGACACAACATCACTGGGATCTAGACTCTCTAGCTTCCCGGCTTCGATCTGGTCCAGCAAGCTCGCTGTCAAACTGACCGTATATTCCACAGTCCGTGCCAGCGTACTCGTGCGCTTCGCCTTACGCGCAGCTCGATGAGCCTCTCGCGCCTCGTTAGCATGGTCTGATGGCATGAGCCTTATCCATCGCCCAACCTCAGCGGTAGCACTCGAGGAGAAGTCTCCTACGAGCGAGAACTGGACCTGGAAAGTAGGTGGGAGATCTAGGTCGGAGGCAGTCGCTTCGATAGTCCAGTCAGTGAAGTAGTCGTCGTCTTGAAGCAAGCGTGTGAGCTCTCCGCCGGTCTGACCAGTACTCTTTAGTCTGCTCCGGGCGCTGGAACCGTAGTTCTTCGCGATGGTCGCATTCACTTCCACGCGCAATGCCTCGGCAGAAGGGTAGTTCCACCACTGTAGCTCTGGATATGTGTAGCCGAACACGCTGGTATTGCGAAGATCGTTGGAAGTCCAGAACTCGTCTTCGCGCTTCCAGAAAGGCGAGATTGGCGTGTCTGCAGTTACCTTTTGGTTTGGAAAAATGACGAAAGTTCCTTCCGGGCCAGCACTCTTGGGCATGAGCCAGCGATCGGGATTCTGGGCCTGCCATAGCGCAAAGAGACGGTCGACCTGCCTTTTGCTGCTGTTAGCAAGTGGTATATTAGAGGAGAAGGGCGCTTACGCATGATGAAGCATGAACAGTGGGTCAAAGGCCGAGTACTCGATAGGCCACATGTTTCCCTCATTTGCCCCATTCCCACCGACACAATAATGTATGTAGCCGTGAACGGCCTCTAACTTCGAGCTGAAATCGTTGAGTGTTGTCGGCACGCTATATCCGAGGCTTAATTCATCGTGACAATCTCGTCGCTGCTTCTCGAAGCATTGGATGAAGTTTTCGTTTACTGATGGTGCATTGGGCTTGTTCGATATTGGCCAGCGAAGTGTAGCGTTTGTGGACGCCCACTGCAAACCGGTTAGTGCTTGATCGAAAACAACCTCACGGTGATACCGACTAACCTTGCCGTCAAAGTCTTGTGGATTCACCGGATGAAACCTATACTGGAAAAGAGGGTTGAAAATGGTTTGCGTTTCTCCAGTCCCCGGTCGGATTACCTGGATTTCCGGGTTCGTGAAGAAGTCCGGGACAGGTTCATTGCTCTCGCCCAGAGCCCATTCCCAGTACGGGACACGGAACAAATCTGCTGCGATGCCCCAACGTTCTCGCTGGTCTGCTGGAGCTGAGGATGCTATACGCTGAACGTGACCATAGAGTTCTTGCTAACAAATGGTTAGCGCGTCGCTTTTATACTCTTTTTCCGGGAAGAGTCTTGAGGGGTATTCTGTTGCTGTACCTCAAAGAGCGCTAGATATGCTCGGTGCCAGGTCAAGAAGAGTGGGCTCGTATGGGGGCAATAGTTGCGCGCGGTGGCATTAGGCGCACCCTCCGCCTCCTGCCAGACCTCAAAAGGTTTGCCATGAATACCTCCGGAAGTCAGCGCTGAGCCCCTATGGTATTTTGCAACTTTGGCCTACCTGCAATGCGGTAGAAGGACAAGGGGTCACCCTGATCGACCGCGTGGAAAGCTTGCAGCCCAAGAAGATAGAGATTCCATACGTCAGGGAAATTGTTCTTCAGATCGTGGATTTCTCGTCGGATATACACGCGTTCTGTTCTTTATCAGATGGAGGATTCCTCATGACCTAGGGGAGGGCCTACCATTTCTATCGCCCTCGAGCCTTGATATTCCCACTGTAAGATGCCTCCCGGCTACATTGGTGATCACAGGTGGCACCGGACCGATGGGGGTGCAGGCAGCGAGTGTGGCGAGGAGGACGGTGAAGAAGCACTTGGCGAGCCACATGATGTTGAGTTGAACGAGCGTAGAAGAGGGTGAAGACCTGCGGTAAGAGCGACCTCGGGGGTTGGCGGATTCTTAAATGGAAGCTGCAGACTTCGATGGTTTAGATGAGGAATCAACCGGCGTCAGTGGATAACGAGCGAACAACGCCTGGTGTAGTTGGAACGAGAGTGGAGGCGTATCGCGAGCGAATGGACTGAATCGAACTTTGCCTGTGTCGCGTCAAAACTTTAGCGGGACGAACGCGAAATTGGCGCGATTGGGAAATACTGAATGTGACGTACCTATGAATGGCCTAACGACGGCAACTACTTCACCGCCCATGAATGTGGAGACGCGAGGCGTTGAGTGAAAGTTTGCTGAGGCTGCTGGTGACGTGGTTGGCTCAGTCGTCCCTTCCTGTTCATAGCGCGTCGTGGCTTCCTCAGTGGAACTCGCACAAGGCGATGTTATCGCAGCTATTCTTCCACGCGTTGTGTCGCGCGGGCTTCCGCGCGGCCACTCACTCGCGCGACCTACTCACGCTGCTGTTTTGCCCTCATTTCGCACGAAAGGGTTGACAGAACTTAAGCTGGGTATCGCTTCATGCCCACGACAGTGGTCCGATAGGAAGTGACAGGCTACAGCGGGGCTGCGATACTGTGAATAGAAGCTTGGCACAATGGACGTTGTACGATCGGACGATGGAGTCACAGCAGACGTGGTATCACGGCACCACGGTACCACGGTACATCGCTTAGCGGGTACGTGCATGGTCGACCTTGGCCCCAGAGAAGTAGAAATGCGGGAAGATCCTGTAGGGCTGTTGAAGGGTAGAAAAGGCAACTATAGATGGAAATATATAGCTCGGGCGGCTAAAGCAGAAGGAGATACCAAATTAACCAGCTTGTGAGACGCTTTGAAGGAGAGAACTGGGAAATGGGTATTGCAACCGATATTTTGAGAAACGGGAGTTATATAAGGGTAACTTGCCATCGGGAAGCTAGCCGCAGTTAACCGTTTCGTGCATCCGGGCGTCCGCTAAGCCTCGTTAATACGGCGACCGACGCTTAGGTCGTGATTCGTGACATCGTGTAGCTCGTGAGATTCGACCGTCGAGAATCCACAGTACCACCTCTTCACCGCAATCAGATATCGTTGTAGCCCAGGAACCTCTTTTGCATTCCCTTGTCAGCGACTGCCCAAGCCCAAGCGCGACCAGCCTCGCCGCACCACAGAGCCGAAGGGTCATCCGACTTTTCCAACATGCCGTCTCTTGCCATTGACTTGATCTCATGGCCCGTAGTATAGGTGAGGAAATGCTCGAATTGCTCGCCTTCCAGCGCCAGAGCATTGCCGCTGATGCCGTGGCATAGGCACGGCTCTTTCGTTAGTAGTCCCCTTTCCCATATGCACTCCCTAGCCTTTGAGATTACCCGGTCGATACGATCCTCAAGCCCCGGGAAGTACCTCTTGATTGAAATCAGCGAGGACACGACCCCGGGTGCGCCGTGACAGAAATGAACGAGACGGTCGCGTCCCGGTGGGAGTGACGACGGGAAGTTGCCGCTCTCATATTGATAGCTGAGGAGCGCGCCCAGCTCAGCCTCGAGCTTTGGTGCCGAGGAGGGGTCGGTGAGGACTATTTGAGTAATGATTCCAATGGCACCATGGACCGCTCCAACGTATGCCTTGCCGTGCCATTTCCAAGGGCGGGGGCTGGCCATGATATTGTCAATCACCTCGTCGGCGGTGTCTTCGATGAGCTCCGTGACATCTTTGTTGTCCGCGAAAGCGCCCCTAACCAGGCGCAGGAGGTACAGATAGCCTGCGCGTCCATAGAGCCACTCGTTGGACGCCTCCGGGTCAAGGGTCTCCGCGGCAAAATCGCAGAGCTCCTTGACCGTGTCTGGATCTTTGGCGGTCACAGCGTACAGGGCGAGGAGGGACATAATATCGTCGCTCACACCGCATTTGCTTGGGGAAGGCCCTTTGTATTGCTTCATGTGGGCTTGGGCCTGCTCAATGTAGGCTGCGGACCACGTGTTCATGGGATAGTCGTCGAGCAGCAAATCCGGGTATATTCTGTGGAGTGCGTAGAAAAGATAGGCCACTGAAATTGGTCCATAGTACAGGCCTCCGCCAGGTGGAATGTGATGAGGAGGGTATTCGGTAATGAGCCGGTTGAGAGATGCGAGGAGTTGCTTGTGAGGGTCTCTTCGCGACAGCTGCGTGTCGTTCCGAAAGTAGCGCGGAATCGAAGCGGGTGCTCCTTGCGCCGCTGCAGCTTGCTCTGCCATGGTGGTAAAGGGTTGCCTGTGGTCGAGTGAGGTTGGAAAAGAGGCTCTGGAAAGGCGAGACAAAAGGTCTTCTAGCCGCCGCGCTCAAAAATGACGTCAGCGGGGTCGGCCAGGTTGCAGCGCGCTGGAAGGTCGTAAGTTCGACAATAAGATGAATGTGTATCTGTAGCAGGAGTCGGAGTGATGAATAGGTCGGCAACTATAAATCTTGGAAGGTGAGCGTAGACGAATGCGCGATGTCCGCGTAGCCTGATCTGTAGACCCCTGCAGTGCTAAATGTCACGTGATCTATTCCGTTATTCAGGGAAGTAAAGGACTGAGCTATATTGATGTTTAGACCTGAGTTCTTATAGGTGATATTAAATCGCCTCGTTTACCAAATTCTAATATACATTGTTGATGAGCACCCGGGCTGCTGTTTAAACTCCGCTCACGCTTTGGAGTTGCCGAGACTAAATCCATATTCGGACAAACATATGAGAATGTGAGTCCTATCAGAGCTCACTATATGCCATTACTCCTTCTAGAGCCCATAGTACCCCACACAGAAGCAGAAGCGTCCGGCGCCCCATGAGGCTGGGAAAGCCTAGAGGAGGGATTTCGGTTGCCCAGAGAATGGTACTGCGCCCAACTCAATACATGATCTTCCGCGCCTTGCCCGTGACGCACCCCTCTTGAACCAGGTGTATCGCTCGATGACTCAGCAGTCCTGGATGGATCGGGCGTAGCGAATGGAGCATTCCTCTCGGTGGCTGGGAGCTCGGGAATGCTGCCAAGCGGATCAACGCTTGCCTCAAATTTCGGAATGACCATAGTGCTGTCGAGCTGCGGTACTGAATCGCCCCTTGCGCCTTCGCTCCTAGAAGCGAGGGCTTTTATGTCGGAACCGGTAGTCGTCGTCGTACCTGTATCACTGTTAGCTGCTGGTTGAAACACAGGTTTCCACAGAGACCCCACCAGTCAGGTGCTGCGACATATCCGTATCCGGGTATGGAGGCGGAAGAGTCGCGCGCCGTTGATTTTTCATCTGATTCTTTCGCCGGAAAATATAGAGAAGGAATATGACTGATGCGAAAACAGCAACGGCACCGACTGTACCACCCACTATTGCGCCGATGCTAGTGCTGCCACTCTCATCCCCATGCTCATTGTGCGGTGTTTCCGTTGTCGGAAGGGACTTCGAAGTTGAGTCGGGAGGCACCGTGCTGAACACGGTGTGACCACTAGAGACTGAAGTGATAGTCTTTATACCGGAAGATGATATGGGAGTAGCAGACTCGGTTGTGGTCGCCGTAGTCGCCGTAGTCGCCGTAGTCGGTGTGAGAAGTGCGGTCGAAGGAGTGCCGCTTAGTGAGGTGTCTGGAGATAAGTTCAGTAGCTGCGTCGTCAATGGAGGCTTGGTTGTGCAAAGCCAGATGCAAAGGGGATGGAGCGCATCTTCGGTTCGAGTCCAAACGCGCTACGAAGCTTTCGTATACACTTTGACGTTGGCCCCCGGGCGCTCAATTGTCCGGATACTTTTGACAACATGTATCTTAATCGAAAGCACATTCAGCCTGGTGGTGGAGGGAAAATGGCAAGATTGCGACGCCTGTGTAACTCTGGGAGGCTAGTGGGACGTACCAGTACGCGGTGTGCGATCTTTACCGACTGGACAGCCAGAATCGCATGCTGGGACTAGACAGCAACCTGACCAACCGCCCCAGGCTCCTGAGCATAAGTAATATACCCCGCCGTTGGTGCAATCTCGGTATTCGCGGCCGTCGATAACGACATGCATGGCGAAATCTTCGGAGTTTGTCGCAGTGACGAGATGATGGGGTTTGTAAAGGCCTCGTAAGGGACGTCCATCGTTTTGAGGGTGACAGATTGCAGTGCCAGCGAAATGTCTGCGCTTGTGTCATGAGGCGGGTGTGGCATGGGCAAACAAGCCATTGCGCCTTGCATGCCGAGCCGTGACGTTTCGCTGAACCGGGTGACACCTCGGGCCACCTGACAAACGAAATACGGCGGGTTCAAAATTCAGCAAGTAATACTACCGTCGTCGAAGCGTAGAGAGAATAGGAGCATACGGGCGTTATGCTGGAGTTCGCGAAATGTCCCGGGAGTTCTCCTCACGGTTAGATCCCATCTCACCCGATACGATAGACTTGCTTCTGGCCCCAGGGAAACGGCAACGGAAGTGTGGGTACTTGGAGTCACGAGGGACTATGCATTTGGTTTGCGAGGCGAGGCGGGTTGTAGTCGAGGGATGAGACGAGACGAAAGGAAACAGAAGGAGGCTGGAACTCGCTTAATTCACCAATCAGCACTTCAGGCGCCTCGGCTCCACTGCGCTTCCATTTGAGATTGTCCCGTCCTCATGCTTCAGCTCGCATCAAGCATCATCCGCATATTGTCCCACGCGATCGAGATCATCACAAATAAGGCAGGGCGACGCCTAAATGCGGCGCCGGCCCTACATTATGGCATCACTAACATCATCGGCATGCCTGGGGGCTTCAAAGAAAGGTTAAATTTGGGCTACATTTTGTGCTAAACCCGCGAGCTAGGTCAAGATCATCCCCCTTCTGTCAGTCCTTCACCGTTCTCAGAGCCGGTAGACCAGCTTTTCAGCGCTCACCGGATTCATCCATTCCTCGGCCCTCTTCGTCTGTCTTTCTTCCATTTTCCCGGCTCCAAGCAGCCTGTAGCCGTCCTCAACGACCCTTTCCAGACCGCCAGGCATCGATCTGATAGGAACGGGCTTCAACTGTGAGCCGACAGCACTGCTGAGCCACTGATAGAACTCCACGGCGAATGCCCGTGCTGCAGGCGACTTTTCGATAGTAAAACCTTGGTACTGGACTTCTTCGCCAAGGCCTTCCCAGACCGCACCATATATCGGCTCGACAGGGAGTTGGCCAGCCTTCCAAGCGCCTCCTGCGCGCGATCGGACTATGGCGCTCCTTCCGTTGCTGGCTAAGATCGAGGAGACCCTTTCGACTGAACTGCCCTCCGATATGCAATCGTATGCGTAGTGCATGCCAGCACCCTCAGACAGCCTCCGGATTTGCTCAGGCCAATCTCCGTCGCGATAGTCAACAAGATGATCGTACCCATATGGCTCGGATCTTAGCATCTCCCATCTCGCTTTGCTCGCTGCTCCGAACAGCCGAACCTTCCTGCCATTCGCTCTTCCGCTCAGTCGGATCATTTGGGCTGCGTAGAGACCTACTGATGTCGAAGCTCCGTATACGAAGAAGTTAATGACGTCCGCCTCCCCCTGATCTTCCATTCGACCCGCAGCCCGTTCGGAATGTTCACCCAATACCTTCGCTTCATCGTATGCGAAAGGAGCCTTCAACCCCAGGCGATACCACATGCCCTGCGCAGCGGTCAAAGCTACCAGACTGACTCCGGCCGCTTCTTCAATCCCAACACTCTCTGGAACTTTCCACACGAGATCCCAGGGTATAGCGAGATATTCCGCGAATGCTCCCGGCCGGTCATTGACACTGCATACCCCCTGCAAGAATCCCGAGACGCGGTCGCCAATCTTGAGAGTATTGGAGGCAGGGATATGAGACCCAAGTTCAGAGACGATTCCTGCGAAATCACTCCCGACCGTGCGGCCCGACTCTGCCAGGGGGTGAGCGACGTAAAGAGGATCGATAGGGTTGAGCGATATCGCCTCGACTTTCACAAGGATCTCGTGCGCGCCTGGTGAAGGCCGGGGGATGTCCTGGACGTTCGCTGTTCTGTTTTCTGCATCGAGCACGAGGGCCTTCATTTTGATGTCCGGTGTCGTCGTGGCTTCGGTTTACGGAGTGGTCTGGATATGAGTCTCGATCTATCCACCCCTCACATCCTCATTGACTTTATACTGCAATGCGTGTAAGGAGCTTTGATAATCACGGACGATTAGTAAGACTGGCAGTTGACGGCTTACGAACCCGTCTCACGCCCTCCGACCTAACGCCGCGTATCGATGATTGAACCGAGAGAAATCCGAGCGAGCCCATCATCAAGTGTCAGCATTGTTGATTCGAAGCCAAAGATTATCATAATTACTATTACAATTATATGCGAAACGAAACAGGATTGTTCAGAGCAAAGGAGATGGGATGGCCGGACATGGAAATGTGCCGGATGCGGGCATACCCCCAAGAACGAAGAGTCTCAATCACCCCTGATCAGCACCTGCTTCTCCTTCTTCAGGTCCTCAACTACTTCAAGCGGAATCTTCAGAACAGCCGCCACGATGTCGCTCGGGGTGAGCGCGAGCCATTGCGTAAGAGGTATGTCGGCCACGCGATCGCTCTTGTAGATCTCGATCCATGTAAGGTTCTGCGTTTCCGAGGTGTTCTCGATGTAATGGCCTGCCGATGTTAGTATTACACCGTAGCTGGACTTAAAGAGTGGCACAGGCATACCGCTATTATCGGGGAAGACCGCAGTGTCGCCGGCGGAGAAGTCAAACGTGCGGGAGTTCCCTTGGCCGATGAAAACCGTGGCGCGGGCTTCGCCTTCATGGAAGTAGAGCCATTCTTCAGCCTTTAAAAGTGGTCAGTTTTTTGCTTGCTCCATTACCTAGACTCTTCCCACTTACTGTCGGATGCCAGTGCAACTCTCTCAACCCCTTCGGCTCAAGCACCACAAACGTCGCCGCAATCGTCTTCGAAATGGGGAAGTTGGTCGAATCGATCTTGTAAAAGAGGCCTCCGCCACCTCCTACTGGCTCTGAGTCATGCTGGAACGTATGATAGACGTATGAGCTGTTTCCGGTCAGCGCACCATTGCCGCCAGTAACGTTCCGCGTGCTGGTGGTGCTGTTCAGGATGTAAGGGTTCTTCTCCGGGACCTTGTCAAAAACGGACTCTGGCACTCCGAAGTTCTTCGCCAAAACTGATTTGGGGGTTCTCGCTACCCAGTCATCCAGGTTGAAAGTCGTCCTGGAGAACAATGAGTAAGCTGAAGTATATGCCGCTGTAAGAGACTCACCCGACTTTGTCGAAGTCGCCATCATCAAACACCAGGAGGAACTCATTTTCCGGGTCGAGTCCCTGCACGGTATGCGCTACCCCCTTTGGGAAGTACCAGATATCGCCATACCCCAGCTCTTCGACCTGGTACTGGCCGTTCTCGTCGACAGCGGAGATGAGCACCCGGCCAGCGTACACGAAGCCCCATTCAGCCTTTCATACATCAGCAAGCCACTCTAGCTGGAGGCAGTACGGTACAAGACTCACCACTCTATGCCAGTGGAGCTCACGGATGGCACCCTTCTTCAAGTGTTGCTGGGCGGCCGCGATATCATGGCTTTGTGGCAGATCCTGGATAACCTGTTCCCTTACCCAGCCGCCGTTGAAAAGCTTCGTTTTCGAGTCGGAAAACCGCCACTTGAGGTTGGGCACAGTTCCACCGTCGGTACCTTGTTCTCCTAGGTTGGACGGGTTCGCGAGATCCACCTGATGATTGGTGCCGCCTGAGTCCTGTTAGCGAGTGCCGATATTGTTTTAGCGGCCTCTGGAGAATCCACCGCATGGATCTCTCCAGCTGAACGAGCTGCTGCTGGACGTACCTAGGATTGGAGCGCCCTTCCCATCGGCATCAATCGGCTGCCCATCGTCGAACCGCGCCTCTCGTTTTAATACTGCCGCCGAAGTGGAAAACACGAAAAGAAGCGCGACGAGAGTATGCAGCTTCATTGGGCTATAGGAACGAATCGATACCTAGGAGCACACAGGAGCCTGTGGATCCCACCAACGTCTTCGGAGGACAATCTTTATACCTACCCTCGGCAACCCCCTGCATATACGCCGATGATCTACATTGCAGCACTTACCCCCATGTCCGGGTCGTCGCCGACCGCGTCAAAGGAGCAATCAATATGCTGGCAATTACCCGCTCCGATCCCGCGCCGGCATTTGATTACTAGGGATGCATGCGAGATCCGGCCACAGGACCTGCACATTTCATCTTCGTTCTTGTCGCTTCACCGTGAACGGGAATTCGAATTGATGATGATGGTCGGCGAACACCCGCCCGTAATCATCGCCAAGGATGTCGCGATGCTTGGCGTTATGGTGTTGCGGTTGCCGATCCCTACTAGAGTGGCTATTGCGTGGCTAAGCTAAGCTAAGCTTGCAGCGATCTGCTTTGCTATTAAGCTTAAGGATGGGGACGGGACAAAATGGTACGTGCTTTTTCGCTTCTTATGTTTATTTCATCATCCTCAAATCTTATTACGCTATGTTAGAGGAATCAGTCTGTAAGCTTGGCCGGGGACAGTACTGAGACCTACGGAGCCTATTAAGGCCGTCCAAAGGGGCTGCGCATCTTCTGAATCCACTATTTCCTTCGAGCACATGCGGGTTGCGTTGATGTGCCGTCTAATGGTAAGCAGGATTAGGTTGCGAGAAGCAAATAGTCTATGCCGCGCTTCTTTTACTCTTTTTTATTTCTGCTTCCGAACTGAGCTCTCTAATTTCGTTAAGTCTTTTGGTTTTCTGTTACACTCCAGGTTCCGAGCGGGGAGCCTTCTAGTGCAGTGAGGCAAACGGTCGACTTCCTGAATCCTTCTATCAGCTTGTTGAATCATAACTGTCAAATTTCGTCTCAAGAATGCGTTGTCTCTCAGTAATCTCGGTCCGCGCTCTAGTAGCAAATAACACCGCCATCGGACTCCAGGACGAGCCAGCGCTCCACTCAACAGCTCTGTGAGCGGCCCCATTGCCGTCGCTGGGAACTCAAAAGCCAAACGCGCCGTCGCAAGCGCAGACAGGAGGCTGTACTATCGCACAAAACGGGTATAATCCATGCCGAGTCCTTCCACTGGCTATTCGCACATCGACAAACGGTGGACCTCAAAGAAATCCGCGTTTCCTTAACTCAAATTCAGCATCTGCAACCGAAGTCGGTATGAACATTCTAACTCACCGCCACTCTACATTTCAGTACTCTGGCGAATCAGACCATAGGAGCGAGCAGACCGGTCGTACACTGCTAAGTGTACTTTTTAGTCCCACCTTCACTCGAGCAATGCTCCCTTGGAGCAAAATTTTCTGCTTCTTTGTTCACCTCTAGACATCCATTCACCCGCACACTTTCAAACCGCCAAACCTTTCCCTCGACCCTCATCTTCCTCAGAATCTTGACGCCCGCTGATCCAAAGAACCGCAAGCATGAGGCTCCTCTGCTTCATCGTGGCCGCCTTGCCAGCCTTCGCAATCGCCGGCCCCGCTATCCCAGACGATACCAGTCAGCGTAAGTAACCCCGACGAGATTTCATAGCCAGATCCCTAACACTCCGCGCCACCACAGCCTTCTCCGCTGCGAGCGCCACTACAACTGACACATCGCCCCCCGCCCCCCAAGCCGGCAAAATCATCCTCGCCATCGGCCAGCAGAAAACCAACGTCGGCACACTCTGGTCCTCCGCGCTCTACGGCGCCGTCTGGCAAGGCCTCGACAAGATCTGCCCGCCCGGCCGCTCTACCTGCCTACGGGACAGCCGCGGCGCCTACGAAACGCTCAAGCTGGACGTGCAGTACCTCGACGGCAACATCCTGCAATACGGGCCGTATCTCGAGATCCAAGTCCAGCAGACAAACCACCGCACGGAAGGCCTGCGCAAACTCATGATCGGCACGATCGCGGGGACCTTGCAGAAGAGCACTGAGGATGCGAAGAACTGCTGGGACTTTACGTATGGGTTCCCGCTGCCGCATCGCGGACGCCACTGCTTTGTTGGCCATGTTGTTGGGGTTACGGCGGGAGACAGCTATTTGACCGTGGGGATTCGGTCGAGGGGCGATGAGGGGGGCAAGTTCGATTGCCCGGCTATTCTCGAGCAGACGAATAGGTACCTCGACGAGCTCATGCCGGAGTACGAGCGCGAGCTGGGAGGCGGCCGTGTCGAGCGCGATGTCTTTTGTCTGCAGAAGCCTAAGCTGGCTGAGGTGTAGATGTCCATTTTCTACGACGGTTCCAGAGAGAGGTAAAGGATGGGTGATGCGGGTTAGGAGGCTTTTCGGGGAATATGAAAGGTGGAGGACGGAGAGTATGGTTTCAGTGTGAGACGGGCTCATAGTAGGTAGAGTACCGAGAACAGTGAACTAGGACTTCATATGTCTACTTGCCGCCTTGTCCCCACTTTAATACTGTCGATTCGAGTATCTACATGTCGAAGTTTTTACTGCAGTTGCAACGCAGGACGGGGTAGGCGAGGTCGCTGGCGCTGGCGTCAGATATAAGCGTTTCGGTGGAGAGGGAGTGGTTGTTAGTAGCAGTGGTTTCTTGACTAGAGAAGGGTTAGTCTGGTTTGATCCCTGTGGGCGTTGTTGCGGAATTTGACTGCGCGCGTGGTGGGGTGGAAGGAGTTTGGTGGGATATAGTTTAGCGTGAATGGGATAGGGGGATGTGAGTATAGGGGGCAGTTGAGACGGAGTGGGAGGGATGTGGACATTTCTCTAAGCCTCCCAGCTTAATGACCAGCCCAATTTAAGCTCATACCCCTATCTCAAACACAAACCCATCTTCCTCCCCCCACAACACCTCACAATCCCACCCCTCCCCCTCCGCACAAGACCCAAGCAGCCAGAACCAACACCTAGACACACTTCACATCCGCAAGCGCCCCTCCCCCAAACTCCCGTCCATACTCCGGCATAAGAGAATCAACATACTCCCTCGCACCATCAACAACAACCCCGCAGTCAAACCCGCCCCCGTCGCCCTTATCCTGGCGCGAAGAAATCCCCACGATCAGCTTGCTGCCCCCCGCAAGCACAGCCACCGAGTCGCCCACATTACAGTGCAGCGAGGTCCAGCTGTCCCGCCGCAGATTGCGGCAGTTCTCCGCGCTTCTCGTGCTGCGCTCCAGCGCCCCAGCGACAGACCCAATCATCAGCCTGCGCAGGGCCTCGGTGCGGTGGAACGAGTGCTCGACGATGAGTGTGAGGTAGGGGCCGTGGGCGAAGGAATCGCCCTTGTCGACGTACTCGAGCTCGATGGCGAAGGATTCGTAGGTGTGCTTGCCGCTGGTGGATTTTCGACACTCGGATTGGCCGGGCGGGCAGATGGAGTCGAGGCCCTTCCAGATTGTGCCGTAGAGGGCGGAGCCGAGCAGATTGCCGACGTTGCGGGCGAGGGCGCCGATGGCGACGGTGACTACGGTGTTCTGGGCGGAGGATATGGTGATGTTGGTGGCGTCCTCGAAAGAGGTGTGGGCGCTGGCGCGAAGAGCGAGGTCCGCTGCGGGAACGGGCGATGGAGTGGGCCCCGAGGGAGCTGGAGACCCGATTGTGCGCGTAACGCCTGCGGAATGAGTTAGAAAGCTTGATCTAGCGCTAAAGAGGTCGCACTTACTGAGGTTCGCGTCGCGCTGGTCAACCGGTGCGGCAAGGGAGAATGTCAGCGACGCCGCCACGTACAAGGAGATTAGTTTCATGATAGCTAGCTAGGCCGTCGAGAAGATATTCGAGAGATAAAACGCTCCCTGCTTAACAGTTCCGAATGTGCGTCGTGAAGAAACGTCGAAAAGCCGCGGAGACGCTTCTATATCCCCGAGGACTACGCCACGCTTCCAAGCTCCCTCACCCAACTATCTTGGCTAGGAGCACAGCTGCGGGGTAAGGGAATGTAAATGAGCAAGATATTCCGCTACTCCCCTGGTGGACGGGCGGGCGAGACAGCAGCGACCAGTTCGCGCTGTCAAGCTTTGTGCACTCGCCGCTAAGTGGACCGTGGACGTGCTACGAGGGAGAGAGAGCGCGGAAGAGTCATCCACGGGCACAGACTTGACACTACGATCGCAAAGTGCGCTCTCCATTTCCATGTTGCGAAAGCGGTAGATGTCTGCTCTCTGACGCCTTCTCCCGGCCTTTTTCTTCTGCGTGGATAGGAAATGATAATCACATAAGGGCGGGTTGGAATTGAATGATGCCCGGTGGAGGAAGAGCGCAAGAAGTTTCTATGATGAGTAGCTAGTCCCATATTCTGGGAATTGGAGTGTCGATTCGTGGAAGGGAGTTGGGAGGGGGCGCGGGCGGCGGGTTGGGGGGCTGGCGTGTCAGAGGACGCTTGCATAGGTCGACTAGCAGCACATATTACTGCAATGAACCGTGGTGTTAAAGTATCTTTCTAGGATTGGGAACCGCTTGCAAACACCACGCCTGGTGAGGGATGTGGAAGCGTGATAGACTGTCGCGGTTCTTGAAGGGTTGAGGACTAGACCCCATCCGGCATAGAGCTTAACCCTTAGCCCACTCATATGTACTCCTATCCTATCCCTCCCTCCTCTCCGCGCACGCCTCACAAACCCCATACATCCCACACCGCTCGCACTCACAATACCAGAGGTACTCCTTCTGACAGTCTGCACAGCGCTCCTTGTCGTCCTTGGAATTGTTCCGCGTGCCGTTCGCGGTGCGTGTCCAGTGGCCTCTGTGTGGGCATTCGTGGGGCGAGATTGTAGTGGACTGGGTGTGGTCTGGTTCCGCCACGTTTGTTGCGCCATAGGCATGGGAGTCTGCTGCTTGGATTGTATCCGGGTCGATGGGAGGGAGATTGGGTTGGGGGTTATGGTCTTCGTTAGGGCCTGGCTTGCTGGAATCTTGGATGCCTTGGGCTGTCTTGTCATGCGGACAGATGATGTCGTCAGGAGCACACTTTCCGCTGATCTGACCTGCCTTTCCGTCACAGAGGAAGAACCTACACGACGGGGCGTTCCCTTGGTCGGCTCCATCGGCTTTTTCTCCCCCGACCTCGCAGTCCACACAACGAGTGCAGTGTGTCTCCAGCATCTCGCGTGCGCAGCGCTTGAAGCAAGATTCGAGGAGATCCATGAGCTTATCCACGTCCTCGCAATGTTCGAACAAGGTCAGCTTAACCGTAGCGCGGACCGCCGTGAGCGACATGTGTTGTCCGCAACACCTGGGTAGCGAGCCGCCGTGGCTCCCTCCGAGTACGCTAAGGAGAGACTTCACAATACACCCGCCACAGTACGTGTGGCCGCAGTCCAGCGATTCGGCTCGAGTCTCCGGAGTGTAATGCTGGCATGCATTGCACATGGCCATGCCGTCGTCGTTCGGGCTCGGGCCTGCTGGGGGATCAGCTTGCGTTACGTTCTTCGCGAAGCTCTTCAGGAGCGGCTTTATATGCTCCTCGAGGGTTTCCAGAGGGTTGCATTCCGCGTTGTTCAGTAACTGCGTCAAGGATAGCCAGAGGGAAGGTGTTCCGGGATGGGCAACTCCTATTGTAGGCGTAGTGTCCTCTGGGCTAGATCTGTCATCCAGGACGCGGTCCGCTTCGGGCGCCGGCACTCGAGCCGGTGCCACGGGAATTGAGTCATCGGCTGGTTCTTCAGCCGAAACGGGCTGCTGATCTGGGCTTGAGCCCAATGCTTGCTGCAAGAGGCCGCGGGGGAAGGAACGGCGTTGGCGAAGCATTGGCTTTCGATGCGGCGCGAAAGAAACCTTCCGTGGAGGTCGACGCGGCTCCTCGAAGACCTCGTCGAGTCGTATGCCGCTGACAGCTGCTGTGGTTCGTCCACTATACGTGAGAATGGGACACGCTGATTCGATGCTAGCCGGTATCAGCTCGCTCGCTGGTTTTACGTGTGGCGGTGACGGCGATGAGGTTGATGAGGGGCTTAGTTTCATGGGCCTGCGAGCTAATGACCCTCCTGTGTCATTTTCGTCGCGGGCACGGTACTCGCGAGATGTGCGAGGCCGGTCAGGTTCTAGGCTTGGGCTTCTGCTTCGACTTCGTCGGCGCGCCCCTTCTGGGTTTCGGTAGTCGTCGATCCGCGGACCTTGTCGGCTTAGACGTGTATCCGACTTGGAATCGGGCGGTGCTGAAGCTGAATTAGGAGAATCCGGGGAGTGGTCGGTTTGCTCTGGGTCGTCATGGGCCATTGACGTACCTTGGAAGAATGTCTCGAGGGTGCCATGAGGGGCGATGCTCGAGAGATACGGCAAAGCCTCAGCAATGTCTGCGGTCGTGGGCGGGAGCAGGAGGGACGAAAGGCCGCTGAAGGGAGTGAGGTCTTGCACGGTGCTGTCCTGCGATCGCCGGCCGGTGCTCTTAGGGCTTGAGGAAGAGGTCCAAGAGCGGGAGGGAGTCGAAGAAGGGGGAGAAGTCGTACTCGGACTCTCTTCGTGGCTATCCAGAACGGGCGTCGTCGCGGTCGATGCCAGCAGCGCATCCGCATCATCGTCTGTTTCTCCTCTGGCCCTCTTGCGCTTCGGTCCGGAGTCGTCGTACTCGGACTCGCCATCATCATCCTCCTCGTCCTCATCCCCGCGCTTCCTCTTCTCCCCAGACCGCAGCAGCTCCAACTCCGGCGAACTCGGCGGTTCCTCATCCGACTCCAAACGTATCGGCGACGAAGGCGGAGACGAAGGCGGAGACGAAGGCGGAGGTGAAGACGGCGGAGAAGCCAACTGCGCCGCCATCGCAGCAGCCTGACTGCTCGGGAGGCGAAGCTGTCCGTAAGTCCTGCGCGTGGGGGCCGCCATGTCGAAACGGCAGTGCGGTTGAGCTTGTCCAGGGCGGGGGTTCCGATACCGTGATGCGGTGGTGGAGCTGTGTATATATACTGAAGCCGCTGACGCATCCCCTCTGGCGGAAACAGAGGGCGTGGACGCGTCTAGGACGCGTTGAGATTAGTCATAGGGTGGAGGGTGGAGGGTGAATTGATGGTTTTGGGGCCGCCGTGGTAGCTTTGTTCTTTTGGCTTCGAGTGACCCAAGTGCTGTGAATGCATTCATCTCATCCCACGCCACGCATGAGAGCTGAAACTTCCTTCCAACGCCTGAGATGAGTCGCTAAGTATACCTTGTATGCATATGCCACAATACCCAACAGAGCTGTGGGTGCAAGGAAGTATGCCATAATTCATCACTGCCTGGAAGCAAATAGCGCACCGCCCGTCCGAAGACCCTAGAGTTCATAGCCTGGGAACCTTAGCAGGTGCGAGGGGAAGGCCGCTGTTGAAGGAAGGCCGTGCAAAAAGAGGAAAGTTGAGTTGATTAGATTTGGACCTAGACAGCCCTCCCGCACGAAGTCCCCGGATGCGGATGAGAACTCGCCGCCAATTGACCACAAACCCACGTTTATTTACCCTAGTCTGATCGAAGTCCTGATGAGAAACTAGCTTTGGTCATGGATGTTCTCCCTCTTGCTGGAAAGCTTCCATCAGCCGTTGACTTGCTAGGAGCGTAGCTTGTTGGGCTTGAATCAGATCTGCCAGGGCTGCTTGCATGCTTTCACTTCCGACTTCGCGGCTGCCTCTGCGCATCATGTCAGAGAAGTCGGGCCTCCGAAGCATTTCTGCAATATTTGGCTCCGGGGATGAAGGGCGAGAGGCTGGAGTATTTTGGGAGGGTTGGGGGAATACCGCGTCGGCGGAAGGTCGTGCACTGTCCGCTTGAGCTGGTGCTGACGGAGTTACAATTTGATCTTCAGGAATGTCATAGCGAACTCCTCCCCCGCTTCGTGGACTATGCATGGATTGAGGAACAGCTGTTGACGATGCCTCTGGAGGGGGCACATTATCTGCGGGCGTAGTCGTCTCGCCGGGTGGTTGGATAGCCGGTGGCGAAGCTTTATTTGCATGCAAAAGCCCTCTGTATCGCGCGAGGGGTTCTTCTTCGATGCTCTTGAAGCGCTGGGGAATGTACCATGTGCCGATGCCGAGGACGGCAGTGACGAGGAAGAAGATCAAGATGCCCAAGGATCCCAGGCCGTAGGATGGGATGAGATCCTCCGTGTACATTCTGCCCAGGTATATCCCGAGTCCGACGAGGAAAGCGTTGAGGGCGATGTTGAGCAATGTCATTGGAACAGTGAGCATTATCGCAGCATAAGCCGAAGGGACGCGCCACCGCGCGTCGTAAATTTGCTTCAAGGACTCCAGGTGGCTCTGGCTGAGTCTTGGATGGTTCTCTGCCGAGTTGAGAATGCCTTCCAGCTTTTTGACCATTTGCGTGGTAGGTTTTGCCAGGAAATCTTTAATAGCGTCGGCATTGTGCAGGCCATGGAATGCTGGGCTGATGGCGCAGGAGAAGAAAACAGAGAGCGCGCCGGACACTAAGCTGACTACGAAGAAAGCCTCAGCAGTCCAATGGGAGTCCTCCACTCGTGTCAGTCCGATCGCGGTTATGGCAACCTGTGCTATGATGGCACCCTATTTTCATACGCTTAGTGGTGCTCAACATTGGAATACGGAATACCTACCGCAACACCTATCATGTTGAAGCTCGAGGTGTATGATTTCATGAATGCCACGGCCTGAACATCTTCTGCCTGAAGTACGTATCGCTCGACTCGATTCATTACCGAAAGCGCCTCCGGGAAGAAGTCTAAGATATAGGCGGTGAACAGTCCGTACTCGGCACGGCGGGCTGCACGCGCCGAGGCCGCCTTATTGTACACCTTATATACTTGAGATAGATGTTTATAACTGTCGATGGCCACGGAGGCGAGGCTGATTATCGCCCCGATGGTTTCGATACCGGACATGATGGCGGCGTTTGTCGCTTCTTGACCGGTATCTTAGAGAGATTGTTGTTCCTAATGTCGTTAGAGGATGAGAAGAAATGAGATGATGGAGATGGTGGGACAACTCGAGGAGGGGAAGCCGCAAGGCTGAGCTGAAATGAGGTTCAGCTCTCCATCAGCCCCGCTTGTTCAACCAATGGCTGCGGGAGCGGATGGGAGAGCAAGAGAAGAAAAGTGCAACCCGGGTTTCGTAGCGTGAAAGCGTATATATGCCCACGGTGTTATCTAGGTGCTCGAAGGAAGTAAGAGCAGTGCGGCAAAAGATCCCACAAGAAGTCGTGGGGTTCCGCATGAGATCTGAAATGTCGGCCTCTTGCGATCCATCCCAGGTCACAGCGGCCAAACTGCTGCTCGAACGTCGTGACTTACACAATAGTGTCTTCAGTACGCATATGCACTAGTGCGAGTGCAAACACATGCCAATATACGCGTACTCCATCGCTTCTGCCGTTAGAAAGGGATCGAACAGACTCTCCGCTGGCCCTTGTCTCCCCTATCCATACTTGCGAATTAAAAGTATCCAATGGAGACACGTATAAGCATTCGTTTCAGGTGCCGACTGAGACAAGTAAGCCACACCATATAGCTAAATATCAATTAGAGTGCCGTTCACTGTTGTTGTTGCACGGCAGGCGTTCGGTGGGGCTCGCCTCTCATCCGATCGCTCATTGGCCGAAAGCTTAGCTCGCCGTTAGCGCGGTTCGTCAGGGCCTTTGTCCGCAGGATGGTCCGCGCACAATCGGGCCGAGCGAAGGGCACACGCCCCGATTCCAGAAGTGGTCGTTGATGTCACGACGATGCGGTTCGAGCAAAGGCTGGTTTCGAAAGTTGGATTTGGGTGTGTTGAACTACGGTAATACTGACGATGGATACGGCGAATGAGCGAACTGGATGATGGTGGTGACTGGAAGGAGTTGTGTGTTCGCTTGCGCAGGTACCGTCCACGGGTACGTCAGCGGGTAGATCTGGGGTACATATGAACATGAGACGTGAAGGTTGGAGGCATGTCTTTTGTGATTCGACATCTTAGATCGAGGAGCTTAAAATCTCTGAATCCATTCGCCGAGCTCGCACCACGGACGTTTCGGCATCCATTCGTCTGCGAATCGGTACGCAAGATGTCGCCTAAGGACAAGTACACAGACCCCGAGCTGCGGGATCAGGTTAAGGAGGAGATTCATAATAGCAACAAAGGTGGCGCGCCGGGGCAATGGTCCGCAAGGAAGGTACGCCGGCCTACAGGCCTCCCCGCACCGTAACGACCTCTAATGGCGAGCGTAGGCGCAGATGATGGCCTCAGAGTACAAGAAACGCGGCGGTGGCTACACTACCGACAAGAAAGACAAAGACGAGAGCCAAAAGCACCTCGACAACTGGGACAAAGGAAGAGTGGCAGACGAAAGAGGGCATTGGGCACGCTAAGCAAGAGGATGGCACCGAGAAACGCTATCTGCCGAAGAAAGCTTGGGAGCAGATGAGCGAGAAGGAGAAGCAGGAGACGGACGAGAAGAAACAAGAGGAGAGCAGAGGGGAAGCAGTATGTTGCCAACACGTCCAAGGCCAAGAGCGCCCGAAGAATACGAGCAAGGATCAGGACGGTAGGGATGGTCAGGACGACAAGAAAAACGCCAAAGACTGCACTCAGCACTGGGAAGATGCTGTCCAGCAGGAGGGAGACTAAAGGGGATAACGAGACTTCAAGAAGCAGGACGGGGAAGCAGACGCCGCATCTCACGAGGAGAAGTCGGATCACTCGGGATCTGCTCGGAGCGGAGAGCAAGCGGAGCAGAAGCCCAAGATACGCGGACGGGGAGCCAATCAGAAGGGATCCAACAAGAAGCTAAAGCAGAAGAACGGCAGTTCAGACCAGCCCAAGGGCACTCCTGGAGACAAGACCCGCGTCCCCAAGAAAGGCCAGAAGGTGCAGTGGCACTCTCTGCCGGGCTATGTCGACGGGGAGGTTGTCGAGATGGTGTAGGAGGAGAAGACGGTACAGGGAAAGACGGTCAAGGGCAGCAAGGAAGAAGCCCGAATCGTTCTCAGGAGCAGGTTGTCAGGCAAGATCGCCGTCCATAAGCCCGAAGCAGTGTATTTCGACTAGTCGTCTAGCGGCGGGGGCGCTACGCTGTGAAAGGGTCCGGATACGGCTGCACCTTTTCGTTCAGCGTCTTCTGAGCGCACACGGAAGCCGGCAAGTGCGTCCGAAACTCTGACAACGTGCGTTGGCGTACCAACTGCGGCAAGCCGATGTAGGCGCTATGCTGTATCATAATGTCATGGGATACTTGTTTCAATAAGCTTACCAATTCAGTCCGGGGCTGAGGTGTTCTGCTGTGCTGCGTGGCGATTCTCGCGGGTACGAGGTGGTCGTCTGATGCTGCTGAGATGCTACTTCGGAATGGCGATGGCCGTTGGAGCAATAGCGTAGGTTAAGGAGGGCTTCCGCAGCATTCCACTGGATTCGGGGGCTTCCCGGTATCCAGTTTCCCCAGGTCTTGGGAGCGCGAATAGGAATGGGGCGGGGCGGGAATAGTAGAAAACAGCAGGGCCCCACAGGGTGATGGTTGGATGAGCCCAGCGGGCCCGCCTTGGGTGCAGCGTTAGCGGGTCTGGATCTCTTAGGCGGCCAAGCTGGAGACGCATAGGCAGTAGAGAATCGAGGTGCATGGTGGTGGATGCACGTTTGCCAACATGAATGCGGCGTTGGAGGCGGCCATTGGACGCGGACGAGGGCGATCTGCATGTCTCCAAAAGCGCGCCGCCAGAGGCCCGTTTCGCTGCAGGTCCTGCAGGTCCTGGAGAGCGCACTGTCTTCGCGGGGCTGCGTTGTTGCAAGCAATATGGGAGCAGCGTGTACTGTGTAGCGGACATGCCGTGCAACGTCCAGCAGCGCCCGGGGGTGTTTGCAAAGGAGGGGCAATGGTTCGACAATGGCGATACCCGCCGCCGACCGCTACTTCCCAGACGCACCAGCTGACGTGCAAAAGGGACGGAGCGCGCTGGTACGGGAGTTTGAAGATGAAAAACAGGAGACTCCGGCGCGAAGGCGGCCGGCTGTGGAATGACTGCGGGTTGAAGCGGGTGTGGCCGTTCGATGCTCAGAGAGGGCTGATTGACGGCGATGCGGCCGCGACATGCACGCCGCGGGCTCGTCTCGTACTCCCCCAAGCTGACTGAAGACATGGAGAGACAGCGCGGCGGGTTGGCGAGCGCAGCCGGGCTCCCCAGCGCTCTGGCGGCCAAGCAGGCGTCGTGCGTGCAGGCTGCGGTCGAAGTCATGCGCGTGGTGCGCGCTGCTGGTGGGGGGCGCTGTCGGAAGAATGCAGCTTACGGTGGGCGGTCAGACGCCAAAACGGCGCGCGCTTTCATCTCGATTGATTAGAGCAGAGCGGCGATGACGGCAGGTGTGGTGATGAAACACGCAAGAGGGCAGTCTGGCGGCCCTCGGATGGCGAGCAACAGGCCGCGGCCGCTTGGGGCAGGCGGCGGCCTGGGCGTGGATGGGCCATCGTCGACGGGCCCCGGCCAGCATCAGTGGCGCTTATCCTCGCCCGGCGCTCGTCTGTTTTTCCCGTGCACCGTGTGACTCCTGGCCGACGCGTGGGGACTCTCTGCCAGCTGGATAGCGCGCCGACTCTCGCCCGCGGTGCTCGCTGCTGCAGACCACAGCGCCGTCCTTGCAGCCCGCCCATCCAGAGGTCACGCAGCGCCCCCGCCCGCGCCCAATCGCCTTTGTGTGCGGTGCGCGACGCTCCATTCGCGCCCCAGGCAAGCGAGCCGCTGCCCCTCTCGTCACCTCCCGACCCGACTTCCTCACCACCGTCCCAAATTTTGCGACCCGGAGACGACCGCACACTCCCACCGCTGCTGCGTCCGCTGCCTACGCTCATTACCACCCCAATCGCTTGCCCGACCGCGCAATGCTGTTCCTCTAGGCCTGTCTGCGGTGGCCACGCCGTCGCTCTGCTCTCGAGCGCTCCCGCCGCCCGCCAGCACCGCTACCGCTCCAGCACCCGCCGCCTTCACGCACCCACGCACCGCTCCACAGCACCCGTCGCCGCCGCCATACGTCCACACGATGGTCCCGGGCGCTGCCTTCATATAACCCATCCCCAACCGGCCCCCGGGCTCACGCTCTTCGCTCTGTTGCTCCCGGCCCCGGCCACATTGGACGCCTTCGTCAAGACAAACCCTCACGATGGCCGAAGAAGCAAAGCCTGCCACCCTGGCCCCGCCAGCCGTCACGGCACTGAAGAATGAGGCCGCAGCAAACAGCATGCAGCGCGTCCAGATGGAGCGCACCGTCAGCGAGGACATGCGCGTCGAACGCGAGGACCTGAAAGAGGCTGCCGAGCACAGCTTGAACGTCATCATGGACCTGGGCTTGGACGGCAAGGTCCGCTATGTCAGCGAGTCGTGGAAGGAGGTTGTGGGCACGAACCCCGAGGATGTCGTCGGAAGGCCAGTTGCGGATCTGCTCCTCGGCAATCCCGACCAGTTCGCTGAGACGGTCGAGTCAATTAAGCAGGATGATTCAAGGAGCCACATCACCCGCTTCTCCATGCGCATGGGGCCTCAGTCCGTCCTGAGACGGAAGCGATCGAAGCACGTAGCAGAGGAGATGCAGGAGCCAGCTCCAGAGACGCCGACAGAGGAGGACGAGGATCAGATTCTCAACCTCGAAGCCCAGGGCATCATGGTGTACGACCGGACGACCGGTGCCGAGAGTCATGTAAGTTATCGTCTCTATCCGCCCGCAAACATGCTACTAATTTCTGCTAGACGATGTGGATGATCCGCCCTTCTGTAATCCGGGAAGTCACCATTGACCTTCCCGAAGTACTCGTAGAATCGCTCGGGGTCGGCGCGGAAATGCTAGCCCACTACCTCACCGGCCTGGCTGAGCAGGGTGCCAATGACCCCGGAAACCACCCGCCGCCCCTGCCCGTGCTCTGCCGAATATGCGAACGTCATATTACACCGTGGTGGTTCGAAAAGCATACGGAGCTCTGCCTGCAGGAACACCGCGCTGAGATGGATGTCCAGATCGCGCAAGAGACGCTCGCCGAGCATCGCAACGCCATCGTCAAGGTGCTCGACGCCCTGGAGGCACAGAGTCGGCCTTCACGGGCCACTTCGGCAGAGCTGGTACAGCCGCCGCAACCTCCAGAATACAAAGGAGCCGTCATCCAACCCACCTCTACCCCTTCCTCTGGCACCCCTTCAGGGCGTAACTCCCCCGCCTCTCCGCCATCCAGGTCCCGAGAGCGGTCGACTGGTTTTGGTCATCACCGCGCGCGATCTTTCGCTGTCAGAAGACCGCTCGCCCGCATCGTCGAGCTTGTTCTCGATCTCTGCGACACGGCTCTGGAAGTTAACACGCCCGCCGTGAAGGATAGCGCGCGAAGCCAGTCTGCCGCCGAGATCCGGACTCAATCCCCCCAGTCGGAGAACCGCATCTCTCAAGTCTTACAGTGGCAGTCGCCAACCTCAGGGTCCGCCGATCACTGCGAGGGCCTCAAAATGCTTTGCGAGGACACGAATAGACTAGCAAGGGCGAAGGTTGATGCAGTTTTCCGTCATCGACGCATTCTTGAATATTCTGAACGCATCCGCGTCGAATTTGACCTTCTGGTTCAGGAGTGCATTGAAGCCGCCATGGCGAAGGCTGCTCGTATAGCTGCTGGAGAAGACAGTTCGTCTGACGACGAACAACGAGACGAGGAGTCGCCGCTAGACGCAAACGACATACCTACAGGCGAGGAGGGTCTCTTTCCCGGATCCTTTGACGCCCCTTCAGCAATGGCGCAGGCTCTCCGCAATGCATCCGAGACTTCGTTACCGGCTCGTGTGAGCCGCCGAGAGTCTTCGGTCGCCGGCTCGACTAGATCGAGCAGCCCCAGAGGAGGTTGTCAGACACCACGCTCGCACGCTGGTGCAATCAGCATCGCAACACAGAACAAGCGCCACTCGATGCATTTTGAAAGCGATGCTGGTGCCGAGAGTGACAGCAGCGTGCGCTCATCCGTCATGTCTGGACCCAGGCGGGCAGACTCACCGTCGTCTGAGCTGGGTCTGAGCCGTGTTGCAAGCTCCCGCGAGCGCAAGCGCAAAAGTCTGATCTTGCCCAGCGTCCTGTCCAGCCGACAACATTCTCCTGCTCGATCAATGGTCCCTCCTTCCTCGCCGTTGCGATCAAACAAGCCGCGACTGCCTAGCGGGGTTGACGGGCTCCAGTCCCCCATCACCTCGCCCGTGCTCGCCACCAGCGAGTTCTCCTCGCCAGCTATGGCACAAGTTCATCATCATCGCAGGCAGTCATCCACCGCCGGATCGGACGGTCCAAGACCTATTTCTCCCCGCCTCTTGCCTATCAGCCAACCGCAACCCCGTGCAGTGCCGCCATCAATCAAGGACTTTGAGATCATCAAACCCATCAGCAAAGGCGCTTTCGGTAGCGTGTACCTTGCTAAGAAGAAGTCAACCGGAGAGTACTATGCAATCAAGGTCCTGAAGAAGGCAGACATGGTAGCAAAGAATCAGGTCACCAATGTCAAGGCCGAGCGAGCTATCATGATGTGGCAAGGCGAGAGCGACTTCGTCGCTAAGCTGTATTGGACGTTTTCGAGCAAGGACTACTTGTACTTGGTCATGGAGTATCTGAACGGTGGCGATTGTGCTTCACTGATCAAGGTCCTCGGGGCACTCCCTGAAGATTGGGCGAAGAAGTACCTGGCCGAAGTTGTTCTGGGAGTTGAGCATCTACACAGCCGCGGCATCGTTCACCGAGATTTGAAGCCGGACAATTTGCTCATTGACCAGAAAGGTCACTTGAAACTCACCGACTTCGGGCTTTCGCGCATGGGCTTGATCGGTCGCCAAAAGAGAGCCCTCAAATCGGCCGAACCAGCCCCAGACCTACTTAAAACTGGGCCGTTCCATCGCGCTACTTCAGTAGGCTCCTCTCGCTCGGCGTCCTTTGATCTGAATCCGTCTCCTTCTCACACGCCCAGCATGACTCCAGCTCTCACTGGAGATCTCGGTCAGCCTTCGTATTTCAGCCTCAGCCGCGAAACCTCTCACAACCGCGATCCGTCACGAAGAGCATCAGGCAATCGGAGTGAGAGCGGGGACAGCGAAGCATTGCAGGCAATGTTCCGTCGCTTCTCGATTGCTGATGATGCTCAGCCCCGAGCACGGTCGCCTATAGAAGAGGAGGCGTACAGCGATGAAGGCTCTCCCGACCTGTTCCCCGCGGCGCCAACAATGAGCCAGTCAAGTGTCGCACAGAATAGCACCCCGCCCCCTTCCTCGACAATGCCGCCTCCGCCCATGGCACTCTTTGACCCAGAAGACAGCGACCGACGGTTCGTCGGTACACCTGATTATCTGGCGCCCGAGACGATTGCTGGAAGCGGGCAGGATGAGGTTAGCGATTGGTGGTCTTTGGGCTGCATTCTCTTCGAGTGTCTATACGGCTACCCACCATTCCACGCTGACACTCCGGATGGGGTTTTCCAGAACATCCTTGCCCGCAAGATTGGCTGGCCCGACAATGACGAGGACTACCAGATTTCGGAAGAGGCCAAGGACCTCATGAACCGCCTCATGTGCACTGATCCAGCCAGGCGACTTGGTTCTAACATGGATGACAAATTTGCAAGTGGCGGGGAGGAGATCCGGAGCCACCCTTGGTTTGCCGATGTCAACTGGGATACACTTCGAGATGATGAAGCATCATTTATCCCAGCACCCGAGAACCCGGAGGATACCGAGTACTTCGATTCTAGAGGAGCGGCGATGGCTAACTTCGCACCCGAGTTTGAAGATCAAGGACCTTCTTCGGCCGGCACCCCGAGTGCTGATTATCCCGATAGGCCACACGATGCTTTGTCGCGCGTTCGATCACAGATCAGTGTCACCACCATGAAGCGAGGCCTTATTCCCTTACACATCCCGGCTCACGTTCGAGAAGGAAGGACAAGACGGCTTAGTGAGCCGATGGCCGCGGATGACTTTGGCAACTTCAACTACAAGAATCTGCCCGTGCTCGAGAAGGCCAATAAGGATGTCATTCAGAAGTTGCGTGCTGAAGCTATGCAATCGCAGAACAAAGCTACATCTGCGCTGCAATCTCCCGGCGTTACTTCCCCATCACCATCCTTGGAGTCGAGCCCGATGATCCCGGCTCCTCTCAAGCGGACTCTCTCTACGAACAAGGCAACGGGCAGACCATCTTCACCATCTATCAGTGGCCCAAACTCGTCGCCGAGCCGTGGGTCGCAACCCTCATCCCCGTTGTTGGTTCAATTCAGTGCCGGCCAGCACCATGAGAGACGGAAAACCTCGAGCAGCTCCTCCACTTTATCTCATGCAACAAGCAATCCCGCCTCGCTTCAGCCCGGAAATTTCTTCGAGCCGCCGCGGCTTTCATCCGTTCTCCGCCCCTCACCAGACGCGATATCGCCCATTAAGCTGGCTAAAACGCCTTCAGCAATGTCGGCTTCGTTCACGGAGAATCGAGTTCCTGGACAGCGCCAGACCTCGTTGGGACACACCAGCGTACCCTCGCCACGGGCGCGATCGCAGACGATGGGTTCACAGGAGGGCGACGTGGTACGGGATCTGCTTCCAAGCCATCATAAGCGACGAAGCCAGGTACTGGACGTGTCGCCGTCTTCGTCAGATACGGAAGACTCGCGCGCCAAAGCACTCTTGCGCGTGCAGCGGCGGAGGCAAAGCTCGCGCCGGCTTTCCCAGATCAGCTTCGCCGACGGGCCTATATTCCGACCGTTGGACGTTTTGGTGTGTGAAGACCATCCCGTCTCCCGGCTGGTCATGGAGAAGCTTCTAGAGAAGCTCCGCTGTCGCACGCTGACCGTTACGAACGGGTCAGAAGCGGTTCGCTATGCCATGGGCGAGGTGAAATTCGACATTATCATGATGGAGTTCAAGCTACCTCAAGTCAACGGCGCCGATGTTGCGCGAATGATTCGGGACACGAAGAATGCCAATTCGCACACGCCCATAGTTGCAGTGACTGGCTATCTCAAGGAGCTGCAAGCCCCTCATCACTTCGATGCACTGATTGAGAAGCCGCCTACTATTGCGAAGCTGTCCGACACCCTTGGAAAGCTGTGCCAGTGGAAGCCGCCGCCACCGAACTGGACTCCAAGTCAGAGCATGTATCCGTCCATGATGCCCTCGGGTCTTCGTCAAGAGTCTACTCGCCAGGGAGACAGCCCGACGTCTAATTCCTCAGGCTTCCCACCGGTACCATCGGGGAGTTACCGAGGTTCGAGCCGGGAAGACTCGATTAGCTCTAGCTTCTTTGGCGATGGCGAAAGCCGCACTGGAGACGATGTGCCTGTCATCATCGCTCGTAACAACATGGACGATTGGCGTGAGCGAGATTTAACCCGAGTTATGAGTGGTTTGGGGATCTCAGAAGACGTAGCCAATGTCGATCCCAAGAACGTGGGGCAGAAGCTTCCCGTTCCGCATGACCTACCACCCCACGTGGCCTCCGCACCGGCCGCCCTCGAGGCGGCAACGATCCGACGACAACGTTCCGCGGAAATGGTGGGCGTCAAACGGCGTATAATTGAAACACGGAAGCACGAGTCTGCTGAATCGGGCGACGATGAAGATGATGAGCTGGGTAACGTCAACGTACGGGCAAAGAGCCCTAAGACGCGGCCAAAGTCATCATCAAAGCTCGGCATCGAAATGCTTCGCACCAACAGCAGAGGTAGTGTCATATCCGTCGAGGACGTCGCAATTCCAGACTCTACGCTTGCCTCTTCACCACCTCCAGCGATTACCGAGGACCGCACCGCCGAAGAACGCGAAAGTGCAGCTGACATCGCACCCGTGTCGCTCACACCGCCAGAGATCTTCCCGCAAGCGCCAGGAACGGAAGTCCAAGAGATCGAAATGGAGACGCCCAAAGCGAAGCCAGTCCCGGACGCGGACCCTGATCCCACCCCGAGGGCCACCACCAACACGTCGCCCGAAGCGTAGATCTCTCCTAGATCTTCATTGCTCGGCTCCCGATAGATTGCATCATACTACCTCCGCCCTTGCGCCGACCGAGCTGCATGTTGACAGCTATGCCCTGCTGTCACAAACCTGCCTCCTATTCGAAATTTGTTTCAAACTTGTCGATTCTTTGAGCATGGTGTTGGTGGTGTTCCTAAAGGTAGTGCACCTAGGAAACATAATTGGGCTTGTTTTCCGGCGTTACCTCCTTCTTTGCCTTTTTTTTTCTCTATGTGGTGTTTTGCTTCTTGCTTGCATTTACATGGAGCCTGCTGCTATTTTCCACTTGGCATCTGCATCGATCGTGTCGGAGGTGTCGATTTGGATTGTAGTAGTATGCTCTCGATCGACCTGCCTGCTTTTTTTCTATTCGATTCTGTCGTATACTTTTACTTTATTTTACTTTACTTTGCCTTGCTATTGACTCTACTCCTTTTTTTCATATGTCGATATATTGCTTTGGGATTAATTACCAGTGGTGGGCGGTCATCACTGCTGTCGTCATTCGCTTGCTTTTGCTGTATACCCGGTCCGGTTGGCTTTGATCGGGTTCCTCAGACTGCCTCTCGCTCTCGCTCTTGCCTCTCATCTGCTCAGATTGTCGCCTTCTTTCATTATTTGTTAAACTGTTTTTTGGGGCACTAAGACCTTCCTCCACTCTTTTCGTACGGCGCGGCGGGACGGTCCTCAAATTGCTGCATGGGCCGCGCATACACATACACACTCGAACACAACTCATTTTTTGGGCTTTTCCTATGCTGTGGTTTGGTTTTGGATTGGATTGGATTGGATGCGATGGCGATGCATGGTGGAAGTGGAAGAGAGGAAGGATGCAACAAGGGAGGAAAGAAGGAAGGATCAATAAGCCTGTCTGTCTGTGCGTTTCGCTTCATTTGTCCATTCATTCATGCCGATGCGTCCCTGGATGGGGAAATTAGTCCGCATGCATGGAGACGATGGGTTAAAGGGCCTCCCTATGTCCTATCGGGCCTTGGAAATCTGCGGGGTAGGGGATATAGATGGCGGTAGTTGGTAGTTGAGAAAAGAATGAAGAATTTATTTCGCCCGTGTGCGAGCGAAAAACTGGGTTTTGTGGAACATTTTGTGCGCTGTGTGTATGACTGTCGCTGTGACTTTTTTACGCAGGTAAATCTAGAATCTTCATTCTCTGGTCGGGGCTGGTCTGGTCGGATCGGGTCTAGTCTGGGCTAGCACTTGAAGTGCAGTGCAGTCAAGTAAGGAGACTCCGCTCGCACCACACCGCACCGCTGCCTGCCTACCTGTCTCTATTTCCTACGCCCATTCCCTATTTCCTACTGCCCAATTCCTCCACCCACCCAACACAGCAGCAACAAACAACGTACAACTTACCAGCACTGCATTACTACGCCACTACATCAGAAGAAGATAATCTCTCACAACTTTTCTTTCCTTTCCGTTTTCCTCTTTTCCGTTTTCTCGGGCTCGGGCTCCTCGTCGAGACTCAGACTCGAGACCCCGATTTCCTCCGGAAGCCGTTACAAAGAAATTTAGAATTTAGGACTCACGACTTGGAACTTGGGACTTGGGACTTAAGAGTTACGGAGGGCTGATGTAATGGATGGATGGATGGATGGAAGGGTAACGCAAATGCAATGAGCATGGATACTTTTTGGTTTGGTTTGTTGACGCCTAGAGTGGTGCGTGCTGTATGTACTGTACATACGGTGATGTACATGATATGATATGATATGCGGAGACGCGTGCAAAGCAATGCACGCAAAAAGAGGATAAAGCAACGACCGAGCGAGCATACCCAATACAAATCTCTTCTCTTCTCAAATGCCATCTTCATCCCTATCCCCACCCCATACCCATACCCATACTCATACCCTCTCAAAGCACAAGCCTATAACTCGCAACCTCAAACGCCCGAATCTCCAACTTCACACCCCTCCTCCCGCCCTCCATCTCCACAACCATCCCGCTCAAATCCTCCACCTCGTCCTCCAGCGCATTAACCTTCACCACCTTCCTCACGCGCAACGCGCCCCACGTAAGCACAGCCTTGCTCTTCCCGCCCATAGCATCGTATATCCTTACGATAACGCTCTTGCCCTTCTTCGCGGGGAGCTCGCCGCGCGAGACGTCGGCGTCGTCTTCGCCGCGCTTGATAGTGTCGAGGACGAGATTCGGCGCGCCGTGGACGTGGAACGAGTTGAGGATGGACGGGCTGTGGTGGTGGAGGGCGGGGTGGGCTTTGTGGCCGACGATCCTGAGGGGGTTGTTGAACTCGAAGGCCTTGCGGACTGTGGATTCGGATAGGGGCCCGGCGTGCGGGAAGATGGCGTAGCGGGTGGAGTGGCGGCCCATGTCGGCGTGGGCGTCTGGCGCCTTTGGGGCGCGCAGCAGCGAGAGGCGCATTACGTTCCCCGCGACGGCGAAGCCGTACTTGGAGTCGTTGAGGATGGAGACGCCGTAGGTGGCTTCGGACAGGTCGGCCCATTTGTGGCAGCACACTTCGAACTTGGCCATGTCCCAGGTGGTGTTGTAGTGCGTGGGGCGGCGGACGATGCCGAATTGCGTTTCGTAGCTTGCTTCGGTGTTGACGATGTCGACGGGGAATTCTACCTTGAGGAACTTCATCGTCTCGCGCCATTCGATTTCGGCGTCGATTTCGATGCAGGAGGGTGCGCCGCCGACGACGGCGGGCAGCGAGATGGTGGTTTTGATCCAGGACTTATCTGAAATCTTGGTTTCGATGTCAAGGGAGACGCGGTGCGGGCTGTCTTCTGAGATGACGACTTTGGAAGGTTGGAGCTCTTCCCTTGAGCGGAGGTGGTAAACCTCGACGTCCCAGGCTTGCCAGTAGAGCGGCTTGTCGTCGAAGAGGACCAGCTGGGCAGCCTTGGCGCCCTTGGGGATGAGCTCGCGGTCTGCGGAGATGTCGTAGAGGGAAGAGATGACACCGTTTGAGACCTCGACGATGTATTGAGCGTTGCGTAGCTCGAAGACGTTGGGGCGGGTTTCTTTGATAGAAGCAATAGTGGCAGAGTAGGGTGAAGCGAGAGGGCGGATCTCCATGGTGCTTAATCCATCGCCATGAGCGAGGCCGTAGGATGGAAGGCTGGCAATTGATGGAAGCTTAACGAGCTCGGTGCGCTGCCATGGAAGCGTGTTCAAAGCTACGAGCGTGCTGTCGGCCTTGATGTCGTTGTCAAAGCCTAGCTCAGACAGAGCATCAGACAGCAGCTTTTCACCCGTCGTGAAGACCTTTTCATAGATCTGATAGCGGTTAGCAGCAATATATGTGTGTTTTTATACAGAGACTTACTTCATCCGAATCATCATAGCACATCTCGATCGAGCTGCCTGGCAAGCAGTCATGGAACTGGCAAAGTAGGACGTTCTCCCACATGTCGTCGATATCCTTCTTCGGGTATTTGTACGAGCTCTTCTTCCCAAACTCATTCTTAATGGTCGCCAGAGTCGCGAGGTATTCAATGTCTCGCAGCATGATCTCAGCTTTACGGTTGTTGCGCTTGTTGTTCGCTTGAGTAGTGTATGTTCCGCGATGCAGCTCGAAGTAGAGCTCGCCATACCAGGTGACGAGCTCGGTGCCTTTCTCGACCTTCTTCTCCAGTCTGTCGAAAAAGTCGTCTGCTGAGTCGCCAAGCTTGATGCGAGGCAGAAGGCCAGTTTTGTCGCTTATGCCACGGCATCGCCTAAGCTTTTCGAGCTGCTGGTAAGTTGGGCCACCCCCACCGTCTCCTTTGCCAAACACCAGCAGCGAAGTCTTGTCCTGATCCAAAGACTTGTGCTGCGTGACGCTCCTCTTTACGTCGCCGAAGTTTGCTTCAGCCGTGTACGTCTCGGATGGCGGCATATGGCAGATGACCTGGCTATTATCGAGGGCCACCCAGTTGAAGGTGGTGTGTGGGAAGTTGTTGATATTGTTCCAGCTGAGCTTCTGCGTCAAGAATCTCGTCATGCCGGCGAGTCGGCAGATCTGGGGGAGCTGCGTAGAGTATCCAAAGGTGTCCGGGAGCCAGAAGGTCCGACAGCGCTCTCCGAAGCGGCTCTCAAAGTACCGCTGGCCGTAGAGAAACTGCCTGATCAAAGACTCTCCACTCGGCAGATTGGTGTCATGCTCCACCCAGCTCCCGCCAATGGGCTGAAACGACCCCTCCTTGACCTTCTTCTTAACGCGGTCAAATGTCGAAGGATACAGCTCCTCCAGCCATTTGTACTGCTGAGCCTGAGTACAGACGAAGCGAAGCTCGGGATACCGCTCGATCAGCTCGCACTGACTCGACCATGAGCGCGCGACCTTTCGTTTCGTCTCGGCGAAGGGCCACAGCCAGCACGTGTCGATGTGGCAGTATCCGACCCCGAACACGATGGGCTCCTTGTCGCTCTCATACACCTTGTGTGTGTCCACGTCTCCAAGGTATTCGCGCGCAATTTTGCGGCATTCAGCGATGCTCTTGTTGCTTCCACCGCCCGCGATGAAAGTGTCCATGATGCGGGTCGCGACCTGCAGCGCTTCATGCTCTTCCCACGAATCAGCTGGGAATTCGCGAGCGGCGTCTCCGATCTCCCAGAAGTCGAAGTAGAGCGCCCTAGCCTCCAGGTTAACGGCCACAATATCTGCAGTATGTAATTGGAAGTATCGGTTCGGGTTCGGCGGCTGGATCGAGTCGCCGCCCGGCGCGTTCCCAAACATGCCGTTGCACGCCATCTCGACGTAGAAGGTATGCTCCTTCCCGTCCCTAAATTCCTTCGGGAGTATCCATTCCGTCCGCTCGCCGCCGCCCGTCAATCCGTGGACGACATCTCCTTTCTCAGTCCAGATGCAGCCCTCGCAGTTCGCATCCCAGACGAACTCCAGCCGCTCCTTGTCCCGCATGCCCTTGGGAACCGTCAGCCGGACCTTGAACCAATGCGTCGACCAGCTGGGACCGAACGATTCGCCAACGTGCGTGGGTTTGAAGCTATGGGAGGTCGCATCTTTGAACGTGGGGCGCGAGAGGTCCGGCGGGGAGTAGACGGAGAGCTTGATCCAGTCGGAGCCTGACGCTTTGGCTTCGTGAAGCTTGCTGTGGGGCATTAGCATACAATGGAGCTCCAACGACCACAGATAATGTTCCTAGGACACCTGAGGAGCCGGATAGCGGCAGAAGAGAGACGTACGGCAACAAGCCCTGCTCGCGGTACTGGCCGCCATCGAGGAACTGGCGGAGGCGGTCCTGGTAGATGCGATGGATCTGCTTGCCCACAGGTCCGGCTGCGAGCTTCGGATAGTCGGTAGAGACAGGCATGATGCGATTGCCGTCGCCACCCATGATGAAGGAGAATGCGGTGGTGTGAGGAGGTCAGTTCGTGCAGGAGCTGGGCGGTGATGCAGCCGTCCCTTGCAGGTGGAGAGCTCCCCGCAGCTTGGCCTCGGGCCGCGTGGCTGGGGAACCAACCGAAATCGGGTAAGCCGGCAGCCCTACCACAACTTCAACTCTACTCGAGCTATTGAACACTGAACAGCTCCACCACGCTCACATATTCGAACGCATACTATGCCTCCACTATCTGTCAGGTTTAGCACTTATAGCGTTCTTGGACTGGAAAGCACCACATCGACGTGATTAAACAAGCCGCCTTCCATCCCTCTGCATACACATCCAAGTTGCACCGCCGTCCTAGAGAATGTCCAAGTGCTTCATCTCTATCTTCGGCGAAAGGGAGCATATGAATCAAGTGTACCCAGAGGGTTGTGCATAGCATCCTGACGATTCAAGCAATGCAACCAGCGGAGACACGAGTTCCATAGTTCGTATTCAACGAGAAGTAAGAAAGCGTAGAAAAAAGCAACAAAGCCCAGAATTAGGCGAAACGCAGCGAGTTTCAACGACATGGTAGTAGTACAGTCTCTAGCGGGCGATGAGCCACGTTCGTAGAGCGCTAGAGGGCGGCGAGGTTGAGGCCACCTGGCATGCTGGCGGTGGTGACGTTCATGCTGGGGTGGGTGATGGCTGTGTGTCAGGGAAGCTGTGCAGGATGTGTATAGGGACGTGTTTATAGACGATATCGAGCGCAAAGCTATGAGACGAGGTAGATTGCAGAGAAGAAAGGAAGCTTTGAGATTGTGGAGTTTTCAAATTGCAGGAGACTTTTCATCGATATGACGGCAGAACCAAGTTAGAAAGTCGAAGTGAAAGTGTAAGGAGTGTAAGGACGGAGCGAGGCCCAGGAGATAGAAACCACGTAACCTTCTATGCCATGAAGGCCCTCAGCACCCAATGTAAAAGGGCAGGAGTCATTGCATGAGCCCTTGGAGGGATTCAGGATACGAATGCACACACCTTCTTTTTTGGTGTTTTCATATTTCTATGTGAAAGCAGACCATCAACTCTTAGAAAGATATCCGAACGCCCGCTCATGCCGTGTCGCCCCATGCACACATCTCTAGACGAAGCTCCACCGGGCTCGTCTGTCAACCAGCTATACAAAACTCCTTGGCATGATGACCAACAAGGGAAACCAGAGCATCACCCATTTGCGTCGAGGCTCTAGTGGATGCGATCCAGTCTTGCGCGGTTCATGGCTATTTGATCGTCGACCTTGTCCTAGAGTAGCAGTATCATTAGCAGGTTTTCAGCATGAGCACCATGTGGTCGGCTTACTGTCTTCCCGATGATGCGGTCGATGTGCTTGTTCTGGGTGTCGACTTCGTCGCCCATCGCACGGCCCAACTAGTAACAGGTTAGCCACTGTACATATCCCAATCGGCGCGTGTTTACTTACTTGGTTGAGTCGCTTTGCGGCGCCATGAAGGGCATCGAGATTGGAGTCGATCTCTGAGGTATATGTTAGCAGATGTGTTTACATTGTTGGCCGAACGAGCAGCGTATCACGTGATCGTATTGCACGAAACAGCTGGTTCGGGATGATCGAACTCACCATTTTCCATATCGTCGTCCTCAGAGTCCGCTTCGAATTGGTATTTGGCCCTATCAGCAAGAGTAGAACGGCCAGCGGCCCCGCCGGTGCTTTGGATTCCACGCTTGAAGCCGTCTTGCCGAGCAGACGTCTCCCAGGCAGCCTTCCTGGAAGCGTCTCTCGCGTCTCTCTCCGAACGGTGATTTTCCATGATCTTCCTGTCCTTAAGAAATAGTTAGCAAGCTTTCGGTAACTCTGCCAACGGGATTGGCTTACCCGATCCTCACGGCGGGATCCGGTCGTAACTAGAGGCAAATATCAGCAAAGGACAGTCCGACAAGTGCGGCATATAACTCACAGGGGTTAGATACGTGAACAGCGAACATGGAGCGGTTCAGCGTCTTCAATTCCCTGGCTTTCTCTTCCGCGATTCTATTCTGCGAGCTCGCGAGGTCCAAATTACTGTTCATGTAAGCAAGCGTGTCAGAACGATGCCGAACGAGAACTTACCGCTCCGTATTGTGGATGCGCTCTCCCTGAGCGCCGAGTCGACCGAGGGTATCGCGACCAGTCTCTGTAAGTGAAAGATAATGTTAGCGGAGATTCACAAGAGTAAGGGTCACTAGAAAAGGAATAGTGGAGAGCTCCTCTGTACCTTCTGCCTGCTGCGCAAGACGCAAAGCGTTGCGCGTAGAAGAAACATCCTGCTGTTTGATAAACTTGATCTCGTTCTTTGTCGCGCTAATATCCTCTTCTTCTCTGTAGATGGTATGGTTAGCAAGTTCTTGAGTCTGATACAGCGGGGAAATATGTAAAGGCCGATCAGCGCTCGACGAAGCTGTTTGTCATGATACTTAAGCAATGTTTAAAACACCACCCAACTGTCATGCAACGCATTTTGCGCTATAACCGAGAGCACTCATGGGTGTATATCTCGAACCGACTTACTGTTCTTCGGCCGTCAACTCTCGATCTGCGTAGGCAGGCCCACTGCCGTAACCGCCGCCGTAGCCACCGGACTCTCCCGAGACCCCCGAGACTCCCGAGACTCCCGACGCTCCACTTTGTTGGCCGTATCCTCCTTGTTGGCCATATCCTCCCTGTTGGGGGCGCTGCTGTGTCCTGGATGGCGCATTCCCGAACAACTCATTGCGGCCGGCATCGTCATTTGGATCCGAGGGCCCGAGACCTGTAGCAGTTGAGTCAGTCTTCTTTCAAGGCAACATGCTCGCAAACAGCGCACCTCCATAACCGCCCGGCCTCCTGTTGGGGGCCGAGGGCAATCCAGCTCCGCCAAAACGGTCTGCGCCATACCCGGCGCCACCGCGACCGCCAAAGGAACCGCCTTGAGAGCTGTAGCCTCCCCCAAATCGTTGTCCAGGGCCAGTCACCGCCGGGGACTTCTCTTGGCGGAACGAGTCGTTTCCGCCCGAGTACGGCGGCGGCTGCTGCGCGTACGGATCGTTCGCCGGTGGGGCAGCGTATGGGTTGGCTGAGTTCGCAGGCGAGGCCTTCGCCTTGCGCGAAAACAGAGCGGACCTGTTGGCATCGTCGACGTCGTCGCCGCCTTTCTTCTTCAAAAAGCCCATGGTGACGGTTGTGCGGCTAGCGACTCGGAGTCTGGTCGACCAGCTGAAGCGGAGTTATGGGGCTTTGTTGTTGGACCTGTGATTCGCGGTTGTAGTCTGGGCGAGTGCGGTAAAGTGAGGCGGACGAAATGTAGAGAATTCAATTGTCCTGGGGATGTGGAGGTATAAGGCGGGTGAAGTAGAAGAGTGTTCGAGGACGAAGCGCTGAACGTCTGAGAAAGGGCTACTGAAGCTGAGGTGGCGCGTGTGGCGGTGCGTCTTGGCGGTGTTCTTAAAATATCGCGCTATTCACAACCATGTTTCGAGTTCGTGAAAGGTTTGGGAATTACTTCAATTGCGCCAAAGAAACCGTCACAAGAAATAGGAGCGACTTCGATCGCAGACCCTGAGGGCTGTCTGTCGTGGTTCAGCTGAGGAGCCCAGGAGCCCTGGAGTCCCTGCATACGCTGCCGGCGCTAGCGGTCTCCCAAACTGATGAACGAAACCCACCAAAAGTTAGTGGTGGAACGCACTTGAGAACGAGGGATGAACGAGAAATTGTATGCTAGAATTGCTTCTTTGGGTATCTTAGAGTTCTATGCCATGTGCAAAACCACGCCAAACCAAAATGACTCTACCTACGACGCCACTCAATGGTCCGACCAAGCTGTCCCCATAGAGGTCTGCAAATGGTCCAGCGCCTTCTTCGTCCAAATCGAACCGTTGCCTACGCGATTTGGCACCCCATTCTCCTCAAACGTGGCCTCTTCGTCCGACGGCAATGCCTCATGCTCCTCCTTTGTCCATATCTCAGTACCTTCCACGACAGGGAACGAAGTCAGCACGCGGCTGATGTCGCCCCACCACACCTCGCCGAACCTTCTATACCAGTCGACCGTCATGCGCAGCCCATCGTCGAAGCTTGTTTTCGGCTCCCACCCCAGGGCGGCGAGTTTCGAGCCATCCGTGGCGTATCGGTGGTCGTTGAACGGCCGGTCTTCTGTGTGCTGTATCCACCTCTCGAGCTCTTCCGGCGACCCGTGTGGTAGGCCGAAGATGTTCAAGAGCTTTTGGCAGATTTTGGTATTGGAGATCTCGTCTTTAGATGCGATGTTGTAGATTTGGCCAATCACTCCTTTGTGGAAGATGGTGTCTAGCGCATCGACTATATCCCCGGCGTATAGATATCTTCGTGTCGGCGAGCCGTCTCCGTGAACGAGCAATTTGCTCTCGCGCTGCAGAAGCATGATGAACTTGGGTATGATCTCTGCGCGACGTTAGAATGCGGGCATCGCATGCAATAGTGTCCACGTACTCTCTGGGAATTGATGCGGCCCGTAGACGTTGTTGCTCCGCACTGTTATGAGCGGCAGCTTGAAGCTCTTCCGATATGCGCTAACCATCATCTCCGCCGCAGCCTTGCTCGCCGAGTACGGATTCGTCGGCGCAAGTAGGCTTGTCTCGCTGAGGTCCGCCGCGCCAATTGGCACATCCCCGTATACCTCGTCCGTCGAAATGTGGATGAATCGTGCAACTCCATGCTCTCTTGCTCTCTCTAGCAACACATGTGTTCCGTATACGTTCGTGTTCGTGAATTGGTACGAGTTGCCAAAGCTGAGGTCGACGTGCGATTGCGCGGCGAAGTGGAAGATCGTGTCGATCTTGTGCTTTCGGAGCACCCTCTTCACCTCTACGGGCGATGTTATGTCTCCCTGCTCGAATGTAAAGTTTGGGCGGCCGTCGAGGATTCGCGTGTTGTTCAGGGTCGCGCAATAGTCAAGCTTGTCGAACGAAATGACGTTGTAGTGGTCAGGGTAATTGAGCGTCAAATGGCGGACGAACCAACAGGCTCTGTCAGGCTGTCAGCCGTACATTCCTCGCGGCTTTCACGAGGTTGCGCAGTGCGCGATGGCCCTACATGAAGCCCGCGCCCCCGGTAACGAGTATATTCCTTGCATCCTCTAGCGGCTCGAACTTGGTGCTGCCGGTGAGAACAGGCGCCTGTCTCCACAGCTCATCGGTAAGATAAGATCGCGGATTCAGGATAGTCGAGTTTCTCCGGTCTGTCTTGCCCAATTAGCCCGTGGGATGATGCATGACGAAGTTGCAACCGAGCGACGAACGTTTGACACCGTTTATGCGATTAGAGGCCCATTCCAGGCCCTCGACAGCGGACATGGCGGCAGGGACCTCCAGCGCAAGGGACTCATGAAGACTGAGTGTGTTATAAGTATCGTACGCATCTCAGGAACGATTACGAATGCAATATATGGCTCGTCGCATGTTGATGCTAGTTGGAGCGGATCGCCAGCCTACGCCGGTTGCGGTATCCCTTCCGACGCTATCATGTGACGTCAGAGCTTCAGTCATCTCGGCATGGAGAAGGGATGCTACGTCCTCCACAGATCTAACCCATCTACACTTCACGTTGTTTGAATGCCATTATATCTTCATCGACCTCGCCTATCGTGGCGTACCGATATTGGGGCTGTGTATGCATGGGCTTGGCATGTGAATGGTCAATCCGTGATACAGGCTGACCGGCTCGGCTTTTGCAGACACGCGAAAGGCGTCTTTGCGCCGAATGCGCCCTTCAACTCGCTCTCGGTATTCCGAGGCTGCCCTGAGATACATTCCTAGCTGATCAACACGCGTACAATCCCACTTACTCATGCATTTGAGGGTGTTCCGCTGATGATATAAATTCAACCGCGAGGACCTCTGACGGAGTGTCTTCATCCTGGTCCTCATCTACTGAAGTCTACAGCTACTACTATCCAGATTCTTAAGCCCCCGTCCACCATGTACCACACAGAGCAACCCGACGACAACCTTGCTGCCATCAACAGCGCCACAATCGGAACCGCCATGCCCGTCGTCATTCTTCCAGACGGACAGAAAGTTCAAACTGGCACCGTCGCCGCTTTGCTCATCAACATTCGGGCCTACGACGAGCTCGTCAGTGGCTCAAACCCGGACGAAGGAAAGATGAATGAGATGGAAGCGAGAATGGCTGCTAGCTTGCCCGTGTTGAAGAAAGTTGGTAAGCTCACCTTCCTGTTTTATTATAAACCGAATTGCTTGGTCATCCTCTTGATCTTGAAACTGATGACTTTCGTAGGCATATTTCAACTCTTCACCCCTGAAGAGTGGACTCAAGGAACCAGTGCCGGGCGCAAGTTTATCGGAGAGCTCGCCTTTAAGGAGGGAGCTTGAGATCTCATGCTTCCTCTGGTCGACTATAATCCTCATAAATGCCGCTGAAGAGTCAATGAATTTTCAGGTTATCATTACTTGTATTCCAACCTCGTCTTCTTCAATTCTTCCAATCTCATTATTCCTTCCTCTTCATTCCCAACGCTTTCTGACTATCCTCTTGCATTGGTGCTTGGACAATGTTCCAGCCAATTAAGGACGCAGCTCGCCCTGAAATGCTGGTTGCTAAACCGGATGGAAGAAAAGGGCTTGCGGCAACGCGTATTCACCCTTTACTTTCAGGTCTGTAACTAAGCTAAGACTCGCGCATTTAAGATCTGATAGCCCATCGGCGCTGGTTTGACGTGAATGTACCGACAGGCGGGTAGCGAACCGTCTCGTTCCCGGTATAGCCGCTTCCCCTCACGCCTGCAAGTCTTCCCCACAAGGCGTAATGTGGGGAAGCGGACCTGAGTTGTGTTCGGACGAATATCTTATTCAATCCCCATGGTACACTTGGAGGACGCTACCCTTCTTGTTTTCACCAATTTTAGCAGCTATGAACGATACGGCGACCGAGTGGTCGCTTAGACACCCTAGACTTGATGACTTCAGGTTCCGTATCCACCACGTCGTCTTGGTGGCTTTCCTGCCTCTCCTGCTGGACTATGCTTGGATGTTATATATGAGATGGAGAATGGTCGAACTCACCCACGTAACGGTATCTGCGCTTATCACTACTGACGAATAGCAGCCTCCAGGACCTTGCCCGTGGCCCATCGTTGGCAATACCTTTTCTCTCCCAGACGTGAAGCCATGGTATCATTTCGAACGATTATCGAAAGAGTACAAGTCTCCTGTCATCACCTTCTGGATTGGGAGGTAAGCAAGCACCGTTCCCAGTGTCCTGGGTTTCGGTTATTTGTCTCTGACCGCGATGAGGAACCCAACTGTCTGGATCAACGACGCCTGGGCTGCGAACGAACTTCTTGTCAAACGCGCAGGCGTCTATTGCTCGAGGCCGCGCATGCTGGTGTTTGCTGAACTCGGAGCCGGCCAATCGAACTTGCTGAACATGTACACCATTACTCCCGCGCAGAGAGACCGCTTCAGAATCCAACGGAAGCTTACCCATCAGGGTATTGGAGTGCAGCAGGTATACCTCCCTTAAGGTTAAAGCGAGCGAAGGCACTCAGCTGTTGCAGGTCATACGCTACAGGAATTTCCAGAACGACGAAAGCAAGGTCGTGGCATACGACCTGCTCACGACGCCCGAAGAATATGTTGAACACTTCGAGCGGTACGCCACATCTGTCGTTTCGATCATTGGCTTCGGGCGTAGAGTCGCAAGCAACAAGGACCCCATCATCACCGAAGTGATCGCACTAATGCACCGTGCTGCTTCACTAAACGTCCCAGGCAAGACCTTCCCCATGCTTATGGAGACCTTTCCCTGGCTAGCGAAGTTCCCCAACTGGATGGCCCCGTGGAAGCACGGCCTGGGCTCCACCAGGAAGTCAAAGCACACCAACCACGACTTCTTCTACTCGCTCGCCGCCGAAGCCAACGCGTCCGACCGCGCCAACTACTCCAAGTTCCTGTTCCAAGAAACGCCAAAGTACAACGTCCAGCCGCTCGAAATATCAGCCCTCTCTGCAAACCTGCTCGGCGCCGGCTCAGACACCTCGAGCAGCACCCTCATCACCGCCGTCCTCGCCATGCGCGCCTTCCCAGACGCCCTCCGTCCCGCCTGGCAAGAACTCGACCGCGTCGTCGGCAAATCGCGCAGCCCCGCCTTCGACGACGACCTCCCCTACATGCGCGCCCTGGTCAAAGAAGTCTTCCGCTGGCGCTCCGTCGCCATCATCGGCGGCATGCCCCATGCGCCCGTTGCAGACGACTACTGGAACGGGTACCTCATCCCCAAGGGGTGCTGGACGCAGGGAAACGTCTGGGCGATCCACCACAACGAGCGCGACTTCCCAGACCCGGATCGATTCAATCCGCGTCGCTACTTCGATACCGACGACGCACGCCCGTTCCCCGGCGAGAAGGGGTATATGACGTTTGGCTGGGGACGAAGGTCGTGCGCGGGCCAGTATCTGGCGGAGCAGGGCACGTATTTGAGTGTTGCGCGGTTGGTGTGGGGGTTTAGGGTTGGGCCGGCGGTGGATAAGGCGACGGGAGAGGAGATTCCCGTGGATATATTTGACTATACGTATGTTGCTGTTGCCTTCGCCTCATGCTGGCTAGTATAGTATGCGCTGACGTATCTCGGTAGGGATGGTTTGAACTGGAGGCCGCGGCCCTTCAGGGTGTTGTTCAAGCCTCGAGATGAGGAGATTAGGCGGACGATTGTTCGGGAGGGGGAGCAGGCGCTGAGGGATCTCGCGGAGTTTGATGGGGAGTCGAAGTATAGGTTTAGCACGTTTTTCGAGTAGAGGGAAGCCTGTAAGGGAGGCCAATAGATCATATGGTTCTTGATATCTGTGTTTTCTTACGCTGGTTGCTGAATTTTTTCCGACTGGGTTGCTCTGTTGTGCTATTCTATTTGCCATACTGCTCGCAGACGGTGTCGTGCTAGAACCAATCTCCCATGCATGTGGTCGTCAGTGAACCATTGCGAAGCGAGCTGCAGCGCTGGCCTCATCTTCTTGTACAGCGTTTTATCTTCGCTGCTCTATCAGATAAGAGCGAAGAGCGGATGGATGGGGTTGTTGAGGTTGTGTTCAATGGCGTCGGTGTTGGAGTTGGAGAAGCTGAAGCTGAGTAGCCTCACTTAGATCCATGCTTCTGCGGCTTTGATGTTGGCTTGGAAATTATGCACTGGGAGGTTCATTTTCTCCTCAGTTTCACTTTACTGTCTAGGCTGCTAGGGGAAATAAATTTCTGGGGGGTGCACCGTTTATGCTCGAGCGCTGTGAGCTTTTCATGATGAGGCGCGCCGGTGCATTCACATCGTAATAGCTCTGCATAGAGCTAGAAGGAGCGGATAAGGGAGATCACAAGTGCACGGACGAAGCGGGTTCGAAGATGATAGCTTTCCCTTCAGGAAGACACCGAGAGCACAGAAATAAGAAGCAGGCGAGCTTATTAAACGCTATACATACATACATACATAGTATAGCCCGTCTTTCAGCCGACAAAAGTAGGATAAAACAGGCAGCATTTCTAAGCATGTTTCCATAGCCAGTTCAGACTACTAAGCTAGTATAAGTGCTACTCGAGGTGAATGATCTATTCGGGCCTGTTCAAGCCCTCTTTTCCCCGCCTGCATGTCGCCGCATGCCTAATTCTTTTGCTCGGACTCTGTCCCACCCACCAAGCTACTTGTTGTGCTGCAGTGAGCGCGATCGAAACCTGACCCGATGCTACATCGCCGTAGGGGAGATCCTTGGTGTCGTAATGGAGAGGTTTGGAAGCTGAAGGGCTGCGGAGTGTCCCTTGGAGTCTCTGAAGTCTCTAGGTCGGAGGAACACTCATAGACCGGTTCATCGTCCGCGATAAACTCGCGATGGACCAGATACTCTTCTCCTGGCTCACTGCTCTCGTCCTCCCACTCGTAATCCCCGTCTACGTCTTGCCCCAAATCATCTTCGGCGTCTTCGTAAGCCAGGAAGTCGCGCTCCACAAATCCCAAGCGTGCGCATGCACCGTAGCCCCAGACCAAGGGCTCCTCCTCGTCGTCAGCGTGGCGTTTGTGCAGCTGCGAATAGAGTTCGCTGTTCCCTTTGATCACAGCTATGCCTTCGTATGTGCAGGGGAGGTACAGGTCCTCCAGAATCCATGGGCCTGTGCACTCGTGGAACGCATTGTGTCCTCGATAGCCGTATTGCAATTTCTGGACCAGTGTTGAGCGCAAGTCGTTCACGCTTCTGCAGATCTCCTCGGCTTGCGTTCGCTTGGGCCAGATATCGAGCGCGTTGAGCTCTTTGAGCAGGGAGCGCAGCGCTAAAGCCGTGCATTCACTCGCGTGTGTTGGAGAGTCGCAGGCGAGCTGGTCGCGCAAATAGGAATCGATGAATTGGTTGAACAGGGAGACGCAGCACTCCAAGTACTCGTTCCGTACACGAAGCAGGTTATCTGGGAACATACGTTAGCCCTATAAAATGCCGTCGTCGCAGGAGCAACGTACCCAGCACGCGGCCTTCGAGTTTCGAGCCCCGGAGCTTAAAGCCGCCAATGAAGTATTCGCCGTCGGAGACGTAGATCTGCAGTGCCATTTCCAGCGTGAGATGCTCGAAGATATCGACGTATCCGAGGTTGTAAGCAACAAGGAGCCAGAGTTCATAGCCTGGTTTCCCGAGGTGCGGCAACCAGCGATCGGCCCATTTCTTGAAATAGGGTTGCAGAACCTCGTAGAGAGCGTAGCGCTCGCAGGCGTCGGCGACTTGCACGAGCTGGGAGAATGCGATGCATAGTGGGAGCTCCGAATGCCGGCAGTGTGCGGCGTGAAGTGCCCATCCAATAACGCGGCTAGAGACGTCCGGAGAGACGATGTGGAGCTCTTGTAGTTCTTTGTTTTTGGCAGGAGATAGCGCGTGCAGTTGCTGGGCCCAGACTGAGCTCGCTAGGCGGATGCAAGCAGAATTCACCTGCCATGTATGCTCGTCGATTCCAGATGTAAAGGTGAAGAGCAGATCACCGTGGGGATCAATGACTTCGTTTTGCTCTTTTGGAGTCAGGACGCCGGTACTGTCGCTCAATGATAAACCTGCAACGGACACCTCCGCGGCGCCGTTGCGAGTGTCCCGGTTTCCTGAATCCGTGCGAGAGTCATGAGAATGTGTCGCCTCATCAACGGTGTTGAGCAACGCTATATGCAAGCCCCTCTCGCCTTGGGATGCTTCGACTGGACGGGTGGGTGGGGTCGTTGACATAGTGCCTGTAGTGGATTTGTATGGTGGGGAGAAGTGTTTTGTATACATTCAGGTAGAAGGCAACCTTGGAAAGCATGCAGGTGAGGCACAGTACAAGCCGCGCCATCCTAAATTCGGTTAGCACCTGCCTCGACATGCGTAGTCACGTGATACAGTCCTTCCCGGTCGGCCCCTCGGCCTTTTCCAAGGCTCGATTCAGCAAAAAGGTCCGCTGACATCATAGGCAAGCATGAGCATAAGAAGAGCGACTAGAGCAGCCTGAGGTGAGAGAACACAGGAACTTACAGTCCTCTTCGCGGGATTGGTTCGGGCACATGTTTAACAGAATGAAATAATTTCATTACTCATGTTCTCGGTGCAGCAGCCGGAGAAGTAGGTAAAGGAGAGATAGCCACACTCACTTCACTCGAGTTACTACTCCGCGGCTTCCCCTTCCCACTCAGGTCGTCCATCTGAACGAGCTGCTCCTCATCATTATCCCCATGCTGCACCTCAAACGTCTTCGTATACGTTATCCCATTCTTATTGAGCCCGGTCGCGTTCTGGTCCCTGCCCAGTCGACTCCCAAGTACATTTGAATTGTTCCCGCTCTTACCGAGGCCCGGATTGCTCCGGCCGTATTTGGAGTAGTATTGGTTCGAAGCGTATCTAGAGGAGCCGAGGGCCTTGGGGAAGAGACGAACAAGGATGACGCGGATAGAGGGCATGCAGGCGCATATTAAGCCCACATTAATCTCAATTGTGCTCCAGTTGCTGACGTCGACTTGGTCCCATGTCGGGTTTGTGGAGGTCGCGAAGTGAACGAGGGACTGGAGGCGGAGGATCGAGACCACGGTGACGCTGTGGGGAAGTCAGTACTGTTGTCAAGACTCGCGCATAATAAGAACGTACAAAGTGCCGACGAAGAACATCATGATAACCCCAACCTTCTTTTTCCAACCCAGTTTGAGGTACAGGACCTGCCAGAGCGGCAGGGCAAGCATCCATACGTCCAGCGCAATGCTTATCGCCGCGTTAGCCCACGCTATAGCGTTTATATTGAGGCATTTCCCGGAGTGCTCGCCGTCCCATCTGTCCCAATAATAGCTGATAGGTCTGCATTGGAAGGCGGCGGCGAACATGAAGGCAATCCCGTAGACCACGTCGAATATAATAGTTGCCCAGATGAGCCGCTTTACGAGCCGCGCGGGGAAAATGCGCAGGAAGAAGCAGAGGAGCGAGAGTTTCAAGACGGTGAGTTCCAGGAAGTAGAAGATCTCCATGATGTAGAACCATCGGAGAAAGTTGGTGATCTGGGTGAACGGCACCGTCCAGATGTCCTTGCCGAGACCATTCGCTGTCGTGCCGCGGTCTGTCATAATCGTGCTAGGCGTCCCCACGAGCAATGTTGCAATTACGAAGTAATCGTCCCATCCGAGCTCTCCAGCAGTAAAGACTGCCTTGTAGGTGATGCGTAGGATAACACATGCCGCGGTGATTACCCCTAGGGTAATGTTTACCACGCGCAATGACTGCACCTTACTGCGGACGGGCGCACCGCAAGCGGTTTGCGTGACATTCTTCGTAGCTTGCCAAAGTTAGCATCAGTCCGCGATAGAGTAGTTTGACTCATAATGCTACATACTCAGAGCCTGCTTCATTGTACACGACTGTAGCACACAGCCCTCGACACTGCTCTGCAATTGAGCATTGGTGCATATGCATGTTGTGTTTGTGAGTTGACATGGCGATTCTACGAGCGCGGTAGTAAGACATGATAGCTGGGGGATCTTGTCAGTCTATCTCCGGTAACCGCAGTCCTGGGATGCTTACCGCGCACGACGGGAGTTGCGCAATGGCCGAAGTCAATCCAGGCTCCTGGGCGCAGCCGAACGGAGTAAAGGCCAGAAAGAGGAACGAAAGGGTGATCAGGGTCTTCATGCTGTCATCAGTCCATACGCGCCGTCAAGCAAGCGCAAGCCTCGAAAGAGACGGACGAAGTGGTGATGCAAAGCAGAAAAGGAGCAGTATGGGAGGTCGCAAGACTCATAGGTTGGATATGCCGGTCGGCTAAGGTCCGTACCAAATGTCAATTAACAAGCCACCCGCTTGCTTTGACCGCGATAGACGTGGTTTTCATATGAAACTTAGCGCTGATGCCAGCCAGGGGAACAAGGCGGCATGAGAATTGCACGTCCGGGAACGCGCACATCGTCCCCGCACAAGGATCGAAAAAGAGCGGGCCGAGAACATATCGATTTTTGATTTGCGGAAAGGTCGTATCCGCACCACGGCCGAACGATGCTACCAGGATGGCCCGAGGTAAGTTTGAGGTTTGTAATGCTCGCTTGACTGTTACGTGAACGGCGACCATTAGCTTCGAGCGAACATGAAAGGGGTGGGCGAAAAGCTCGAGCGTGCCACAGAGTCGTTCCGACATGTGGGGCGTTAGATGGCGTGCAGCTCCACGGCAAAGAAGCCGGTGATACTTCCATATTCGAGTAGGACACGAGGGCGGAACTGCTGGTCCAGCCGGAAGAATTGCGCTGCTGCATGGGCGGGAAATTGGCGACCGTGTCGTGAAGGCCAGAAGCAGCGCACTCTCTCGACCCTCAATTGAGATGAACTCCACGTGTCGGTATCGGCGTAACGGTCTGCGCGCCCCTAGTTGTAACGCGTTGAGTGCCCCGCATGGGTTCAGACGGCTGGGGATCCAGTGGTGTTGAACGAGCATGCTTCCGCGTGCGCCAGGAGAGGCATGTGAAACGGAGCTTGGCGCGCACGGGCCAATGCTTATGTCAATCTCTGCACCGAACCTTGGGCAACTTCGCCGACGCCTCGTGCTGCCCTGGTGATCTTCACGATCCGCTCACGCAACATGGGCATGATCTAGCGACGCCGATGCGCTTTGACTCTTCACGGCGCGTCTGGCATTCTATATCGGGATCTTCACCACGATATGTAGCACGGTCTTCACTCCCCACCGGTGCCTCGCCGAAAGTGAAAGCGCAGACGTCGATCCACCTTCCAGCGAGAGCTCTGTTTCATGAACCGGATCGTTAAAGCAGGCCGTCCTGGGCTTCCTGAGGACCGAACCGACAAGACGCTATAGCGCGTGGCAGAATCGGGGAGACCGATGGTGTTGAAGCCGCCCGCCACAAGATTCATCTAGGACGACGGCCACGATGCATACGCGCAATATGTCTCTGCTTTCAGTTGTGTGGACCGATCAAGGCGTCACGTGCTGCTATTCCGTCCACGGAGGGTTCTAAGTTTCGACATGGCCTCCGCGGCGTTCGCCTACCCTTACAAAAGTTGGTGTTCGCTGTTGGTGTGCCCTCATCGTCAATGCCAATGCACGACTGTCCCGCGTCGATGCCCAACTCGGCCGAGGCATTGAACCGACCGTTACGACCTCAACCCCATCAACTCTAACATTTGTATAGCTGCCGGAGTTCGGTCTGGACCAAATTGTTGGAACACGACCAAATGAACGGAAACTCCTTTCTGCTGCACAAACGTAGCTGAAACAACAGCGAAATCTATCCGTTCTGGCCCACAGCCCTACAGGGCTAACGGATGTGTATACCCAGGATCGATCCTTGCATAGAAGGGCCGAAGAATGCTTCCTCGACGAGGCATCGTTGACCTTTTCCAATGTCCGCGGAGCCATCCCCGATACGATACCGTCGAGGAAACGGTCTGCGCTCGAGCATTTGAAATGCCAAAGCAGGCACTGCGATATATTCTCGATTTTGCCACTTGAGAAGAGCCTACACAGACCGCCGGATATTACTCCGTCTGATTACTGTGGCGATAGGCACACGTGCGTTTCTTCTACAGACACTGGTTTTTGTCACGCTTCTTTGCAATGCATACTTCCCGTTTGTCTGACCCCCCTCTCGAGTGGTCAGCTGGAAGACCGTTCTTACGTACTGCGGCATTTTCGTTTCACTTCGTTCGACGGCGAAAGTCGCTGTGGATTTACTGATGGATGATAGGACGTGGTCGTGACTCCTCCGTTGCTACCTGGAGATTCGACGAGTAGGACCCGGAAGCCCTCAGAGCCCGCACGAATCCCATCAGCCGAGGGCGCGGGCGCGGGTGACAAACGGCGATCGAACTTTCGAATAAGAAATGGATGCCGGAAGCAGAAATCCTCATTGGACGCCCATCCCTATACACACACGCATCAACGGCGGTCATCCCAACACGTCCTCCACCCCACCTACTCCTCCCTCAAAGCATCCCTCCCCGTCATCAACCTCCTCCCTCTCGCCGCGCCCCTCCTCACTCCAACATCCCTCCTCCCATACCCCCCACCCGTACCATTCCTCTCCCCGAAAACCTTCTCAAACACCATATCCGTATACCCTATGCTCGGCGCATCATAATCCACCGTAAAAACACTCACACTAACCTTCCCACTCGCCACAACATCCGTCTCCCCCGGCAGCCCACAGTCCCCATTATAACACACATTAACCCCCGCCGCCGGCGGCTCCAAGCTCTCGTAGTGGAACAGCCCCGTCGTCTCATTGTACGCCGCGATGTCGACAACCGCATTGCCCGTGAGCCGGCTCGCAACCACCTCCGGCATCGCAGACGAATTCAACTCCGGAATATTAACATTCACGCCATACCCAAGCGGCAGGACGCGCGCCCCCTCCGCCGTCCGGCCAGCAAACAAGTCGACAATCTGCGCGCTGACGCCCGCCGCCCACGTCGCGGGATTGCTGCCGTTCGTCACGTTCGCGAACGCAATGCTCGGATTGCTCGCGCTGAACGCGAGTGCCGGGATCGACCGCTCCACTGCCGCATACGCCGCGCCCAGCGTGCCGCTCAGCGTGAACACGAACGGGCCGAGATTCGTGCCGAAGTTCGGCCCCGACGTGAGCAGGTCCGGCGCTTGATTCCACGCGGGATAGTGCCGCGGCAGCACGTAGTCCAGCGCGACGAAGGTGCAGGCCGCCGGCGTGCCGTTGTAGTACCATATGTTCGCGTCGTGCGGGTCGGTGCCGACGGAGGGCGCGCCGGCAGGCACGATGTTGTACTGCGTGGGGGCCGTGAGGTTGGCTTCGGTCGTGTAGTCGGCGCGGCCGCCTTGGGCGGATTGCTGCGTTGCGGGCGCGACGATGAGGACTGGGCGGTTTTTTTGTTAGCATGGGCTTGGGCTGGGCGACTTCAAGGGGATTGGAGGGGACGAACCATCATGCCCCATGCCCTTTAGAATGCGGTAGAATTCGCGCAGATTCCCGCTCCCAAACCCATCGTCGTTGTTCATGAGGATCTTCAGCGCGTGCGTGGGCGCTGGCGCGAGTGACAGCAACGCCGCCGCCGATATCACCGTCGCAAAGAAGCGCATCTTGCCTGCCTTGCCTATCCTATTTCTATCTCTTTTCTTCCTCAGATGCTCAATCAATCAATCAGCCAGCCAGACAATACCGCGAACACAGAGCGGAGCGATAACGTCAATCAGCTAGCCCACCCACAGAAAGCAAAAACACTCCCAAAATCCGGGAACGTGGGACTCAATCCAGCATTTAAACATCCATCCTTCTCTCTCCTCCTTCCATGCACTGTGCTTGCTTATCACCGATCCCCCCATCCCATCCTGCAGGTACCGGTAACCGAGCTCGACCTACCTACGTACCTACCAACGCTGCAATCCGGCGCCCAAAGCCGCGGTAAAATGAGCCCTACCTACTAACAAGGAGACATCGACGCGCGGAGAACTTCCCTATTCCACAGGTGCTCGCGTGCACACTTGCTGATAACATGGCATTGGGTTGAAGTGGGGCTAAGCGGGGATAGGAAGGTGTGTAGATCTGTCCAGGGCTCCTCAGCGGAGGTCGGCGGTGGGATAAGCTACCACCTACTAAGCGATAGCATGCATCGGTCCACTCTTCTTCGCACAGAACATGCGCAAGCCGGATCGGAGTTGAATTCTTCAAGGCTGCTAGTTCACCTATTCAAGAGCAGATGATTTTTGCCGCCTCGCCGCTGTAAATCATGCCAAATTAGTTTACAGAAGCACACCCGCGCAAGCCCTTTTCAGCTACATCCACACCCGGCTGTAAGCTCGCGCAACTAAGAGATGGTACAATACGCGCTAGGCGCCACCGGCTCCAAGGAGACTGGCATTCCGGAAGATGTGCAGCCAACAATTACCAAGCGTCAACGTCAAAGCTCTCCTCGGAGAACTCGGTGACGACCACCGTCCTCCTCGAGAATTGCCGGCCAGCAAGAGCCTTGATGGCTTTCTGCGCGGACTCTGGGTCCTGGTACTTGATGTATATCTTGCCGACTCCTAGGTTGGAGCGGGCACCGGTGGGACGAGGGATCTTGAGTTCGATAACGGGGCCGTACTTGGCGCACTCTTCTTCAACGTCTTGCTTGATTTCTACGGGCAAGGTTAGAGACCGGTTCAAGTTGTAAGAGAAGACCACATACCGTCATATTCATCGTCATTGATGAGCTCGTCTTGTGTCACCATGTTCAGGAGCATGAGCACACGGCTCTTCTCGTGGTTGTCGGCAGCGCCGGAGCCCGCCAACATGGAGATAGCTCCCACGCCGCCATCGAAACCGATCTGCTGTTGCACGCCGACTGTAGCGCGTGTGACTTTGAGGTTGCCGTCGCCGAGCGGAATGCTGTTCAGGCCCTCGATAACGGCGTCGACGATGTCGGAATCTTCGTACTCGCAGAAGGCGATGCCCTGTTATACTCGTGTTAGCAAGAGAGCTCAAAAGAGGGGTGATTACTTACGCGATGCTGTTCGGTGCCGGTATCCTTGACCAGCACAAATGCTTTTAGCTTTCCGAACGTTTCCACAAGCTCGCGCACCTGGCTTTCCTCGACATACGTCGGGATGTTGACTATGCTCAGTTTGTTCGGGCTATCCTTGACGTCGGACGAAACTTCTTCTCCGGTGTACACGGCGCCCTCAGCAGACGGGGTGATATAATCTTTCGGTCGTCGAATGGACAGACCTTCTCGGTCTGGGCCTCCAGCACCGCTATCACGCATAGAGATGCCGTCCATGGCTAGAGCCACCGTCGCGTCCTCGGCCGTCTTGAACTCGACCAGCGCATACTCGTGGTGGTTCGCAATCTGTGCGGTCAAGCAGGGATCTGGGCCAGACACAACATTGAGGCCGTTCAGTTGCAGATTCCAGAACTCGACAATCTCCTCCGAGGTGGCGTCGAGAGGAAGATTGTGCATGAACAGGCGCTTCGCCTGCTTGGCGTTGGCCGGTTGCAGAGCAGAGGCGGAAGCGGTACCAGCCGAGGGGCTCACGAAGGCGGCCAGGCGGGATGGGTCCATGGGCGCAGCGCGGGGGGCTCCAGGGAGCGGGAACATGCCGGACAGCTTGGCCTGCTCAGCCGTGATACCGTCGTAGCCAGACGGCTTAATGTCCCACTGGGTCAGGCGGCGCGGACGGTCAAGAATGGACACAAAACTGCCCAGGTCGGGTGTCGGCTCGCGCTTCTTATAGGGAGGAGAAGCTGACTTCCTCCTGTCACGCCCACCGAAGCCGACTCCCTCTCGGCCCCGCCCTCGTCGGTCGTCGTTGAAGTCGCGCATACCCTCTCCCCGCTCCCGCCGGTGCCCACGATCCTCGTCGCGCTCGTGTCGCGGGCGGTCGCGCCTCGAGTAGGAATCGCCCCATGCCCGGTCGCCGCGGTCGCCCCGATCGTCGCGTCGCTCACGGCGGGCGTATGTGTCTTCGCGCTCGCGCTCACGGTAGTCTCGGCTCGAGGAGTAGGTGTCCACCTCGTAGTCGCGGCGGGAGCTGTGGCGCGGGGAGCGCGAGCGGCGGCGGCGACGGTCGCGATCGCGATGGTCGTCCCTGGAGGACTGTTTGGTCAGTCTGGATGCCGTGCGGTTGGGCTTGTGTGCACTCACGTATCCCCTTGATCCGCCCGCACGGCCACCGTCTGCTTTCGTTAGTACATTAATGGAACTGCAACCAGTCAGTACGTGTACTGAGAAGAGCGACCTACCTCGGGAATAGCCGTCACCGTTCATCTTGGGCAGCTGTCGCGCCGGCTAGAGCGTGAGAGGCGCGAGGTTGCCTGCTAGTGCAATTGATGCTTTGGCGATGAGCAGCTGCGAATTAGCCTGGAGAAAGTAAAGATATGGCGTGCTGGCCTCCGTGCACCTGTCCGAGCCTCGGGCGCGATGCTTTTGCGGTGGGAGAGGTTGGCGCGGATGTCGCGACTGGCTGCAGGCACTGGCAGGTGCCTGCGTAGGAAGAAGAGAAAGAAAGCTGCACCTACCTGATACGACACAGCGAGTTGCACCGCCGGATCCGTGTGGGGAGACACGAGGCTGGTCGGAGGGGAGTCGAGTATCGGGAGCTCTGTGCAGAGCGCGGACGTGAGAGCAGAGAGTGGTCCTGGTCGAGGCTGCGAGAAAGTCGCTCCTGCAGATTTCTTACCTAAGCGAGCGCGGCTTGGCGGGCTTGGCGTTGGACCCCTGTCACTCGTGCCTCCATCCTGGTCCCCTTCCGGCACATCGCACGGCGAATTCACAAGGAAGGACTCCCAATTGCCCAAGACATGGCTGTCCGGGCAACGGAATGGCAGAAGCTGCCGATATCGCTTACGGAGCTCTGCGTAAACACCACGTTGCGCTGCGGTCAATCGTTCCGGTAAGCTCCCCTCGCCTCTGTAGCTTCACTGAGCGACTCCTGACCTCGTTGCAGATGGCGAAAGTCCGCCGAAGATGAATGGTCTTGCGCGCTCCATGGCCGCATACTCTCTTTCCGTCAGGACGCGACGCACCTCCATTACCGCGCAGTCTTCCCTCCCCCTACCATCCCCACTCCGCCGCCCTCCGTGGCCCCCTCCACAGCACCCTCGGTAGTCTCAGACGAAGACGACACGCTTGCGGTCGTAAGACATTACTTCAACCTGGACCCGAATCTCGGCCAACTGTACGAACAATGGGCATTGGCAGATCCCAACTTCAAGAAGAAAGCGCCCAAGTTTACCGGCGTAAGGATACTTAGGCAAGATCCCTGGGAAGCACTGATAGGCTTCATCTGCAGCTCCAACAACAACATCAGTCGCATATCAGCCATGGTGCATAACCTCTGCAAGCACTACGGGCCGCTGATCGGTCACATTGGAGACGAGGCATACCACGACTTCCCCCAGCCCGAAGCGCTCGCGGATCCGAAGGTGGAGGCGCATTTGATAAAGCTAGGCTTCGGATACAGAGCGAAGTATATCGCCAAGACGGCGCGGATGGTGGCCGACGAGAAAGGGCTAGCGTGGCTGGAAAGCCTTTGCAATCCAGAAAGCCCTGTCTTCGGGAAAGAGCCCAAACCCGCTGGAGAGCTTGCAGAAGGTGGACGAGAAGGATACCGAAGGGCGCATGAAGAGCTTCTTGCACTGCACGGTGTAGGTCCAAAAGTTGCCGACTGTGTTTGCCTGATGGGGCTGGGCTGGTCGGAATCAGTCCCGGTGGACACCCATGTGTGGCAGATCGCCCAACGCGATTACAAGTTCGGGAAGGGGAAGCACAGCAGCCTGACTGCCGCCACGTATATAGCAGTCGCCAACTATTTCCGCAAGCTGTGGGGCAAAGAAGCTGGGTGGGCGCATTCCGTACTGTTTACTGCAGACCTCAAGGCATTTTCCGAAAGGGTGGTCGCCAAGACAGAGGTCAAAGTAGAAGAGGTCGTAGTCAAGGCTGAGCTAGACGGAGCTCTGGTGGTCGCGGGCGTCAAGAAGACGGAAACAGTGAAGAGAAAGAGGGTGAAGCGAGAAGCTGACGAGCAGGAACATGAGGTCTTCGAGGTCAAAGAAGAGGTAGTAAAAAGAAGCAAGCGACGCAGAGAGAGATGAATAAGAGCGCTCAAGAACTGTCTTTTTCGGCTTTGCAACCCCGACCGTTTGAGATTTTGACCGGAGGATCACTCCGATAAGCAATCACTACTGCCGTGACGCAGAATACCCCATCGAAAGTATCTCTGCCTCATGAGATATAAGCATACATGCAAGGTCCAATGCCCTATCACCGGCCTCCTTCCAAGCCAGGATACCTCCCTTTCCGGTCCGTCCGTCATTTCGTCACCAACCACCGGCCTACGCCGGCGTCTCGGTCGGCTCTTCCGTCAGACTCGTGTTCGTTGTCCACGGAACCGTCACAACCGGCGTCCTCGTCTCCACGCCTGTCGTCGAGCTCTGGGTCGTCGTACTATTGGGCGGATCCAACTCGTTCACCGGCCAAGGACACCACGTCGCCAAATCTACCGGCTGCTCTTCCAGACTTTTCTCGCATCGCCCGTCCAGGAAGCCGAAATTGCAGCAGCCGTTGTCCTTGCAGAGCACGACGTCGGTCACGTTGAGGAAGTGCGCGGGATCAGTGGACACGGCGGCGCACCATCCACACAGGTACCGGCCTTCGGTCGGGACGGGTTTCCCGCCTGTCGCGCAGTGGCAGGTCGCGTTGCAGGGCGTGTATGGGGGTGGTGGAGGAGGTTGACCTTTTCCGCTGGGTGTGGGCGAAGTCATGGTTGTAGCGAGGGAAAGGGTGTTGTTTGGAGCAGAGTAGGGCAGCTCGGCGACAGGATGGACTTTGAAGCCGCTATCGAGCTCCCTGATGATCTATGGACGACGGTCAGTGTTGTAAGCACTGTAAGAGGAGCGGACAGAGCATACAGTTGGAGCTTTGTGCCTGCTTGCCGGTGGGACATGAGGACTCATGGCTCCCGCTACCACGAAAGGCACGGACACGAATTTGAAGAGATGCATCGTGCTTCCCGACTCAATAATTCAGGCTTGCAGCATATGCTATCTAGAAAGAGAAGGGTGGTAGTGGAAGGTGTGAGAGTGAGAGCGTCTTGTATGACTAGTGCAAAATGAGCCAGCAAACGACCGAAGCGGAGCATGACGCATTCACCAGCTATTCACCCCTCATCGTCATACAAGGTGAGAGGAAGCTCTTCACCGCCATTGGACGCAAACGCGGCTGGGGCAGATGCGCATATCTGGTAGGCAGCGGAGAAGTGATCCTCCGTATATATTCGGCGCGTGTGAGTACGGGTGCAGTAGTAGTTGTTTCATGAGCTTATAATATGGGGGATTGGAAGTGGTGCTAAGGGCCTTGGGGCACAGAGCGCTGAGGAAACGGAAGACGATGGGAAGAAAAGAGTTATGGAGCTAGGGTACTGGACATGGCTAGTCGGCGAAGACCCTACTAACAACGTACTAGAAATGGGATAGGTTGAGGGGGATTTCTCGAAGCCTGCCTACCAACGCTCTTACAAATTATGCGTAATGCCCGGCTTAACCGCCTCCAGCTTCGCACACAACTCCTCCCACACCCGATTCTGGTCCTTGTAGCCCTCCGCGCTCAAGACGTATTCGCTCGGCGGCGCAACCTTGCAGTCGCTCAAGTACTGGCCATGTGTTTCCGCGCCTTGAGTCGCGGCGTGGACAAGCGTGCGGCTGCCCACTTCGGTGGATCGCGCGAGGAAGAACTTCAGCACTTTGAAGGAGAAGCCGGCTTCGCGGCCGAGTTCGCTTGGATGGGTTAGCCAACGTCTTCTGCAAAGAGACGGAGGGAGGATTTACGAATGGCAAAACCCGGGATTAACGCAGTTGATCGTAACGGGTATCTGGCTTGCGGACTTCCGATCCGCCATCGCCCGTACACACAGCACCTCCAGCAGCTTCGACACCTGGTACCTGTTCCCCTGATCCAGCGTCCCGGGCTTCGTGCTCAGCCGCTCAAAGATCTTTCCGTCGGGCGCCTCTCTCTCCGGGAACTTGGCCCAGCCATGCACCTCGGAGGACACGATGCACAGCGTCGGCCTGGTGTTGTACTGCGCGGCCGTCTCTTTCAGCTTCGGCAGCAGCGCGAGCGCCAGCAGGAACGTCGACACCACGTTCACCGTAATCGTGCTCTCATCCTGCTCAAAGACCTCCCACTTGGTCCTCACGACCCCGGCATTCAGCACCGCGATATCCAGCCTCGGCAACTCTTTACTCACGCGCGCCGCGAAGTCCAGACACGACTGGTAGCTCGACATGTCGATCTGCCACACCTTGAGCACGTCCTTCTTGCCCGTCGTCTTCTCGATGTCGGCTTTGGCCGTTTCGCCGCGCTCCAGCGAGCGCACGGCCAGGATCACGGTCGACGCGCCGAGGTTTACGAAGTGCCGCGCGGCTTCCTTGCCCAGCCCGACGTTGGCGCCGGTTACGAGGATCGTTTTGCCTGCGTACGAGGCGCTGGGCTTGGGCGGGGTGTTGGTCCATTGGTTCCAGACGAAGGAGAGGCCGGGCATTGTTGCGGGTAGCTAAAGGACGATAGGGAGATGATAGATGCGGATTAAATTAAATCCGGCCGGGGGTATTGGAGATGTATGTGTATACAGGAACCGTAGAGAAGAATGCAGAAGAGGCGTGCAGTCAATGACGCTTCCATCCATCCATCCAGCGTCCGCCTCCTTCTCTTTATACTCCCCCCTCTCCTCTCCCACAGCACAGCCCAGCCCAGCGTCGCAATCCTTCCATTCTCCCATATCTCCTCAAACCACCATTCTCGTATCGTGCGCCCTCCATACCCGGGTCCGGCACCACGAGTGCGTGGAGATAACCAGCGATATCCCCCGGCCGGACCATTTCGTCCTAGCGCATAGCACAGCCTCTGGCTCGGAAGAAAGTTGCGCCGGAACGGCGCCGGAATGCTGCTGCAAACCATTTTTCCCGATCCCGCGTTCAGATAATCGGGTGGTTGAGCATTAGGGCGGCCTATTAGGCGAGGGCGGGCTTGATTGGGCGGACGAGAGGGGGCCCGGTTATGTCCGTTAAGTGCGGTTGCGGAATGCGCACCGGGCGGGAAGTGTGGGAGGGAGGGAAAAGAGAGGGCAGAATACGTTAGAGGAAAAATTGTATATTAGCTGTGGGTGGACTGGATCCGGCTTTTGCGAAGTGGGAAGCGTTCTACGGTTGGCGATTTTACTGGTGGTGGTGCAGGAAGCTGACCCACATTCGGACTCTTCTCTCTTCTTCAGTTGGCATTAGAACACTGGACAACAGTTTTCCGACGGCGCGCTAAGGTACCAGCTGAAATATCGACAGGGCCGAAGAATGCTATGTACAATACAATGCTCCCCGAAAGTCCCCAGGATGCACCAAGCCAACAAAGCCACAAACTCCAAACCTCCACCACGAACCCACATGCAAATATAATACACCCCTCCAAAAACCTCCCCAAGCCATCTCCCCATCCTCAAATCTTCGAATACGCCCCCTTCTTCCTCGCAGCCACCATGCCCCAGCCCACCGTCGCCGACGACGCGAGCTCCACCGTGCCCATCACCACGACCGCCCACCACGCGTACCTCAGCTCGCCGCACAGCACATGCATGTTCCCGATCTGCCGGCCGAGCATCGCATTGCCCTGGTGAAAGCACACGTACGACACGAAGTCGAAATGCATGCGGTCGTTCGCGTCGTCGGCTTTGTAGTAGGCGCCCGCGGCGAACCACAGGATGGTGCAGATCATGGAGACGACGGCCGTGGCTAGGTTGCCGATGGTGGTTAGGCGGCGGATCTGGGCGTTTGTTAGCAGTTGAACTGGCTGGCTGAAGTAACAGAATGGAGGGGATACTTGCCGCTTTGGAGAAACTCGCAATGATCAGGAGCAAGCTCAACGTCGTCGCTACTGATGCTACGCCCAGCAGCACATACGTCGGCCGCATCTTCATGTTCCCGAGCCACACCTTCATGGCGACGCCCTCCGCTTTGGGCGTCACGAACTTGTCTTTCGTCGCGTGATATACGCCCACTCCATGACCGAGCACGCACACTATGCTAGCGGAGAGAAGGAAAGACAGGATTCGCAGACCGAGCCGGATGCGCGAAATGAGACGGTCTGTATGCGGGTCTACAGCGACGCTTTTCTCCGACGGCTTTGGCGCGGGAGCATGATGCGTATCGTATTCTGTTCCTAGACGCGCGCTCTCATAGGACTCATAGTCGCTGTCGAGGTGCTTGTTGAGCTTGCCCATGGTGAAGAAGTAGGAGAAGTTTAAGAGGAGAAATGTGATGGCTGGAGGAGAAGAGCTGGTGGTGGAGGTAGTGTGCATGCCAGAGGAAAGGGTGTGCGCCTTTATGATTGAAGGGAGGTAGCAGATTTACCCTCCTGTGGTTTTACGCCATGGTATACCCGTTTGAGGTAGCTCAGCTCATTTTTAGAACGATGATGGATGTCGCCGAATACAGCCCTTGTAGTCTATGCGCCAAGCTTCAGCCTCAACGCGAGGATGTGTGGCCTGGAGACGGTGTGGAGGCGGCTCAGGGCTCGGCGTTTGAAGGTGGCGGTTATCTTCATCTCTGGCGAGGTTTTTCGGGCAGCAGTTTCCCTGGAGAGTCTTGTTCGTGGGAATTGTTCGCCCATGAGCGCCTGGACGAGGCTCTTCGGCAAACCAGCCAGCCAGGAAGCTGCCAAAGTTGCAGAAACGGTTCCACGGGCAGCATCGTCATTTCTCCCCCTTTCTCTCACTTTTGTTCTGTCTTGTATCGTCGTGTCGAAGCGATGACGTTCGGCGACGCCAGCGGTGAAGAAACGTGGTGGACTAAAGCCAAGAGCTGAGATCTAGATTCTCTCCCCTACCAGCTAGCGTGGCACGAGCCCGACTGTTACATCAGCCCCACATCCGCCAGCCTCGCGATACGAGAACACCGCAAAACCAACCTGTCTTTCCTCAAAACGGGCCTTACAGGACGAATCCAAGCCCTAACGCTTCTTGGCTTGCTTCGGTTCACACCGAAGCCACGATTAAGGCAGCCAATCGAAAGGCGCCTTGCGGCTCCAAGCACTGCAACTGTACCTTCAGCCTCAACCTGGAAATTGCGCGGTGTAGCTAGCGCCGAATGTGGGCCTTGTCTTGTAGACGATGGACCAGCGGAGCCACGAAGGCCAAGAGACGAGAGAAGGTAAGGGTCGGTGAGGCAGTTCGTTATGCCTGAGGGCGACTTCATATACCGGTACGATGCCCTTCCCGCTTAGCTTGACATCTTCATTATCATCAAGCGGCATTTGATCCTTTCGCTTCGTCTTATAAAGTCTTTTCACACTGTTCTTTTTGAATTTCGTATATATTCTTCAGTGATACCCCTTTCTTGGTTTTGCATCGTCCTACTGCGGTCACTCCTCATCGATACCCAGAGCAATGCGCCGCTTCGCAATAAGCGCAATCCTCCTAGCCGCATCCCAGGTGGTCAGCTCTGCCGTCGTCGATGGAAGAGATGGCCTTCTAGCGCGAGAGGAGGACCGAGAGATGGACTATCTCAACGAGGCCGTGTTCCTCTCTGAATGTCAAAAACTCAAGAAAGGAACCAACGAGCAAGTCGCTCTAGAGGACTTCCTCCTTTACTTCCCCGTCTACGATTATGTCAGGTACAACAACAGTCTCGACATAGGGGATGTCGCCACAGCACCGTTCCCCAAAAGCCAGCGCGTAGACGCCATGGGCACCCACGTCGACTGGACACTGGCAACAGGGGACGACAAAATCACAGCAAAGTTCCCAACTATAGGCCGGACGTTCAGCGTCTGGGACCTCGACGACGAAGGCGACCCAGACACCAACGTGACAGGCGTCGCAGACCTAGGAGGCAAGGGCATGCTGTGCTACGACGAACCATGGAGCTTCAAGATGGACCGCAACGGCTGGGACTACAAGTGCCACGCGCCATACTACTGCACGCGCGAGCGCCGCATGATCCGCCGCACCGTCTTCGACATCTACGAAACGACCACCGCCGTGGAGATCGAGGGGCTTCCGAAGAGGAAGAACGGCGGCAAGCTCGACGAGCGCATCGAAGGCATGGTCGGCAACGCCTTCTTCTACCTGCAGCTCGCGGACCGCGATGGCGTCGGCGGCGCCTACGAATACGCCATCGACTTTCGCCTGAAGAAGCACACGATCCGCTTCGACATCCAAAAGGGGCAGCGCGAAGGCGACCCCAAGTACGACGCCGAGCGCATCAAGCTGATCTCCGAACATCTATACGAAGTCGTCACGCCGGAGATCGTGAAGAAAGTGAAGACGAAAACTTGCTATGGTTCGAATACGTGCATCTACACCGTGCCGTTTCCCTCGCAGATCAAGGTCCAGGTCCAGACCGCGCTGCAGGAGCAGCTCAACTGGCAGCCGACGGATGTCATTGATATATATGTGGACGTCAAGGAGAATGCGGAGTGTGGCAATGATGCGGTGTTGGCGAAGACGCTGTCGGGCTTGTTTGCGGGGATTGCGGCGGTGGCTACTGGGGGGTATAGTGCGGCGGCGAGTGTTCTGGGGGGTATTACTGGCGGGTATCACACTGCGGCTTGCCTTGGTTAATGGTGTGTAGCTTGGATGTATTTAACGGTTTCTTGATTTCTTTCTCGTAAGCTTTCAAATATTGGTGCCTGCGTATCGTGTCACCTGATTAAGGCGCTAAAATTGAGGCCTACCACAACCTCAGTTCTCCAATCAGCTGTGTCAACGGATAGCGAATGACAGCGCCGCTTCTAGCCACCCCACCAACGTACATATAAACCCACCAAACTCCCTTCAACCCTTCTTCTTCCTCCTTTGCCGTGGGGCCTGTGGCCGCGCAAGCGTCCATTCTTTTCACTCAGTCGGACATCTTCTTCCACCGCGCTCTCTTCTTTTATCTAGTGGCTGCCTGAGCCTGGTGCTCTTTCGCAGGACACTCTTTAATCGCTACTTATTTTCCGCCCGTAGCGACCCATCTCCGACTCCAGTCAAGCGAGGTTAGAGCAACAAGAGCAACTTCATTATCACCATCAGCCCGAGTTTATCGATCCGCGCTTGCTCGTCTGGGGATACAACCCCGATGTCCTGCAGGAGAGTCAGCAGCATACTCAGGCGCCACCACCAGCAGAAGAAGAAGAGCAACAACAACTCCTTTATCCCGAAGATGACCTCCCACCCGTACCCGACTGTGTTTTACTTAGTCCCACCCAAGCTCCACACTCTTTCATCCCCCCATATACAAACACTCCAAGCACACAGCAGCATGTCCAATCTGCTCCCCAGCCACCTACATCCCTGACTACCTCCACATTCCCCTGCTCAAAATGCGAAAGAACTTTCCCTCGCCAACGCGATCTGAAGTCAGTGTCCCACCCACCAGTCTCTTCAATACCTACAGGCACTAAAAAAGCCGCAGCCTCCACACCAAAACACACGAAGACAGTTACACATGCGAACCCTGCGGCGCCGTCATTAGCAGGAGCAAGGACTTCGCCAAGGACCTTGCACGGCATCAAAAGACTAAGAAACACCAGCGTGCGCTGGCCGATCAGGACGCGGCGCTGCCGTTCGTGTGCCCGATTTCGGGGTGTGGGAAGGGGATGGCGAGGAAAGATAATATGAATCGGCATATTAGGACGAGGCATCCTGGGGTTGAGGAGCTGTGAGGAGGGCAGGGTAGGGTAGATTAGGCGATAATTCATTGCTGTGCTTTGATTGAGGTGTTCGCTTTTTAGTTTTAGGTGTTTGATCGCAGCGGTGCCCCTTGCTGTTGCTCCTGCGCTTGGAGGGTACTGGCCTCCTTCTCTTTGATCTCTGTCTTACTGATATCCCATTGCTGATACTGTGCACTCAGCATCTTCTCCCGGTCCACCACGACCGCGGAATCTTCCTTCCTCCCTTTATTAAGTCTCGAAGCACCTCCCCAGTGCCTCTCTTCGAATGGACTTGCTCAGCTAGAGCGGCACTCGATTAGATGGAACGTCATCGGATTTTTTGCTGAGTTTGCAATTTGGCCGTTCTTGTTATCTCTTTCCGGGGATGTGCTGCTAACGTATTGTACTGATATCGCGTTGAAGAAGCGACTCAGCTTGGCTGATCTTCCACCAGTCTTCTCTCATGATTTTCCATCGTGACACTCTCCTGCCTTTCTGCTTCTGGGTTGAGCTTGGTCGCCTTGGGAGTTGTTTGGTCGTACAAGTCGCGGTGAAAATATCGCTCTGGATCTAGAAAGGGATTCCCCAGGCGAAGTCACCCGTTTGTTCCATCGCAGCGAGGAAGCTTTCACTTACGCCGCTGCAGACAGCCTTTCACTCTTTCTAAACTTCTTTCTCCCTTATAAAGCACCGACCTCCTCCGCATATGAAACTCCCTCACACTCAAACCCACCGACATCCAGCGCCCAACATGGCAACCTCAAACGGACCCCCAACGCAACCATCTCCAGCGCAGCCTCTCTGCTCCATGTGTGACGAGCCCGCGACAAGCGCATGCAAGGAATGCCGCTGTAGCCGCTACTGCTCCAAGGACTGCCAAAAGCTCGACTGGCCAATCCACAAACTGCTCTGCAAGACCTTTTCGGACTTCCACCCCAACAACGCCCCAGGTCCAGACTTCTACCGCGCCATCTTCTTCCCCGAGCAAGGACCGCGTCCGCGCTGGATATGGCTCAAGCTCCAGGAGAGCCCTAGCGGAATTAGAATCCACTTCAACGGCGTCCCGGTCGATCAGCCTCTCGTCACGGTGGGCGGTCGCATTAAAAACCGCGTTCTCGATCGCGACCACGAGCGGATTAACATGCTGGGCTGCTTGAACGAGCGGAGGAAACTCACCGGAATGGGGAACAAGAGCCTGGACGCCATCGGCGAGGAACTGTCCAATGGTATGAGGGGCCCGCTTCTATACCATGGCTGGTGCGATCACCTGGACACCATGAGCTTCCGGCACATAGTCGATGACATGCGGCTGGAAGTGGAAATCGTCTCGCGGGATCACATGGAGAAGATCGAAGGCGAGACCGTACAAGCCGTGCGGCTGAACTGCGAGGGCGATACGGCGATCTGTGGACGCCCACAGGTAGAGGCGGTGAAAGCTAGTCCGGGCATCTTCAGCGAAGGCTACCTCCCTCAGATACCCGTCGCAGCGAAGCTCGGGATACCGCTTCGTCTTGTAGGAGTACAGCATGCGGCTGTGTGGCGGGACCGAACGTTCAAATGCTGGGACCGCGCCGACAACATGGCGTTTCGATTCCTGAATCCCGCGCAGTGGAATGTCATCTGCGGCAGTCTGATCATCGCGCGGAAGGATGGGAAGCCGCTTCATGTCGCGCATATGAAGGTGCTCCTCGCTTACTGCGTTGAGATCGGGCAGGAGATTCCGTGGCCGAATATTGGAGATGACGACGACCCTGATAGGGACTGCAGCCCTGAAGTTGATCAGTTGCATAAAGCTATGTCGGACCATCTGCTCGAGCGCGCTTCGAAAGAGGGGTTTGAGCGGTTCTTTGCGGCCGGCAAGCATGGTGGTGCTCCTTCCCCTTATGCTGTGTAATGTTTGGAGGCTTTGGATTAGTGGGGGTATGATGGGATTTATATTGACGCCGATTCGTCCATCAAGTCGCGTCATTCAATAAGGCTGTATGCAATGCCGACTGCAGCGAAGCTAGAGGCCAGGGACTAGATGAACGCTACTTGATCTCAGCTCCTGCTACATTCCGCATGAAAAGTTTCCCTATAGATTTAAAGATGATGGGCGGGTCTTGCTAAGCATATTAAAAGGATCTGAGAGAATGAGAGGTTGTAACTTGAAATAGCTGAGCGCGAAATCTGAAACTGGAAATTGGAGAGAAAAGCAGCAAGTGCAATTGAGCTAAAGTACATATGCTGAGATGTTAAGTGACACTGGTGAAACTACGATGCAAATGCTTTGGCAGTGCGGATGAGATATGACCGTGTGGCCTCGTAAAGTCGTGGGAGAAATCCGACGCGTGGAATCCAAGACGCCATAAATAGATGCAAGAACAAAGACTCAAGAAGATGCTTGTGCGAAAGGCAACCCTACCATGAGATTGTGTACCCAGTCATAAATTATAAAACCCCGTCGTTCTCTTCTTCAGCGGCGCTCTATCCGCCTGGTCTCCCTTGCCCCAAAACTTGAGCGGGACCTGCCACTGCGCCGCCTCATCAAGCGCACTATCCAACACCCACGTTGCAAACAATGTGAGAATGACGGCCGACAGCGCGCTCACCCAGTATACCCAAAACGCCCCATTCCCCGGCGCATAGTTATCCTGCATGCTGAAGAGCGAGCTGGTGTACGCGAGGGGAATGAACAGCAGAGCGAGCAAGTTGAGCCGCTTGACGCGCTTCGCTTCCTCTAGGTTCTGGCGATTGCCGGCGATGGAGGCAAGACCCGTCATCGCGCCCATGAGCGTATCAGCGCGCTCTTTGAGGATCTTCAGCCGGAAGTATATGTACTGGAAGTCCTTCTCGCAGTTCTCCCAGTGCACGCGGCGGTGCAGTTCGGTGGCCTCGACGGGATAGCCGAGGCTGAGGAGCGTGTCTTCGATATCGTCGCGGTAGTTGCCGCAGCGGCGGGAGATGGTTTGCAGCGACTTCCACTGGTCTTGTTCTTCGACCCAGGCGGTAGTGAGGCGCAGTTCGAGCGAGGGGAGCATAGCTTTGATGTAGTCTACGAGTTGCAAGTAGTGGGCTGCGACGATCTTCTTGACAAAGATGGAGGAGGTGGTGGGCGTCTTCCAGTCTTCTTCGGAGAGTAGGTCGGCGTGGTTCTTGAAGTAGTGGATTAGGTCGCACACCATTGAGCTGTGCGGATGGGGGTCTTTGCCGCCAGCCGTCTCGTGAGAACGAGGCGGAAGGAAGTCGATGTAGCCGTCTTGAAAGGGGTGGCTTTGGAGCGAGTCCGTGTTGGGAATCTCTTTGTAGCTGCGGCTTGCTGGATCGTATTCTTTGGGTTTCGGATCCAGCTTATCGAGCTGGGGATCGCATAGGATAACGACTGCATGTAGTATCAGTTTCATGTGGCCGAGGTGAAAGGAAGACTTGAGTGCGTACCATCCCAGCCACCTTTGCTGGTAGTTCTACACCACCATGATATCTTCCGCCTAAGAATACCCGTAGTCGAATCCTCCTTGTGCCTTGGCGGTGTCATGCCTACATGCCTCCGCGTCCTGTGACAGAAGTAAGGCTTATTCTCAATGGCCTTCGTAAACTGCCTCAGCTCACAATACTGCAGATGGAAGCTTCTGTCCGGATCCAACAATGAAGGCTGAGGCAGCGCATCACTCGTAGGAGTAAATTCATTGCTCCAAACACAAGTTCTTTCCTGCCGTTGGAAGAATGAAGGGTCCATGAAGAAGTGGCCACCGATAATCGAGATGTAGTCCTTGGCGAGGCCCTCCATGATATAGATACGCCGCCGGTCATGGTCCTTGGGGGTTTCTTCGAAGTGCCTGCGAAGGTCCTGGGAGTTCACGAAATCTTTCTTGGAGAATGAGGGGTCGCCGGAGCCCTCTGCGTCAAGGAGCACGACAAGCGCGTTGCCGTCTTTGAAAAGGTGATGTTTCTTCTTTTTGGCTGGATCGTTCGGGTCCGTCTTTTCGTTATTTGGATCCGGCCTCTTCAAGCCAGGATTGGAACCGCTTAACGCAGCGATGTAGTCTCGATATGGGCCTAAGGCGAATTAAACGAGTGTCGACGAGGAAGCGGGAAGACTCACCCTCATCACACAGCCAGTACCCAATTGCCGTCTTGTCCTCTGGGCTTGGGCTTGGAGCGGCACTTCGTCTCGCCCCATTAACAGCCCCATTTGCGCCGACGTTCAAGTTCCTCGTCGGAAACATCGCTGGTCGAGCCCCGTATATGACCCCGGACACTCGCCAACAAACCCCGCAACCGCGACCCCAGCCCGGACACGAACGGCGCGGTCCTCGACTCCGCTCCCGCTCGCAAACGACCAATGACTCCAACGAACAAGAAAATAGAGCTCTTAGAAGGGATTTCGGGCCGCGCGGAACGGGAAGCCTAGGATATGGTGTGTTGTCATAGACTCTGGGTCAGTCGCAGGCCAAGGTTCAGCTTTTTCAAGCGGGCGCTCATGCGGCTCTGCGAGGCGGAGCAGCTTTGGGGGCCAGAAGCGCAGCGCCACGTCACCCGTGCGCTGCTGCATTGCGCGCCGTCGTTCGTACTCGCCTAAGTAAAATGCCTCGAAGGCGGAGTCTTTGTGTAGCGGGTTTCGTTTGGGTTGGTTTGCTGCAGGTAGGCTGCGAGACATCGAACCGGTGAGAGATTGTTTGGGAGGGGCGAACCTGAGGGCGGCGATACGCCGTGTCGGGCGCGTATGCTGCCTAAGGGGAGCGCATAACAATATCTTTAGGACGCGGACCTCCGCGAGCTGTGCAATGGCGCTTTTTGTCACATTTAGAGGTGTTTTCGGGAGAAGAGTTGGTTGTTCTGTCGAAGAAAAGCAGGACTCGCTCAACGGCTGATCGATCCTGCGCATCATTGGCGCGGAACCGGCTACCGACAATAATTCCTCAGGCACCACAAACACGTACTAGTCAATCGGACCTGATAGCATGCGGCGGGGACGAGAACAATCGCTCACCATCACGGTTCAGGAGATCATGGAGGCTTCAAGGATTCAGATGTGAGAGGGAAAGTCACGTGGTAGTTGTGTCCAAAACTCCGCCGACGGGCTGAGATCTACGCAGTGTCCCCGCATATGTCAAGCATCAACCCCTGGGTGGCCTTAAGCAATACCTAAGTGGGAGAAACGGGCTCTTGGTCCGCTGCCAAGGCCTTGCACAGGATTTACCCAGGCTGCCGGCAATATAGCCAGCTGCTTACAATGGAATCGCCATATAAATTGCGCAGGGATTGCGCATCCTTCGTGCCATGGCTTTGGTATAGAAGCGGCGACTTTTCATGGAATGTCCGCATCCTTGTGTAGCCCTCTCTCCAGCAACAGTTTTCACCATGCATCCTTACCGAGTACTCTGGTACCTCCTCGCGTTCCTTCCCTGGACATCCGCCTTCTGTCCCCTCCACGGACCCGTCTTCCCAGCACCTAAGGACCTCGCATCCTCATCAGTCTTTCAAGCAGCGCTGCGTAACCTAACTATTGCTTATGATACTGGACTTGCTTCTACCAGCGGTGCCATCGCGGTTCAAATATTCGCTTCCGACTCCTCCGTTCCTTTGTTCGAATACTACCGCGATGGAACTACACTTTCCAACACAACCGGTGTGAAGAAGGTCGATGGAGATTCTATTTGGCGAATAGCGAGTATATCGAAGCTAGTCACGGTGTATTTGCTGTTGAAAGAGGTTGGCGACGCGTACTGGAATGTACCGGTTACGGACGTGATTCCGGAGTTGAAGGGTAATGTGAAATGGCGAGAGAATGAGGTGGATTTTGTGAAGTGGGACGATGTGACGCTAGGTGCGCTGGCGGGACAGATTTCGGGAGTGGTGAACGACTGTAAGTGCTGGAAACAAGCTTGGGAACTGAGCTTACAGCTGACGGCCGGTGCAGTGGTAGCTCTTGAGGGTGCAAATCCGCTGATGGATCCAACTATCCAGGAACAACTTGGCCTCCCACCGCTGCCGGAGGAAGAGAAACCGCCTTGTATGGTCTCTGCGGATCCAGCGATAGGCTTCACTTGCTCCCGAGAGGAGTTCTTCGCAGCGCTGGATTCCCGGCAGCCTGTTTTCCATGCGAATACTAAGCCGATATACAGTAGTACGCCGTTCATTATACTCGGCTATGCACTGGAGTCGATTGCCGGGAAGTCCTTTGGGGATTGTTTGCAGGTGGTCATCGATGCGCTCGGACTGGCTGGAACTTCGCTGGAGGCCCCGGACCCATCGAGAGCTGTGATTCCGTACGACCTGGCGTCCACTGGGTTTTTGCGGAAATCTGGGGAGGCTGGGCCTACGGGTGGTCTTTTCTCCTCCATCAATGACCTCTCCAAGTTGGGACGCTCGATTCTCAACTCCACATTCTTGAGTCCAAATACCACTCGCGCGTGGTTGAAGCCTGTGTCGTTTACATCCGACATGCGAAGTGCTGTGGGCCGTCCTTGGGAGGTTTATCGGGTCGATACAACGTCTAGTCGCGGCGTGATCGATATCTTTGGGAAAGGCGGGGATTGGGGCGTGTACCACACGTGGCTAGGACTGGTCCCGGACTATAACATTGGGTTTGTCTCAGCGGTCGGCGGGGAAGGCGATAAGGACTGGCTGAGCGGGCAGATCCTAGACATCGTGCTTCCGGCATTGGAAGAAGCGGCGCGGGAGCAAGCAGATGCAGCATATGCCGGGACGTACCGCGCTCCGGGAGGGTTGAACTCAACGATGACTCTTTCCACGAAGGCTGGCTTACCTGGTTTAGGAGTCGAGCAGTGGATCAGCAATGGAACGAACATACTTCCGGTCATCTCTGAGCTGACAGGCGAGTCTCTTACGCCTGAGACATTCCGGCTCCTACCCACCAACCTTGAGCGGAAGTCGAGGAATGGAACGATGGAGATCGCTTGGAGGACAGTAGCAAGCTCATCGCAGCCTGGCGAAGGACTGAGCGCGTTGTCGGCATGCGGGAGTTGGTTCAACGTCGATGGTACGTCATATGGGAGATATGCGTTTGATGAGATTTTATTCACTCTGGGACCGAACGGCAAGGCGGTAAAGACTAGCCCGCGGGCTTTTAAAGTGGAGTTGCGAAAAGGGAGCTAAGAGACTTTGGAATGCAGCCCCGTATTTATCGTTGGAATATTGGCGCTCATCCTTCCATTGTCGCGTTGATAGATTTCTACGGACCAAAGCGTTCCGAAGCAGGCCAACTTGGTATTCAAAATTTCTGCAATCTCTGCATCGGAACGCTGCTTTATGAAGCTTGTTACGACGTCCCACGAGCCCTTAGTCTTGTAATCTTCTGTTAATTGGAGTCTGACGGCTGATGTTGCATTGCGACGAACCCATGGAAGAAATCGAAGGGTTGGTTTCAACTCACAACTGGGACGGGACGGAAGAATGAAACACCGAATCCTTGGCGCGCTCATTCCCAAATCCGACCTCAGATGGACCTTCTCGTTCCCTCCTACCCAGCAGACAATGCCGCAAGCTGCTATTGCCCTTTCACGAGCTCTACTCGCTCCTAAAGACTGATGAGATCCTTCGAGACCATGGCGTAGCTGATTATTCTGCGCAGCAAGGAGTTTTCGAAACGCGCCGTCAACCTGAAACCAGTCCAGCCCTCCGCATCAGCCTCCTGCCGTCATCAACTAACCGGCTCCACCCAGCCCCGCAGAGCACGTTCATCCTCTCCTCTAGCTCTATCCAAGCTTCGGTCGGTAGCATGTCGTTCGCTGCTGCCTCGCCCACGAATACGCGAGCATACACAATGGGATTCGAGACCTGAGCGGTCGCATATATATCAAACGGAGCGATACCCCTTAGTGGAATCAGCCGTCTGCGCTTCGAACTGGGCCTCGAGGATGTGTTTCTAGCGCCAAAGCGACCTAGAAGGGGACGTCAAGATGTCCTCTCTGCTGAGGTTCTTCTCCTTCAGCCCGTACGAGCGACCTCGCGGATGATTGTTGAATTGCGCTGCTTTCACCATCGTTGTCGCCGGACTGCGGCCACATCTTTCTCCTCTTGGAGGGTGCTGACCAACGTGATCTTGGTGACGCACGCCCGTCTAACAAAGGTACTTGCGAAATCTCACGGATCACACAACGGTTTACTGGTAATCTCTCACTCTCAGGACTAAGCCTCCCGTCCATAAGTCTGGAGCAAGGTGACTGAGGGCTGTGCAGCATTGCGGTTAGTGTCCTGGCAGGCTGGGAGAAGGTCGCATTAGCTGGTTCGATTGGGGAACTTGAGGTGGACTCCCTCTTTTTGCTTTTTTATGTCTGGTGGTGGCGCATTATTGATTGCATGCACCGCCTCAACGTCTCGTTGCCTTTTTGCCTCGACACCTCGACATCTCGCTGCCAACGCCTCGGCGCTACCCTGTGCTAAACATTATAATGTTGCCCGCTGCTAGCTCGGACATGCACGGAGCGCCCCGGGTTCGGCGCAATGTCACACAACTTCCTCTCCGTCCCTAGAGCCACCTACCGGCCAAATCGCGATCGCATACCCTCGTATTTCAAGCTAACGACTCAAACGCATAACCGCAGAGACAGCGAGAGGGATGCTAGAACATATGGCGAGGAAGACTTTCCCCTCGAAACGCTCGCTCCGCCACAGGCGCTCGAACCGAGCCCGACAATGACGTTCGATGATGAGATATCTGCATTAATCATCCATTTCCACAACATGCAGTCTCAGGCGACCACTGGAGAGTCCCGGTACCGGATTGTCCACCGTCGTCCCTCAGTCAAAACTCTCCTGGACTTCGGCCCAAAGCATTGCATGAGCAACCTACGAACGAGGAGTGGCACCACGGTATCTACGGAGAAGCCTGATATCCGCTGGATACATCTACCTGCGAATAAAATGTCTTGGGTCGAGGTATAACCTGCACATTGTCGACTCAGGTGCCTGGACTAACGAGAATGCGTGCAGAAACTCATGGAGCGTATCTACTCCCCCGACTTTTCGGTTGTGTCCACTAGTCAGAAGCCTGCCTTGCTTCTGTCTCCGGAGTATTGGATCAACCGGCAAGTGGAGAGTGCTGGCCCGACAACGCGACACATGCGCCCATTCTATGCCCCTGTGGTTGTTGCGGGTCAAGGTATGTCATAAATACCCCACTGTCCGTTGCAGTCTCTGACTGAGCGGACATGTAGACGAAAAGCCTACTACAAACCATGTCCTTTTTGTAAGTAATACCCAGATCTGGCCCGCATTCGAATCGCTAACGTATTAGATGCCATATGTTCATTGGGATACTGCCCATAAGCTCGAACGGCGGAACAAGTGCATTGACATCGCAGTAGAAGGCAAGCCGGTCACCGCCAGGCCGTCGCTGGACATTCTTTCGCTTTATTCTGAAGTATCTGTCGAAGAACACGAGTCGAAACGAATAAATCAGAAGAACAGCCAGGCAGACGACCCATCAACCGTCTTGACACGATATGAGCTGGAGACTCGTCGATATCGCCGTCTGTTTACAGTCGATGAGCTTATCCTCTTGGCCTACCTTAATGTCCTTTCGTCGATTCATCCGCGCCGCACGCTGGATCACTCGCGCTATCCTACTCTTGAAGGAGACGATATTAACACTCGAGACAGAGATCAAGTGGTATTTCGGCACACAAAGTCCATGGGGCTGAAGCCGCGATTGATGATGGTGGATCAATTGTGGATGTGGATCATCGATGACAGTAAGTCGACCTCCTATATGGGCCTAGTAGACGGTAACACGGTGGGCCCCCAATAATGAATAGCTAATTGTAGTCACCAGAAACTGTTGTGACGGCTTTTCCAAGGAGGTGGAAAGATGCTAGTGAGCCGGCCTTCGACTGATCCGACGTGCAAGAGCGAGTCATGATGGACCTGGCTTCTAACTCCACCAAGATTAAAACGGCTTCAGAGTTAGCAAATCTCATCATTCTCAAATGCTCAGGCTCCTTTTTCCCTACTCCAACCGAAGTCGACCCCACGGGTTTTTTTGGATTTCATGGGCTTCTTTGAAATCGCGATTGGGGACGTAGTAAGTTTGTCAGTCACCACCGCGGATTTGACATACTGATTGTTCCGGAGAAAATGAAAGAGACTAGGGCCTTCAACAGGCTATGGGAGCATTCAAATGAAATGCAATCCCTGCAAGAAACACTGCGTGACAGGAAGAAGCATCTAAGTGCGGCCCGTGTGACGCATCGAAAATATCGGGAGCTTAGCGATAAGGAGATTGAAAGCAAGATACAGGCCGAAGTCAGCGCCCTGACTAACATCACGGAGGAGACGAACCTGCTAAAAGAGATAAAGGACATCTTGGACGAGCTAAATAGCATTCTTCTAATATTCAAGCAGCAGGAGCTTGTCGTGCAGTCTATGGGCAAACATGAGGATGCCGAGGAATTCGATGAGGATACAGGAGAGCTTCTTTCGCCAGCAGACAGCCCGAAGTATCGGATGCGTAGTCGCATTCAGCGCTCCCATTCAGAGCTTCTACGAACGATTAGGGATCATAAGCGAGATGTTGAGATGCTTGAACTCGAAGCAGTTCGAACGCATGATTCTGTAAGACCTCAGCAGCAGATCCACCTTGTAAAGTTGCTAATCACGTAGGTTAGCTTAGCATGCTTCTGGACCTGAAACAAAAGCAAGCCAGTGTTCTCGAAGCTGACTATGCGCGGCAAGAAACGGTCGAGACGACGTCCCAAGGAAAGACTCTGCTAGTCTTCACCACTGTCACTATTATCTTCGTATGTTGATGCGTCACACTCCGCATTTAACCAAATTACTATGCTTATGACTTGCGAACAGTTGCCACTGTCCTTCATCGCAGGGTTCTTCAGCATGAATGCACGGGAGATCAATGGATATGAGCGACCCATCCGGCAGATCATGGCCATCATGAGTCAGTAATCATAGTACTTTCGTTGCCGCATAACTTCTGACAAGCGACAGTACCGAGCACTGTAGCTGTTCTCTCAATTGCCGTTGCAGTAGCCTATGCCGGCAAGATCCGTCATGCCTGGGCCTTCGCAGGAGGAGCGCCCATCAGTTCCACAGGAGGGTTACTCGCCGGAGACGTCTTGTGTTTTCTAGAAGAGTTGTTCTGGCTTATCTGCAACATCCCTAGCTGGATACTCTCTGTTGCTTGGTTCGTGATACGCTGGTTGGGGTCGGTGGCCGCGTCCGTACGAAATCCATGGGTGGAGACTCCTGGGCCTGCTTATCCGGGTATTCCAGCGTATAACCGCATTCGGGGACGGTTGTTTTGAGTGCGATGCCTTTCGCTGGAGGCCTCTTCATAGAGTCGCTAGGAAGTAGGCTTGGGACTGTAGGAAGAGCTCAACTTAAGGTCGATGTTCCTGTCGGCTGCGCTCTGGCGGGTTCTCCAACTGACTTCACTAGGCTAACGTCAATAATACTCATCAGAGGGCGTATAGTGCCTCGCGTGGACTGATACTATTTCGCTGTGAGAGCAGCTTGACCTCTTCCTTCCCATCGCTTTCATCCTTGTTGCACACTCACTATACTCCTGGGGTTACATAATATGCCCTTGTCCTCGTAATTATGACTGGCGAAAGTGACGGCATGGCAGCAATAGAATACAAGGCGCTGCAGGCCCTAATGCTGTCTTTATCCTTGCCTTGGTCCCTCCGGCCTTGTGTCTGTTTCGCCTATTGGTTATTATTCTCTTATCTGAGGTCTTCTACCTAAGACGTATCCGTTCCTGGGTTTTTACGCTAGGAGCCAATCATTTGCGTTGAGAGAGCAGTAGCGGTAAAGTCCACCTAACGATTGCGTAAATGAGCTTCACACAAATACAGACATTGCGGTTGTGCATGGTGAACGTACGCGTTACTAGCTAAATCTCCACTTGCAGCCAGTGAGGGAAACGAATGGTTTTAGTGATCGAATTCTCGCAAATCACTATTTGATTTATGTAAATTATCATCGTTTAGACTCTGCACCTTCTATTCTGCACAACTGCTCTTTACGGCATCCCCGTTTGGGACAACAATCTCTGCAACCGCAATGGGAAATCTCTGCCGCCTTTTCCGTAACCGACGCAGCGAACCTATTACCATACCTCATACACCCTCGAGGTTGGAGCTCCTTCCCTACGAGATTCGCGCCATTATCTTCAGCTTCCTGGGGTACGGTTGGATGGAGGTCCGCACTGGTTTCGACCCCGGGGATGCATACACGCCGCCTCTGCGGTTCGCGCATCAGCGACTCGATAGCGATGTAGGGCTTAAAACTCTAGCGCGTGTAGTCGAACTCGAATATGACTTGCGGTACAGCTACCCACTCCTAGAGCACACTAGCGTGCGAGTCCCTGAGGTCGACTACATAGCCAGCCCCCCTGCAATCGCTCCTCTGGACGTCTTCATCGCATATCCAGTGACCGACGAGTTGATACGGCTCCCCGGACGCTACTACGAGCCGGCAATCATGGCGGTTAACCGGAGCTTGACGACTGATGCAATGCATTTTCTGTTCCGCGACAATGTCGCGCTGTTCCAACAACCGTTGATGGGAAAGCCCAACCCTCCGTGGTAAGCAACACTATCTTATTGGCGAAGCAATTCGAGCTAATGTTGGGAACAGGGCGATCCTGAAGACCTCAAACACGCACATCCTATGGGGGCCCCTCGCGCATATGACGAAGATCTCTCTCGGCGAAGAGGTCGGGAAGTACGTGAGAAAGGTATTTAGAAAGACTATCATCCTGCGAAGTGCGCTCCAAAGCTTCGGAGACTCAGTCCTTTTCATCTCGAAGCACTGCCCCCGATTGCAGTCGTTGGATATTAATCCGAGCTCTGGGGTTCTCAAGCAGGCTTCGAAACGCGACTTGGATCAACTGGCGCACGCATGCGCGCAAGTCGTGCGGAAATGCGCAGAGTTCAGGTGTTTGAGCATCAGGTTCAAATGTCTAGAGCCATGTTCGCCCTCAGACCCCCAACTAGCGACGAAGAAACGGGAAGTGAGCTTGAATATTGACGAGTCGGAGGCGCATGGCAAGGAGGCGCACGTTAAGGAGTGGGTGGTGCAGATTCTGAAGCAATTGGCAGAGGGCACCCATCCTGAAGGATCGACGATTGTTAGATGAGGATGACGATGTACCCGCTTCATTTGCCAGAGCTGTACTGCAGCTCGTAAGCGGGATTTGAACCTCAAAATCTACCAAAAAGGCAGCTATCTGTGGGCCACAGTACGTGAGTTGGGTTCATGGTGAATCTGTAAGTATGGCGCGCGAAGATTCCAGAACATCTCCAAGATAGCCTGCACTCTAACAGTGTAACTGCAAGTGGATGCCGGCGTTCTTGGTATCCCTAGAATGCAATGATATAGCCGCAGAGTCATGTTGGTTCTCATTTCGTGAAATCTCCGCTGGGGCTGAAGAACTACAATACCGGACGGCAGCATCCCTCCGTTCTTGCCGACCGTTCCGATATCCCTATGTTGAACACGGGCTCGCCCCTCATCCTACGTCACTGTATTCCTGCCAACGTTGCACAAGGCTACGCAGACTCTCGCAGCTTAGTCTGCCACAACTACGCTTTTGGAAAAAGGCACGCAGTCGCTCCTTCGGCCGGCTATCGGAAAACCTCGGCCGCTTTGAGGGAGCTGAATTGAACGCTTGTTCGTCCAATAGTAGAACGGCTTCCGTGCCAAGATTTCTTGGAGGCAAAAAGTGCTTACTAGCTAATTTAAATGATGTTTGGAGTAAGAGAGAAACACTGCTAGAGCGGTGAGTAAGGAAGGTGGAAATGGCGTGTCTGTCTCGGGGTAAGTCGATGGATCACGCATAGAGAGAGGGCCAAGTGTTAGGCGGCCAAAGTGTTAGGCGGTCAAGTGTTAGGCCGCCAACCATATTCGGTCCGCACACACCGGAATGGTCCTCATCCTATTAAGTCAGATGTTGGAGGAAGTTCGTTAGGCGGCCTTCTGCGCAGCAGCCCTCGCACGTCCAGCACAGCCTCAAGCAAGAAGTATAAAAGTGCCGTATCGTGGAGCATATCTTCATTCCATCAAGCTACTTCACCTGCAGTCACAATCAAGCATCAACGCTACCTCTCAGACATTACATCCTTTCACGAATCTACTCCAAACACTCCATATCCATCATGCGTTCCGCTGCAGCTATTCTCGTCGCCACCACGGCATTCCTCACTGCACCAGCGGTAGCTCTGTTCGACTGCAACGCCGATCAACACGCCTTCCCAGTCACACCCGGAAAATTCGTCGTCCACTACACCTCTATCCGGGACTCTAACTACGACGACGATGCATGGGTACGTATCACACTGCGCAACTACAGCCACAGTCCCATCCCTCTCACCCACTATCACCCCTCGCTGACCGTGCACCTCCTAGATCCGCATCTGCAAGCCCAACGCCCAGAACAAATGGGACAACGTCCATCCACTCGGCACCCAATGCGGCGCCGGGCATCCCGTCACTTTCTCCACATCGCAGACCTCGCTCAACCACGCTTTCAAGGTGACGAATGGGAACGGATGCGATTGGTTCAGTAGCAATCTTGATGATGCGGCGATGGATTATAATGGGCAGCATAGGGATTTGGGGGCGGATCCGGCTGCGGGTTGCGGGAAGAGGGATCATGGGATTAGTTGTGAGTTTGATTTGTAGGATCATGAGTGGTGAGCTGCGTTTGAAGTTTTTTGGGGTAGATGCGATCGTCATTCGTTTAAAAGATTGCTATTTCAGTAGGTAGGTGGAAGGATTGGGGAGGGTAGTTCTTAACACGCTATTTTACATCCACTTCCTTTTTTGGACTATACCAAGGCGTGTCCTTTGACAGTCCACCTTCATCGCAGGTAGTCTACCTCACTTTGATATTCTCCAAGCACACTAGACACACAGATATGAAGCTCTATCTCTTATACTACTTCGTATGTCTTACTGGTAAGTGCATTTTCACACTGCTGCAGTGAGCTTCGATGCCCAAAAAAGGGAAGTTCATAGAGAACTCGCTTTCTCTCTTTAGACTCTCGGAGACGTACGTCCGAATGGGCATATGCAATTCCCAAGAAGCTCTGACAGGAAAGCACATCGACGGCTCGTCCATGTCCATTAATCCACGTGGCCTGGAGAGCTGGCAGTGGAGAAAGGAGAAAAACAATAAGCGGGAGAGTTTAAATAGTCACCAGTATTTAGCCCGTCCAATAAACAGAAAACCGCACCGAAAAATTAATGCGCACGAAGGGAAGAGGCAAGGTCGAATTCCACATCAATGACGCGTGGGGATTATTTTCGCACCTGCACTAGGGCCATGTAACAAAATTATGCCATCCAGCTTCCCTAAAGCGCATCGTCCAGTCCGTCCAGCTTTCTTAACACGCTATGAAGATTGCATTTCGAAACTTTTACACCGGGACGCCACAGGAGAAGCCATACGAAAAGACACTTTGGCTTAGTAATGTGCAATGGAATGATAGTGATGTTCTGGGAATGTTTGAGGAGAAGTGTAGATGTATACTAGCGTCAAACTTCCCCTTTACTCAAAGAACAGAATGATGGTTTCCAAACGGCGCTCATAGCTGCCCTTGGCTCGGTGGCACGGATGAAGCTCCAGACCGTGCAAGCTTTCCCCGTAAATTTACTTCTCTTCTCGGCGGACACATACCTTGCATGCACGTTCGTTTTAGCGAAATCCGCTCCATGCACTGCACGGGATCTTTTTAGTGGGCGACGCTCTCGGAGCACGATGGTGAGGAGAGACGTGTGAGAGTAAGGATGAGAATTTATATAGACTCGAGATTACTAGCGCCAGGGGGTATGATCAAGTTCCTGAAGTACATAAGTGACGTTTTAAGAGATCCACCATCGCACGATGGCACTGCTTATCACCATCACACTTCCCTCTGCCCCAATCCTCCATACCATCGAAAACCCTCCCTTTTTAACATGAGTTCCAACGAACTACCACAGTGCAGAGCGCAGCCGAGCAAAGTCTCCACATGGCTCTGTGGGACCCGAAATTTTTGGACTCTCCTCCCTTGGCGCTCCCATGCAGAGCTTGCGATAGTGTAGTCCAGAGATCCCAGAGCCGGGGCACACTCCATTAAACCAGATGCTGTCCATTTTAGTAAGAAGTTATCGTGACGTCCTGTAGAGAAGGAAGAGCGGAAGAAACGCGAAGGGGTTTATTTATGCGCATACCACGACGCGGTTCCTCGCCTGCGACCACTGAAGCGGTACCCAAGTGCACTGACTCTGAAGCGATATCCGATATCACCATCCCCGACGACTGGTGGTTAAATGCACGGCTACGTGCTCACAAACTGCCGGGTCTGGCTTCAGGCCAGCTGCGTGCTATGCATATGGTGTCTGGCAGTTAAACGGCGCGACTTCCGGGACGGTAGAATGGGCGCCGCCGTTTTAGGTTTCCACTGGAGACTGACCACGCTATGTTCCCTCTGAGTTTTAGACAATAGCTCCAACCGCGTCCATGTTGTGCTTGGAGGTAATTTTTTGGGCAAGGCGATCCGAGCGTGGTGCGGGTCAAGGCAAATTGGAAGAGCACGGGAAGCCTTATATAGACGTTGAAGTGGGTTCTGTCCGATGATGGCACGTGATCGTCCGTCATGCAAGATTGATAGGTGCACGGCCAGCTCGAGGAGCCGGGAATGAACGGAGACTAGACAAAAGAGAAGCAATGGATGAGGAAGTATAAGTAAATCGCAAGATTAGACAAATTGATAAGCCAACAATCGCCCGAATAGTCTATCTACAAGAAAGAATTATAAGCAACAGGATATCACCTAATGAACCATGTTCTTCCCAATCTCACTCTCCCAGTTTAATGCCCTCTCAAAGCCATTCGAATTCGACTGGTAGTCCATCATCGCCTGCATGACCTCATCCCGGCTTGTCACGACGAAGGGCCCGTATTGTACGATGGGCTGGTCGAGCGGCATGCCGGCAACGAGGATGAACCTGGATTCCGACTCGGCGCCTTCCTCCACAGAAGCTTCGATGCTGTCGCCTTCCTTCGCGAAAACGACGTTGTGGTATTGCGGGATCGGCCGAGAGACGCCTTCGGAGGAGAAGATAGTGGTGCCGTTGAGCGTGTATGCGAACGCGTTCCAGCCCTTGGGCAGCGCTTGCTTGACATGGCCTCCCGGCTGCACCGTGAAGTCCAGCAACCACACTGGGGTGTATGCCAGCTCCTTGGGCGAGTCTGTGTCATAAGCCCGACCGCTGATAATCTTCACCCTGACCTTCCCGTCGTCGGCCGTAGCTTCCGGTATCTCCTTCGCCTTCAGATCTCGGTATCGGGGTTCGCAGGACTTGAGCTCCTTTGGCAGGTCAACCCAAAGCTGCATGCCGACGTTCGGCGAGCCGTCGGGGTTCTGTCGCGGCATCTCGGCGTGCACGATGCCTCGTCCGGCCGTCATGAATTGTAGGTCGCCCTGCTCGATTGTGCCCTTGTGTCCCGCGAAGTCTTCGTGGTCGACGGCGCCCGAGAGGAGGTACGTGATGGTCTCCTGGCCCCGATGGGGGTGGTCGGGAAACCCGGCGCCCGGCGGGATGGCGAAATGGTCGAGCATGAGAAAGGGGGAGAAGTTGCGGAGCTGTGGAGTGCCAATTGATCTTCTCACTCTCGCTCCTGCACCCTCGGATTGTTCGATAGCGAGGAAAGACTTCTGGATCTTGCGAGGTGCGCTGGTGGTGAGGGGCTCGTCGGGGATGACAGGCAAGCCCTTGAAAGTCGTCGTAGCGCCGTTCGTCGACATCGTTCGGGTAGTGTTGAAGAAGCTCTGCGTAGCCGGTCTGATCTGTTTCGAAAGCTGCGTAAAGCGCGAAAGCATGTACTCGTTGTTGTAAATTGCGATTGCGACTGCTGCGACGGCGAAAAGGATGGAGGAGAGCGTCTTCATCGAGCCTGACACGGCTACTTATACTTGATGCGTGGGGAGAGTCGAGAAGGTTCGAAGCGCGAGCTAGAGGGATTCAAAGAGCGCAGGGCCATGCCGATGGGAGCTCTGTAAGGTGTTAGAAAGCGGCGTGAAGAAAGTGACGGCTTGGCGGGGAACCGGCTTTGACAATTCTTACCAAGCAGCCGATGAGGCTTCGGCTTCGGCAGTGGCATCGGGAGGGTGACGGGCCAATCAGCGCAGGCATCATTGTTCAGGAAGTGTAAGCACTTAGAAACGGTAGCAAGGCATCCTTTAGATTTGCGATGCGGTATACCCGAGCCTACATTCTTCCATGGCCAATGCGCATATTGTATCAAGTTCGAAAAAATGGAATGAGTGTGAGTTCACGTGACTATGGCCCAGCGCAAAGACGCACATCTCGCTTATCGAAATCCCCTGTCTTCCCCACCTATCACTCCGTCTCTGCCACCATTGGCACCATTCTTAGCCCGTCTCTCAGACACTTCATCAACCGGCCATGTCGCTCAACTATGCCTATTTTACTAACGGCAAATCGATGACCGATCTAAAGTCGACTTTCGTGGACTATCTCTTCTTAGATCCGATGAACAGCGCCACTGAATATTTCGCATGTGTGCTTCCCTGCCGGACCGCAAGTTGGTGGGCTGTGCATGCAGCTTGGTCAGCCCATGTTCTCCCGAGGCAGCCGTAGCCTTGCGAGCGATGAAACGTTTACTCGAAATTCCCACCACTTCCCTCGGGATAAAACGTTTTCCCGCCAATTTCGACTTTCGGCTGAAAGGGCCGGTACGAATGCAACCATGGATGGCCTGTGCCATTGTGTACGTCCCGACCTCCAGAAACTCGGCGAAGACCTGTACTGCTTGAGCTGCGGATATGCCAGCCTTGGAAAAACAGAGAACCAGCATTTCAAGCCCGAGGGACCCGGTAACACCGTTATACACCTCACAGGGCGGGCGAAGTTCCACTATCGGCCTCTCCAATCCCCCCATGCTCTGAGACTCGTGCACCTGTACGCCGGGCATCGCAAAGACGAAATCCGATGTCGCATATTTCATGCCACTCTGGAAGATCATCCTGTCTTCGAGGCGCTATCTTACACATGGGGCGACAGTATCCTATCACACGAGATATACTCCGATGAGGGTACCGTTCGCGTGACAGCCAACTGCGCTTCTGCGCTGAGGGACCTACGACACACGTCCCGTGACCGGTTCCTATGGATTGACGCAATCTGCATCAATCAAGCTAGCAATGCGGAAAAGAATCATCAGGTACCGCTCATGAACAAAATTTATGCTGCAGCGATACGCGTGGTTATCTATATCGGTCCGGATCCAGCTGACGATGCTGATCGTTTCTTCGATTATTTCAGGCCCCATTATTTGAGGCCCGATAGCGCTTGCATGGCGGCCCGCAAGATCGTGGATCAAGATCATGTCTCCGCATTTCTGTCGAAGTCTTGGTTCTCCAGGATATGGGTGCTACAGGAAGTTGCCGTTGCCAGAGAGGCAGTCCTGATGTGCGGCCTCGCATCGATTAACTGGAAGTACTTTTCGGCTGCTCGCCTGAACGCCATGGGGCGTCTGCCGATAGACCGATCTAAAAAGGTGCCTCCCGTCATGCTCTTGTCACACGATATTCCAAAGCCTCTGAAGGACTTCATCTCGCTCATACATACAGCACGAAGCTGTGAAGCATCGGATCCAAGAGACAGGGTCTTCGCCTTGCTCGGACTCTTGAGTATTCAAGTGTCGGATGACCTCGTTCCGGGCTATAATAAGTCGGTCGAGACCATTTACGCTAACCTAACTGCCACTACCGTGGAATTCTACCGGCATCTCGACATCCTGTCTTTGGCCGGAAACGAAACATACGACGAAAGACAAGCCGCTGAAAAGCTCGCGTGGAAGGTAGCAGCATTGAAACCCAGAGTTCTTGTCCCAGATCATGAATTGGAAGCCGCGGTGGATCGAATCGAAGCGGATATCCAGAATGTCTTAGACACAAGTGGGGTTCGGGTAACTGCGTTGGCACTTATAACTGCAGAAAGTACGGAGTGCAGAGCATTGATAGACCTCTTTCGGAAGGTACAGATGGCTGAGGATGATTGGATGGAGTTATTTGAGAAATCCGACATTTTGAGAGACCTGCCTTACGCCTTATCAGAGTGGCATGGAGAGAGCAAGCTACGTTGGATATTCCCTCATGGCAAGCCAAGCCAGTCGCAGGCGGAGCCGAAAGTGATAGAAACACAGGGATTGGGGCGGCTTGGGGCGCTGTGGGGGTCTCTCCAGGAGTTGAAAGTGCTAGAAGAAGAGGAATTACGACGGCTTGAGGCACTATGGAGGTCTCTTCAGGAGTTCAAGGATGAGCGACGGAAGGGCCGGGGTAATGGCCCGTTAATGAATGAGAAACGATGCAAATTCGAGCAACAGCACGAAGTATGGCTGGCAGGCGGGGAGGAGCTCGATAGGAAACGGTACGAACTAAGAAGGGACAGGAGAGAACTGCTAGAGCTGCTCCAAAAAAACGATGCGATAGGAAGGGACGGTTGGCCAAGGTCAGAATTCCAGTCGCTTAAGATTGTTCCCAAATGGCGTGGGTTTAGATTGCACGAAAGGAAGGAGGAAGCTCATAATGCTTATCAACAGAGGGTACGGGAGGTGCTATACAAGATGAGGAAGACGGAAGAAACCGGGGGCTTGGAACTAAACTACTGGGAGGCAGCCTGGCTTGCGAAACTACGGGCGTTACCTACCAGCATCCTCGCCCACCCCATTGAACAAGGATCTCCAATAGCCTTATGGAACCATACACGATTCCCTTCTCTCAGCGCTCAGAGCTATATCAATTCGTACGCGGAATGGCACGGTCTCCAAAAAGAGCACCAAAACTTTCTCGAGACAAAGAGAGTCATAAGCGAGGGCCTCCACAGCAACTTGCGATTCTCTAGCGATGGAACTAGAAGCACAAATGCCGCCTTCCCCTCATGGACGGTGGATTTAGCAAGCCATCAAAGCCTCAGTTCACTCACGCATCACCTCGCGAAGCCATCCAAATTCCAAGGATCAGTCGCTCGCCTTTGCAACAGTCCGCACAGCCATGAGACTCCCGCACTTGAGATTAGATTCCTCGAAATAGACGAAGTCTCAAGCGAGCAGGGCCATACACCCGACATTTCCAGTGAAGACGGCATGCTCCGCTCATCCCTTAACGAGGCGTCGCCTTCGTCACAGCAACTTGCCGCGCCAAACAGTTCTTCAACTATTGACGCTGAAGACTCCCTGTCTCACGTCCTCGAAGCATTACTCACAAGATCCTTGTCGAGTACATTGGATTCGTTCGTGGACTTTTGCATCGGCCGTCGCTGCATGCCCACGCACCACTCCTGGGTGATCTGCTCAGGCCGGGTCCGCGAACACGACAAAATCTGTGTCCTCTATGGCGCGAGCGTTCCGTTCGTGCTGAGGCCAGTCCAAGTGAACGAGAGTCACGCATCCTTCAAGCTACTTGGCGAATGCTATCTTCATGGACTCGCTGGGTTCCGATTCGATGGAGATTATTTGGGCTTGCTGTGTGATTACGGGAAGCACTTTGATGCCAAGTCAGTGGATGAGTTGCCGTGGAAGAGGGTCTGTTTGGTCTGACGCAATGAAAACTTTGTATGTGAGCCTCCACAGTTTCCTTTCCCTATCCGTAATCTCTAAGATGGTAGTCCGAAAATAGATCTAACAGCAATTCAGGTCTAAATCCATCCGAAAATCGGAGCAGACAACGCCAGCCGAAGGGCTCCAGGATCCGTCTTCCACTGCCGTGTAGTGCGCATAGAGAGGCCGAGTCCATATTTCGAGAGCTTCAGGAGAGTCTGGGTCCGCTGTCAGTAGCAAGCATCCTGGATGGATTCAGTGAGCTTACCGTTGCTGGTTGAGCCATTCCCTATGGGGCGAGGGCCCTAAGCTGCCTCGACAGCTTGGCCAGCGCTTCCATCACCGTCACCATCACCATCACCGTCATCGTTGCCGTCCTGATCCTTGTCCTTGTGGCGCGGCCTAACTTATATTAGCAACAGCACTCTTGGAGGCTCTCAGCACACAAAACCATTGTCGGTAAAGCTTCGGATCCCATTGTGACAAGTGCCTGGGTTAGGAATGTCAACTCACTTGCGCTCCTTGCTGTTATCCAGGAAGAATGCCTTGTCCTTCTCTTTGGCCTCCTTCTTCTCCTGTGCCTTCTTCGCCTTCTTCGCACGCGCTGCTTCGCCCAGTCGCTCGCCCTTGCACGCACCGCACTCCTCGTTCCAGAGATAGATGGCGTCGGGGTGAGATCGGCAGTAGACCTGGTGCTTTTTGCACCGCCCGTTCTCGTCGTAGTCGCAGCCGCCGGCCGATTGGCTGCCAATGGATGCCTTCTCTCCCGGACAATGGTGTCTCACGCCGCTGTACGGCATGGTGGATCTTTCGAGCTGTGGGGGTCGAAGCGCGGGGTTTGCTTGTCGAATTGCTCAATTGGCTTGCCGAATCTGTTGGAAAAGGAAGTATCGTCTAGGGGACTGGACTTATGTATTGGGCCGGGCGGTAGCTAGAGCGAAGCTGCCTGGAAGTGAAGGAGAAATTGAGCAAACGGAATCAGGCGGCTCCTCTCACCCGCATATCTCACCAGTGAAGGTTCACCGCATCTTATTTGGATGCTATTCGAGCTGCATTTCTTAAACCTTGCACCTCCTTATCTCTTCCCTCATCTGCTTCTCTCACTTTCCGTCCATAGATTCCCCAGCTCACCCTTGCATTACTACGCCAGAAGGGTGCAAATTCCTTTTCTAAATGTTTGCTTGCGCTGTTCGTGCTATTGCCAACTTCCCTCCTTTGGCGAAAGTTTTACGATTATCTGAGGTGTTCGAGCATTCACCCTGATCTTGATCTTGGCGCAAACGATTTTAGCGCGAACCAGCTACCCGGTAATAGGGAAGTTCCCCCACTCGCTCGACAAACGCCAACACCACACCCTCACCTTGACCTCCGCAACCTGCACACTGCCTACGAGCGCGCTCGTCCGACACACCTATTGCCCCAAGGCTGACCGCTTCCGATCTTGTGAGCGCCTCTCACGCGCCTTTCCCACGCTCAACCCGCTCGATGAAGCTGGTCGATGACACCTCCAAGCGGGACAATGACACCAGGCACGCTGAAGGCCAGGGCGGCGATGTAACGTCTGCGGTTAGCAGGGCTTCTACCGATCGATACGGCCACGAGCCGTTCGACTCCTTCCGGGATAAAGTCGCCCAGCTCTGCGCCGACGAGTTCGGTCCGCGCAACATCACGATCGAGCGCATGAAGGGCGGGAGCTTCAACCGTGTCATCGGCGTCACTGTTGCGCCGCGTTCGACGAAGAAATTGACTTTGAAGCGACTCCGCTCCCTCCTGCCCCGTATGTTGAAGGACCGCCGCGCCAAGAAGATTTTGAAGTACGTTCTGCGCATCCCACGGTACCAAACTGGAGAGTACGGGCTGGCATATGACATTGCAGTTCTACGATTCGCTCGGGCGCACGTCGACTTTCCAATCCCGCAGGCCATCTTCTTTGATGCGAACCCTTGGAATGTCCTGGGCTCTCCGTATATGATGCTAGACCGCCTAGTCGGTCAGAATCTGCAAGATGTTTGGAAGAAGCTCACACATGCGCAGCGCGCATGCGCGCTGCGACAGATCATGAAAATGATTACCCAACTTCAGGCCGTCACTAGCACTCTTGCCGGCGTCATCCATCCCTCGAATGATCCAGTCTCAATGACAGAAGTGCAGATTCAAAAGTTCCTCGTAACCTCCCGCAACACGACTGTGTCCAGGTCTCAAATTCCTCCAACGCCACCCAATTCTCCACAGACAACGCAAGAGCTCCTGCTGGACCAGTCTGATCGGTGGATTGCGCTCGAGAAAGCGATCAACAGGAATGGCTTCGTCGTGCCGCAGCAGTATAAGCTGAGGAAGATCATCCTCGCCCTTCATGAACAAGGCCTCATCCCCGACACCGACAAGTTCCACCTATGTCATGCCGACCTCTTCCCGCGTAACATCCTCGTCGACATCCCCAATCATCAGACGGTCAACATCACGGGCGTGCTGGACTGGGATGCCGAATACTCCTATTTCGCTCCCAAATTTGTTGCCTACCGCGCGCCGTTCTGGCTATGGCATTCCGACCAGTCTAGCACCGAAGCCGAGCGAAGCGAGATACTCGCAGCGATCGAGCCGGCGAATCCAGAGGACAAGGAGATGAAGAAGCTGTTCGAGGGGTTGGCCGGCGAAGAATGGAAGCGTTATGCGTTGACGCCGGAATATATCATTGCGCGGCGGATGTGGCGGCTTCTGAAAAGCGGCTTTGGCTCGAACGATGCCTTTCGCGAGGCGGATGAGCTTATACGGGCGTGGCGGGAGCTGCACTATGAGAGGGAGTTAGAGAGCGACTACTTCTTTCTTTCCGATGACGAGGACTCGGATACCGAGAGCGAGTGCGACAGCAACGATGAGTCTGTCGCTGTGGTCCCTACTGTGTCAACCAGCCGCTGGCGGAGCCCTCCTGAGAGCTCGCCAACTAGCGGCAGCACTGTCGACGGCGAGTCCTCCGGTCAAGGTGTGGGCGTTGGGGGTATACCGTGTCAGCAGGTGTGTGAAGTGTGACGATTCATTGAGAGTTAGGGTGACGATGGGGAGGGAGGGCGGTAGGCAATACCACCTCTAACGCGCTTCCAAAGCCGTCATCATCCATGATCTTTGGGAATGAGAGGGTATCCCATCGCCGGGTAAAGGAAAGAAGGACTGGTCGGACATTAATATTGGGTTGGGGAATCCTGGTTTAGGACGGATTTTTTTCCCTGCCCCTCATCGCAAGGACATGCACCTCTTTTAGCGCTTTCGTAGAGCATTAGACACGCCCATGGATTGTCGACAGAATCAAAAGTATCGCTTCACTCTCTCGTTGTTGATATCATGCGAGCATTGTTTCAGCTTTTAGCTATGTGTATACAGTCTTGTGAATATACTTACTATGTCCCCCATCACACAACCTTGATCGAGCTTTTTCTAATTCGCCGTGTTTCAACTAGTAGAGTAAAGTCCTACCCGGTGTGGAAAGGTATGCGCCATTCCTATTCCACTTGCAGACCAACGAGGACAAACCAAGGCATCGAAGTAAATAAATGCCTGGGAAGATGCATTAAAACACTGTAATCTACCAACTCCCGCCGCAAGCACCACACAGACAGAGTCGCGATAAGGTAGCCTGGAGGCCCTCACAATGTCTATCAGACTCGCTGCCTGAGGTACAGTGCCAAGCCAAAAGTTTGGTTCCCCCACAACGCGATCGCGCCTACCTAAAAAAGCTAACGTACTTTTATCATCAAAACCCCCATATTATCGCGTATTTCACAAACGAACGTGCCATATAAACGAACGACCTAAAAATGCCAAGCCCCCACTAAATGCCACCATCTCTATCATGAAGCCCTCCACAAACGCCTAATCGACTTCAGACGAATTCTAGATACAGCTTGCGCTCTAGGCTATTTAACAGGACCTAGAGCTAAGCGTGCGGCGCGCTGCAGCTCTCTATAACGTAGAGCGGGAGAAAGTCTACCGTTAATACTAGTCGCTCTACAACGTAAAAAGACACCTAATTTAATAAAGCTTACTATAAATAAAGAGTAGGCAATAGTTAAGTATATACTTAATCTAGACGCGCGAGAATTTACTCTCTAGCTTGCTACTATTTAAGATATAGCTAATTAGCTACTTACTAAGTAGAGAAAAAAGGTTATAGGTAAGAACTAGCTAAATAACTTTATTATACGCTATTCTAAGCTTAAAACGTAACTTAATTATAAGTATAACTATTAGAGAGTAAAGTAAGAAGATTCTATAATTATTTAGGCGTAGTTTAACCTAGTAGGTAATATAAAGGCAAAGTATAGTATTACTAATAAAGATACGTAACGTACTTTACTACTAAAAGCCTTATACTACTAAACGCTCTACGATTTCTTGGCAAGAAAAATTAATAAAAATTAATAGGTTTTTCTTAAATAACTAAGCGAAACCTTAATATTTTTCTATAAGATTTTAAACATAGATAGAACTATGCTATATACACCTACTATAAAAATTACACTAAGATATATTACGTAATTAAAAAGCTATACGTATTTAACTAACTTTTAAGAAAAAATCTAGTTTACTTCTAGTAAGTACTATTATATCTCTATAATAATCTATAAAACTTATAGTATATAGTATTTATAACTTAATAAAGATTTCTAGAAAACTTCTATAGAGCTAGCTCTTTAAGGTATAGCGTAATAAGAGATAGAAGTTTAAAAAAGATCTTTCTAGAGTTTTCTTCTCTAACTATAGATATATATAAATAATCTAGCTATATAAAGCTATATACTATAGAATTATATATACTATAAGCCTTCTATATATTTAGAAGTAATAATTTTAAGATAGTTTTAGTATATTTCTCTCTTTCTATACTATACTACTAAAAAGACTTTACTTTTAAGTAACTACTTAAAGCTAGTATATTATTAGTTAATAAGCTCTATATAGTTAAAACTAACTATAATATATAAAATAATAAGTTTATAGAGCTAGATTAACTATATATATATATATAGTTAGAAGAAGAAAGCTTTAAGAAGAAAATTTTCTAACTTCTATCTCTTATTATACTATACCTAGAAGAGCTAGCGCTATAGAAGTTTTCTAGAAACTTTTATTAGGTTATAAATACTATATACTATAAGTTTTATATATTATTATAGAGATATAATAGTACTTACTAGAAGTAAACTAGATTTTTTCTTAAAAGTTAGTTAAATACGTATAGCTTTTTAATTACGTAATATATCTTAGTGTAACTTTATAATAGAGTGTAATATACTATAGAGAATATATATATAAAATTTTATAGAAAGATATTAAGGTTTTGCTTAGTTATTTAAGAAAAACCTATTAATTTTCGTTAATTTTTCTTGTTAAGAAATCGTAGAGCGTTTAGTAGTATAGAGCTTTTAGTAGTAAAGTACGTTAAGCTATATAGGTTACCTATAATTCTAACTCTATCTAGTATAATACTATAGGCTTTATTAATACTCTCTATAGAGTAAGAGACTTTTATATAGTATACCTAGATAAGCTAGAGCTACTATTATAATTAGATACTTAAATTAAGATATATAAAAAAGAGAAGACTTTATAAAAGATAGTAGAGAATTTAAAACCTATATAAGTAGAAGATAAGAGAGTAACGTAAAGGCGCTACTAAGTAGAATAAGAAGTAATTTAGTAATAAGATTAATAGCTAGAATAATCTTAGAGATATACTTTAGAGCTTAAGAATAAGCTTTTTCTATAAGAGAGAGTAATATAATAGTCTAGCTTAGTATTTACTAGAGTTATATAACTTTGTCTAGCGTTTTAGCACTTAGCTCTTTATATATAAAGAGCTCTTAGAGTCTTCTTTTACTTCTTATCTTTAGATAGCTAAATTTAATCTAATCTACTCTACTTATTACTCTTATTCTTATAGCTTATAGAGACTATATTACCTATAATTAACTTATCTAGCTAGATATTCTAGAGCGTATATATAGTAGTAGAGACTAGAAGCTAGCTCTTATAAGTATAACGTATAAATATACTAGATAGTTAAAGATAATATAAATAAGTTAGATAGCTTATCTAGATTTATCTTAAGTAGCTTAGAGTTAGAGTAATCTAAATAAGATAGTAGTATTTAGTAGAGGCTTAGTATTTTTAGGTTATTTATTTATATAGCTTATTCGTTTATAAAGTACGTTAGTATTTTTAAAGTATTTACTTATATAGAGTGTTTGCTTATAAAGTACGTTATTAAGTAAGAGTATATAAAAGCTAATTAGATAATAGGTATTCTGCGGTTCTTCGGGGATTCGTGGCGATGCCGAAGAACTAGGTATCGTGCGCTAAGAGCCTTCAGGAGGTAAAAAGGCCGCTTAAAATGCTGGGAGATGTTAGCGGACGGGTTGGTATAATAGAGTGGGGATTAGGGAGCGGGGGGACCTTCATACCTTTATACGCAGCTAGCGCTTAAGTTTCTTGTTAACGCCCTTCTTCTTGCTCTTGTTCTTCTTCTTGGGCTTCTGCCCTTGCTGCTGCTGCTGCTCTTGTTGGCGGTTATGCTCTGCCACGCAGCTCCTACAGTTCTCTGTCTTGAGATGGACGACTAGATGAATATGGAGATTGACGTCAAAGAGGAGGCGGATTACCAGGCTGACGAACCTTGTCCATCATACGGGACGGAGGGTGTGCCTCAGCCTGTATCTTTCATCATTGAGAAGAATCAATCTTCCACATACCTAGGCAAACATTCTAGCCACAAAAATAGACAAATAATCCCAGGCCATTTGCAAGCAATGCCCACACCAAATACTCATTGGCATAGTACGGTGATACGGGGAAGCAGACTAGATGAAGTATACATAACTTCGTACCTATGCAACCGTTACCTCCGTCGCGGCGGGGACCTCGGCTGCCTGTGCAGCCTTTGCAGCAGCATCCTTCTTGAACTTCTCCGCTCTCCCATAACTATCCGCATACCCGCCCAGCACCGCCTGCTCCACCGTGATCGGCGGGTACTTGGCCTCCTCGCCCTCCTTCCTGCAGTTCGGCAGACACTCCACCACAAAGTCCGGATTGCCCGAGAAGAACACGGGGATGCTATAGCGCTCCTCGCCACTGACATTGATCACCCGATGCAGATTCGAGACATACCGGTCGTTACTCCAGCGCATCATCAGATTCCCCAGATTCACTACGAACGCGCCTGGCGTCGGCGTCACGTCCAGCCACTCCCCTGTCGCGTGCTCGTACACCTGCAGCCCCGCAACCCGGTCCTGCAGCAGCAGCGTAATCGTGCCGAAGTCCGTGTGCGCGCCGATCCCGCGCGTCAGCTTCGCCGGGCTGTCCGCCGGCTGCGACGGGTAATGCAGAAGCCGCATCGTCGCCACCGCGCCCTGCACGAAGTCGTCGAACCAGCGCTCCGGCAGGTCCAGCGTCAGCGCCAGCACGCGGAGGATGTCCGCGGCGAGGTCGACGACCCGGTGGTAGTAGTCCATGGCGGTGGCGCGGAAGCCGGCGACGTCGGGCAGCGCGGCGGCCGAGGGCCACATGTTGGGCCCGCTGTTAAGCTTCTTGTGCACGAAGTAGGGGTGTGTTTTCGGGATCTCGGCGCCGATGTAGAAGCCTTCTTTTAGCTCGGGGAGGGTGCCTTCTTCGAGGATTTGGGATTTTAGGAGTTCGTAGCCGCGGTTCCAGGAGTTTGTCGTGTCTAAGAGCTCTGCGTTAGCAGGCATTCTTTTTTTCGTGATGCGTCGTCGCCGGAGAGGGGCGAGTATAGTATACCTTTGCTGACTTCCATCTTCTGCTCAAGCGACAAGTCGAAGAACTTCTTGTTCCAGTCCATAATACGCTGCTGCAGCTCCAGCGGCACAGGGTGCCCGGTGATCTGGAAGAAGCCATTGTGCAGACAGCAATTGCGGACGTCGTCTACGAGCTTCTGCTTCGCGGCCGCATCGCCGCTATAGAAGGCTGTCCAGCACCACTACATGTTAGCGCTCAGCTCAATGGCATCACCAAGTACACAGCTAGATTCCCCAGGAGGACTGCGGAGTGAAACGAAGACGTGATGCGTACCCGAGAAGTCGAGGATCGGAGGAGCGTCGCCGGCGCTTGGCATTTTGGGGAAGGTGAGGTGTGATTGATAAGGAAACGCGCTGACTAAGACGTTATCTTTGCTTGATGAGCGGATTGACTGGAGGAAAGGATAAATGCGAGAACAGGGTTCTTGGAAGACGTTTTATGCTTCTGCACTTGCGCGCACACTTTCGCTAGCTTTTCCTCTTCCCCTCACGCGCAAGACGCGTTCGTGGCGTTGGTGGGGTGCATTTTGGAAGGCCGAACTCGGGCTAGGTCAACCCCCCACTTTCGACTATCTCTAGGCTGGTGGCGATAGCATAGCTGCAATGCAGCGTCTAGCTGGACTTAGGTAGGCGGGGGCTGTCGGCTCTTGCATGAAAGGCCAGGGAGGTCTTGGAGGAACATTCACTTCTGGTCTGTGCGTGCTGCTACGCCGCTCAAGCTTCTGGCACCTCGTATTCAAGCTTTACAGATCCCTGCAAACGCTCCGAAACGTTCCTGAAGCTTTAAGGCGACCGTCAGCATCGCTACTAATTGTACCTAGGTACATGCTATCGTACGGTAGAGGATTCTCCTCTCTACGCTTTGTTCTACATGAGCGCTACTTACGTATGGTATACGTATCTGAAAGTGGATTTACCTAGGTACGTTTTGTAACTGCCCAGGTGCACTAAGTTTAAAAGGGGCAGATTACGTGCTGTCTTATCTTAGTAATTCACATCACGTGGTGTTCTATTTCTGGCACACCTGGCATATCTCTTCGTTACCTTCCAAGTTCTCTTCATTCTCTTCCAAATTAAAAACAAAAGCAGAGCTACTATAGGGCCGTAATTACATACAAAAATATATATAACAACGTTTTCGCCACGGCTTGAACTGCCACATTACCCACAGCATGTTTCGCTGATACGGCGCTGTACCTACGGGCTAGTAGTATGCCCTGTTGGAGGTGCTGACCGTCAGCATGCGGCACAGTCTGCATTCGCCCATGCGACTTGGTCCGAAGGGTACATTTCATAGAGGAAATGTTGCTTACGCCACAATCAATGTTTTCAACCGAGCCCTCTATGGCTTGTTCATTGGTGCAGTGCGCGATTCTGCCCGACCGATCGTGGACTCGAGGATGCCTACCTATCAGACTTTAGTGGAATAGGAGGGGAGCTGGTATATGAGTCTCAGGTCATCCCCAATCGCAACCGCAACTGCTAACACAACGAGTCTCTCATTTCCGTTCTGCCGTCTGCGCATAGGTACTTCTCCCATTAATCGCACGCCGAAGCCTCCAAGCCACCCGTGCGAGAACACCTCCACCACGCTAGACACAATGGGCTCCGCAGACGTCGATCCAGACCTCTACACCAAAATGCAGAACCTCACCTCCACATACCACCGCGACGTGTACCCCGCCGTCTCCCCCACAAATCCCTCCAACAGCGCCGCCGGAAAAGTCGTCCTCATTACCGGCGCAAGCCGCGGTATCGGCAAAGCAATCGCACCCTCTTGGGCCGCAGCAGGCGCATCCGGCATCGCGCTATGCTCGCGCAAAGCTGAAGACCTCACCAGCACCATCGAGGACATTAAGGCCGCAAACCCCAAGACCGAGACGCTAGCCGTGTCCTGCGACGTCACGCAAGACGCGCAAGTCGCCAGCCTCTTCGCGCAGATCCAGCAGAAGTTCGGCAAACTCGACGTCGTGATCGCGAACGCGGGCGTTGGGAACCAGGGCTCCGCGTTCCCCAAGATCGGCGAGATGGACCCGCACGCGTGGTGGAACGACATGCAAGTCAACGTCCGCGGCGTGCACCTCACCGCGCACCATTATATCCGCACCTTTGGGCCCAGCCCCAGCGGGACGTTCATCAATATGACGTCTAGCGCGGCTACGATCGTCATCCCCGGGATTTCGTCCTACAATATGTCCAAGGACGCCTGCATCCGCCTCGTCGAGTTCTTGGACGTGGAGTATCCCGAGCTGCGAGCGTTCTCGTTGAACCCTGGTATTGTGAAGGGTATCGCCAAGATGGAGGCGTATCAGCCGTTTGCGCTGGATACGGTGGAGCTGACGGGCGCGTTTACGGTGTGGTTGAGCAGTGGGCGGGCGGACAAGATTAGGGGCGGGTATGTGAGTGTTAATTGGGATGTGGAGGAGCTGGAGAGGCATGGGGAGGAGATTAGGGAGAAGGGGTTGTTGAAGAGTAAGTTCTTGGCCGGGGTTCTTGGACCGCAGGGGTATGCGTTCGGGAAGTAGGATGAGCTCTGGAAGGTGAAGAGCGGGAGGACGGATCAAAGGATACATGAAGAATAAGATAGGAATAGAGAGAATAAGAACGCAAGCAGACTCTATGCAGGGGAATAGAGCCGAAGCCAAGGATGAAGCAAATACCTTATATCGTCCCAATCCAAGATCAGGGATATGCACAATCATCCTGCAGAGCCTTCTCATCACTGGAATGTCGTTGAAAGGCGCCTCATGCTTGCTCCGAAACATGATCGCTCGCCAACCTCCTCTCAATCTCTCGCCAACACGTCATCCTCCTCTTCGCCTGTCCCCAAAGCGTCCCCTGCACGCCATGCGACCAAATCCACCCATCACACAGAATCATCTCGTCCTCGTCCCCATAGTAACTCGTCGGCACGTCAACCTCCCAGATAGTCACTCTATCGTCCTCCGTCCAAGTACGAGAATATTTCGGCGTCCTGTGATTTGCATTGACGGCGACAAGTCCGATGTCCAAGTGCCGGCCCTTGTAGCGACTGAAGAGCTCGTTGATGTCCTTGGCGTCTAAGCCCTCCGGGCGAAGGAAGAAGAGCATTTCTAAGGAGGAGATGGAGAAGCAGAAGGTTAGGTGCGAGTCATCTATGTCCTGGAATGTCATCGCCAGGCGCTTGAGGTTCGGCGGTGGATAGGGAAAGTAGTCCGAGACGTCGAAGCTGCAGACCAGTTCTTCTAACTTCGGCATGCCGAGGAAGATGTTGTTGCTCGCGATGTGTGGCTTCACGAGCCGGATTTCTGAACCAGGGGTATATACCGGCTGCAGATCTATAGCTAGCCGTTTCAACGTGGGCCCGATGGAGGTGAAAAGGTCGATGATCTGAGGTAGCCGGACCATGGGCGCGTTCCCACATTGTTCTGTCTTCTGCGGTGATACGAAGAGCGATGTGATATGCCGCGATATGTCCGCCTCACAGAAGAGCTGCTCGTTGCGTCCAGCTTCCCCGTAGGGCAAGGCTTCAGGGTGATATCCAAGGCTAAGGCCAAGCGTTCTCCGGAAGCGCGCATAGTTTATACAGTTCTGCAGATACAGACAATGCGCATATAGATACCGTGAAGCTAGAGGATATATGCTCCGCGAGGTGAGAGCCAATGCGCGTAGCGCGTTTGTGGCTGGATCTGAGGGCGCATATGCGATCTGCTGTCGGCCGTCGCGAGTTCCCACTAGTTGGTCCAGGACTTGGAGGAAGAGTTCCAAAGGGAGTGGGGAGAATGCGCGTTGTATGCGCGTTTGGGGCTGCTCAGGTGGCTGCATCGTGTGGCGAGGGTTGGTGCACGATGTGGAGATGTGCCTTGCGGCGTGAGGTTGGGGAAGGCTTAAGCGGGGTTGGTGCTCCACAGGCCCCGTCAAGAAAAATGAGACTTTTTCTGATAAGGTAAGCAGAACCCACCCCCCTCCCCCCTGCGGCCTACAGAGCTACGCCTTCTTAATTTTTTTTAATAAAATTTTAGTATACTATTCCTAAAGTATAGAACTATTCTCTAAATAAATTATATATCTTTATCTTATTGCGTTGTAGAGATATGTTGCAGGTAGTATTGTTGATGTTCTGCTTCATCAGAAAAGTCTCACTTTTCTTGACGGGGCCTGTGGCTCTTAGTGCTGCTTACGTCATCGCACTTTTATTCGACTTTCGAAGGTTTTACTCCTCACTCTCACACCTCCTTCCGTGGAATCCGGACTCGCTACCCATGATTGGCCAGTATCATTGCCTTTACTTGACCACTGTTTGGTATTCCCCTCCGGATCATGTTGTACGTTTTGTTGCCCATGTGCCTAGCTGCCCGCTATAAGCTTACGGATGACCCGTACGAGCGGCTGAAGAGGTGGCAGCTCTCTTGCGGTCGACTATGCATTGTCCCACGATAATGGATTTCGAATGCTTGAGGATCCGGCGCTTACGCGATACGTACGCCATCTACGCCTCAAGGCTCCGACGTGTCCTCCGAATGATTAAGCGAACGAGTGACTGCGGGTTCTTTTTGGCAGGAGATATGTTCGCATTACACTGAAAGATCTCACGATCCTATACAGCATCTTAAGTGCCTCATACTGGTCTGTGATGGAATCTGTCCATCCGCAATTTCCAGGTCCTAACAACACTCGACATCTCTCTAGCCGTTCTACAAGGCCAAGGCGTCACCGAGCTCCACGTCTCTCAGCTAGTAGATAAGTTGCCTCCGAATCTCGAGCATCTTACAATCAATGATTGCGATCTCTTGGGCTACTACGCGTTTATAACAGCCGGGTATTGCAGGATGCCCATCCTGCCGCCTTTCCTCACTAGCGAACCTTGGAAAGAAAGTTGATCGGGTAATGGAACGACAAAACTTCCGAGCACGACATATAGAAGAGTGCGGAAAAACCTGGGTGGACAATGACGACACCACCTATCATCGCCATGCTCGGAACGTCACTCCTCGGGAATTCATGCATCAACGGACCGATCCGCTAAACTAGCAAGTGCTAGGAGTGTAGAAGGATTACCAAAATGTTTCACGGCATCGCGTTGCTCATTCTTGCACTCTCATTCTGCATGAATGCAGAGACGATAGATTATAAGAAGTACAGACATCAGCAGGCGACAAGCTTCCCGACTTCTCTTATGCTGGGTACCATCAATCCGAAACTGCGCCCCCAGCGCTCAACTCGCCTGCGAAGAAGGCTCTGAGTCCCGGCTCAGGTGACTAGTCAGCCGCTATTCAAGCCCCACTCGACCTCGTCTGGAAATCTGGAGGTGGTGTTGTGGAGCTCACCTCCGGGACGTATGCGCTCTCCTCTGGATTGCTCATCCATAATCAGAAGACGCTGCGAGGTGCTGGGATGGGAAAGACGATCTTGACGGTGAAGGACCTGAACAAGGATGTAGTAACACTGGGAAACTAGACGAGCGATGCAAAGAGGGGAAAGAGTGTAAAGATCACGGATACGTATGTACCGGCGGGCACCGGCACAGTACACGTCGTTGATGCGAGTGGACTTGCGGTTGGGATGGAGGTGTATATTGAAAGGGGAGTTACGCAGGCTTGGATCGATGCGATGGGAATGACCGCTTACGAGGGATTCAAATGGCTATCGGTGAGTTCGAGCAGCTACCGGCGGCGGCAATCTCCCTAGCGAAGAACTGTCGATCATGGACTAACATCCTATCAGCCCGGAACACTCGTCCAGCAACCCCGGCGCATCCAATCCATATCCGGCAAAGCCATATCCCTTAACGTTCCCCTCACGGACTCCCTAAATGCCACAAACACCATCATGTCGCCAATCCAACTAACACCCTACAGCCCTCCTCCACAACCGTCAGAAATGGGAATTGAAAACCTCAGCATGCACGTCAGCCCCACCCGCTCGGGTGTCATCCTCAACGACACTTCTTGCAGCCACTCAGCTGTGGTCATTCCTTCCTGGACAACTGACTCCTGGATCCGCAATCTCGGCCTCACCGGCTTCAACGACCACATCACCGCCATGCAATCGTCATCCTGCATCACTATCACTAATGTCACCATGAACCATGATGGGCCTACGGACAACGGCAGGGGATATGCACTAGATATCGCTATTGATGGCACGCAGATCCTCGTGCATAACTGCAGGATGCTGGGCAAGAAAGACACGAGGAGTTATAGCGTGGCCACGCAGAGCCTGACGCCCGGACCCAATGCGTGTATTGGATACGAGGCGCAGCAGACAATAGAAAGCATTGAGCCGCATCAGCGATGGGCGCATGGATTTCTGAACGAAGAGAGTAAGGGAGTAGCAGTGCTATTCAGGAATCGTGCGGCAGCCGGGAGCGGTCATGGCTGGACGGCGAACAACGGTGCGTGGTGAACTTGTGGTAGCTTATTCCAATCTTGGCTAACATTCCGCAGCCGTATCGTACAACACGAATGCTTCGGCATACACTATTCAGAACCCTCCGATCGGTCAAAATTATTGTTTTGGCTGCGTGGGACCTAAGGATCCGAGACAGGTTAATAACGGAACATTTGAGAGTTACGGCGCCTTTGTAGATCCGCCGAGCTTGTTTGAGGCGCAGTTGAAGGATCGAGGATTTGAGTTCAAGCTATGAACGCTGGTATATCATAATCCCTACTGCTCCGGCACCGTACCATCAACATCTTTCCCATCATTCACAACATCATAATCCCCAAAGCAAGCCTCAGCGTAGTTCGCTCGTTGGTTAGCCTTCTTCTGTGATTTGATGAACTTATCAAGAGGGCACAGCTGATCCGGCCGGCCCTTGCATGCGCCCCTTCTAATCGACGATAACGGCAAGATCGCGCCATTCAACCTCATCCTCACAAACCGATGCTTTGAACTCCGTGTATCGGTATTGTAGCCATACTGTGACGCATAATAGCGAACACGCTCATATGCCACCGGCTTCGGATGTGCAGAGTCGCAATCGACAACTTCGGTGATCAACCTCGCCGAGAACGGAACAAGATGCGAGAGCCGGAAGACGCGCTCCTCCTCCGGCGGGTACTTCTCCAAGTGCGGCAGCTCCTTGAAGTAATCCATACTCAGCGCCGTAAGCGCCCCAAGGATCACCTTGTCGTGCGTAAAATCGGCGTAGAACTTCATGCCCAGCGGGAAGAACTCCCCATCCCTCGTAATACTGCTGTTGACACTTGAATGGCTCTCTTGGATGTATTTATCCTGCAGCCGAGCCAGCAGTTCCTCGACGTATCCGATGCCCTGGGCGCGCGCAGTAGGTTGACCGAACGCGTGGTTGTAGAAGAAGCGGATGTCGAGGCTTTGCTCGAAGCCCTGCCATTCTTCTCTCGTGAAGAGGGAGCAGAATTCTGAGCGCCCGATGAACCGGGATTCGTAGGCGCAGAGGAGTTGCATGGCGTAGACGTCGGCGATGGTGAGGTTGAAGGAGGACGGCATGTGTTTTAATAGGCGCTTCGCAGTCTGCGGAAGGTAGATTGAAGCGTAGTCCCACATTTGGGAGTCGCCGATGTCGCCGATACCGGGAGTGTTGGAGTTGTTGCAGCAGTGATGCGCTATGGATGTGATTAGCATGGGGGAGCCGGTCAAGTTGGAGTACTTCCGCGGGAACGAAAACTCACCGGCGAGTGTGTTATTCCATCTTCCCACTTCGCCTTCAGGTATTACAAGCGTTCGGAAATCATGCGTCCAATTAGCTGGGAACTGCGCCGGTCCTTGATAGCTCGGTCCAAAGAATCCCAGCGCCCAGTTCATGAGACTGTTGTGTATCCGGCTCTGCGTCGTGCCTCTCAACAGCGGTTTCCTGCTCACATCGTCCGGATCATAGCCCAGCTGCCCATCCGAAGCATTGTATAAATGCCTGCCGTACGTATTCCAGAACTGGATGCCCGAAGCGATTTCCGCCATCGCACCGATGCCGGTTAGCAACTCGCCGCCAAGGGTGTTCCGGTACGTGTTGAGAAACTCCAAGGGTCCGTCGAAGCTCTTCCCCTCATCGATAGCCTCAGCTACCTTTTCGGTGAACTTTTGGATGTTGAGGCCATCTTGCTCATCTCCGGGGTGGGGAAAGCGTTCCGCGTGGCGTTGGAGTAGGTGGACTTGTTCGATTTGGCATCCGTCGGGGAGGCCGACCTTATCCACGCCAAAGTGATTTGGAGAAAGGTCTTTGTATGTGGATAGCTGGCCCCAGTGGCGCGAGACGTAGTCGGCGTCATCTATTGTGGAGTCGAACGCTGATATGGGTCGTTGATTATGGGTAGCGAGAAACGGGATGAATGCGAGGGTATGCGCCATAAACACAGCGATACCAATGGCGCGCAGAGCGGCGAAGTGAAAGATACACAGGGTCATTCCGGCTGGGTGAGCTCCTAGTGTATTGGACCAAGAGTCGCATCCGATGTCTAATGACTACAGGTAGATGGCAGCTCAATGGGGCGAAAATACTGTCCAAGTTGTTATGACGTCATATGCCTTCATCGACAAGGTTCTTGGTAGCACCTTTTGATACTCCCACATTATTCTATAACTAAGCAGCGGACCAAAGAGGACGAAAGGTTAACGATAGTTTTACTCGTCGCCTTTAAACTATATGTAACGTTGTTTAGATGAGGTTTCGTATATAACGTCACGTGCCTAATGACCTCATACACTCTGTCACGCTTATCCCAACCGGCACGGCAGAATCAGTGCCTCTGCCGTAAATACGCCATCCCAGTCTTCTATCGTTGTAGCCACTCACCCTCAAGAATCTACCCTTTAGCCGGAAGATCACGTGCGTGAATGGCGGTAATGGCTCCTTACCAGTAGGTCCTTACCAACGGTATACATGCATAGTTCTCAATTCGTTCATATTCATGTCTCTGCTTGATCACCTAATATTATCATCATCCCACGAGTTAGGGCATCAAATACCTCTATGTGAGCGTCGAAGGCCCCTGCAGTGGTTGCCAGCTCAGATGCATTGTCAAGTATGGTCAACAGGATGTCCGTGCATCTACAATGAACAAAGAGAGTGAGCTTGCTTTGTCCACCAAATTTTCGGAGGGTAAAGACATGCTTTGAATTATTCTAAAGCACTCCCATCATCAAACTTTTTTCACTCCAGGAACCTCCACCACGATACAACTTCTCATAATGTCTCTCACATCGGTTGACTCCAATGCCTGCCTGGTAGCAAGCGTGCATGGAGAGGCCGAGGAACAAAATTCCCTCACTTTGCCATTGCCAGGCCGCGATTCCTCTAGCCGCAAGCCCTCTGTTGCATCTGTCTCGGCAGACACTGAACAATTAGCACCTGAAGAAGAATCTGACGACGACGTTGATGATGCGGCTTCCGAAACTTCAACCGTGGTATATGGGCACGAACCATTCGATACATTCAAACACAAAGTCTATCAGCTGGCCTCACAAACCTTCCCCGAAGCATCGAGCATTCAGATCCAGCGGATGGAAGGGGGATCCAATAACCGAGTCGCTGGTATCACTGTTTCCCCACCCCTACCAAAGAAGTACGCGCCGAAGTGGTTTAAAGGCCGACTCCAGAAGCTATTCAAGTGCCCATCATATAAAAAGGCAGAGGACTACATCATTCGCGTCCCGCGATATGACGGAGAATCCTTGGAGCGCGATGTTGCAGCTTTGAAGGTGCTTGGCTCTCGACTCTCGTTCCAATTCCTCGGGTGGTCAAGTACGACGCATCCCAGAACAATGTCCTTGGGAAGCCATACATGATCCAGGAACGTCTTAGAACCTATCACGTATCGGAGACGAGTTGAATCTAGAGCAGTGGAAGTGTATTGCGAAACGTGTCACTAAACTTGTTTCGAAGATTGCCGCAATCACCTCTCCATGTGCCGGAGAGATTTGCCTTGGAAATCTGTCATGTAAAGCTGGCTCTGAGATCCAAGTGGAGAGGTTCTGTGTTCCGCGCCGTGGGCGCGTCCTTCCAAACTTCCCCAAGCCAAACACTTGGCCTGCACTTCCCCAAGATCCTCTTGCCTTCATGCTAGAGCAATGCGAACGCTGGATGGAGCTCCAGAATATCCAGGGCGAGTGCTGGGACTATATCTGGAATGGGTTTGCAGCGATATCCAAATCTCTTCACGAGCGCGGTTGGCTAGATGGGCCTTTTGCCTTGATGCATGGCGATCTTCTACCGTACAACCTGCTCGTTGATGTCCGGGGTTCAAAGACCGTGGATATCTCGGGTATCTTGGACTGGGACTCTGCAATATTTGCGCCCAAGTTTATGGCTTACCGCGCACCACTCTGGTTGTGGTTGCATGCGGACGATGGTGGTGACGCTGACGAGATCGAATGGAACGCCAACCTTGAACCTACAACAGTTCGGGAACGCGAGTTGAAGCAAGTCTTTAAAAACGTCGCCTCAGAGGAACAAACAAAGTTCGCCTTTGCTCTCGAGGCTATGCTCGCACGTCGCTTGTTCCAGATCTTGAAAGACGGCGTATTCTCTAGTACCGCTATCGAAGAAGCAGAGGCTATTATCCAGGAGTGGAAAGAGCTTCATCCCGAGGATAAGATTCCTGGTGACGACGAGGAGGATGACCCTGCTGATCTGTTCGATTCGGACGACGAGGCTGAAGATGAGTAGCAGGTGTCAGCACGCCTTCTAGTCATTCAGCTCAGGCATCCTAAGCCTAGTCGAAATTAAATATTCTTCATAATTAGGTTACTTCTTTCTGATCCTAACTAAGCAACTGCCTTTTTGTTCTATTTTGAATTGTGAACACCTACTATCTACGCGTTTCATATGTAGATTTGAGTTCAACGAATAATAATAGGAGTTTAGAACTAGCGTCTGATTCTCTTCTAATCTTACACTAAGTAAGGGTTAGTTTCACTTCATCTTCTTGGGCTGTTAACCGATCTATTCGTATATTACCAGATCTAGTTCCAATTCAAGGAACATTTTAAAATCTTACAGTATAAGACGCAAGCAAACCAAGTTCTTGAGAAGGAGTATTAAATTCATCCATATTCCGAATATCCGTGCCGGGATAATGTGTTTAATAATTAATAATCTGCTAAGAGGATTACGAACTGCGCTGTCAAGGGCTCACCGCTCCCATCAGGAGGAACAATGTAGCTTCTTGAACTTGGAAATAATCTCTTCAGCAACGTAGAGATCACCTCCGGAACAAACTCCCCGAGTAAGAATATAGTACATCCAGTGAGCTAAAATGTACGAGGGCAGATATGAGTAGCGGGAGAAATTTGTGCCAACAATTTCCTCGAACATACGCTTGAACTCCGACCTCTCAATATCCTCTGGTGTCTTCATAGCGTCTTCCTCTTCCTCTTCATAAGCGTCATCATCTGCCTATAGAAAGAAAGGAGCGCGCGCGCTCATAAACTTCGGTGCGAACACTGCCGAATCCCAACCAAGTATACCCGTAATCTTGACAGTAGAGTCATCCACCACCTTGACAAGGAGATTCCGCGATTGAAAGTCTCCATGGTATAGATGGAAGACGTCATCATCCGGGAGAAGGCCGAGTTCGTACATCTTGTGGATCATGTTGATGAATTGCATCTACACTTCATCGAACGTCACGTCGCCGCTCTTCCTGGCGTGTGTGCGCTAGCGTTCGCACAAGGATATGAGGAAGTTGTGAGTTGTCTGCAGAGTTGCTGGAGTCGTCTTCCCGCATTGAACTGTGGAGTTACGCAGGGCAGGTATCTCGAGCTTGACGCCTCCGACTACATCTACGACTGTGTTGTCCTTGCTAACAACTCCTGCAGAGATATTCTTCATCTTGTACAGGCAAAGTACAATTTGAGAGATGCAGCGGGCAGCACTTTTCCGCTGCTCGAAGTTCAGTGTCTTCTACAATTCTGACAGTGGCACACCCGGTAGATGCTCTTGAATCATGTACCCCATACCTAGTGCTTTTTTTGTGCTCTCGTCATGAGCAACGACTTTCGGGACGGGATGAGGTAGGTTCCAAGCAAGATACTCCAGCATCGCAGCGTCGTAAAGCATGTTGGCCAACTCGAAGCGCGGAACGCAGAGAACATACTTAGCGAGGACTTTACGCTGCTTCTTTACTCAGAGCCCCAGACACTTTGAGAGAAAGGTGCGAATGGCCGCTCGAGAAAATGGTACAGGCTTTGGCTTGGCTTCGAAGACAGAGACCCCGATAATACGGTTGAAGCTTCCGCCTTTCATGCGCTCGATCTCCACATCTTCCAGTTGTAACTCAGACCAGAGCTGATGCACCAAGTTCTTGACCTTCGTTTGGAACGTATCGAAAGGTTCGTGTTCGAAATCGACGGTTGAAGTTTCTGAGAATACGGATTCGCTGTCGTCGTCCACTTCTTCTTCACTATCACTGCCGCTCTGGTTTCACCGCATTGCCGTTGAGGTAGTATTGATATAAGAAATTCCAGAAAAGTCAAGAAGGGCAAGTTTCCAAATACACTTACGAAATCGCGTTTTAAATCGACAGCAGACCAGGAAAGAAGACGTGAGGAATGAGACGATTTTGGAGACTACCTGTCAGAGTACAGCGGCAGCGAACGGGAGGCAATGGAGGAGAACTACAATACGATTTCTGAGAAGAACATGGAAGATGGTTGGCAGCGATAGGCTGATTTTGTCTCGCTGTATCGACGTCTCAGCCATCATGCTGCGTTATCTACGACAACGGCGGTGCATTGCAAGGGCGCGTTGGCTAAAGGACGTTTGGGCGGCATTGGCGAGCTTCTGTACGACCTCGGGAGCCTCTGATAGCGATGTTGCTCTTCTTATTACGAGGATCCTGTGTGTTAGATAAGTAGTACTTGATTGTATAAACGCTGATATATGTCCCTCGTGTTTGTTTTCGAGTTAATAAACGATGATAGTCTCATGGGTTCATTGCCTCCTTTCCCGTCATTGTTTTGCGGTAGGTGAGATTGGATTCCATTCTAACTCAATGAACATTTGCCATATCAATTTAAAAATATCTAGGATATTAACAATAGCATAGAAAGCATGTAGAATCTAGTTTAAGGGCATCAAAGGCGTATATTAATGTTATTTGAGATTGATTCAGGTTTCCAGCCCTGACAATGCTTACTGTGAGAATGGATGGAGCTTCTCAAACTGTGCAATAATCTCCTTCGCCGAATCAATCTCCCAATTTGAGCTGACTCCGCTCTGAAGTACATGAAACATCCGACGTGCGAGGATATATTCTTGACCATAGGCATATTTCAGGAACTCAGGACCAACCATGCTTTCAAACACATCCTTGAAAGCGTGCTTTTCGACATCAGAAGGAATGGTAAGCGCCGCGCTCTCATCGTGCTCAGAGAAATCCTCGTCGTTCCAGAGGAAGAACGGCGCGCGATAGCTGACAAACTTTGGAACGAAAGCGGCAGAATCCCAATCAAGGATACCAGAGATCGTGATATGGGACTCATTGGTAATCTCAGCGAGAAGATTCCGCAACTGGAAGTCAAGGTGGCTTAGGTAGAAGGGTTCGTCGTCCGGTAAGAAGCCGAGCTCGTCCAGTTGCTCCGTCATCCGGATAAAACCATCCCAGATCTCGTCTTGGAAGAAGTTCTTATAGATTGCATGCTCGTATTCCTTCCACCTATTACACATGCTGACTAAAAACTCCTTTGTGGTCTGCTGGGATGAAGGCGCAGTGTTCGGTTTCTGAAACTTCGGGTTGGTAGCGCCCAATTGCGGAATCGCGAAGGTGTCGAGCTTGACGATGCCATTGTCAAGGTCCAGTGGAAGATTCGAGCGACTCGCGATCCCAGCGGCCCTATTTGTTACCCCTTGGAGACTGAACAGAATATTAATGAGTTCCCGCACAGCGCTCTTCTTTTGCAGAAAGTTTAGTGATGGCCACAAGTCCTCAAGAGACTGGCCAGGAAGGCGTCGTTGAATCATGTATCCTTTCCCCAGAGCATTACCCTCGGTCATATCATATGCAATGACAGAAGGCACGGGATATGGAACGCATCGCCGTGCGTATTCTAGAGTTGCGACGTGATAGTCCATCCCGATTGGATGGAATCGTGGAGTTCGAAGGACAAACTGCTCCCCGTTCTTCCGCTCATGGGTCTGACGAGCGACAAAACGCTTTGGAAGAAAGGTATGGAGGCGCTTTGAGGAGAAGAACGACTTCTTTTGCTGTAGAGGGTACAAGGTGATGCCGATCACGCGGTTGAACCCGCCGCCCTTCATCCTTTCGATGACAATATCCTCGGCCTTGCGGCTCGGGTAAATTTCAAGCAAGAGAGCCATCACCTTGTATTTAAACGTTTCAAAAGCCTCCTGCTCATACTCTAAGGTTGAAGTTTCCGAGACCGTGTCAGACGTACAGTCGCAGTCATCCTCGTCACAGCATTCGCCGTCAAGGCTGGATGAGGACGCTGAATCCTCGTTCGGCTCATTGTTTCCGCCCAGAATGGGGCCTTCAGAGGTATCATCCTGCACGGCAGCGGAAACGACGCGAGGAGTTGTGGAACTTGAAGTCATCTTACGTGTTCGCAGGGGTTTGGTTTTGGGCAATGAATACCTGTTCCACCAGGGATAATATACCATTTTACTGAATTCTATACAAAGATGAGAGCACTGTGTAGCCGATGGCTATGTGGGTACACTTCGCCTTTGTTTGCTCAGTTGGATTGTGGCCTGCAGGACAAAGACGAGGGGGTGCGCAAGCGTCTTGTCCAAGCGCATGCACAAAGATCCTAGCTTAGCTCTGCCTAATTATAGCTCAAAGTCAGCTTTTGGAGTTTATTTGCGAGTGGTTTCTCCGTGTTGCTATGCACAAGTTTACTGTTCAATTCCACTAAAACTATATCATCAAATGAAGATGGAGTTCTGAAGCTCCCCATCGAAATTGGCGAGCGATATGTCCGCCATTGTGATTGGATTTATCAGAGTGTTTTCAATATCTAATGACATTGTTCTTCGGAGCGTTCACAGTCCTCCGATCCCATTACCCCTTTCACAACGCTAACAGACACGCTGCACAATCTTGAACTCCCCCCTATATAGCCTACTTTCATCCCACCCGCCTCCTGTTCCCCAGATTCGAGAGTCGTGAACAGTGCATAGCAACCTCTCCACAGGAACCGCTTCAACGTTCACACCCACCACTCTAATCTCCCTACACACACACATCACCACTATCCTAGCAGGTTCTAGATCACCACCAGACAAAAGCCATCATGGGTAAGACCAATGGATCCAACTTCCACCACTGCCCGAAAAGGTATAAAGGTAATTGCCGCAAAGGGAAGACGGCGATCAACACAACCTTCTGCAAGGCCCACCAGGTGAACTGTCCCATACACGTGACCTGGGTCCATCTCCAGACGGAGCAGTGCCCCGCTTGTGCTTCTGATGAGCAATACGGTGGTCGTTGAACAACATCCGCATAGAACTGTGAGGTGAGAATAGTGGATAGGTAAAGCAGGTATTTGGCATGGTGCGGTACCCGCGTCGTGAAGCACACACATAATAGAAGTTTTCCAACCTAGATCGCATGTCCCACTCATGAATAGTCGTTCGAGTCTAGTCTGGTAAGGAGTTAGACGCAGGAAAGTATAGTAAAGTTTTAAAAGCTGTAGAATAGTTAAGAAAAGGAGAGTTCCTTAGGGGCTGCACGTTAATCAACTTGTACTGCAGCGATAAGGTGCAGTTTCTTTCCGTCGCAGAGCCCTTCTTAATGGCGTTGTAGATTCACATAATGCCCATCCCTGTGAGACGGGACGCTCGCGCCGTGCTAGGACACATCGGTTCTTAGACTTCGCAGTAATTTAGACCTTGCACACAATTGGTCCGCTCATAGTTCTGTGTCTATTGTGTGCTCCAGCTGCTCCTTAATATGCGTGACTCCGTCTACTTAGAAAATTACGTTCGCATCGTCGCCTTCGCAATCGCCTTGCGGAAACTCCCTTTTTGTATCGTAAGAGGTATACTCCAACACATTAAGCTTAAGCGACTGTTAAAATCCCATAAAAGACCTTATCAGAGGCCCAAAGTCCCGCAGAAATTCCGAGAAGTCATCGTCAGCTCTGTGGCCGCCGTGAGATGCAGATTCATGCCAGGCCGCCAGGCCAATCAGTACTTCCAATCAAAAGATACAAACTCCGCACGGCTGACATACCTAGGTAATGAATGTGGCGAAATTACACTTATGCACTGATTTACCTAGCCGTGGCTTTCAAGGTTTGTGGCCAATGCGAACATCTCCTGGCAGATGCAGTTGTCCCTTGAATGCGATGTCTGCTATACCCAAATTACGAAGAATCATTGACTGAATGTTACAGGAAGAACGAACGACGGCCACCGCCCCTACCACCGCAGTGCATTGTACAACGCGCGGAATCCACCCCGTATCCGCTTGCGACTTCTGACCACGTAGGATAAACTGCAAGCGGCTCGCGTTGACGCCATCTGCTGACATCACACTCGCGCCGTCACACTGTCTGCCCGAAAACAACAATGGAAGAGGAGAGCAAAAAACAACATGTAGTTATCAAAATCGGCCGTGAAAATCGTACCGTAGGCGCCCCGACTAGACTCCATCCGTATTGCAGAGCAACACATGTAGCTCGTTCACAATGGCCGCTCGCGCATGATGCTACTGCGAACAGCGTCACCGAATGCCGGTGAACCTGGCTCTAAATTAATGCCGCGTGCCTGGGCGTATTGTGTTCGAGAGCCTAGGTCACCGGGAAGGCCACGGGCAACGAAATGGTCGTGGGAAGAAAGGGGGTCTACAGTAGTGTCAGCAACAGGGAATATGACTCGGAAAGGCTGTGATTGAAGCCAGTTGTGTGGTGTTATGTACGTACCGAGGTGGCTGGGGAATCCTCCAGCTGCTCCTCCAGCTGCCCCTCCCATCATCACGCCAAGGGCCCGGTTAGCGAGGAAGTCCTGAGCTGCGGGAATGAGGACGTTATTAAAAACCCCTTTGATTAGATCTTCGACAAGGTTTGGGCGGTCTGGTTCTGGGGGCATCTGGGGCCGGGACTGGCTCGGGTTCGCCCTGTCTGACGAGGCTGATGGCCTGGGGATTTCTTCCGCTTCGGGTTCGGAGGTGGGCGGCGGCGGGGTTGTCGCTCCGGTCTGACCTGGAGAGGATGCAGAGGTGGATCCAGAAGAGGACTGGGGAGGAGGGGGAATTCCAAGGAACTCTCCTGCGGCAGTTTTTCCAAGCGGTTGGTTTTCGAACAGCTCCTGGACGATGACTGGATCCCTTGGGACAATGCCACCGTAGTGGCGATCGACCATCGCTTTTGCATACGCCTTTATATCGTCGGAGTCCCCGCGCCATTTGAGACACTCTCCCGCATCTTCGCCGAATGAGTTATACCGGCGTCCATGCTGGTACTGCTTCATCTCCTGGCCGAGGACAGCTCGCCACTGATGCAAGCGTTCCTCTAGCCTCATCTCAAACTCCATTTTCTCCTCCGGCTCAGACACGTTCCAAAAGTTCGTGACCGCCGTGATCTGGCCCGCGTACTTGGGACCGCAGAGCTTATCGACGAAAGCGACAAGCTTGTTGTCCACTGCCTCGGCGCGGTTATCGTTGATGCGGGTCACGAGCATGACGCCGACGATTTTGGCGTGGGGCTGGACGGCTTCGATGCCCCGGACGATCTCGCGGAAGACGTCTTGCTCCTTGTCTGTGTCGAAGCCGGGCGTGTCCATGATGTAGTATCGCTTGCTGAAAAGGTTGACGCGTTCGAGTTGGAAGTTGAGTGTCACTTTTTAGGAGACTGCATTAGCCGTGTAAAGCTGATTACTGACCCTGATCGCAAGCTTCTTTCTTACCTGCATTGGGGCTGCTTTTCGAGTGCCCTAGAGCATTTGTGAGGTATTCGAGAAGCGCAGATTTACCCACGCCGGTTCTGCCGATTAAGATGATCACGTTTGCGAGTTCGTCCGACGGCCTGTGAGCGGTGTTAGACCATTTAGTTGATGCTGCAATAGGGGAGCAATAGTTACATGTTTCTCATCTCTTCGAGGCACTCCTGGGTACGTGCTTCGACGATAGGCGCGCTTCTCATACCGCTTGATCCAGAACTGTTGGAGCTCGACACCATCTTTTTTGAATGTTGTATGGTTGGCCTGTGTCGATGGGTTTTAACGATTTCAGCATGCGATGAAGAGAGAAGATGAAGAAGGGAAGAAAGGCTGGAAGGCAACAGCGATAAGTTTAAAGCTATCAGGCTGAAGATGTGCCAGCTCACGGCGGGTGGGGAGCTTGTTCTGGGGACGGACCAGCCAATTGGCGCAATCACCAAGCTGCGGGGCACTATTGTACCTTGGATGGCTGGAACAACGTTGGCCGCTTGTTTCCACACCACTCCCGAGTTGCGGTGAGTGCATCTCGGGGCAACACCCGATCGCCAATTCGCTATGTTCCCTTGCAATTCCGATTCTCCACCGCGGAGCGGACTCATTCGATCAAAATGCAGGGACGGCGGCCGAACCGTACTGACCACGTCCTACATGTTCCGGTGCAATCGCGACAGCTGCATCCGCCAGGAAAGCACAGGTGCTTCTCGCTGCCCAGGGACGGACTGGCAGCTCGCAGAAAATTTCGCAAATTCCTCCTCCATCAACCAATCAGAACATATCCCACGCTCGTGTTATTCGCAGTCTGAAATCCGTCTCGAATCCTTTTTATATGCAATCGGTCCATTCTACAATAGTTACGTGTCAAAACGAGACGCGCATACCCTGAGGTATTGCTTTTTGTTATTTAAGCACTGTTTAACGAGTTTTAACAAATTTCCTTTATAACCGAAAGCACACCATTTCCTCCTCGCGAGATCCATGCCTGCTAATAATCCACTACATGGCGTATAGATTCTCGGAATCTACCTTAAGGCGACCTATTTAGTAAGAGAGAAGTCCCTAAAATGCAAACGGGCAACCTGGAATGAGGAGCCTATCTTAGTGAAGGAGCCGTCCGTGCCCTACTCATCTTCCTCATCGTCGTCGAAATCGTACAGGCCCTTCACGGCGGCCCCAGGATAGCGTTCATTCCACTCCTCAATAACCGCCTCAATCGCAGCATAGTCATCGCTAGAATGAACACCCATAATAGCAAGCCGGCAAATCGTACGGGCCAACCGATACTCAAGCGTATACGAATACTTCAAATACGTCTCGCCCACAACCTCTTCAAAATCCTTCTTCACCAACTGATTCTCAGGATCCGCCGGCGTGTCATTTGCCTTCGCTTCATCCAGGTCATCGTCGCCCTCGAAGTCACAGAGCCAGGACGGCGGGCAGCAGTTCACGAAGGCTGGCGCAAGACAGCCTCGTCCCAGTCCATGATTGCCGAAAGCTTAGCAGTTTGAGGGGAGGTGATGTGGATGAGGATGTTGCGCGGCTCGAAGTCCATGTGCGTGAGGTAGTAGCTGTTGTCGGTGAAGAGGCCCATGGTGTTCATGGCCTGGATGATCGGCCATAGCTTGGACCAGGGGTTGAGGTACTCGCGGTTGCAGGAGAGGTCGTATTCACGCTGACGGGCAAATTGCGTCTTGAGGAACTCGAAGACGGTTTGCGCCGTCGAAGGGATGTTTTCCTCTGTGGACGCTGGGTGGAATGCGTTTCGCGGCGGGCATTGCAGGCGGAGGATACGAAGTTCATCCCTGCTTGGGCTAGCGGTATACGGGTCCAGTGTGCCGGGGAACGGAGTAGAATGCTTGCTCATCTCTGCAAGTGCGGAGCCTAGCTCGCGGGCGAAGGAAATACGCTGTTGCGTGTTCATGTCGGAGTAGACCTCCTGAATTGGTTTTCCTAGAAAGCGGTGTTGGATGGTATACCGCTCCCCGATTGCGTTATTGCTCGAGAGGTCAAACATCTTGATGCTTGGCGCTGGAATGCTTGTTCCCATGAGGTGGCGCACCATGGCGATCTCGTGTTCGACCTAAGCATGCTCTGAGCGTGGGATGCGTATAACAAACTCTTGAGGCTGAGACAGGATGTGTTTGGGTTTCAAACTAAAGAGCTTACGAATTTGGTTAACCCATCGCTGAAGCGTAGTAGGTTCTTTCGCAGGCGGAGTGGTGGTGATGCCAATCACTCGGTTATAGCCACCACCCTCCATGCGGATGATCTGGAAAGCGTCGGCCTTCAGAGACCAAAGGTCCTGGCATAGCTTAAGAACCTTTTTCTTGAAGGTTTCGAAGGTTTCATGGTCGAATGCCACGGTGGACGTGGTAGAAGCTGCATCATTGTGCTCAGGTACGTCATCGCAGTCCTCCTCGTACATCGAGGGAGCATCAGGTGGTTGGACGGCGTTCGCCTCGTGGAGGTCGCCCATGATTGGCTGTTTCGTGTGAAAAACTCTGCAGAGTCGGACATGGCTTGCACGCCGAGGGAAGTCTAGCTGTATTGCAGTGTTGCAAGAAGAGAGCCTAGAGGTGTAGTATTAAAATCGGATGTCTTAGTACAATGCACACACGGTGTTGAGGTTTGGGTGTTCATGTTATCTCACAAAGCGAGTGAAGTGAATGATTTTTTGTCTCACTCTTTGCTTTTTGCTCTCCACCCATCCATGACGTTCCATTCGGACATCGACAAAAATCTCGAGCCTAGGCGGAGCATGCGTGAACTGAAGGTTCGGGCTCTGGATAGAGCGCACTTCCAAGCCTCAAACTGCTTTAGTGAACTTAGCGGTTTTCCAATACTTCGGTGCCACGATCAGGGAGAGACCCGACCCATATGGTAGTTGTAGAATTTTTCTCCTTTCCCCGTAATACCATGTGATGTAAGTCACTTTAAGCTGAAATATGCCTTCCTTGCTCCAGCCCTTCTTTTGTCGCTGTCTGTAATCTAGCGCACTTCAAACTCCATCCTGTCGGCGAGCATGACGTAAACACGCGTATGGTTCTCGCTCCCTGTATCCCCAAACGATCGTCTGTTCTTTTGCGTACGGTTGGGGCTCCGCCGTTCCAAAATGGACCCTCTTTGGAGAGATTCCTTCAGAGGATGTCGGGGTGCTCCTTAAGGCCGCTGTTGGGCCTCACGGCTGTCATGCGAAGGGGCGTTCTTCTGATTGCCCCTTCCGCCATAGCGTGCTTAGCATGCAATGACATTTCCAAGGTTGGGAGACCGAAAGGCGAACGCAAAGCGAATGGCATCTCGGCAGGTAACTGCTCAGTACATATATACTAGGCTTGGGCATATCTGGTACATACGACCATAGGACGCTGAATACAAGTCTCATGTCCGATCCGCCGTCTGTCAAGGTACCGTTTTGAGGATTTAGTTGCACACATTCACGTTCTCGGTATCCACAAACCTGTCCTCACCACGACCTACTAACCATTTTTAGGTCTGTTTGTTTTCTTGCAAGACACGAGACTGAAGCAAGCTTTGCATGATCGCGGACACCGTCATGCGTAGTATCTATTCTCTGCAGCCTCTACAGCGCCCACTAATGCTTTGCTCCTGCTTACGTCATGCCTCAGCCTGCTTAGCCACGATTCCATCTACTCGTCGTCTTGCACATCAACGACAGTCTTCGTCCATTGGCGAGCCGGGACTTTACGCTTGAATAAGATGTCAATCTCGCGATAGGATCGACCCTTCATCTCAGGCAAGTAGATGTATGCCAAGGCAAAGCAAACAAAACCAGTAGCACCCCAGACATAGCCGCACCTGCCGCCGAGATTTGCCTCCTATACTTCGTCAGCAACTGTTTACCGCAAGACAGGGAGAAAGATCTTACTGTAGGGTTGAGCATATAACTTGCGAGGAAGATGCAAGGAATGTTCACGATGTAGTATGAAGCGCGTCCAATTCCCGTTGTCAGAGGCCTAAGGCGGATGGCGGACGTCTCTCCAATAATGACCCACGAAGCGGGCGCAGGTCCTAAGGTGAACAACACGGAGACAATGAGGCCTAAGGACGCCTGCGCCAGGGAGGCTGCGGTCGAGGCGCCGACAGAGCCTGCAATACCGAGGGCGACGAGGAAGCCTACATTGATGAGAGAGCCCCAGACGTAGATGGTACGTCGGCCAAGGTATGAGGTGAGTATCCAGGAGAGCATAACGAAGATCCACTGGAGGGCTGAGGTGATAAGACCCAGGGCGAATGCAGTGTTTGTAGACATGCCGGCCTCTGCAGTTAATTTAGCATATAAATTTCATCCAGAACAGAAATGATGATAACTCACGCTCGAAGAAATAGACGGCCTGATTGGCGATGAGGTTGCCCGTAAGGTTCTGTGCCGCGTATACACCACACACAATGAGGGTCCGGTAGAGGTCCGTGCCTTTGAACAGTTCCAGATAATTGGGCTCCTTGACCGATTTCTCGAGCTCAATGGTACGGCGCATCATGGCGACAGCCTCGCTGAGGTTCAGCGTCGACCTGCGTCCCAAACGCCCAACCGCATGTTCTGCTGCTTCGAGACGTCCCTTTCGAACTAGCCACCAGGGCGACTCGGGCGCCATCCAGAGGAGAATAGCGAGAGGGGTTGGGAACATCCATTGAAGCGCAACAGGGATCCTAGATCTTTCGTTAGCGAAGGAGTTGCTTGTGAAGCGGAAGAGTGATGTACCTATACGCGCTTGCATCAAGCTTAGTGTTGTAATGGTAGGTGACGCCACCTACGATAATAGCCCCAATGGCCCAAAACATTTGCAGCATCTGGGTAGCAGGAGCTCGCAGCTGGATCGGCGTGATCTCGCTGCAGTATGCTGGTGCGTTGGCAATGAAGATGCCCCATGGAATGCCCTCGAGAAGCTGGGACACGAACATGACTGGAAGTGAAGGGGCAAAGTAGAACACAAAGATGAACGCGTTCAAGAGCATGAGGCCGGTTATGGTCGCCCAACGGTATCCGATACGGCTGGTAAGGGGACCAGCCAGGCAGACGCCCATAATTGCACCAAGTGGCCCACCCATTTGAAGCGCAGACTGCCAACTGGCCACGATAACATGTTTGTCGTTCGCGGCGTCATACACACCGTACTCGTTCGCGAACGCAGGGAGGGCGATGAAATTACCCATAAGGAAGACGCAGTAGGACTCCATAATCTAATGATGGTGTTAGCTGAATCCTTCATCGAGAGATATTAAGTGTAAGGGAAGAGAGGCGCCTGACAATAGTGCAAGACATAACAAACGCCCACAAGGCAGCCATAGGGTACGCCCGAACAGCACCTAGCACCCCCATGTTATGCTCCGCGTTCTCTGCCTCGACAGCAGCCGCCTTGTACTGGGCGATTTGCGCTTTTTCGTCAAGATTAGAGGCATCTTCCACTTGAGAGAAGGCCTTCTCGACGTGTGGATCGCCGTATGATTTGAGGTCGACAGGATCACCCATATTTGCTTATGTGGGCCGAGATGACGGATGTGTGGTAGAGGGGAAGAGACGGGGAAAGAGAAGTGGAAACTACGATAAGCGGGATGACCATCACCTTTTAAAGAGCACAGGGGCGAAGGGTGTAATGTCCCGCGGAAGGACATTTGGGCATCTAGGATGTGTATTTACTCCAACATTCCATCAATCACAGAACATAGCTTTCAAGCCGGCCTTACTGCTGGGTTAGGCTTTTGTTAGCACCGAAAGGGTCGGTAGCGCTTCGTAGGTGGCTGTCTTTTGTTGAAGTCCTCGGCGATATCTGCGACGAAGGGCAACCGCGCCGCGGGCTCGACTTTCGTATCGCGGCACGGCGGCCTATCGGAACCTTGGCCGCAAAGCTTTATCCGACACTACAACTCAATTTATCCAGCCCCGCCGAGGCTTGATCTCCAGGTTCTCCACCACTCGGTGTAGTGGAACACCGAGAAGTGGAACCGCAGGAATATTACCTTCCTCTTCCCCGATATTGGATCGCTTCCAGTGCAAGCGGGCGGAATACGAAGAAGAGTTTGGTGTCTTCCTCTACAAGTTAGAACGTCGCGGAACTCGGAGACGAATAAAGGGATACCGGTAGGGGTACTTCCAGTATATTGAAGAGCGTATGAGGTACACCTCAGGCGATCGGAACCAATCACCCCGACAGCCCCACCTTTTGTAGCGTCAACCAGGTGAGCCGACATACGTTCCTCACGACTGCTTTGCAACACCACAATACACAGTAGTGATAATGACGATAACAGCGAGACTTTCACTTTTTGAAATCAACGCAGTTTATCGCGCAGACGTCCGCTGGAAACGCCGTTCGATCAGCTAGCACTTAAGAGCAGCGCCCACTGCTTCTGAGGGGTCATGGCGACACCGTGGCCTCAAAGGTCGATATGGCCAACCGAAATTCGCGAGTCTACTACATATCTCAGCACTTTTCTTCACGACATACTGCACCCTATTAAGCACACCAGCATGCCACCACAGGGATGGCCAGAAGAGTTTGAGTCACGTGACCGATATGTCCGCTTGCGATTGGCCAGTTCCAACTTTGACGGGAAGTTCACGTGACTCAAAATCATCTGGCCACCCCGTGGTAGCAGATATTATCAGTGATATCATCCACGGCGTATTAACGTTCGTCCTAAAGATGCACCATATACCCAACCTCAGCGCTATATGCGATGCGCTCAGCATTATAAAAACTAAGGTTAAGACCACAGCGGAGAACACGGCACAGGTTTTGCCATCTCAGGGCCTATGTGGAGCTTGCCATCGAGCAGAGCGGCAACGAGCACATAGCAAGCGTGAAGATTGTCTCGTCTAACCAGTTGGAGAGCGGAGACTTGAGCATCATGACAATTCGCGGACGACAGGGCCCGCCGCATTGGCAGCGGGATCGCAGTGCAGATCCCTCAGTACAGATCCCAACGTACGGCGTCCTGGCGCACAGCATACGCACCAGCACCATGGACACGGGCAAGTTCGAAGAAAATAGAACCCAGATCCCGGAGGACAACAGACCGTTCAGACCCCGGGCGGACATAGAACGCGTAGAGTGGCTGACTAGAGACACGTCTGTAAAGACCACAGCAACCTTTGCCATCGAGTTCACCAAGCCAGAGGATGCAGACGAGATCGTCGACGAGGATCTAATCTGGCAGAGCAGCAAACAAACAGCGCATGTACGAGAGACTGTTGAGGCAATCCATAAGGCTATGGACAAAACAGTCCAACAAACACGCCCCTCGAATCGGAGCAAAGTGGAAGGGAGGAAGAACGCAAAGTAGTACTTGCACAGGCAAGATGACTCAAGAGGCGCACAGCGATTCAATACGGACGAACTGTTGGGGCCCCAAGCTCCATGTAGTCCTTAATCAGCCCAGTGGCGATCCTTTGCCGTGCGTGTTTATGGAGCGGGTTCAGTTCGAATGCCACAACTCCGTGAATATCTCAGTTTTCGCGAAGTTTATCTTCCTTGATACTACCCACGAGCCTCCAGCCTCGCTTTAACCAAGGACCGATAGGTGGATAATAACGCGTTGCTCTAAGCGCCGCTTAAATCTAGTGCTTATGCCGCGTCCCACCTTCCCAATTTCTACTAGCTCGAGCAACCGGTGCTAATTTGCACAACCCCGTTACCCGTTTTCAGCGCCAACGATCGGATGCAGTAAAATTAAGGACATACGCGTTTCGTTACGGGTATACTTTTTGGTTGGAGCACTTTGGAAGACGCTGTTGGTTAGCTGGTTGCTGGCAGAACAGCGTAGAATGGCGTCGCTATGCGCGGGCGCTCAATCCCCCACAACGCCAACCTTCGTTTGTGCCGTAGCTCCTAGAACGCCTCTACACATCAGATTGGAGATAGTAGAGAAACTGTCGTAACTTGAGGCTTAACTCACGCCATCCCCCCACCACCCCCAACCAGCCGCCAACACACCAGCCCCCTCAGCACCATCATCCCATCGTGCACCACCGCCCACCGCACTTTACTCAGACACTTGCTTACTACGGCTGCTAGTCCGTTTGTTCCGCGCTTCCATACGCCGCCTGCGATAACGCCCGCCTCTAACAAGCGCTCTGGGTCGCTTCTTGATATGGTGGCGAGTAGGGACTTCATTTCGGACTGGGGGTCCCAGATGATTTCATCCTCCTCGTCCTGGTTGGCGTAGTGCGAGGAGGAGGTGGAGGATGAGGATGCGGATGAGGGGGAAATGGGAACAGGCCGCGCATACCACACCCCCCACACAACCAGCGTGCCCAGATACACAGCCCAGGGCAGATGCCACAGGCGGCATCCTCCTCCCCCACTGCTACCGAACTCGCAAGCTCCAGATTCGCCATCCAGCATCCCAACGCCGTGCTCCACCAGCGCAGCAGCATGCCACACCGCCCGCCCCGCCTCTTGCCCATTCTCCGCAACCCACCTCCTGACCACCTTCTGGCTGCGCGCGTAGTCAGCCCGCGCGACGGGGCGGCCCAGGATGTGCCGCGCGCCGGCGTAGATCTGCAGATCTAGGAAGGGCGTGGAGAGTAGGATGTGGGCGGCGTGGTGCAGGGCGAGAGTTGCGGTGCGAAAGGCGTGGAATTCGGCGGCGAGCTCAGGGTGCGTTGCTGTGGGAGAAGAGGAGGAGGAAGCGAGGGAAGCGAGGTAGGCGGCGCTGAAGGCGGTGAAGTCGGTGTACCAGGCAGTGTAGGAGCGGGCGAGGCGGGTGCGCCAGTTGGTCAGGGGGTTGGTGTCGAGGACGCCTGGTGGCGGTTGTTGTTAGGAGAATGGGGACGAAGGAAACGCGAAAATGGAAGAGAGGACGGGACGGGACGTACCGAGCGAGGTTTGGTCGCGGCGCTGCATGTCCCAGGCTATGGACATGAGGCCGTGAAGCAGGAGAGCGCGGGAGAGCGCATTGAGACTCTTAGGAACAGATGCACCGGCGCCGGGATTGAGGTATATCTTCAAGCAGGATAGGAAGAGCGGCGTTGTCGAAGAAGTCTGCTTTTGGCGGAGCTGGTGCCAGCTCTCGGCCGAGTCTGCTTCCCACAGCGCTTGGTCGCAGGGCAGGTTCGAGCGCAGTTCGAAGGCGGACATGCAGAGGGATTGGCAGAAGAGCACGGCGTGTTGGGTGTCCCACATAAAGCAGAGGAAGGCGAGTCTACACGATGGATACTTCGTTAGTTAACTTGTGGCGCGTGACAAAGGTTGGCGGTGTACTACCTCTTCTTCTGCTCAGCGTCGACCCAAGTCCGCCAGTCATCTTCCAGATCGTCCGTCGCTTCCTCCAGCGTTGGCGGTCGGATAGTTTGGCAGTCGCTTCTGCGGATGAGGTTGATGAGCAGCCCGTGGAACAGATGCGACATATCGTGCTGCTTCTGGCCCGCCCTGCTCTTGCCGAAGCACTCGACAAGCAGGATGGTCTGCAAGACCCAGAGATCTGGTTTGGCGGAGAAGCCTGCGTTTGCGAAGATCTGCGGGCGCAGCACGTCGTGTATGCACACCTAGGTGGGTCGTGTTGGAGGAGCGTGCGATTTCCGGGAGGAACGGGTGGAACTTACAGCGAGTTGATGCGCATCTTTTTCCCCGTATGTAGCGCCGAGGAGGAGCACAGATATCAGGAGCAAGGTGTCGACGTGGGATGGCTCGAAAGTAGACATGTGGATCAGCGGATATGCGGTGTTGAAGCGGGTGAAGAAGAGGTCGCAGTATGTCTGCAAGCACGATAGCGAGAGCAGAGGATGATCCCGCATGACCACACTTCCGTCCGGTGCGACGGGCTGCGTGATGTCTATGAGGTCTAGTATCTGCTGACGCGCAAGCTCGTCAATGATCGGTAGGCATCGCGACGGTTGAAGCATTGACATTGGACGCTCGATATCCGGTGGGGCTGGACCGTTGGTCTGCACTCTGGGAGGCATGCTCGGCCCACCGTCGATACTTCGATGTTCGAGCTGCCCCTGGGACGCCGATGGCCTCCGCCCAGTCAGTCCCTCTTCATCTGTAAGAGGCGGCGATATCATCTGACCAGGCGGCGAGCTCTGCTGCGGCGAATCCGTCTTCTGCGAGTGCAGCGATCCATACTGGCCCGCCGTCGATAGCGACTTATCGACGGCCATATGATCCAGCTGAAGCTCAAAAGCATGACTGGGCTGGCTCACAGTACTGCCATTGAACTGAAAGGACGAAAAGGGATCGCTCATCACCGACTGCATCTGACTCGATCGCGTGAGATCCAAGTCGAACAACCAATTGTAGTTGTTCATCGTGGTAAAAGGATTATTGAATGAGCTAGCCGTATCCGGGTTGAAGATGTCGTCAAAGGGGGCATCGTCGAAAGTCGTCGTGGTTGCGAACGGTTCAGGCTCAGGCTGTGGCTGTGGTAGATTCGACGACCAGAACTGTTGGTCGATGGCGGATGGCGAGAAGGAATCTGATGTCGACAGCGCGTTTGCATCTAGCGTAGGAGGGTATCCGCTCGCTATGCCCGAGTCGTGATCATCAAGCGTCGAGTGCCCAAGCGAAGCGTTATGCGAAATAGGTGGCGATATAGGCGCGCCTTCGTTGTGATGATGGAAGGCGGCAAAGTCCGACAATGACTGAAGGGGGTCCTCGCTCGACGACGACGTCGACGACCGTGGCGCAGAAAGAGGCTGCGATGCGGAAGCATTCACGTTCGCGTTCTCCAGCGCGGGTTTCTTCGCTACGATGTTCCCGTCGGCATCCTTCCACATGCGCTTGCGCGTGTTCAAGATGCCGCAACCTTCGGCACCGGCTTCTTCGTCCTTTTGTCGATGGCGTGCCATATGCCTGTCTGCATGCCGTCAGCGATGCATCCCGGAAGCGTTGAAAGAACGAAGGCAGCGCATAGGTCAGGTAGGAAGGCCGTAGTAACTCAAACACAAAGCAATTGGAAAGACAGAGTAGGAACTCTGCCCATCCACTCTTGAAACCCCAGCGTAGGAAAAGAAAAAGTGGAAGCACGTGCTCATCCCCATCCTCCTTCCCACTCCATTCCCCTAGTACTAAGGAAAAAGAAACTAGTCTCCCAAATTCAAACTTACCCAACAGATCCCTCCTCTTAAAATGCGCCCTACACCTCGCACACGTAAAGTCCCCCATAGAATGATTCAGCAAATGCCTCTGCAAATGCTCAGCGCGGGTGAAACTGCGCTCGCACCCCTCGTTCCGGCAGACAAAACGCTTTTCTCCATTCTTCGCATTCGCATTACCGCTGGCATCCTTTCTCTTTCGTCCGCGTTCGCGGGGCATTGACGCTGCCGTCGCCGTTGCCGTCGTAGCCATAGTCAGAACTGCAGCTGCCAATTAGCCTGTCAAGTCGTCGGTCGCCGTACGCACAGTACGCAACGGTAGCCTTGAACAAGCACGATTGAAGGTTGGGGGAACAGGACGCGAATGTGGAGTGCGTACCGCACTGTATAATGGGGGTCAAGCCAGCGTGGTCAGCGCAGTCGGTTCGGAAGCGGCTCCGAAGCGAAGCGAAGCGAGGCTACGGATTAGAGCGCTGTCTGCCGCTACCGGGATTAAGATATCATCGGTAGTCTATTCCGATCCGTCTTATCGAGGTTGCATCGTAGTACAGCCAAAGCGGGGTAGGTTTAGCAGGACTAGCCCAGCCGATCGTCTGTCTCGAGCGGCAACGGCAAAAGTGGGGAAGGGCGAAGATAAGGGTGGGGTAACACTCTCTTGCCGCGATCTGGAAGGTGGACGCGGCGGACGGCGCTGTGGCTGGATTGGTGCAGAGGACCGTTGGATGGATAGATGCATGGATTTGGTGTGAGATGTGTGTGTAGCGGCAGTCGCGAGCCGATGGCGGCTTGACACATCGCCGTCGGCATTGTTACTCATGAAAGATGAGGGAAGGATGCGATATGGGACAGGTTGAAAGCAGTGATTTTGGATGACAGAGCAAGGTTACTTTCGAGTTGGAATGGATCGAGATGCGATGCGAACGCTGTTCAAGTGAGAAATTCCCAGAATCACGTGATGTTGACCCAACCTTGGAACCTTGAAACAGAACGTGAGTACCGAAACGCTGAAAGCAAGGAATGGACAAAAAGAAGATGAGGTAGCAAGGCGAGGTATCGACTTGATCGAATCCCATTGCCGGGTCTGGTTACTAGTTCACGTGACCACCTGGCTCCCATTTTGTATAGCTATTTCCTCCTTAATGCCAACTCCCCGATAAATCCCATTCGCAAGTGATCCAAGCTCTACGCAACCGCAACAAAGAAGTCCGTCTCCCCCTCCTTGCGCCTAACCTCCGCCCTCCTCACCAAATCATCCCCCACCGCCAACCTCAACCTTTCCGCCGTCGCCGGACTATCCAGCTTCCATGCCTCCTCGCCCAGTCCACCCACAATACTCTGCCCATTCATCTGCCTCGCGGCCTTGACCGCCTCCCTTAGCGCAAAGAACACCGTGCTTCCCAAGAACAAGGGCGGTTCGCCGATGCCCTTGCTACTCTGCACGCTCCGAAGATGATTCCACGATAGAGGCTTACCATCGTTGTCGTGACGCAGCAAACTGACGTTGAAGACTTGCGGGATGTCGCTGAAGCCGGGGATCTTGTAGGTCCCTGGTCCACGGGTGAAGAGTTCGCCGGTGCGTGTCCAGAGGGTCTCTTCGATGGTGAAGAGGCCTTGTCCTTGGACGAAGGCGCCCTCGATTTGACCGTAGTCGATTGCGGGATTGATGGAGTTGCCGACGTCCTGGGCTGGCGTCAGTATTGAGTTGAAAGGTGCAAGACGGGGACTTACCATCATCAAATCCGTCCTCAACACAGTGTGATCACCCGTCAGTAGGTCAACCTCAACTTCCGACACCCCCGCCCCTTGAGTAAAGTAGTAGTACATCGGCTTGACGGTCTCGACATCAAAGTTGCCCCACTGATACCCTATGCGGGGCATCTTCCAAAAGCCATTAGCTGCCAAATTGACCCGGTCGAGATACGCCGCGTGCGCAATTGCCTTGAGCGGTGCGTCTTTGCCGAGCTTCTCACGATATGGCTTCAAGCGCTCGTTGAGCTGATCACACGCGTTCTTCACCGCCATGCCGTTGAGGTCGGAGCCAGACGACGCGGCGGTGGGCGAAGCGTTGGCGATTTGATATGTCTGGCTGTCCTGTGTGAAAATCGCATCGAGTGGCGTGCCGAGCTCCTGCGCCGCGATTTGGCACATCTTCGTGTATAGGCCTTGGCCCATTTCTGTTCCTCCATGGTGCAGCAGCACGCTGCCGTCATGATAGATTTTGATGTAGGCACTGGCTTGGTTGAGATGCAGCGCGGTCGCAAAGCTGAGTCCAAACTTCGTAGGGATAAGACAGATGCCTCGCTTCTTCCAGCGATTCTTAGCGTTGAACTCTGCTACGGCAGCTTTCCTCTTATCGTACCCGGATGACCGTTGCAGCTGCTCTAGAAGAAGTGGCACGTGCCAGTCTCCGTCGATCTTTTGTAAGAAAGGAGTGTGTTCGCCAACCTTGTATAGGTTCTTCAATCGCAGCTCGTCAATGTCCATGCCGAGGCCTTCCGCAATGTTGTACAGTACAGTTTCGGCGAAGTACATGCCCTGAGGCGCGCCGAAGCCTCTGTACGCTGTGTTACTGTGGATGTTGGTCTTGCACACGTGCCCTCGGAGGAAGACGTGCGGGCATTCGTACGAGTTATCGAAGTGGGTGAGACAACGGTCCATGACTGCTCCGCTCATGTCCTGGGAGAATCCTGCATTGTCGTACACGTCTGCATCAAGCGCGAGTAGTTTGCCCTCTTTCGATACACCCACTTTCCATCGCGCCTGAACCGGATGCCGCTGACCACTGAGAAGCATGTCCTCGTCGCGGTTGAGCATGAGTCGCATAGGTCTCTTCTCCTTCTTGGCTGCGATGGCGAGGTAGCAAGCGAAAGGAACACTTCTTGACTCCTTGCCTCCAAAGCCACCACCCATGCGCTTGACACGAGCATTGATGCGGTTGCTTGGTACCCCTGTTACAGCAGACACGAACTCTTGCGTCTCCATGGTGTTCTGGGTGGATGACCACACCTCCATGCATCCGTCTTCCCCAGACGGTATCACGAGCGCCGCGTTAGTCTCCAGGTAGAAATGCTCCTGGCCACCCATCCTCGTCTGGCCTTCGAAGATGCGGTCGCACTGTGCGAAAGCCTTGTCCATTTTGTCATCGATAGCGAGACCTTTTCTCAGAACCTTGCCGTGTGCAAAGAAGCTCTTGGCTTCGATCGCTTCGTCGATCGTCAGGATAGCGGGTAGCGGTTCGTACTCCACCTTGACAGCTTTCGCAGCAGCCTGAGCTTCTAGGGTGGACTCGGCGTACACCATGCCGATAACCTGTCCGTCGTGGAGGACTTCTCCATCGGCGAAAAATGGCTCGTCCTTCCGGATAGATCCCCAAATGTTTGCTTCCTTCGGGAGACTGGTCTTGTCGATGTAACCCACCACTCCAGGCATAGCTAGTGCGGGCTCGAAGTCTACGCTGATGAGCTTCGCATGGGCTTTCAATGAGAGAACCAGACCTCCGAAGAGCTCACGGTCCTGGCGAGGCATGTCATCGATGTATTCCGCTTCGCCCGTGCACTGCTTGAGGGCAGAGAGATGCGCAATCTGCTTGCCGACTATGCGCTGCTCGTATGGATTGTAGTCATCGCGAGAACCAGTGGATATGGCACGATGGATCTCGTTGGCGACTTCTTCATCCACATCGCCAAGCCCAAGCTCAGCGGCAGATTCATGCCAGAATCGGAAAAACAGCGACAGTGTCAGCGTCTTGCGGTAATCGGCCATTCCGCCGGGGACGCTAAACGAGAGATCGTAATCTTGCAGCAAAGCGACCAACGCAATATCCAGCGTCTCGGAGGAGAACCACGGCCTACCCCGCAAAGCTTCTTGCGTCTTGAGGGATTCCTTTGTTGTCGGAGCCATGCCACCGTAAACCAGGGATACGTCTTCAACCAGACCTTCTGGATCAAGTCTGACCCTGAAAGCTGCAGTGACGATTGCGATATCGTCGTCCTTCCTCTTCGCCTGCTTGTAGGCTTTCAACACTTGACGTACGTCTGGCCCGGGCAATGGGATCCTAACGCGACTCAGAATAGCATCTGGCGGCAGGGACGTAGTTCGATAGGCAATGAAGAACTTTGGCATTGGGAGATCGATGGTCCCCTTCGACTTGTTGACTGCTTCCAGCGTGGCCCCAGCAGCCATCAATACGGGATTCGCATCAGAGATCGGAGACGCCGTAGCAATGTTTCCGGCGAGCGACGCGACGTTGCGAATCTGCCGACCTGCGAAGTATCGCAGCTGCTTTCGCAGGGCTTCCAGAACCATAGCGCGTTTACCGAGTTTGGCGTAGACCTCTTTGCAAATAGCCTCTAACTCCGTAAGCGGAGTGTTGGCAGCAACGACGAGCTCTTTCGCAGTCTCCAGCTCTGCCTCCAGCGGCATTTTCGTCTGCTTCAGCTCCGGGATATCAGACACATAAACTGATACTGCGAAGTCCGAGTTCTTGAAGCGGACCTCGACTTGGACCTCGCTCGCGCCGCCCACGAGCTTCGCGGAGGGATATGCGTCTTTGAGTTGGACAAGCTGCTCTAGCCTCGTAGGCCTGAACCATATTTTCCTCTCGTTGCCGTAGCACAAAGGTTGAGGCTCATACTTCCACAGGGCTGAGGGAAAGATAAGCTCGGTCCCGGGAGCATACTCTTGAAATTGAATATGGGGTACACCCTTCTCTGAACCTGCAACTGGAGCTTCAAGAGAAGTCGTTGTTTTTACCTCGCCAGCCGCGCTCTCGTTCTCTTTGCTCTTCAGAGGTTTCGCGTAGGTTGCACCACTGACAGCAGGATCTTGCTCCGGATTCTTCTTCGCGCCGACGATAGCGGGTATATGCTCATCGTCCGCTGCAGTGGAAGGCTCGGTTGGAGGCGTAGAGGCGGATGATTTGCTCTCAGCTGAACTGCTATCCGAGGGTACATCCCGACAGCAGCCACCGGGGCGTCCGCACGACACCTTAGAAGGCCCCCCACATCCGTTACGAACCAGGTCAACGATTTCCTTTTCCAGTTTCGCATCCTCTTCTCCAGCTGACTCTTCGGCCAACTGACCCCTGAGATCCTCGGTAACAAAAGTCTTCGCAGCCTTCAGAATCGGCTTGTAGCCCGTACACCGGCAGAGGTTACCATCCAGGTGGCCCTCCATCTCGATGTCGCGCTCGCTCAAGTTGAACTTCTTGGTGTCCGGGTCATAGGCATTTCTGACCATTGCGTAAAGGCTCATGATGATACCTGGCGTGCAGAAGCCGCACTGACTGCCGTGGAGTTTCGCAACCCTCTCCTGGAGGGGATGCGGCTTCTCCACGCTGCCGATGCCTTCAACGGTAATGACATGCTTGCCATCGATGCCGAGCAAAGGAAACAGACACGCGTTCACGGCAAGATGCTTTATCCTCCTCTTCCCTGACTGTGCATCTGGAACCTGGAGCACGACTGTGCACGCGCCGCATCCACCTTCGCCACATCCCAGCTTCGTGCCCTTGAGATTCGGCTGCGCGCGGACATAGTCGAGAAGCGTCCAGTGTGGATTAGGATTGTCAATAACTGTTCTCCTCCCGTTGATATAGCAGGTGATTGCTGGGGAAGTGTATGTCGACTCGATGAGCGGTGTGAGAGCGTCGGCAGCCGAAAGCGCCCGCGGTGGATCCGCCGCCGTTTTAGGCGGCTTTGGCAGGGTCATTATGGACAATGTGTTCGACACCCGCACTAGAAACAAGAAAATAAGAAACCGGGAACGCAGGCCAGGAAGACGAAGAGAAGATAGCAAAGAAGAGCTCAGTGACTGCTGAAGACCACGTTGAAAGGCCCTCCGTCAGCGCGCGGGTGCATGCGGCACAGGCAAATGGCGGGCGCTGATTGGCCCAGGCGCGATCAGCGACCTGCAGCCACCCGATTCGCCGCATCGGGGAACCCCACTCTTGCAACGCCACGCACACATCGCGAAGATGCACTCTGCACCTCGTTCACATTTTATGGACGCCTTTGTCGCACCGGGGAACGCATAGCCGTACCCCCATTTCTGCGACACCACTCCCGACCATGGGATTTGCAGAGCGGACGGCTGTGGGCGACCACATTAGCGCAGGTACAATAGCAGACCCATGGCCGGGGACATGCCCTGCTCGAAACTTTTTGGACTTTTGTGCTCCAGCTTCAATTCCCCTCGTTCTGCATTCACTTGTCGTGGAGAGCTTGTCGTACGAACGTTTGCCAGTATGCCGAAAGCAGACACCCCGCCGGGCTTCAAGCCCCTGAGAGACACCGCCCTCTTCACGCCCTTCAAGCTGGGGCCGCTGAATCTCGAGCACCGGATAGTGCAGGCTCCCTTGACGCGCATGCGAAGTACCAAGGAGAGCGATGGTGTCACAGTACCGAACGACCTCAATGTCGAGTATTACGGCCAGCGCGCAAACAAGGGCGGCCTCCAGCTGACCGAAGCTACCGACATTTGCAAATACGTGGGTCTCCAACAATCGCGCCTATCCGGCGATGAACTGACAAAGACTCCAGGCCGGAGGGTACCCAGGTGCACCGGGCATCTTCACCGAGTCGCAAATTGCGGGCTGGAAGAGGGTCACGGATGCCGTGCACGCGAAGGGTGGCTACATCTTCTGCCAGCTCTGGTTCACCGGCCGTGCATCGCCGCCCTCATTCCGCGGCGGCCAGCAGCCCGTCAGCTCGAGCGATATTCCCATGACCGGGAACTGGGCAGACGGCACGCCCTGCGCAGACCACCCGCCGCGGCCCATGACGATCGAGGAGATCAATCAAACGGTCAAGGACTGGGGTATTGCCGCGAAGAATGCAATCGCAGCTGGCTTCGATGGCATCGAGATCCACGGCGCAAACGGCTATTTGATTGACCAGTTTCTGCACGACAACGTGAATAAGAGGACCGACGAGTACGGCGGATCGGTGGAGAACCGGTGCCGACTCCCGCTGGAGGTGATCCAGGAGACGAGCAAGGCCATTGGTCCTGATCGCGTCGGCATCCGCTTGAGCCCGTACAACTACTTCCAGGACACGAAAGACAGCAATCCGAACGAGCATTGGGAATACCTGTGCGAGAAGATTGCGACCCTGCCGGAGGACGTGAGGCCGGCATACGTGCACATGTAAGCGGCCACATGAACATCGAAAAACACACGACTGACGCTGAAACAGGGTTGAGCCGCGCTTCGACGAGGTCCTGGACGAGAAGGCGAAGATGGATGCCCTCTCCGCGTACACCAACTCCTCTCACGGCGTCGAAGCCGAGGCGACCATCAAGCCGAAGACGAACAATCTCGTCAACTTCCGCAACATCCTGAGGAAAGGGGGCGTCAAGTTCATCGCCGCGGGTGGCTTTACGAGAGACAATGCCCTGCCCAAGGTGGAGTCTAGCGACGCCGACCTCATCATCTTTGGTCGCTGGTTCATCGCGAACCCGGATCTTCCGAAGCGACTGGCCGAGGGCCTGCGGTTGAACCAGTACGATCGATCGACCTTTTACGGGGCCGATCCGCCATCCAAGGGCTACGTGGACTATCCGTTCTTCGAGCAGGACGTGGCGGCATGAATGAAGGAGCCGATCTGAGCATTGCGCGCTGCCTGCATTTTCGGCGCTAGGTCCGGTCAGGGGGCTTCCACACTGCATAGAAAAGCATAGATAAATAGCATGACACTTACATCGTGTGTTCTTTCCGCTCAGTCGCTCGTGACCGTCCTCAATCCGTCTTGAACTTCAAAGTCGCCCATCAACCCATAGTGGTCCGTTACAAACGGGAGTTCTCCCAGGCTCTTTATCTCTGATCTAGCCGCTTCGTCCTCGACTTGAACACCGACGCCCATCCTATCCAGCTTCCTCACTCGCACGTCCCCCCAGAAAACTTCCTTATCAAGGCGTTGCCGACCCCATCTCTCCCAACTGAGGCTCTGGAAGCCCCAAGTCGCCCCCTCTTCATCTCCTTCCCCCCTCCCCAACTCAAGGTACGCATCTTTGAAGCCATTATCTTGTGGCTCCGTCCTATCCCGCGGCTGATTCGCATTGCAATCGCCGGCAAGAATGCTTGCTGCAACGCCTTCTGCACCGCTCTGCAGGTGCTTGGCCAGCGCTTTCCACTGCACCGGACGCATGGTGCCATAGCTAGAGTCGAGATGGACATTGCAAAGTCGCAGATACTTCGCGTCTCCAGAAGAAGAAGAACAAAGACAGACGTCCACAAAAAGCGCAACGCGCTGATACTCGCTCACGAAACGCAAGCGCGACACACGAGCAACGGCCAAACGGCGATCAACCAGCGCGACCTGGCCGTACGGCGAGTCCCATTCGCCAGAGCCGATATCCGTAACGTTGAACTTCTGTTGGATCCACGGCGCGTTTGCTATTTGGCTGAGGTCGTTGGCGTCTTGCTCCCCGACGTTCTCAGACTCCATTATCTCCTGCAAGAAGATCACCACCGCAGACGACGAGGGTATGTCGGCGACCAGTTGCTCTAGGTACCTCAGAGCCGACGCCATTCGCTCGCGGGGACGCGATGCCATGAAGTCGATATTCCAGGTGAGGAGGTGGAGCGAGTTGAGAGGGGCCACGGCAGGTGCGATTGGATCAGGCAGCACAGGGGTGCTTGAGGGTCGCCAGGTCGCATCGCGGAATGTATGCAGCGGTCCTGGCTCGGGAGAATAGGATAGCTGTTTTTGTAGAAGGGAGTGTAGCATCGCCTTTGAGACCATTTTTGCGTTGAGGAATTGAGTGTGTGCAGCGACGCATGCGCAGCGGTACCTAGGTAGGTTGACGGTGCCCTGTTATTAATGCGATAACTGTGCCTGCGGGCTCAAGTGCGCTCTTGCGATGGGGAATTCTCTGGATTTAAGGGCTCGTCGCACATGCCCGTTCAGCTTTGTATGCATCCGCGAAGGCCTCCAGAATAGTCTTTGCGCACGTCGTTATAACTGGAGAATTCCACACCGTGAGAGGCGCGTCCTCCATGCTGACGTGATCATTCCCATGCCACCGGTGCCACACCCATTCTCCTATCCCGACCTAACAAAAACATTTCATCCCCTTTTCCTATCCCGTACGCCATGCTTCCACTCCAGACCAAACTTCCCCTTACCAAGCTTCCACGGCTCGGCCAAAAAATGCAAAAACAAAAACATACAACAGCAAGTATTCGCTAGTGGTCACCCACCTAACTACTAATCCGCCGGTACGCTGCTTAAATATGGCTGAGCGAACGGGAAGCCTTGACCCAGCGTCCTATGGTCGTATGTATCATGTGTCCTTAAAAGTAATATATATATACACTCCGTACCATAGCTACTAGGTATATTTCATATTCTTTCCAGGACTAGTATATTTTTAGTTCTAGCTATATAGATCTTATTTAGACATAACCTTAGTTAAGCCTTTTAAATATTAGAATGATCTTTAGATATCTCGTTACTATTCTAGTCTCTTAAACAGGAATGTTATACCCTGCCTTGAACTGCCTGCTTACAGCCTTGTATTATTTATAAACGGCCTGATTAGGCAAGAATTAGCCAGGCTGCATTCTGCTATCAAGCGACATGCTGCACTCAGCCTGATAACTACTTTGCAGAGGCTTTCTGAGTCGCACTGGCCTGTTTTACGCCTGTCTTCATGTCTTCATAAGTATCATATAATGTACTATACCCATAGCCCCCCCATATATGAATGCAAGCCAATATGGTCAACTGCTACAGGTGGGATGCCAGATTTTGATCCCGAGCGGTTTGACCTTCAGCCTTGACCATCGTGGAAGCCTCGGAGGCCCCGCGGCGTCCTGCAACCGGAAAGTCCTTCTACAAGGCTCGCTTGAAGGCAGAAACTTCTGGTCAGGCCATGCAGCACTCACCAATATATAAAAGTCAGCCCAGCCTGTTTTGGACGCCTACTCTCTCACACTCCACTAGATGGCTTCTTTTTATCACTATCTCAGCGGAACCCAAGTTGTTTGGGATCATTTTGGCTTTTCCGGAACCGAGGATATCACCGTTGCCGAGATCTGGACCAGTGAGCAGGGAAAATCCGATGCGACCGTCACCATATATCGAAAAGTCAGCAAAGAAGATCTGACAGGGTGGCTGTGCCAGACTGATGGAAATCACCAATGGATTGACATTACCGTCGTGAGAAAATGTCTATTTAGGGTTGTCTGGATCCTTCGTGATACGAAACGGCGTCTCAATCAAGTTGATCCGGTTCTTCTCCATGAGGTTTCCGTTGCATTCCGACACCAACTCGCGCGGAACTACTGCATCACCCAGTACGCAGGCATAGGCGCTACTATCGACGAGGAAACGGAAGAGGAAATCTTTTTCCTCTGTAATCATCCAAAGCTTGCCGTCACTTGGTCACAGGACGCGGAAACCGGAGTCACCAGCATGATTTGCGAAGCCGACCGATACAAGCTCGACACACTCCAAGACTTGGTGGGAAGCAAATGCATACAAGATTTTGCTCACTCGAAGGTGGCGCCTGCACTTATGAGCTCAATATTGAGCTCGAAGGAAATCGACATTAAAGTTGGCGAAGTCAAGAAGCGGGTTAGAGAAGTCGAAGTACGGACGGGTTATCATGAGTGGACCTGCCGCTCTGAGGCCTCGGCAACCGGTGATCTAGTGAGCTTGTCAGCAAGAATGAGCGGGTGTGGCCTCAGAACAGAGTCAAACATCAGGAAGTTGGGCGTGATCGCGGAGTTTGGCCAATTTATCCGCGACAACCTAGAAGGAGAGAAGAACGTCAAAAGTAAAGCTGAACTGCTGTCATTGAATCATGTTATTGAACGACGTATCGCCATGCAGACGCTCGACTTGAAATACACTCTGCATCGAATTCAAACCCAAAAGCAAGCGGTTAGTCCTTCTGAGTATCGAGACTACTCTAGCATGGAATTACATGTTGACTTTGCTTGTAGCTGTTTAACTTGATATCTGCTCTCGATTCTGCATCAGCCCAAACAATCGCAGAGGAAACCCGGAAGATCGCGCTGGAGTCCAAATGTGATGCACGGAGCATGAAGCTTCTTGCTCTGCTTACGACGATATTCCTCCCAGGCACCTTCGTCTCCGGTCTCTTCAGTACCCCGATGTTTCAACGGGAGTCTAAAGAGGCTGTAAGATTTACCGTCTGGAAACCAGGATTGTTTTTGTACATAGCAGTTTCTTGTCCGCTGCTGTTTATAACTCTTCTCACCTGGGTTTTATGGACATTTGGAGAAAGAATGAAGATTAAGAGAGATATCCAAGTAACAAGGAAGCGCCTGTTTCAAAGATCGGGAAACACGGAAAAGGAGCACCTCGTCATAAGGCAGAACTCGATATCGCAAGAAACTATGTAGCTACTGCTACTAGATTACCCTGGATGAAAATTATCTAGTTTGCCTCTGGGTGACAGTTATGGAATTCATTTCGAACTATTCAACTGGAAAATCCGCTGTTCAATGCGGGTCTTGGAACGGGTTTCGAGGAATCGAAGCCTGATCCAAGATGCGATGAATCCGACTCTCGTAAATACTCATGCTGTGCATAGCGAGGTCGCCGAAGAGTACAGTTCCCAGTGTTTCAACATCAACCAGCAACGCTGAAACAGCCTCGACGTTACCATTCTCGTCGACCTCGCATCTCAGAGCTACCTGATCGCCGCTGGGGACGTAATAAGGCGAAGGAATGGGCCAGTTATCGTTAGTGATAGGTTTCGTCCACGCTTCGATGAGGCTTCTCATGTAGCTTTGTTGGGCGAGAGCAGCAGGATCTCCTTCGTTGATGAACGATACAAACATCGAGCATTTTGTTGAAGGCCGTGGCATCGCAGGCTTGGATATGGGTGGACATCCAAATGTGACGCAATCGATGCTGGTGATACGATCGTCTGCTCAGAAAGCAACCAGTTAGTTAAGAATTTGTTCAAGCGCGGAGGTTACTTGCCTGATTTCAATATAGCTAAAGGGGGAGAGTCTCCATGCATATACGCAAAGATAAATTGTGCAATTGCACCACCACTAGAGTGGCCAGTGAAAAGTATTGTCGCTTCTTGCGCGCTTTGCTTGTTTAGCGCTCTTGCCAGTTCGCTCGCTATCGAGGATTGCATGTTCCTTGCCACCCTGAGGAGACCACGATGGCACTGTAGCCCAGCCCCGAGCTCTCCACACTCCACTGGGTCTACGTTGCTGTTCACCGCCCATTCCATCAACCTCCTAGTGGCACGAAGGGCAACCACATGTGTAGTTCGCTGATCAATAGTTGTCGTATGCATACAGAAAGACCTCATGCTTCCGAGAAGATTGCCAGAACTGTAAGCTGTATCTAGCGAGGGCTCATTGATCTTGTGTACGTATTTAGCGAATTCGGCAGCAAGACTGACATGTTGCCATTGAGTCTCGAAACTGTACGCGTCTGAGTCTACGACGAAAACATTTCAACTGCATCGGGAAGTTACATTTCGAATGCGTCCAGCTGGTGTGGGAGACGATGATTAGCATAACTTTCGATTCTGCCAATGTAGTCCACTAGGGGGTTCTCGACTTGGGGCTGTTAGTTTCAGACACAACATGTACCAGCTAGGTGGACCTACGTCCTTCGGCGATCTCGCCTGATATATCAATATCCTTGAGCAATTTGAGCACTCTCGAGAAGGCAATTGAATTCGAAGTACTCTCGGTGGATTGCGATACACTGTTGGACGTTGAGGCTACTGCTCCAGCACTGTCGGCGATCGTAGATCTGGCTGTAGATCTGCGCAAATGTAGCAAACTACCAAGACGTTTATTCAGTTCATCTCTGGATTTGGGCATTTTGAAGTGTGAAGTAATAGTGTAGGTATGGTTCGACTCATAGCGCTACACACCTCCAGCTGAAGACAAACATTCCGTCACGTGGCCAAGGCGGGGTATGTCTGTGCTACCATTGCTGCCTAAATTCTTGGCATTGCATCATGGATCGTTGAAAGATCCCGTGTCTCCGAGATTCAACTGGTAGCTCCTCTTGTTGGGTAGCAGAATGAATCGCACTTCTTCTCCTAGCGCTCCGACCGATAGCGCCCAAGATGCCACTGTCGATCAGATCCTCGACCTACTGGCCACCGTGTACTGGAAAGGCCTTGATCGCGAGATATGCGAGGTAGTCTTAGCTTTCCAAGAGATCGAACAGCACCAACCTAGTCCAACTCCTTACGAGCGCGATATCGCCGACATTAGCGGTCATAACTTCAAACAATTTTGTACGCTCTTAAGTACGGTTTTTGTATCTTGGTAATAGAAGCGATTGGTTGCTGAAAGAGCTATAGCCCCTTACGTGGAGGGCGACGAGACTTTTAACTCGGCCCAATTATACAGTCGTTCGATCGAACTTGCTAAGAGTGAGTGCAATCGTGCGGATTCAGCACAGGATAATGAAAGAACTAAATATCACTTGCAGCTCATTTGAAGTCTGACTACGAGGAAAGCCGCGGCCGATACCTACTCCAAGCGCTAGGTAGACAAACATCCGCGGTATAAGCAGGATAAACTTAACGTCAGGCAGGGCTTCTAGATATCGACGTCCTACATGACAGCATGGATGACCCGACCATTGGGAGGCAAAACCACGATCCACATGGTGTGTCACTACTAAAAAGCCTGAAACAAGTAGAACACTAACCGAGCTGCGAGGCGAGGTGCTATCAATCCCAGGCGACACACCGATCTTGTTCCGCGAAATGCGTTGTGAGATATGCGAAGAACCCCTACGGGAATACTTCTACTACGAATGCGAGCAAGGCTGCAAGAGGTCAGTATACACGTGCTTTTGAAATGTCTTACGGCGTTACTAAAGGTGCATACTCCTTAGCTCGATCTCGAATCTGTACATTGAGGATAAAAAAGGCAACGCTGTTGACGGCACGGCACTTCTCGATGACCTTCGGCCACCTGTACGATTGTGCGTCGCGTGCGTCACCAACACAGATAGACTAGAGCAGTGTAAACGGCAGCATTGTCGCAAGGTCATTCACTCTAGAGTAGGGATCAAGGGTATGTTGTTCAACAAAGTTTCATGGTTCTTTCACCTTGACATCCTTTGAGGCTTGTCCAATTTCAGAGCGCGATTGCGGGATATGGAATTTGCGAAAGGTGGATCAACTCGGCCACACTTGAAGAAGACGGCGTACAAGCTTGTGGATCCATCCCACTTTGCAAATGCGGGGCCAATTCATTTCGCTCTTACCATGGGGCCTCTCATGATTGAAAATGGCTTGCGACCGTAAGACCCAGCAGAGATCGTATTGTAGTAATGCTAACATTGTTCCCATAGGATTCGTAATGCACAAATCTCCTGTCGCCCCTTACCCTCATTGCGCTTCGGACCACCTCAAATACAGATAATTTCATCAGAAAGGGATGCAACAGCTGCATCTGAGGGCACAGCTTTCACAGGCTACATGTACGATGACAAGAATTCCGGCAAACGCGTGCTCGAAACCCTGTACAAGCCTGAAAAGAACCGCCGCTTCCTTGCGAGCGGGAAGAAGGTGTGTGGCGGCGCCTTTTCCGGACACAATGCGCGTTTTTCCGAGGGCGAAAAGGAGATAATCAGGGCCCTGTTAAACGCCAAGTCTGCTTTCCGAGTTAACGCGACAGCTGTTGGTTGGGTTGGCCGAGCCCGAAAGCAATTGCACGAGCTCTCGCAACCGATCCTTGATGCCATCGAGGCCACTTTTGGCCAAGAAATCAACATATATCTCAAGCATTTTGCCAAAGTATTGGCGGATACGGGAAACCGCTTGGACTGGGATCTGCGCTCGAATAATTGCCAGGAGTTCTCCACTACCCTTCTCAAAGGCCTACAAATAGGCGGCATCTTCCATGCCTTGCCTAAAAGCTTCCTTGACGATGCAGAAGCTACAAACAAAAAGGACTGGACAATCCCTAGATACGCGATGAGCTTCGGTCCACGCATCGACACACCGATAGCATTGTTACGCCCGCAACCTCGGTCCATAATCTTGAATTTCTACCGCAGGAAGCGAGACAAGTGCGATATCATCGAGTTTGGAGAAACCTACCGTACAAAGCCATTTGCTTTTTCAACCGAGTCATGGGAAGTGCTCGACGGTATCGAGGATATGGGAGCGATGAAGATGTCCTTGGTGGATGCTCTATGGAGCATCCCTAGGGACTCCGTATCCATCCTGCATAGTCACTTGCTGCGCCCTTCTTCCAAGTATGCAAACGCGCAATACGAGGCACTGACAGCGGAGCAATGGGTCCAGAATCGACTTCGTGTGCTCCACCAGCTCGACGTCTTCACTAGTTTAAGCGGTGGGCTAGTTTCAGCTCTGATGGAACAGTCGGCTGAGAAGCGCCATCTGCTTTCCGAATCTTTCTCTCCATCTGCGGAAGAGTTTGGGATTATTCATGCCGAGGAAAAGATAGTGAAGATGGGCACTGTTCGTGGACACCTGATCTACTTTGTTTCGGGACGGGAGAGAAATTGGCACAAACAAGAGATGAAGCATTTCATAAGGAAGCTAATACATTGAATGTAGACTTTATACTAGATACGCTTCTACTAAGCATATATATATCGGACAGTTTTGTTTGGTCGGGTTCTCAAGCTTGAATATGGTGTGCGGGGAGGCGGTCTGGTGATCTCTTTTCAAGTCAAGTAATGGTGTGGACTGTGGATGGGATAGAAGATGTGGCGTTGGAAAGCTTAACGGTAGTAAGGGCGAGATGGGAGAGGAGGTGGGAGAGAGATGTAGATGATAAATGGGCACAGATGAGGGAGGGTTTCTACGAGGCAAGCATTACGAGACTAGAGTAGAGCAGCGAAAGAAATGCATATTGCGTAGCTCAGCGGCGGTAAACAGACCCAGACCAAATCAGTGTATGCGATTGTTCTATTACGACAAAACCGAAAGTAGTTAGATGCCATTTTGAGGCCATCCAGGATATCGATACAAGGCTAATGATACACGCAATGTAATTCTTTTCCAAACCCCAGTCCTGTACGCTGTATGGATTAGGCGGGGAAGATATTCACGAAGACGATTTTGCGCCGGCCTGGATGCGAAGCGTTTGCCTCCGTGCAGTCGACTTAGGTCACGTCTTCCCACGACACTTGTTGCTTCGCACCTGCCGAGGTCTGGGATTCGCCATGCCCCTGCGAAACTTGACACGCACACTGTTATAGTAGCGGATGGGCGTCCGTGTGTCTGTTGCTGGTGAAGTCCGGCGGGTTCGATAAGGGTGGGCAGCGGGGGCACATCTATTTCTCTGTATGGGTCGGACTGAATGGTCACAAACGGATGGTCTGGATGGTCTGGCTGGGCGCGATGTATACCCCGGGGAGCTTAGTGCCGAGCGAGCGATCATGTGGCGTCGCCGAGCTTCCGTAGGGCGTGGGCCTGAGGTGGAGCGAGTAGCCGGTAGCGCGTCGTCGGAAACTGGAGCATTCGAGTTACTAAAAGCTGCGCCATCATGTTTATTCGACGCATTCTTCTGGGTTGGCGTCTCGGGCCTGCTCGTGGCTGCGGCATTGGCTAATGGGCTGTAACGGGACGAGAACCGTCCACGACGCTGTCTAACCCAGGGTCGCCGTCTCCTCATTCCTCCTGCAGTGTCTTCTGTCAACCTACGACATGATGATTTCCTTGCGTCTATTGCACTGAAGGTGTCTAACTCGGTGGCCGCTCTAGTGTCGTCAGGGTGAGCGTCAGACTCTCCTATTGGATCGCATTCGTTCCCTCCAACATCTGTGCCGCCGTCTACGCGGGTTTGAAATTGGGCAGAAGTTTGAGGGACGGCTTCGGCTGGCTTAGAATTTCCACAACCTCCCGAAGAAGTGGGCTTAGTGTCAACCGCCGACGGTTCTGATGTTGAGAAGCTCATGCCTAAAGATTCCGCCAGCTTAATGAACTCATCCAGACCCAGACCTGATGGAGTAAGACTGCTAGTTAAGCTCGCAGCGAGCTCGTCCCTGGTGAGCCGATCTTGTCTTTCATAGCGTTCGACAACGCGGTTTCCCCTCGCCTGGAGCGCACGTCTCTGGGACTCAATCTTGTCTGCGAGCTTCCGAGACTCTACCGCAAAACGCTCTTCGAGTTTGGCCTTCTCCCTCTGGAACCGGTCTTCGCCCATCTTCTTCTCTGAAGCTATCTGGTCTAGTTCACGGAGAGCGCCTTCCACATGCTCCTTCTTCTGTGCTTGGTAGCGTGACTCGTATCCAAGTATCCATTCATGGTAGAAGTCAAGCCTCCTGCGCAACTTTAGAGCGTGCAATGCATGAGCCAAAGTTTTCATATCAATCAGCGCGTCTTTGATCATGCTAGTATCCAGTGACTGTCGTTCGTGCGCATAGGCGTTGCGAAGCAATTGTAAAGATCGCATTTCTCCCTGGAGCGGCAAGAAAATGTCGAGAAGCTCGTGCTTCGTTTTCTTCGGTAGACAGCTGAGAACGTCGGTGCTCCGGCCATTCGCTATGTCATTCCTAGCGGAGAGGCGAAACATTCGCGTGTAAGCGATCACATTTATGGCCGCGGCCCAGTGCCAACACTGTGCCTCCATCACCCTGGGGAATCTAGACATCCCGAACACGAAGAGCGCCCTCTTCATTGAGTCGAGAACGTTCCTGAGAAGCTGGTTTTGTACGCTGTATGGGAGATATAATGGATGAAGTGTTGAAAGCGAAAAGTCTGAGGCGTTCTTAGAGCCGCCATTAACAACAGACTTCCCGCTCGTAGCGGCGTCGTCATGGGACCCACTAGAATGTGCAAGGGTCATTACCCTGCCATGATCTGCTGCCTCGACTTGTAGCTTCTCCCGCCGCGTCGGCGAACGCGCAGAGCGTTGGGTTAGTCGTTGTCTGAGTTGCTCCCACGACTGTAGAGCGAGGCCATCTGCCGCCTCTTGCTCCAACAGTTCTAGAGCGGTTTTGAGGCGAGGTAATGAATTCTGGGTTTCCGACAGCCTCTCGCGGTACAGTTTAGCAACCCGACCGTGATCGCCACGCTTAGCAATCTTTAAGCTGTCTTTGAACTCTTCAAGGACGGTAGCGCAATATCCCTCTTTGCGCGATATCATGTGATTGAGACCCAGAATCCCGTCTTGAACTGTAGGCCATTTCTTTTTCCGGAAGTGTTTGTTAAGCAATGCTAGAACTAGTTTTGTGGCAGAACTATGGGCGGTCTGCTGAGCCTTCCGAGCTGACCCGCTATTCTCCGTTTCGCGGGATTCGACGGCTCGGTCGGTAATCTTGCTTATGGTGCCCTGCTGCTCGCACTCTAGCTGTCTGCTAATTTCGCTGGCTCTGCGAGTCTTTCTTCCTACTTGAAATGGCAGGGAAGAAGGCGGATCAGTGCTCGTGGTCTCCTTATATGGACGCGCATCAACGACGTGGTCGGCATGGCTCGCTTGGCCGGGCAGTGGTCCATCACAGACGTCAGGTTTCAGAGTCTCGGGCGCTTTCATCGCGATGACTACGGGGTCATCTGGGACCGATTCAGCATCAATACTGTGGACTTCTGTTTCTGGGCCGCTTGGAGCTTCTCGGTGAGGGTTGTCGGAGTCCGTCTCGTTTGGAAGCGAAAGAGCTGTTTCGGCAGGCAGGGCTGAGTCTGAAGCATCTGGGCTTTCGTTCGATGAAAGGATGAACTCGAATGGATCATAGTCATGTTGGTCATTCCCATTACCGATGGCAATAGGTTCCTGCGATGACGTGGCCTGAAGCACCGCTTGTTTGGGCACACCTCGGGTAAGGGATGGTGTAAAGAAATCCTGAAGATAATGTGCCCCATCTGGTTCCACGGTCCCGCCAACAGTCTCCTCCTTCGCCATCTCTTCAGGTCCTCTCTCTTCTATTCCATCCGTCTGCCTTCCCTTCTCTTCCTTCGAACCCTCTTGCTCAGCCTTGAACCCCGTTCTTTCCTCTTTCCGCCGCTCGTTCACGAACGAAAAAGTGGTCCTCTTTCCCCATTCTCTTTCTCGCCTCACTCCGTAATAGCAAGATGGATGCTGGTGTCGCGGGAACGGAAGGTACTGTCCGGAAGAAATGCACATCCGATTACATGCGTGAAACCCGAGAGATATGCGCCGCAAATTAACGTCAATTAGCATGGGGAAGTAACAGAACGCCCAACCATTGAGTAAAAGAAAATATTTGAAATCGCCTGGGATGAATTGGCGATGGGGGTCGTGGTGTGCTACGCCGCAAGGGTGTGCAAAGATCCCAAGGTTCCGAGCGTCAAGCTTGGCGACGCTAGGCTGGAAGGGGTAAGATGGGTAACACGAGATCACATGACACTAGGCATTGCTGAAGATCAACCTTCACGCTTCCTTTATTCTTTTCGATACGACGTCTCTAGCTCGAGGTTTCATGCCACATTGTTATCTATCGCGGCCTTCATCACATTCCCGAGGTCACGGGCGTACACTAGAGCCTGGAGCGCGATCGATCCTTCGAGACAGTCATTATCGCATTCTCTTTGGCTCAATCCACATCAAACTATCGTTCCAACCCCCCTTTTCCTTCTCCACCTCCTCACGTAAAATACCTCCACATCTCGCTCTTCTCCCCATCCCCCAGTTCCTCCGTCCTCACATCTTCCGCCCTAACCCTACACCCCATCTCGCGATCCCTCCTCCGATTCTGCATCTTCATCCAGCCACCCAGCGCCAGCGTCGTCACAATACACACCACATTGCACGCCGCCGTCGCCGCGAGCGTCGGCACATACTTGGGCGCATACTCGGCCCTAAACGTGGCCGCGCTCACAATGCCACCCAGGTTGCCCAAGCCGACCATCAGCCCCGTCGTCGCGGCGCGCGAATTCTCGTTGAGATTGTTGTTGTTGTGCCAGCTGTGGACGAGACAGGAGGGGATGTAGGCACCCGCGCAGAGCATGAAGCAGGCGAAGTACGCGACGGCTTTGTTGTGCAGGACGTCGATGATGGCGAGGATGATGAGGCCGACGAGGCTGACGCAGAGGGCGAGGACGATGTGGAAGGTGCGCTCGCGGAAGTAATCGCTGCTGTAGGTGACGCAGAGCAGGAAGACGAAGCCCACGGCGTTCGGCGCGACGGTCCAGAGGTTTGTTTTGATGACGGAGTAGCCCAGGCGCTGCACGATTTGCGGGAGGAAGTTCGAGGTTGTGCTGAAGGCGACGGGGTACGTGAAAGCGATGATGGTCCAGGGGATCATTTTCCAGGTCTTCCAGCTGGCGAAGCTTTCGCGGAGGCTGAAGGCAGAATGCGAAGTGGCTGATAGGTCGCGGAGAGTGCGGGTTTTCGCAACTTCCTTCTCGGTGTCGTTGAGGAACCAGGCGCTCGAGGCGGAGGCGGGGAGCCAGAGGTAGGCGACGACAGCGACGATGACGGTCATGCCTCCTGGAGCTGCGTTAGCCTTTGGACCTGGGCAGTGAAAAGGTAAGCAAAGTACGCACCCTCGATCAGGAAAAGCCACTTCCAACCCGGAATATGCGGATCATTGATCTGGAACACGCCGTAGGAAATAAGGCCGCTGAAAGCAGCCGCTAACAGCGCGCTGCCGAAGAAGATAGCGATGCGGAACCCCAGCTCACCACGCGTATAAAACAGCGTAAGGTAGAACACCACGCCCGCGAAGAAGCCCGCCTCGAATCCCCCGAGAAGCAGACGGAGCACGAGCATTCCAGCAAAATTCTTCGCCGCGCACTGAAGCAGCGCACACGCACCCCAGCCCACCATCACTGTGCTCCGGATCAGCCCTGAAACCTATGTCTAGTGTGAAGCTTGAGGACGACTTACAGCTCGGAAGCATCACCTTCCCACTCCACTTCTTCGTCAACATATTAAGCGGCAAATCGCATAACCCATTCGGCACATAGAACAACAAAATCAACAGCGAATACTGCTCTCCGACAAAGCCGAGGTCCTTATCCATGCCATCGGTTTTCGCGTTGCCCAGGTTACTCCGGTCGACCGAGTTGAAGAAGTACATGAAGGAGAGAAAAGGCAGGAGGTAGAGGTCCAGTTTGCGGACTGCAGGTAGAGTTAAAGACGTGGTGATGGGATGTGAGGGAGGCACAATACCGTATGCTTTCTCGACAGCTGGGTCCACGTACTCGGATGTGGTGCCTACTTCTTGGTCCTTCGCTGAAGGCGCGGTAGAGGTAGGGTGCTTTTCGTCGGACATGGCGATGTTGTAGGATTCGATGGTCATTGCAGAACTGCGGAGCGTCTCCTAAAGCTTGATGGCGAACGATCACACGGATGTCGAAAAGTACGGAAGACAAGCTCAGCGAAGCTGCCCAAGCAGTAAAGGATGCGCTTGGCTAGATAACCGCTCGCTGCGTAGTGATCGACACTCGTACTCCCAAGTAACACCTTTTGTACTCCTCTGCTTCTTATCACGGATATTGGAAGTCGAGCCCTCGTCTCCCATCCCCATGCCCATTCTTGATGCGCACTGAAGCGGCGCATTCATCCGGCCCTGCAGTATGGTGGTGATAGACACGACCTGATAGGGGTGGAGACGATTTGGTAGCGAAGAGAAGAGTGGGGGATGTGAAGCTAAGACTAGAGCCGGAACTAGTTTAGCGGGCATGGGGATAAGCAGAACGCAAATAGTATTCCCATGACAATTTGACAGTCAGGAATGAGCAACGCGGAGCTCTAAGCCAGTGGCGAGTGGAGGATTTCTACTCAATTCCTGTACGTGTAAACCATCACTACCATGATTTTCAACGGAGGGGAAATTGGAAGCATGAAGGTATGAACCTCAAGATACTCTCCGTTCGTCAAGAAATAGCGTGCCATAATTTGATTCCAGATTGCTCTAGATTTTGTCTTCCCCCGTTCCGCCGGGTCTCCTTGAAAATTCCTATACTTTGGACAACAGTATGTTGTGGGAATTATGTATGTGCCTCCAACGCCGGTCCTATGCGAGATGTGGAGTTCGTAATATCAAGAGAAATGCAGAGCATGAAGTGCTCATGTGTCGCGCATAAACTGCTCATAATAGGCATCCAGCCACCTCACTGCGCTTTGTCCGCTCTCTCGGCTGCCGTCAGACCACCGCCGCACAGTCCCGACGTAGCCGTCAGGACGCACATTCAGGACCACGACTTCGTGGTTCGACAAGCCATTGAGCCACTTATCCATGCACTTCTGCTTGCGCGTGTCCTTGTCTGGAACGTCGTCTAGGTAGAACGTCCATCGCGAATCGCGGAATACTTGAGGGAGATCCTCGAGCTCCACGTCATTGCGATCCATGTCCGTGACCAAAGCATAGGTAAAGATTCCGCTGACCGGTGTGTACCGTTCCGGGCACACGAACTGGTCATGTGGGGCGGCCAAGGGGGGTTGCATAGTGTAAGACGCATTGCCAGCCATTGTTATGCGACCGACGTAGGACGAGGTGGACTGGTGAGCGCTGCATACAGTGTCCAAAAAGGGCATGGAAGCATGGACGTCCTTTGTGAAGAAGTAGATGCGGAACTGACCGAGCGAGGGGATGTCTGTCTGAATATCCACAGGGTTGGCATCGATAAACCGAGTGACCTTGGCAGGAGGAAGCAAGTAGCCCGGCGTCAGGGACCCACGGTGGTAACCCTTCGACTGTACATTCAGCACGTTCAGACTATAGCTGACACCATAGCCAGAGATGAAGGCAACGTTTTGGGTGAAATTGGCGGCGAGGGCGACCGGGTCGCCGGCAGCGAATGCATTAGCATGCTCGTAGTCGAAGTTGATAAGGTCCTGTGCAATCTTCTTCCGCTCCTGTTCGTACGTGTCGAGAAGAGCAGGCTTTGCAAGCCCGCGGACAGCAAAGTTGAGCTTCCACCCGAGGTTCCAGGAGTCGTGCATGGACGTGTTCATACCCTGAGCGGCCTTGGGCGAGTGCGTGTGACTGGCATCTCCCGCGATAAAGACCCTGCGGTCGGTATCTGTGAACCTGGCGGCGACCTTCTGGCCGATCTGATAACGTCCGAACCATTCTGCGACTATTAGACTAGCGATCTTGAAGCTGAGAAGTCTAGAAAGGGCTACTCACCGACCGATCTCCACTCCACCCTGTACGGGTGCATAATCTGCTGAGCTCGCTTCTGCACGAACTCTTGGGTGTGGCGTTCCTTCATAGTGGCCTCTTCCGAGCCGGGCTTGAGCTCAATGTAGAGACGAGTCATGTTCCTTTCGCGCGGGATCATCAAGATCGAACCAAATTCATCCGAATGCACGGCCACCTTGCTCCATATATCAGGGAAGTCGGTGTCGAGCACTCCATCCAGCACGGCCCAGACAGCCTCCGACGACGCCCCGACCGGTGTTGCATTCGGAATCGACTTGCGCACCTGCGAACGCGCTCCGTCACAGCCCACAATGTAGCGGGTGCCAAACGTCTTCTGCATTTGATTGACGTCTTGCGTGCACCGGACTGTTAGAGGGCGGACCTTCTGCGGGGTGTACTCGAGGTCGGTGAAGGCGGTGCTGCGCTGCACCTCGACGCCCCGTTCCCTCAGGTCGTCTATGAAGATGCCCTCCACCATGCCCTGGTGGACCAGCAGAATGTACGGATCGAGCAGGTCGACGACGGGTGGATAGTGGATCTCGCGGCCGGTGCGGTACAGCCTGCGCTGGGCGGTCGACTTCCAGAAGGCGATGTCGTAGACCTTCACGCCCTTGCGCAGCAACGGCTCGGCCATGCGCATCTGGCGCAGCGTCTCGATCGTCTTGGGCTGGATGCCATCAGCGCGTCCGGTGGATGTCTGGTCGGCGCGGTTGTCGATGATGCGCGTCTTGATGCCGAAGCGCACCAGATTGTCCCTGCACAAGTCAGCCATGATGCCGCCACGCAGTACTCAGGGACGTACGCTAGTATGAGGCCTGATGGGCCCGCGCCCACCACTACCACGTCGCTGAGGAAAGTCGAGTAGTCGGTGTCGTGCGAGGCATAGGAGACGCCGGACGCCGTCGAGACGAGGTCGAAGCTGGTATCGGAGCGGATAGAGTCGGTGGTCAGACCGGGGGCCATCTTCTGGATCTTCGAGTGCGGCGGGCTGTTCGAGGGTGAGCGCTTCATGAGGGACGAGAACCACGGAGCCATGCTATAAGGCTGCTGGCCTCTATGAGGTGCGATGCGCTAGGGTGGAAAATGGGGGTTGTGTCGGAGGGGCACATTCGACCCTCTGCCCATTTTCAACGCGCTGGAGACGGGCATTGCGGCGACAGAGTGCGTCCAACGGGACGGCATGCGACGGTGTTTGCAAAAATTTGCAATTGATGGGGTGACACGCGCCCGGGATGTTGTGGAAGAATGTGCGCGAGGCTGCAGAGGGCGTCTGGCCGACTGATGGAGGGCGCGCCTCGACGCGGTGGCCCCTGCGCTCCCCCACTGTTCATCACAGCCCCCAGCCCCCAGCCCTCATCATGCGCCCGAATGCTTCTGCTCTCATCTCCGAATCCGAGGATGCCTTGGTCCGCAAGTGCCGAGCCGCCCGGCATCTCCCTCGTGTCGAAGCGTTTCATCAGATATCGCTAGCCCTGCGCCTTGTCGGAGCCCGCCGTGAAGCTTCATAGTCTCTAACAGCATCCCCCCTCACGCCTCAACACGATCCCCTGATCGCGAGATGGGTGAAACTACGACTCCGCAATGGCTGCTAACGGCCACTGAGAAACGCAAAATCCGCGACGACGCCATCCAGAGCTTCATTGATGCACACGGAGCAGCCCTAGCCGCCGTCAGAGCTTTCCCTCATTCTTCACGAAGACGCACTGATCGAACCTCAGAGTCTGCACGTCGACGAATCCAGCAGCGCCATTCCCAACAACGCTCCGCGGGGCTTGACAGGCTTGGACGATGTTGGGAATATTCTCGATGCCGTTTCGTCTGGGGCCGTGACCGCTGCGGAGCTGTGCACCGCCTACATAAGCCGGTACGGAAGCAACCGCTTAAACCCCCCAATTGTCGTGCCATTCTCACGCCATTTTACCCCAGGGCCATCGCAGCTCACCGTCGTGTAAATTTCCCATTGTGTACCTCGCAGCGTTGACTGTTTTGCTGACCGGCCTAGACGAACTGGTACGTACACGACGCATCCTTCTAGCGTTGTCGTATCCGCTAAACCACATGGTCATCCACCAGCCTTACGGAAATTCTCTTCGACGACGCCCTGAAACAGGCCGATGAACTGGATCAGATTTTTACGGAGCATGGACATCTTGTGGGGCCACTGCACGGGGTACCCATGACGCTAAAAGATCAATTCGAGGTCAAGGGCTACGACAGCACTCTCGGATACGTCGGGCGAGCCTCGAAGCCAGCAGCTCAAGACGGCGTCTTGGTGACACTCTTGAAAAAGATGGGGGCAGTCATAATCGCCAAATCGAACTTACCACAAAGCATCATGGTGCGCCCTCCCTAACCCACTCTAGCACCTAGCTCGCTGCTGCGTTAAGCTCACACTTGGTAGTGGTGTGAAACAGAGAACCCGCTCTGGGGTCTCACCGTCCATCCGAGAAATCCCGATTTCACCCCTGGCGGCTCTACGGGTGGAGAAGGCACGTTGCTTGCCCTGCAAGGCTCCGTTGTTGGGTGGGGCACCGACATAGGGGGAAGCATTCGTATACCATCGCATATGCTCGGGTTATATGGGCTGAAGCCAAGTGTAGGATGCGCCTTTTTTTGATCTGCGGTTTAAACTCGGTCTCGCTTTCCACGTGGAGTTTCACATCATCCTCCCGCGGCATCCATCGGCTAATAATGCATGCAGAGTACCCGCTTGCCCTATCATGGCGTCGCCGTATCGACCGAGGGCCAGGAACACGTACCCTCCGTGATTGGTCCTATGAGTCGGAATGTCGATTCGCTGATCGCGGTAACCAAAGCTGTCATTGATGCCAAGCCGTGGAACGAGGACCCAAAGTGCTGCCCGCTGTCCTGGCGAGATGAGCTCTTCGTCGGCGTCCAGTCTCGACCGCTAGTCATCGCCGTTATGCGTGACGATGGAGTAGTGAAGCCACATCCCCCTATAGCTCGCGTACTGGAAGAAGTCACTACTAAACTGCAGAATGCCGGGCACGAGATTGTCTCGTGGACTCCTGGGAGTCTCCATCAGGAGTGTATCGATATTATGGTAAGTGCAGTGAAGCCTTCTGTACTCGTTCTCCTGACGTTAGGCCAGGACCAGTACTATACTGCAGATGGAGGAGAGGACATTCGGCGAGATCTCGAAGCTGCCGGGGAACCTTTCATTCCACATGTCGAAGCCCTGATAAACAAAGGCAAGCCCATTTCGGTCTACGCCTACTGGCAGCTCAACAGGCAAAAGGTGGCGGCACAGAAGCGCTTCCTCGACTTATGGAACTCTACCACCTCCACGTCAGGAAGGCCGATCGACATCCTACTCACGCCTGTTATGCCCCACTCTGCAGTGCCGCATCGCAAATGTAGATGGGTAGGATACACAAAAGTCTTCAACTTTGTGGACTACCCGGCGGTCGTACTACCAGCTGGCGAGGTGTCAAAAGAGCTCGATCGGGCGGCTGCAGAAGTCATGGCCACGTATGAGCCACGAAATGCGCTCGACGAGTGGAATTGGAAGTTGTTCGATCTCGAAGCTATGCACGGCATGCCGGTAGGCGTGCAGGTGGTTGCACGGCGCTTGGAGGAAGAGAAGGCCCTCGGCGCGGCCAAAATCGTCGACTCGGTGCTGAAAGCTGCAGCCACTCCATAGACCAAATCTCGCCCATATTCCGACCAGACTTCAGATCATTCGAAAGTCGCCATGTGGACTGCACATTGTCGGGCTGGAACAACGTAAATCCGCACACCGTTCAGATATCGGCAGCTAATGCATGGCACGATAAGTAGCCGTCGGGCCAGGGTCATGAATCATTTTCCACCCCACCTTCCAGCTGCTGGTCGCGCTTTCCCTGCGCGACGTCCATCTCCGGGGCTAAGAGAGGGGTAGTCCGCCAGCTGTTTACTCTCCAAACTTTCTGCTCCCTTTTCCGCTTCTCGATTATTGCGCGCGCCTCACATCACCCTACGCCTAACTGAGAGCTACAGCTGCGCAATTGGAGCAAGATGGGGAAGAAGCGCGTTCTCGTCAGCTACGGCGTCGACATTGACGCTGTGGCCGGGTGGCTCGGTTCGTATGGCGGGGAAGACTCGACGAGCGATATCAGCAGAGGTGAACTCCGCTACCTTCCATACACCGCAGGCGCGACTGACGATCTGGAGGTCTTTGGGCTGGAACAATAGGAACGCAACGGCTGCTCAAGCTCTTCGACAAATACAAGATCAAGGCGACGTGGTTTATTCCAGGTGAGTCCAGTCCTGAAGCTATGAAGCTTATCGCTGACCAACAAGGTCACTCGCTCGAGACCTTCCCGGAAGACTGCGCCGCCGTACGCGATGCCGGCCATGAGATCGGCCTGCACGGCTACTCTCACGAGAACCCCGTCGACATGACCTTCGAACAGCAACGCGACGTGCTCGACAAGACATACAAGATGCTTACCAAATTCGCGGGCAAGCCGCCGCGGGGCAGCGTCGCACCCTGGTGGGAGACTTCCAAGGAAGGCTGCGACCTGCTCCTCAGCTACGGCATCGAGTACGACCACAGCATGTCGCACGAGGACCACCGATGCTATTGGCTGCGCACAGGTGACCAATGGACAAAGATAGACTACAGCAAAAAGGCCGAGGAGTGGATGAAGCCTCTTGTGAAGGGTGAAGAGACTGGGCTAGTAGAGATTCCGGGGAGTTGGTACATTGACGACCTACCGCCGATGATGTTCATGAAGAAGGCTGCGAACAGTCATGGTTGGGTGAACCCGAGAGACGTGGAGGCGATCTGGATGGACCATTTTGATTACTTCTATAGGGAGTATGATGAGTTTGTCTTTCCGATGACGATCCACCCGGACGTTTCGGGGCGGCCGCATGTTATCCTCATGCACGAGAGGTGGGTGATACCAGCTGTGAAGCTATGGGGCTGCTAATCCATACACAGGATTATCGAACACATTAACAAACACGAGGGCGTCGAGTGGGTAACGATGGAGCAAATGTGCGATGACTTCAAGGCGAAGAATAAGCCACCAGCAGGCGCGAAGATGCCCGCACCACGTGGCGAGATTTTGAAGATGCAGGAAGAGGGCAGGGCTTACAATCCGGGATTTTAGGGTTCGAAAGCCTGACGTTGGGGAGCAGGAAATTTTTTTAAAGCCATAGCTACGCCGCCTGCGACGTGGGAATGCGGAATTTTACTCTTCATGTTAGAATACATGGTAAACTTACCTCAATGTGCCAAAAACCCACATCGTGTCTGTGTATAACCACTTGAACAAGAATCAACTACCAGTCTAGGGCTTGGAATCGCGCACCTCGTGTTCCGAATCTCGGAATGTTTCCGTAAAGCTCGGACCCTCAAGTACGTACCCCGCATCCCCCACTCTTCCATCTGTGGAACGTTCAGTCGTCACGACCGCTGCACACACTGCCGCCACTCTTGCATCCCAACCAATAGCCGCTCCTTCCTGCATCGTGGTAGGTCCGCGCCGGCGATAAGCATTGGAGGAAGCTCGTAGCACCGCTGCGCCCTAGCTCTTCCCATCTACGTCGCGTGCGTCCCTGGAGGGATAGGTGGGTAAACGCGGGCTAAGATGGCGGCAATTGAGCTGTTTGCCTCTCCCTTAGGGCGTGAGACGCGTGCCTTTATACTCCTTTGTCTTTGAAGGCCAGTTCGCTGTACCGTCCGTTCGCGCTTGAGCTGCATTGTCATTCCTCCCCCATCGCAGCGCTGACATCATGCTTCCTTCGAAACCGCAGATAATCCAGCAGCAGCACAGAGACGCGGCCAGTAAGCTCCATGTACGAGGCCCCTCATCATCCACCTTCATCGCGTTCACTCGTTGACAATCCCAGGTCATAGTCGTCGGCGCTGGCCTCGGCGGCCTCGGAGCCGCCATCTCCATCCTGCTCGCCGGCCACAGCGTGCACATCCTCGAATCCGCGCAAGAAATCGCCGAGGTGGGCGCCGGCATCCAAGTGCTGCCCAACTCGTCGCGGGTCCTCTTCGCTTGGGGCATGGAAGAAGCGCTCTCGAAGCATGCGACGCGGCCGAAACAGTGCAATTACATTGGCTGGAAGGGCCAGCGGATTTCGAGCATGGACTTCCACGAATACATGAAGGAGCTGGGCACGCCGTTCTGGGACTTTCATCGCGCGAATCTGCACATGGAGTTGTTGGAGCGGGCGAAGGAGCTTGGGGCCGAGATCGAGACGAATGCGAGGGTGGAGGATGTGGAGTATGAGCGTCCGTCTTCAGACCGGACGATAGCTGTTGCAGTGCTGGCGGATGGGCAGAAGAGGAAGGCGGATCTGATTGTGGGTGCGGATGGCATTAATAGCAGGTGTAGGGAGATTCTGCTGGGTAGACCGGATCCGCCGCTGTTGACGGGAGATCTCGCGTATAGGTTGCTGTTGAACACGGAGGATATGATGAAGGACCCGGAGCTGAGGGGATTCATCGAGGATCCGCAGGTTAACTACTGGATGGGTCCTGATGCGCATGCTGGTATGTAGCTCAATTGCTCAACCAGAAGCTTGCTAACAGAACCCAGTCAACTACGTTCTCCGCGGCGGCAAGCTCTTCAACATGGTCCTCCTCGTCCCCGACGACATGCCCGCCGGCGCCACCACGCTCGAAGGCAACGTCGAGGAAATGCGCGCCCTCTTCAAAGACTGGGATCCGCGCATCCCCAAGCTACTAGCCCTCTGCGAGTCAGTCTATAAATGGCGCCTGTGCATCCGACCCAACCTCAACCCCACCTGGTCCCACGAAAGCGGCGCCTTCACCATCCTCGGCGACGCCGCACACGCCACGCTTCCGTATCTCGCATCGGGCGCGGGAATGAGTTTGGAAGACGGACACGTACTAGGCCTATGTCTGGCAAGGCTAAGTGGAAAGAGCGATGCGGAGAAGCGGAAGGCGCTTAGAGTGTACGAGCGCTGTCGGCGCCAGCGCACGGAGCGCGTCGTTACGCGTGGAAACCTTCAGCAGCATCTCTACCACGTGCACGACGGCGCGGAGCAGCAGGAGCGCGACCGGTTACTCCGCGAGTTTGCGCACTTCAACGGGCAGGGCCCTGTGGGCGAGGAGAGGCTCAGGGAGAGGGGCTTGGCCGAGGGAAGCGATCCGTTTCCGTGGCGCTGGCATGGGTGTGGGAAGTGGTTGTTGACGTATCAATGTGAGCCGGATGTCGAGAGGAGATGGATGGAGGTGGAGGAGGAGATGAGGGGAGTGGTTAGTGCGCTGGAGGTGGAGAGGAGGGAGAGGGAGGAGGTGAGGGCTGTTCTGTAGGTGATGATATGGAAGAGGAAATGCATAAGATGCTGCTTTAGGTACTGCCGTTCGAATCATATCGACGCAGATGTTACCTTTCACCTTACCTCCGTTCCCCGTGCTAATTGCAACATCGTGCCTGTAGGAGTTCGCATACCCTGTGTTCGAGGGGACAACGGCGGTTACGGTAGCAGGAGTTAGGGAGCACTCCCTCCAAGGTACGGAGCACCCCCCCATAAGCAATCCGCGCACGGTTCCACCCTGATCCTGGGCTCTGCTACTCTAATCCTACTACCGCGTAGCCTTTTTAGTGCATCTAAAAGCCCTTGCCTTATCCAGCCCTTCCCCTCCTTACTCTAACTTAACGCGCAGATTACTTATTGGGATGCTCCGTACCTTACCTAGGTACAGAGGTGCGATCTATCTCCTGCCAGTTATGATGCTCTCAAGCCAGAGATGTTGCATCGTGATTGGCCAGCGTCACGTGTGTGCACGGTCCAGGCTTCGTCTCAGCCTTCGTTGGCTGCCTGGGATGATCCGCCCTCTTTCCACCCTCACCCTCACTCCAAATACATGGCCGTGAGGGCCGCCGGGGAGTCTCTGCTTCATACTTCTTATATCCTACGGGTTGGTCCACTGCGCGTCGTCTGCCTCGCTCTCTTGTGGTGCCGCTTGGATTGTCGGCATCATCTCAGCCTTGTGGAGACGATACGTGTCAGGAGCAAAAGGATCACGATCACCCTCCGCTCTTGTAGAGTAATATCCTTATATCCGACAACAATGCGTTATGACGCAGGATCCTTGGAAAATCTAGTCGGATTAGCCTTGACCGATCGATCTCCGACACGCTGCGCTCGGCGAAATGCGTCTCCTTCATTCACAGACTTTGCAGTTCAAGGTGTTCAATGGAGAACGGCTCCCATCATTTCTTATCCTCTCGCATACCTGGGGAGATGAGGAGGTTAATTACCAGGATATGGTCTTCGTGCAGCAGTTGGAATCGCTCCCCGAGGACTTACGAAACAAACCGGAGATCCTGGTCGCTCTTGGTGCTGCGATAGGTCTGCCGCTCCGGTCCAGAGAAGACATCATAGGGTCCGCAGGGTTCAGGAAGATCCAGAAGACGGCTGAGGTTGCGAGAGAGCACCATTACGAATACTTCTGGGTGGACACCTGCTGCATCGACAAGACTAACAGTGCTGAGCTACAAGAGGCTATCAACTCAATGTTCCTCTGGTACCAGAAGTCAGCGGTATGCGTCGTCTATCTTGAGGATGTGGCAGCGGGCTTGAATTGGATGGACAACGATTTAGGAGAGCTCCTCCCAAAGTCTAGATGGACAACTAGGGGCTGGACGCTGCAGGAGCTCATTGCACCCCGTAATGTGCATTTCTACGATCAGTCCTGGGTATACATTACCCAGAAACACGCCGCGCCGTTCGATGTGCACCGGGCAACAAAAATACCGGAGTACGTCTTGTTGACCGGTGATCTGTCGCGGGCATCAGTCGCTCAAAAGATGTCCTGGGCTGCATATCGTTCTACCGTAAGAATCGAGGACAGGGCATATAGTCTCATGGGGCTGTTTGGAGTCCATGTACCGATGTTATATGGCGAAGGCGAAAATGCATTCATACGTCTACAGGAAGAAATTTTGAGAACAACCGCGGATGACTCAATATTCGCCTGGCATGCCGAGGAGGTCGGTCCTTCCGTTTACCGCGGCTTACTCGCCAGATCGCCTAATGAATTCAAGGGCTGCAGTGGTACGTACTCGGGTCAGCCTTTATTCGCGTCCTCTTCGCACCTCGGAATCCGGTTGGATCTTGAAGTCAGCTCTATTCGGTCGTTAGACGGGAGAGACAAGCTACTCACTGGATGGCTGCGATCAGGAACCACCACAGGACCATGCAACATCATCTTGAGGGGATTATCTAAGGATACCTACGGCACACACTGCGCTAGAGTCATGGCTATACCGGCATGGAGAATTGATAGCGCCGAAAAGAGGATCGAGACAATCTATATCCGCCAGAAACCGGAGTTACCGCCGTCCTTCTCTAGCGAGCATATGTACTGCTTTCACTTCCGCCGTAGCGGTAGTGATGACGTGTATTCAAGCTATTCTATCGTCAACGCGTGGCCTCGGCACAACTGGCTAGCGGCTACCAAGCAGCTCCTCATCGATGAAGAGGACCCGTATTTCCTTGGTGTAATATGGCTAGATCCCGTTCGGGAGCAGCATCTCCCCTTCGGAGGCACTTCTTTGGCCCCATTTCAGGTGCTCCTTGGATATGATCGTAGCGCTGCTAGGGTATGGTGCAAAATTGTGGCCTCCCAATATGAATGGCCGAGCTTTTCCCATCCTTCTGACTTTTGGAAATCGACAATAAAGCAGCGATACGGCCCCTTCGACTCTAATCGATCCGCCGATGTATATCAGGTGCATGATCGAACGGCATACGCTCAGGGTCTTGAGATAACTGCATCTATCGGGACGGGGCTATACCAGGACCGGATCTCTTTCATCGTGGACCTTGATGGGCTAGTCGACAACCTCTAGGTCACGTACTTCTTTGCAGCCTTCGCCGCAGCTGAGATTTCCTAAGGGGCCTTCATTGCTGTCGCGAAGGAATCAGGCACAACAGGCTTTAGAAGAGAAGTGCCTACCCAGTGCGAGAGTCCGGCATGGCGCACACAAAGCCGGAGACTTCAGTGGCACGTGAGTGGTAGTAGGAGAAAAGCTTGCAGCCAATGCCCTCCTTAAGAGCAGCCGCATTTTTTGTCTGACGTATTCTCTGCGAACCACTCGCTCCCTTCTTTAGTGTCTACCTGCCAGGAATGAACTGCGCAAATCGATAGTTGCCACAACTGAATACCCGGATCGACACTCTGAGATACATCCCTGCTCAAGCGACTTGTCGATCAACGGCAGTCCCGAAGCCCAACCAGATCGATACGATACAGATATGGAAAGATCTCTACGGGTTCGCATACGCCCATTATTGGCATAACACTTCAAAGCGCATGCGCAGACGGGTTCTCACACGCTTCGCACTCTTGGGAAGTGCTATGTTTGGCCTGACCGGTTATTAAAGCCCCAGTCGACAATTTCGCACCCGGAGCTTTACCTCAACATCACTATATTCGACGCCCGTTACCCCGGAAAATAAGTCACTTTTGCATGCCGCGCAATCGAGTGTCCACGAATCCTTCATTTGCGATATGGCGCCTCATATGACGATCGCGGATCTTGGGCCTGCTTTCGCTGCGCGGCTTCTAGGCCTCGCCAGGTACGAAGTAGGTGCCGTCATTTCGATGGACCTTTTAACTACTCCACGGATCCATCGAGCTTGGTGCGGACTCCGACTCGGACAACCCTCAACATACGCTTCTTTCGCGCTCTCCGGAATAGCCTCCACCATTGAGCAGCCATGTCAATTCTCCTACCGCTCTACGTCTATCCCATTGCCGGGGCATGGGATCCGCTATATTCAGCGTAGGTGGACGTTCAATGCAGCACTTCCTTCATTCTACTCACTGCATCCGCAGGGCAAAAGCGCACCCCGATGTCGACTTCACAGTCATCGTGAATCCATGCTCCGGACCATGCATAGGCTCTCTCCCCGACCAATACTACCTGAGCGAGATCCCTAAACTGCGAACTTATGAGAACATCCGCACGCTGGGCTACGTCGCGACGAACTACGCCACAAAGAACCTGAGCAGCGTGCTTGCGGAGATCGATACGTACGCGAATTGGCCGAAGATGGCGAACAATACGAAACTGAAGGTTGACGGGATCTTCTTCGATGAGACCCCGAGCACATACGAGTCATACAAGTATGACTACTTGAGCAAAGCCAGCACGGCAGTGAAGAACGGGACGAGGTTCCGCGACCGGTTCGTGGGTAAGTAGTAGCTCACGTGTTGCACAAGATAGATCAGATTTAGGGTGTTCTGACTTCAAGCAGTGCACAACCCCGGCCTCGTATCCCCCGAGCTTCTCAACTCGAAAGACATCATGCAAAACTCTTACTTGAACCTCTCCGACATTACCGTCATCTTCGAAGAGACGTTCGACAAATGGCTCGACAAGTCAAACTTCGACAAGCTACAATCGCACAGGATTCGTCGCTCTAAGCTCGCCGTGATCCTGCATTCGCTCCCGGATCTAAGCAAAAGGGTTCTCGATTTCGTGGTTGAGCAGGTTGAAGACGCGGCGGATTGGTTGTTTGTTACGGATGTTAAGACGAAGGACGAGTATTATCACGGCTTTAGTCCGATATTTGCGGACATGGTGAAAAGTGTGGATGGGGGAGCCGAGTAGCGGTGAGTGCTCTCGAAGTGTGTTTCTTTACACATATCTCCTATTTTATTCTGGCTGTCGATACATGTTCTAGAAAGGCACATCATTAAAAAGCGTTTATTTTCACCGTCGCATAGCAGCAAAAAGTCAGATGGGTCATATTGGTAATCTCCGCGCACCTCGAACCGGCAGCACCTGATACCACTCACAACGCAGGACCAACCTAACGGAATGAAATAGGCCCGTCACGCCTTGCTTTCGTTGACCTCAACTCGCTGCTGCGCCACCGCTTGACCCTCAAACACGTCCAAATCAAGCTTCTTTCCCTCCTTAACGGCCTCCAGATCCGGAACATCCGAGTGCTTCACACCGTCGAAGATGACGTCCACCTCCTCGAGTGTCAATCCGCGGGTTTCTACCCAGACAAATACTACGAACGATACCATGAGGATGTCGACACTGGCATTGATTATGTAAACCTTCCAGCTAATAGCAGAAAGGCCAAATGGCACCACCATCGTCACGAACAGGCCGCACAGCTTGGTAGTGAAGGTGTAGATGCCCATTCCCACGGCCCGGATATCGAATGAAAGGACTTCGGGTGGATACAGCACGGTGAGTGGCGTAATTCCCCAAGCATACGTCGCGTTGTAGATGAAGATCATGGCGATCGTGCCATACACACCTGGCTTGTATCCGGAATTGCCGTACACGGCCGTCAGTCCAGCGAGAATATACAGTGCAACAACACCGGCCGATAGCGAGAGAATGCAGAGTGTCTTGCGTCCCAGCTTATCCGCGAAGAAAGAGGCGACTACCGCAACGACGAAGGTCCAGCTGGTCAGGATGACGTTAATTTGCAGCTGCGTCGTCGGATCGCTGATCCCGGCGCTCGAGAGCATGTCCCCGAAATAGAAGGTTACGATGTTGGTTCCTGGAAGCATGACCATGATGGAGAAGGTCGATGTGATGAGGAGACGCCTGCGGTTCGCGGGCTGCGCTAGGGCCTGCACGACGGAAAGCTCGCGCTCTTTCTCCCAGCGCAGTGTGTCTGTGATTTCCTTGAACTGCACTTGCACGATTGGAGAGCTGGTGTCGCCGCCAGTGTTCGCAATGGCAAGAACTTGGAGCGCTTCCTGATGGCGGCCTCGGCTGACCAACCAGCGAGGCGATTCCGGGATGAAGAATAGGATGACCATGCAGAAGAGGGACGGCGCGGCCTGAAGAAGGGAAGGAATCCGCCACGCCCAAGTCGAAGCCATGCTTTCCGTCTTTCTCCTTGTCAGCATCAATTCTTCTCGCGCCACGCACGAACTCACCCCGTAACAAATGCCACTCGCCATCAGCGTCCCAACGCCCCAGCACGCATAATACAGCCCCAGCGCAAAGCCTCTCCACTGCACCGGCGCCGTTTCAGCAACAAGCGTCGGCGTCGCCACCTGCGACAGCCCCAATCCGAATCCCACAACAAACCTCCCCGCGATGAACATCCCCACGTTCTGCGCCGCGCCCTGGACCACGCCGCCAATCAGCGTAACCACAGCGGACCAGAATATGCACTCCTTGCGGCCGCGCCAGTCCGTCAGCGGGCCCGCGAAGAGCGCCATGACCGCGCCGCCCATGTAGCTGATCGCCGTGTTGAGCGACTTGGTCGTCGTGGTGAGCGTGAAGTAGGAGATGTACGACGGCATGACGTTGAAGGAGCCCATGAGGGAGGAGTCGTAGCCTACGAGCTGGCGCGCACGTGAGTGACGGGTGAATCTTTTTTGGGAGGGATGCATTGGGCTTGCGTACCACGGAGTCGATTACGGACGTCAGGATGATGCATGCTAGCAGCGCCTTCTGGTTGCGCGGCACTAGCTTCGAGATCTTTCCTTCTGCCATGATGCCTGATGCTGTTTTCGTGGCTTGCGGTGAAATTGAAGAGGCGAAGTCGTTCGGGATGAAAACTCCCAGGCCTCGGGGTTTAGGACATCCAACGGTGCAGGTGCCTTAAGACCCTTCCCCACTTCTTCCCACCGTTCTGGATGCTGACGCCGGCGATTAGTATCAACGGTATCAGCCATTAGTCCCATCGTTTATCTTCGGGAAAAAGATATGCGGCGGAAAGTGTCACGTGAGCGCTCTCTAGCGCAGAACCCCGCAGTGGTTCAGGGGTCTGCCGAAGGTTTCCCCACTCCTGCGGTCTTGGTCCCGGCATTGCTTGATAAGGCAGCCCGCGTTGTAATAAGATTGCTGCGGGTCCGTTTCGCTGCTTGCATGTATCACTTCGTACGATTTCGCTACGCGATTCGCTTTTCGAGTTAGGATATTTGTTACCGGTATATATAGGAAGTACTGCTAGAAAAGCTCTAGGTGTTCACCTTTTGCTACTCCTGACAAATTCGAGCCATGGTTGAAGCTGCAGACATCGCAGTGGTCTCTTTCGAGCGCTTTCTCCACGGCAACGACGCCGACAAACAAACCGTGGCAGGAGAATTGTATGACGCCTTCTCTACGGTGGGCTGGGTCTACCTAAAAGACCACGGAATTCCTCAGAGCAGGGTTGACGAGATCTTCGAGCTAGTAGGCCTCCACACCCATCAAGTTGTCACAACGCAACCATGAGTTGACACTGACCAGGCAAAATCCTTCTTCGCCCTCCCCATCCAACAAAAGCTTACATGGCGCCTCAAAGACGCCGAAGTAAACCAAGGCTACACCGCAGACGGCGACGAAGCCAACGGCGGAACCGACCACAAAGAATGCTACGAGCACCGGCGCTTCGCTAACGACCACTGCCCCACCGACGACGAAGTCCAAAGTTTCAAGACTACTTTGGACGATTTCTACGTGCAGTGCCTAACGCTTGGCCTAAACGTCTTGAAATGCCTCGCCATGGCCCTGGAACTCGGCGATACCTTCTTCGACGACATCACCAAAAAGGCGGATCCGCAATTACGACTCATCCACTACCCGGCAATCGAGCGGCGCGTCGTAGAGCAGGAAGGCCACGCACGCATCATCCCGCACACGGATTTCGGGCTGTGCACGCTGCTCTTTCAAGACCAAGTTGGCGGCCTCGAAGTCGATCCCTTCCACACGGGCGACTTCAAGCCCGCGGTTCCCGTCCCGGGAACTGTGCTCATCAACATCGCGGACCTGCTGCAGCGCTTGACTAATGATCGGTGTCGGAGTACGGTTCATAGGGTTGTGAGTCCGAGGGCGGTGGAGGGAGACGTGCTGCCGGCGAGGTATTCGATTCCCTTTTTTATCCATCCGGATCCGGAGGTGGTGATTGAGCCGGTGGTTAAGGAGAAGGGAGAGGTGAGGAGGTATGAGGCGGTTAAGGCCGGGGAGTGGAGGGTGTGGAATACGAGGAAGAATTATACGACGTTAGAGAAGGAGGGTGGGGGTGGGGAGGTGGGTGTTGCGGCAGCCTGAGTGCAAACCCGAGTCAGACGATACACTATGTGGTAGAATTATAACTGAATTCCAAGAGTAGATAGGTATAGCTCCAGGGATAGTTGCCGTCAGCCAACGCCTATAGTGAATTTTAGCCCCGATTTAGGCCAGTTTCAGCCGTGGTGGGAATTACCCAAGTATCGAGCGCGACCGGAGTTATGAAACGGCCAGTATACGCTTGGCATAGAGGAAAGAAAGGCCGAAGTACAGCGAAATGAGAAGAAAGAACGCCATTATGTACCCAAAAGAATTCATAAATGAAATGACAAAATAAATACCAAGCGAAACAAGCCAGATAAAAACCCGAAATCCGAGGGCAGTCCACTTCAAATTCCCCAAAATCAGTGAAAACAGGATTACGTTCATCATGCCGAACAAAAAAGCAAATGGAAACCAGACAATCCAGTTTGCTGTTGGTTGCAACCAAACAAGTTGCTTCCCTTTAGATAGCTTGGAATTGTCCAACCCTGCAAGGGGTACGAACAGTACAATGACAGTGGTAATAATTACTCCGCATAGAAGAACGGTAATTAGAGAATGAAACCAAGATTCTTGGTAATAGTCGTGATCTGGATCGTCGAGGACTCCGTCTGTTGTACTGGAAGTGGCATTCGCAGCTATTTCCATTGCCTCTGGGGACGGGGTCATGTCGGATCCTTCCGAGATTTCTTGTGCTTGGGCGGGATTATTATGACCGCTAGAAGGCTTTTCTGTGGTACTACCTTAGACTTGGCTCAGCGGTGCAGAAGGCAGTCCTTACCTAAGAGAAACTCCACTACGCTGAGCACAGGCGCTAATAGCAAGACAACGGGAGCGACCTGACCAAACGTCCATTCTTTGTTGTTGGCCGGCCTCTTGGGATAGCTCTCTAAGCTAAGCACGAGACTGTAAACACCCCACGCAAAACTTGCAATCAACCACCATACCTGTATAGATTAGTATCTCAAGGAAATGCGGTACATTGGTTTAATGGCTGTCATGGATGAAGCGCCCTTACCTCAAGAACCAAAGATGACCAGAGGTCTAACGCAGCCCGAATTGCGAGGAAAACGGCCAGTGTTGGGCGATAAAGGTACACACGATAGAACAATCTCCGGCCTTGGCTACCTCGAAATGGCCCTATTCGAAACGACCGGCCTCGCCGCGGCGGCTCATTGGAGGTATTTTCACATCTTTCGTACATCTTCCGTAGGAGCCTTCGAGCGCGTTCGCTCAAGTACTTTCGAGTTGCGGTAACTACAGTAACGGAAAGAGCCCGATGGAGTCTTACTATTCTCGAAGCAAAGCCCAGGCCTATTAGGAGGATAGAAATGATCATCGACGCATAGTTGAGCTGGGAAGTATCGTAAAATTCGTTAGGTCCAGTAGTATCCCGGTCGATCCGTCGCAAGTGTTTAAACGAGCAGATAGCGTAATCGGCCGGATTCATGCTGGTTCCATAGTTGCCAGTAGGAAGCAATGCACCGATTAACATCCCCACAAGGGCTCCCATTCCAATGAGTCTCCACAAGCGCTCACCGGGGTGATTGTATAGGTGGTTACGCAGGAAGGTTAGACATGAGAGATGCGTGAGGCTGCAGAACCACGCCAGGTAGACCAGAATCTGCCAGTGATAGACGGAAAGGCCACAACGAAGTTGGGAGTACCCGCTAATCAGGATGGAAAGTCCCGTAAGTATCTGCAGATCGCTCATCGTAAGGACGCACTATCATAGTCAGTGTTCAGCCCCACAATGGGCGTCATTCCTTGGTTTACCTTCAGAAGGGCTTTTTCAAGATCGGCACGTCTTTTTGAGGGCTTTGGCGTTTTTGTTGACGTCTTCTTCAACTTCCGGACGTAACCGATAATCAACTCATCGACCGGATGTGGCTTGTAGGGAGCGTGGATTTGCGCATCATCTTTGCCGCTACGGAAAGGGTCCAGCTCAGGTTGGTGAGCGAGAAAATAGTAACCGGTTATGATGAAGACAGCAAATCCAGCAGTTACTGTGTACCCAACGATGACCTTGTAGAAAATCAGTATCGGTTGGATAGAACTTTAACTAGCAATTCCACTTACCCCTATGCCGGAGATGTCTGCATACTCAGGAATGTCCTGGGATGTACGGTTTTCGCTGCAGTCATATCTGCATTCAGACATTGTGGAAGGCTGAGAATGAGACTAAGGCAATGGTTGGAGACTGAAGCGACACTTATATTGTAGGCACTGGCACAAGGCTGAGGCAAGCTGGAAGCCACTCGCATTCCCCGTGTCGGATCTCGCTATATCGCACCAAAAGCGGCGACGAACACCATCATAGGCAGCGATCAGTACCAGCAGCGAATAAATATTCAACAAGAAGATGCTGTGCTTCGACAAGCTCGGCATGCCGGCAGCAAAAATATTCAGCCTCATCAATATTAGCGAAGGAGACGCGCGTGAAAGTGTGCACTGCGGGGTCAGGCTATGCAGCTGAAGCGGCTGAGAGGAGCTGAGAGGGAAACAATGAGCGTCATTGGGCAGTGTGCTGCGTCGTCATGCATATGCCTTGCATAAACCTGGTGGGGGATCGTCACTTGAAGCTAGCACATCTCATCCTTGCCGACCGGTGAGTAATGAGTAGGCAAAGATCACCACTTCCATAGGGAGCCATCTGGTCCTTCTGTTTGATTTCTACGTCGCGATTTTCGTTGAAAATCACCAGTGATAGGTATGAAATAGATACTCCACTACTCAGCCTTGCATTCCAGCATTAAGACCTTATAAATTAGGCTTCTCACCGGTTCACTATTTCCAAGGTAACTAACTTGTTTCTAACTATGCATAGCTCTGACTGATCATATTAGCCCGACGTCTCATTCCCTTTATGTCTTCCCGGATCTTCGCGTAGTATGCGCGGTCTAGCCTAGTCTTAGGCTTGCACTCGAGGCTAGCCTCAGTAAACCAAGACAAGCATAGGATACAGTGAGTTATGCGTTGGTTCAATGCTTTGTCCCAGAAAGCTAGCTCCTCGCTATGTTGCAAGTGGTTATTTGGTTGCCAGTCCTTGATTGACTTCAAGGCCTGCTCCACCAGGTATTCCAGGTAGATAGGCTTCTCCATGTGAACGTCGCGATGGGTCAACACTTCAACTATTTCCTTGTCACTCAACTTGGTAACCCGGAAATTGGAATTTCATGGTGGGAAGCTTCTCTTCGCCAGATCCACCCGGCCAAGCTGATCAACTCGATGAGCGATTTGCGCTGCTCGTACCTTAGCTCGTCCGTATTGGCATCTTTGCAGGCAGATTGGGAGCCTCTCTCCTCGCGCGCTTTGCAAATACCTTCTCGCGGCTTGCGCAGCAGATTCCCCGCCTAGCATCCGTTGCGAAGAACGCTGCACGAATGTTCAAGTTAGCTCCTAAGGGGAAGGGGACTGCAAGAGGAGTGTAAGGAATGAAGAACGCAATGGGCCGCATCTCACAGAGCCGTCATTGGAAGGCATACCTTGGGGGTGGGGTCCCGGGGGGCCTTTCCTAGAATTTCCTAGAAAGTATTTGGTTCTTGGAGTCCTAGAATGATCATTTGGAGGTAGAAGTGCAAAACGGGCAGGAAAACGGGCACCAGCGGGGAAGTGTACGGCAGGGTAGCGGACAGAGAGATGCGCACCCCGTGTCCATAAGTACGCACCTAGCTTAACGAAACATTCCCCGCGCATCCGTACAGAGCCATCGACTTCACCTCCAAGTTGCTTGTCATATCTAACGTATCGACCTTTCCCCAAGAGCTGCCAAGGCCTCCCTATGAACGTGCCCGTGTGGCTACATAAGACTCGACTTCATGACTCGATCAAAAACACCAACAAACCAGAGCACAACATGTCCGACTCAACCGCCAACTCCCCTCCCCTCTGCGCCATGTGCAGCCTTCGCGGCCCGAACACCTGCATGGGCTGCGGCAGCATCCACTACTGCTCCGTTGACTGCCAGAAGCAAGACTGGCCAGTGCACAAAATCCTCTGCAAGACGTTTAAGAACTTCCCAACACCCCTAGACCCGAAGACCTTCCGCGCTATAAACTTTCCCTAGTACGCCGCTAGTCCTCGGTTCGCCTGGGTTCGCATCCTTGAGTATGACACTTCTTCGCCTCTCCGCCTTCAATTCCACATGGACATCACAGACTTGCATATATCGGCCGGCTACAACCTCCAGGCTTTCGAGCGTTATATCGTGGATAATCGGACCCTCAATCGACGTGTGCCCACTATCTTCCAAATTGGGTGCATCGGCAGGGACGGAAAGGTCATGGGGGCTCCCAATTGCAGCGTCAAGAAAGTCGACGAGGAACTCGCTCGCCTAATCCAAGGCTCTCTCATCTTCTGCGCGGGCGACAGGCATCTCGATATGACCGACTTCCGAAACATTGTGGACCACCTTCGCTGGTCGTACTACATTCAGTTCGATATCAATGGTATAGTCGAAGCTCCAACGGTGGAAGGCGTCAAAGTCAGCTGTTACGGGGACAGTGTGTTCTGCCATCGGCCGGCATATGAGCCCTTCGAGGTCTCCGTCAAGGACTTAGAAGACTCTACGCCTCTCATGACAGTGCCCGTCACCGACGTGATTGGAATTCCCATGGCTGTCGCGCCGTCACCCCTCGCACTGCCCTGGCGAGGTAGGCATAGCATACACTATGATCACGCCGCACACAACCTCCGCTTCAGCCTCCTCAACCCCAATTTCATAGGCGGCTGTGTAGGCACTCCTGTGCTAGCTCGAAAGGATCGGAAACCACTCCACGTCGCGCATGTCCATGCCCTCGTCGGCTACTGCCAGATGGTGGGTGCCAGACTCCACACTGAGACCGTTCCGCAGAATGCTGCTGTGTACAAGACACGGGCGCAACATCTGCTGACGCACGCTTCGAGGGATGACTTCGCAGAATTCTACCGGCAGTGGTTAGGAAAGGAGCAAAATCGCCAATATCGAGGCGTCCTCTCGCCATACGAGATCTAGTACGATTCCCATGGCCGTATATAGTTGATTGCTTACAAGTACGTAGGACTTCGTGAGCCACGCCGGGGTATGGTCTGCGGGCCTGACGGATTATAGGGACAGGCGGTAGATCCGCGCATTGCGAATTCGTCTTCGAAATGACAGAACCTGGCAAGAATGCAAGAGAGTGATGGCGGGTGGGATATGTATTGACTTCATATTCCCTGGCCGCAAACGCCGGTGGGGCCCGTGATCCGCTCCTCATTCCATATTAGAGAAGTAGATGGTCAGGATGCGGATTCAATATCCTTCAACCTTTGTTCAGCTCTTTTCCTTTCTGCCTTTTCGCTCTTCTTTCGCTCCGCCTCGTGCCTCCATTCCATCCCACTCTTCATAATCCAAAAGACGACAATAATCAGTACCGAATATACGAGGGCGATGAAAGTAAATGCCCATCCAGGATTCATAGTTTGGCACATCGGAATAATCGCCGCGCACCCTCCGGCGCTCATAAGGCACCGAACAAAATTTACTGCCGCAGTAGCTGTAGCAGGCTGGCCCCGATGGAGGTCGATGAGCAACGTGTTCGAAGTGTTGAACGCAGTCGATACCCCGAAGCCAATGATGAAGAGCGCGATTTCTGGGCCGGCAATATGCGTCCGGAACTTCACTGTCCACCCAAAAGCTACTAATCCTAGTGTGCCAATCACGTGACCTGGTGCCACTACCTCCAACCGTGCTTGTTCTAGAGGGTAGTTTCTAAGATCTTGCTGCCTGCCTTTTGTGAGGGGCATATTGATGAGCGCGGCATGGCGCCGAAAGTTCCAGTCGACGAGGTGCCCCATCGTGAGCGCCGATATTAAGCAACCGGTTCCCATCGCAATATAACAAAGACCTATCTTCAGCTCATCGAGGTCGTATGCCTGCTCGAACAGGTCAGGAATGGCCACCGAAGTGATCATCATGCCAGTGAAGAAGAGGCCATTGTAGAGGAGGACGATGCAGGACTCTTTCTCCCCGAGAATGCGCAGCGTGCTGAGAGGATTCGGGAATGTAAACTTGCGCGTTCTAGATGCCCGAGCGACTTGTTCCAGTTCGTTGGGTTCATTTTGTATGGGGTGTTTGCGCTCCAGGAGGTAGCTAAGTACCGATCTGTTTACGCCTTTTGCGGGAATCGATCCGTTGCCTACCACGGCCCGGCACGTTTCAGGGAATAAAAAGACGAAGAGGACGAAAAGAACTCCTGCGAAGATGGCAAGGAACCAGAAAATGGATCGCCAGCCGAGATACTGAGCAAGCACACCGCCTTCAAAATGTTAGCTGGGATTTACGTTACTCTAAACTATTTAATAGTGGAGACGTTACCTATCATAGGTCCAAATGCAGGACCGAATAGAATCCCAGAGGTGGCGTACCCCATGTACTTCCCCCTCTCCGCGGATGTTGCAATGTCGGCCACGACAGCGATAGAAAGCGCGATCGCCGCGCTACAACCGAAGGCTTGCAAGCATCGCAATAGGAGGAGGGCTACGTAATTAGTCTGAAGCGCAAGCCCAATATTTGCGATGATGAAGATGACAAAGCACGCGATAAAAGAGAGTCGGCGCCCGCTCGTGTCGGACATGCCAGCGATGAGGGCTGGTGCTATGGCTTGCGCGATCTGATGATGTCAGCCGTAGTTGAAATGTTCCCTTACAGGCATTAGGTACCATGTACGTCGACACCGACACGTTTATCAAGGTTGGAGAGATATGAAGGACGTCGGACAGTACGTTCAAAGCTGGATAAAATGTGGTAGCGCCGAGAGGCGATATCAACGCTGAAATGGAAACGAGGCAGATGATCCACATCTTCGTTCCTGGACCAAAGATCGAATATGGTGGGCCGGAGACCTGGCGCTGAAGCGCATTATGATTCTGTTCTTTCTCGGCATCTTTTACTTCCGGCTCCTTTCCTGCTAGTTGCTGTGCACTAGGCGGTATTGACTCCTCTCGAGAGATTTCCATTATGTGGTTGGTATAGAGCTAGCAAAGAGCGGCAAGGTTCGCTCGATAGGAAGAATAACGAGAGTGATGACGAAGAACATCAGGCGAAGGGATGCATCTTAAGTGACGGCCCGTATGTTTATTTCCACGGCCGAGCTTATCGAGCTGCATGCTAACGCCATGGCCTTTTCCCGAAGCGGACTGATGTTCGTGGTATCGTGACCGATTTGTTCGGCACGATAGCCGCGCCTCGGTTGCGGGGCGCATCTCTCCGAAAGGTATCGATATCTAAAAATTCGAATGCGGTTCAACCAAGTAGCATGGGAAAAGGGATGCCGAGATGAACATTTCTGAGCTACGGCGCACCCGAGTCGCGGACTCTCGGGTCGTGCGTGGGAGTAGAGGGTGAGACGGAGTCGAGACCAAGGGCTATTTGTGCGTTGCGATAAGTTGGACGACGGGCAGTGCATGCATGCGATCGAACTAATGTGTGCGGTGATGACTTTCGTTGGAGAGGATGAGTTGGTGGTCACGGAATGAGAGGTTGGAAGTGGTATTTCCGGACCCCGCTATCGGAGTTCTCGGAGTAGTTTCACGCGGTCCCGAGGTCAGAGTACGATCACGTGAACTTAACGTCTAATTAAGATTCTCCCTTCATTTTCGCCGCGAACCCGAAGATCTAGAAATAGTACCTTGATACCCTTTCCGGAATCAGCTATCAGCCCCGTGAGGTGGAGAGCCGCGAGGATTTGTCGCTTGCCTTTCCGTGGCAGCGATGATGCAACAGCAGCCCAAGTGCCGACAAACACCCAGCCAACCCCGACCTGTTCTCAAACCCAAATCCACTAATTGCAGCAAGCTTCCACTATTTGGGATTATGCTTGTTGATCGCGGATATGAGAATAAAGAGTACCGTTCTGTGGTATTTTTCAGCCAACTATTGCTTCGAAAATTTCCCGCCTCTTTCGAGTTACTCCCCTAAAATGGTCGAAGGAAAGAGATCCAATAGTGAGGAGGGAAGCGAGCCTGCTACAAACAGTGTTGCAATGAGAATCGCCGAAGAGGGAGCTACCAGCTTTATGGGAAATGCTCCCGCCCCAACACCCACTGCAGGACTTAGTCACACCTGTAAAAGCGCCATTAGCCAGTTATAATAGGCCTTCGTTGATATTTGAGCCTTTGAGCAGCTTTCGTCGAGCCTGCTTAGGAAAACTCGCGGTGAGAAGAACGGTCCCCATGGTTGACATCGGGTCGTGAAATTGTAGCAGTGGAGACTCAAGCAAACCTTGCCTGACGAGGTGCAGGAGGCCGAAGGGGCAAACGCTAACAGATACTAGTTTCGCTATCGAGCACGCAGCTTACCGAAGATGCTGTTCTTATCTCCTTGGAGAGCATGTGTGAAAGAGCACTCTGTACCGCATTTACAGTGGGCTAACGCGCGCACAGGGCGGAGTCATGAGTGGCCTTAAAAATTTCGCGAAACCAGCCTAGGTTGCACTTGGGAAATGGTTTCATCACTATCACTACATCGCCCGGTCCGTTCTTGGCGGTGAACTGCGGGGTAAAACGGCGGTCCTCAGCATCTATACCGCATAATACTCCCTCAAACCGCTCCCGCCGCGTCAATCAAACTTCGCCATCGTCGCCCGCACAAGCCGCCCCACATTCGTTACACCCTCCTTCAACTTTACAAGTCCCTCACATCAGCGACAACACCATCAACTATGCGCCTAAAATCCGTCATAATCCAAGCCGCAGCAGACAGCGGCCTCATAACTTTCGGGCCCCTCCTCCTCCTAACCCTCGTAATCTGGCTATTCGCTCCATCTTGGATACACTCGGAATGGGCGTTCGTGGGCATCGTAATCCTAGGCTGGATTCTCGGTCGGACATATGACAGGGTACTAGAGCTAATAGAGGATGACGAGTATCAAAGATATGAACAGAATGTTCTTCTAGGTCCGCGAAGGCGTAAGAGGAAGAGGAGAGATCTGAGGAAGGGGATAAGGAAAGGGGAGGGTGCGATGGTAGAAGTTTTAGTTAACGGGCTGGAGGAATGATGAGGAGGGGATATTGGGGACATTTTTGCTGGAATTTTGGAGGGGTCACTGGAGTCGCGTCGCACTCTTCGAGTATATTACAAGTACACGGACATTAAAAGAGCGAGGACCCTGATTGTGTGTTCCGTGTGAGTCTTGCTGATATTAGGAGTTCACTTGCAATATCACGTGACTTACAATTCACTGTTCTCTACAAACTTAAGGAGGCTTCCTGCGATACAGTTTGCTCAAACGAGTTTGTTTAAACGTTGTAATGCTATCAAGTTGCTAGGGTGGTTTAATCAGAGGTATCGGTGCATGCCTTGCTTCGACAGGGGCGTCCTCGAGACGACCAAATTCGCATGGGGTCTGCTGAAAGGCCCGAGAGCATCCAGTCATGGTTAAGGGAGAATGCTATATATGTGAAAGCACAAATTTGTAAGTCTGCTTTCTTCGAAAGGGCGATGAGTTGCAGGAAGCTGAGGGAGCTAAAGATAGCAGAAAGTCACAGACGTTTGTCAGGAAACCCACCGAGGCCCTGCCCACAAGGGTGAATTGGCTCGTCACGTGTAGTGTGCCAAGACGCTCCTTCCGAGTATAAAAGGCACTCAGTCTCTTGCGGCACGACATTCTCCTCTACACAACCAATACACGAACACTCAGCCATCCCGCGCCCAAGCCGACATGTGAGGCGTTAGGGATGATAATGTTCCGCGGATAGATGGCGAGTAAGTCATCGGTGAGAACCTATATAGACAGCACCCTAAAATATATTAGCATATTGGAAGGCCAGTACCAGCTTTCGACCCGTTCCAGCGAAGCTACGCGATAAGGTGGAATTGGCAATGGCTCTAGAGTGCGAAATGTTTTCTCTCGGTGAAAGAGATACCGCTTATAGTTGGTCGGAAAAAAATGAGCCTAGTGGCTGGGGACTCAGGCAGCAGCGCACAGAGCAGATATGGTGAAAGGTTTCTACCGGGTGAGGCTGATGCACCGCCACATCGCTGTGAAGGTGAATGCAAGAGGTGAACGAGCCCCACCTTGATTTTTTTTGTGGTCGCGTCCGGCGCTCAACACCGCACATTTGCCTCCAGTACCTATACTCAACCATGGCCAACGCAGACATTGTCAATACCCCGGCGAAGCCGGTCTGTTGCGAAGACCAAGCGCAAGACGCGGGCCCAGAGGAAGAAGACTTCATGGTGGGCGTTGCTGTAGACGAAGATACACCCGAAGACATGCCCGAAGACATGCCCGAATACGAATTCCGGACTAAAGACGAGTTCATCGAGAATCTGGAGCCTCTGACATGCAGCCTCTGCTTGGAGAAGTACGGGAACGACCATGTACCAGTCGAGCTACCAGACTGTGGCCACGTATTCGGCGACCACTGCATCATCCAATGGTTCGAGACGGAATCAGAAAACAACAATAAATGTCCTTTGTGCCGGAACGAGCTGTTTGAACAGGAGGACTTTGACATGGAGGATGACGAAGACGACGGGGATGCAGCGGGCTTCGTTGACAGTGATATCGCTTCGGAAGAAGAGGCCGATGACCAAAATGGTAATAACGGTGCTCAAGGTGAAGATGAAGCTATGGAGGAAGATTCGGAGGCCGAGCAAGGAGACGACGAGGAAAGCGACGGGGAAGGGGATGGTGAGGGAGATGTATCTGACGCCGAGGACTATACCGAAGAACATGCCAGCCCGAAACCACGAAAAGCGAAACACCCCCCTCCAGGTCAGCCAACGTCCAGATCCGCCGACGGGCATGATGACGAGCAAGAGACACTCTCTGGCGATGAAGAAGCGAATACAGAGTCGCATGAAAAACCAGCTGAGGAATCGGATGGAGACCTGTTCGGCGACGACGGAATTAGGAGGAACACGCCGTGTATTAGTGGTAGTGAGTACCAGCCCAGCGAGGAAGACATGGATACAGACTCCGATGAAGAATGAGCGGCAGTGGATCCTCGGACGGAGATGCGAGTCATAGTATAAATGGCGCTTGTCTTAAGGCCCCGGTGCACCGGACAAGGGGATAACGGTTCAGGTGCAATAGGTGGCCGTTTGGGGTTGGAAATTGCGGGAATTATGTCGGCCCACATGCGATCTAATTGTCCTGATAAGCAAAGAATCAATTCTTTCCTTCGCAGTCAACGGTGGTCTTCCGTCTTAACTCTTGCAGCAGCCTTTGCTGACCTATGTTGGCTAAATGTTCGAATTGACAAACTGTGATGGGCCATTAGGAGTTCGATATTGGTTCCAGAACTGGGAAGATGAGACGCAAGGTGTGCATTCCTTGGGGAGATGGCGCTTTTGCTCTCAAATGTCAGTCAAAGTGAATTTCACCCGAATGCGGCGAGACGACGCCGCACGCGTTCTAATGTTGTGCGTGGTTATACTTACCTTGAACGCGAGCATCTCCTCTCGCCCTGACTATCCCAGACCTGTTTGGAGGAAAGCGGTGCAATGTGGACATGCTTTGTTTAATTTGCGTGGTGACTGGGGAACTGTCTGGAAGGACTGCTAGGGCGGTGTCGGCGATTGCACGGAGATAAGTCGGATGTGGTATCGTCCAGCCGCCTACTCCTCACCTCCTCACGATTCTCCTGCAACATCCGCAGGCATCAATCGGCGCCTCACGGTAGTAAACGACATTACGAGGCCATTCTGTCCCACCATCTTGACTGCTATGCCTGCCGCTCCACTGCCTCCGCTGCTGTCGCAATCGTGCGCAAATCGTCCGGAGGCTCGGCCGATTCTCAGTAATCCATCGCACTACTTCTTCGCAATTTCAACGCTCGTACGTTCATCCTACCACCACGCTGAGATGCACTGGCTCGCCATCGGAGAAATGCTCGTGAACATTGCCGGCATCGCGCAGCCCGAGTTGTTGCGGTGGGACGATTGCTCGACCGTCGATTTCGTGAGCATTAGCAAGCGTGGATATACGTGATACGAAAAAAGTCGCTGAGAAAACAAATCGCCAAGTCCGCCTTCCGCAGTTGCCAAGCGATGCGCTGGTATTTGTAGAGGCCAGACGCTGATGGACCAGAGGCGGAGCTGCTCGGAACAATGCGGCCCCATCCGTAACAGTAACTCGATATGGCAAGGCTTCTGTAGAACGATTATAGATCTGATGACTGACGAGATCTTTAAGTTTCAGCTTTTTAAGCTTAAATCGGTCGACGACTGTGATTCGTGCGATGTTTCGATTCCCCGCCATGTGTGGTTCAGCCGCACGTGGATAGCGTCAGCGACGAACTCAGCCTTAGCGACGGTGAGAGCGACGACATGAGAAGGATATTAGAAATGACGTCTATTACTAGAGTTGTTTTACTAGGATACTTCGTGGTCTATTGGGCTTGGAGAACGCCACGGCTCCCGGAGAAGGGTATAAATGCCATCCAGACTGCAGCTTTGGAGAACCATCTCCTTGCATCTCACCACAAAACAACAAAACCCAAATAACTCCTTTCGTTATTTTCTATTTGTTTTTCTCTCTGTCTCCTATCTTCTTAATTATCTTCTTCTCCAATCACTAAAGCAAAACCACTTCACATAATATCCACCAAGACCTTCAAAATGCAGTTCACTACCGCTGTCCTCGCCGCTCTCTCCACCGTCGGCGCTCTCGCCCTCCCCCAGTACGAATACACCGACAACAGCGTCATCGTCCAACTTGGCGGCGACGACGAGCTCGCCACCCAGACCCAATTCAGCAAAGTCCAATACGGCCAGCGTGAGGAGCAGATGCCCGTTGGCTCCTCCGGCCCCTTCAAGACCGTCAATTTGGAAGTAGGCAAGGGCGTACAACAGCAAAATCTCCGCTGCCAGGTGCTCGATGACGCCGGCAAACCTATTGTCTTGATGCGCGGCGCCAACGTGGACATCACCTTCTCGGATGCCGATAAGGGCGAGTGGCAGTTCAGGAAGGAGAGTATGGTCAGCAACATCATCTGCGACCCGACCTTTGTCGCCATCGACCCCAGCGAGAAGGACGTCACCATTATCCTCTCCGGTCCTAGTGAGCTCGCCACGCAGACTACGCTCCTTCTCGGCGGCACGACTCTCGAAGCGCAGTCCCCAACCGGCTCGTTCGGCCCGTACAACACCGTTGAGCTCCGCGTTGGCTCGCTCGTCGAGAACCAGGCTCTGCGCTGCCAGGTCCGCGATTTGTATGGCAACCCGATCATCATCAGGCGCGGCGAGAATACCGATATCACGTTCTCGGATGCTAAGAAGGGCTCCTGGGCTTTCCTGAAGCCGGCTGAGAGCGAGGTCCATGCCATTATCTGCGATCCGGCTTTTGTCGCGCAGAAGATCATCGTCTAAGCGGCTGGCTCTGGCCGAATATGATTTTGAATGGCGGAGCATTGGGAGGGATGCGATGCGACGGTTGGTCTAATCCTTGATTTGCATAGCGACGGTTTTGGAGCATTTTTGTGGCGTTTTGTTTTTTAGATCGGTTCGCTTTTAGATTTTTAGTACGACTGCTCGTTAATGCTTTGTTTATATAGAAAATGGGATCACTCCTTCTCCCCGCGATTTGGTTGCTTTTAAAGCTGTGGTGAATGGATGCGTGCTGAGAGATGCTGGCTTGTGATGATAGCTGCGCACCTCTTCTTTCCCTCCCGCAGGCCTCACCTAGTGGGGCGATTCACACTTCGTTATTAGAACCCCAGGTCTCTTGAAGTAATCCGATATTTATTGTCGCCCCAGTTTTTGGTTCCGAACGCGCCCCGTGGAGCTTTCTTACTATGGCGTTGCTCTTTGGATTCACAAACATGCACCCGAAATTGTAACAGACTAGCTCATGGGGCTGCATCGACGCTACCTCCTGCGCCACCCACGCGAATAGCTAGGATCCCACACTTATAAGATCTATTCGGTGACGCCCGTCAGACCTCATAATTCTCGTCCGCATTTCAACTTTCCAAGTTATCGCTTCACTAGCAAGAAATGGCCGCCCCTCCCTCACAAACCATCGATAAGCTCGGCGGAAGCTGGACTTTGGTACTCCAACCGTCCCAACTCCTACCCACGCGCCCTCTCTAACCATCTCCCAGAACAAAGCCCTCTCCACCGACTTCAACCCCCTAATGCGCCTCCAAGGCCTCACCTGGCTCTCCCGCAAAGCCGTCAACCTAGCCACCATAACCACGCACATCACGCTCAAACCCTCCCCCTCGGAAGCCGCCTCCTCCACGCGCACCCTCATCCTCAACAACAGCGCCTTCAACTTCCCCGGCACCGTCGAAGCGCGCACGCTCGACTGGGAATGGCGCGACTTCAAAGACTACATCTGGGGCGCGTTCCAGGACCGCAGTAGGATCGTGCGGAAGGACGGGCTGGCGCAGGAGGTGGCTGATGGGGAGTGGGTGCAGGGGCTCAGGGGCGAGGATGAATGGATGGTGGAGAGCGAGATTAGGGCAAGGGATGGGGCGTGGTCGAATCATACGGTATGTATGGCTGCGGTGCGGTGCGACTACTATTGCGTTTTGAGGGAGCTGAAGCTGACATTTGCGGTTGTGCAGGTTTGGGGCTTCAAGAGTGTGGGGGCGGAGAGGAGGCTGATTAGGCATATGGAGGCGCGGCGGGGCGAGGAATGTGCGCGTGCGGTGCTGGTTTACGACTTCGTGTCTTGAAACAGGCTCTGTTGATCGCGGGTACAGTAGCAGTACCTTGGAGGATCAGTGGTTGGGAAGTTGAGATTGAGGTGCGCCTCAATACAAGTGCTGCGGTTGGTGCTTACAGGCACCGTCCAATAGGAGCATTTCGTGTAGCCAAGAACGTCAGGTTTAAGTTGCATCTCGGGGATCAGAGCGCAGCGGCTCGGGGATCATGCACGTGGTATAGTACATGTTCTCTAGTCTAGTCCTGGCTTATGGTTTTCACATTAATCAATTTCCTTGTTTTCCACGAGGCATCCCTGATAGAGACGCCGATCACAGAATCGACGCTTGTTGGTTACACTTGCAGATGGATAATCACCGTGAAATAGTTTCGTGATACGAATGCGAGGCAGACACAGGAGTGAGCTGTCGATCTCGCGATTACGACTGCAATGAGAAACAAGTGAGCATGCGAAGGCTACTAACCGCCGGCATACTACACTCCACTAAGCCAGGCAAGAAGTGTGATTCAATGTGAGAAATTTAGATGTGCAATTTTAGGTACACATTCTTCATATGGCTACGAGAGTGTACATCTCCGAAATGATGGCGGCTTCCACTGCGATGCTTCCAAAAGCGGGAAAATGGCCCAAGGAGAGACGATAATTTCTTCTCCGCGAGCCCGGAAGTAGCACTTCCCACACTCTTGTGTGAATCAGAATTGTGAGCCCTCATGTTCCAATCCCTGACAAACCATACCACTCCTCGTCTAATCTTCGCTCGCATCCCTCCTCCCAGATACCCGGGTAACCCCAGGCTGCTAAGAATAGCGTTCCTGCGGGCGAAAAGCTCAAGCGGACGTAGAGCTCGTCATCTTCCACGAGTCATTGTCAATGGAGTTTGGAGCGCCGGTCGTGGAGCTCGGACATTTCGTGCTGCTTTCCAGCGTCGCCAGCTCCGAGTCGAACGTAGATATCGATGTAGGCACAGACTTCTGCGTCGTATCCGGGCTACCTTTAATGTACGTCATAACGCCCAGTTTAGTCCCGATATGCCTCGGGAATGCCAAATAAGATTTCGGTCCATTGGTCGAGAACTCCAGCTCCGTGTCGTACGCTTCTTTGCGCATCTTACGCACTTTGCCGCGGAGCGTGTGGGGCGACTCGCCGGGGCTGTGGAATTGCAATTGCTGCTTCTCTTCTTCTTGGCGCTTGCTGCGCTCCACGAAGACGGCGCGATAGGAGGCTACCGCCGCCATGGTGACGGCTATCGACGCCTCGACGTGATACAGCATGTACTGCGTGCCGAGGTCGCCCCAGCCACGGTAGCGGGAGAGACAGACGCGGATGAGAGACACTATGATAATGACGATAGAGAGGCAGAGAAAGGCGGCGATGGCGAGCTTTTGGCTGAGTCGGATCCGGACGTGGCGGAGGATCCATACAGGGATCGCGACGACTGGGGAGCATTAGCTTTTTGTGTTGTATGAAAGGATGGCAGGTGGACTTACTCATAGCATCTGTAAGCGCATCGAAGACGAACGCAAACCAAGTTCCAGTGAGCAAAGCGCTCTTTGGCGGTTCGGGTGTGCAATGCAAGACTGCTCAGTTTAGCACGAATATTCACATAACGGGCATGATGTGACGTACGAAGCTCTGTTCCTTCGTAAGGACACTCAATCCAAGGCAGCGCAATCATAATCGCCCAATAAACGAAGATAACGCCCACAGTGCTCCAATACCAAATCAACATGGGGCGCGAAACATTCCGGATCAAATCCTTGAAGCTCACCAAGAAGCAGAGCTTGACGGGGCAGATAGCGGACCAGAGCAGCGCAACTAGCGAGTAGTTGATAGCTTGCGCGTTCATGATCTGCTTGAGATCGGAGACCGTGGGGAAAACGGTCTTATCGTACTTGAGCACATTGAGGACGTAGAGAAGCCAGGCGAAGTGATAGTAGAGGCCTGTTGCAGCGGACAGGCATATGAGCGCGAAGAGCAGGATGCAGTCGTCGAGAAGCAGACGGCGCCGGATGGCTAGCCTTACTGCCACTCTGCCGATTACACAGAGCACAGAGATGCCATAGAAGAAGCCCGCGACAGTCTTGATGCCGATTAGAGAATGCCTTCACGTGGTAATGGCCGGACTCACCTGATAGACCGGTAGGCTCACCCTTCCGGCATGCTCGATCTTCCACTTGCTGGCGTCGTCGTACGTGGTCTGCATATTGTTTTCCGGATGCAAAGAAGGACGTTAATCGCAAAGTAGGAGCCTCTCCAGCATGTGAAAAATCGAATCGGACGAATGTAAGACTGGGCAGAGAGCTCCGACTAAAGTACCCTTGGCTCGGAGGTAACACCAGTCCTTCTCTTCCGAAGTCAATCGCCGAGGTCCTCGCTCCTCCGATGCATAGATAGATCACCATAAGCACAGCAAACCTGAAACGCAGTTAATATTTTGAAGTCCCCGGTGGTGGCGCCCTCCATACCTGATGCTGAGCCGACGCCTCTACGCCCGACATCATTTCGCGCCGCCGTACCCCTGCACATTCGCTATTGTAGAACCCCGATCACACAAGCTCCACCAATCCTTCTCGTACCGCCCGGGCCGCTTGCTTGAAACAGCCTTATCTACGCCCGCGACGCTTGCACCGAGCTCTTCGCGTGGAGGCTGAGTAGACATAGTGGGGTGCATGTAATATTGACCGCGCTAAGATCGGTCTCCGGTCTCTTACCCCTTGCGTGCGTTGTACAGGGGTGTTATAATGTGCAGCTGTTGGCGTTACACGGCACGGGTGAGGCTTTTACCGTCATTTATGGGGCGGATGGTTTGTGGAAAATGGCGTGGTGGACAAGAATAGATTTACTGTATACACTGCTCCCGAGGCTAATTCGCGGCCTCGGGATGGATGACGTCACGGTCCGCCGCATAAAAGATCTAGTCACATGACAACGAGAACATTCAGACTTCACGTGGCACTTGTAACGAAAAGGCAAGTTATTGCGGTAAATTATAACCCGCTGGGCCATGAAAGTGGAAGAATTTTGCAGTTGTCAGGGCGTGACCTACCGTCTCGATCCCGGCGCCCAGACAAGTCCAACGAACGCGAGCACGCGATAAACACTCCCAATAATGAAGACCATACCCAAGTCCAGAGAATACCTCCCCAGCACCCACTTCGTCGCTGCGGCCGCCTTATCCACGTCATACAAATGCGCAGCGCAGCGTAGAAAGCGATCCATCCAGGCCTCGGCGAACCACGTCTGCGACTACGATTAGCAATTTCTCAGCATTCAGGTACTGGTAGTCGCTACTTACTCCAGGATACATCCTCCACATCCACTCCAAATGCCACTCGTGCACGGTAGCCAAGGGCGGCCCATGCCCGTCCAGAACGCTAATCACGAGGCACAGGATAGTAGCAAAGAGCGGGCCATCTTCCCGCGAGACAACCACAGAGACCAGTGAAGCGAGACCGTAGATGGCGTAGAAGTAGAGCGCGATCGTAACGTAGCTATCCCAGAACGAAATACAGGGTGTCGCAAGAATGGCGTAGAAGGAAGTGAAGTGCAGTGAAGAAAGGAGGATCCTAGGAATCGTAGAGAGGAGTTTTCCTGTGTAGTATGCGGAGCGACTGTGGCCGGAGCGCGTTTCTCGCTGATACGTATCCTCTGTTCATTGGTCAGCGATCAAGTTTTGTACCGTTAGGAATTAGAACACTCACTTTCATCCCCAAACACCCTCACCCCTGGCGACGCACTCGCCAGCCCAATCGCCATACAACACATCAAGCTGATCATCGGCACAGTCTTGTAGTCCACCGCCGAACTCAGCAGCTCAAACGGTGGCAGATACAACCCCTGGAAATGCAATCCTTTGTACGGATATAGGGCAAGACCAATGAGCAGTCCGGCTACCGCACCGACACCGATCTCGAGGTAGAAGCTGACCGGCTGTCGCTGTTGCTGTTTCAATGCGCGGGTGAGGCAGAAATACGTTTGCAGCAGCCACGGCGCGCTTCTCCCGCTCGTGGAGGGAAGTGGATCATCGGATACGGTGATTGGGATAGGGGGAAGAGCTTTCTTCCAGTACTCTTCCCAGTCCATGACGAGCTTTGAGCCGTGCATGTTAAAGATCTGGGGTGGTTCTATAATAGGGTTTCGCTCCGACACAATATCAAGGATCGCATCAGCAGGGTTCGCGGCATCCGAGACGGAGAACCCCCGGTTTTTGAAGAAGGGGACTATTCCTTCCCTTGGGCCTTGAAAGACTTGCTCGCCTTTCTTCAATACGAGGACGTTGTCTAGGACCTCGAAGATCTCGCGGCGCGGCTGATGGATGATGCAGACGATGGTGACGCCCATTTGGGAGAGCGCTTTCAACAGCTCGACTAATGAGAGTGCGGAAGTAGAATCCAATCCAGAAGTAGGTTCGTCGAGGAAGAGTGCCATGGGTCCGGCGATTAGCTCGATGCCGATGCTGGCACGTTTCCTTTCGCCGCCCGAAATGTTGCGAACGGTTCTATGTTGAGTATGGGTGAGATGCAAGCAATCCAGGAGTCGGTCCACGTGATCGTTCCGCTGCGCTTCCGTCCACGAGCGAGGTAGGCGGATGCGCGCAGAGTGGAGGATGTTCTCGCGCACTGTGAGTTCGGGAAGTAAAACGTCGTCTTGCGGGACATAGCCGATCAACTTGCTGTACTTTGATCGTTCGGCCTGCCCTCCGTTCACAGATATACTGCCATTGCTGGGAATCCGGTTGCCCATAAGTAGATCGACGAAAGTTGCTGGAATGGAGGTCAGCCTTTGAGCGGAGTGTGCGGCGCTACAAACTCACATTTCCCCGACCCAGAAGGCCCCATCACAGCCCACATGCTTCCTTTCTCAATTCCTCCGCTAATCGCAGATACAATATCACGATCCATGCTCTTCGGTCGATACGTAAGATCAGAAAAGGCAAAGCTGAGACCAATATTACTCGTCTTCACGCACCGCGCAAAGCTTGCCATGAAAGCTTTGACACTAGCATCGTCGTCAGAACTACAGAGAGTCTCTTGAGACGACGTCCTCTCAACGTCAGACCTCCGATTCTTGCTCCTCAGCTTCCTCCAATCGCGCCACCACAGTAACCCCATCACCACATCAATCGCCACAATAATGATGAAACCGAGCAGGGAGAACTGCCGACTACTCTCCAGTGGACAGATACTTGTCAAACCACAACGAAAAGGGTCGTATGTTCCAACAGGACAGTACGATCCCTTAGGACAGGACAGCATTTCGCGGCCATCCTGAGGACAGAATTTTCCAGGTGGGCACACGACTGGCTGATACAGGCCTTGAGATTCGACGCAAGGCGTTGAGGGAGACTCCAGGCGCGTTGCTTGACATGATGCGGTGGGCGCGCAGAATTCTGGAGGGTGGAGTGCGGAATTGTTGGGGCCTAAACGTAGTGATCAATGATAGGACGGTCAGGGTGGGGGTTAGAGGAATGCATACAGTAGAATCCAAGATTACAGTGGAAGCTTGAGGTTAGTTGGATGGGAGCTGCGCCTGAGAGGCAGCTCGAGTTCGAAGAGAGACCGACCATGGTGGAATGGTGGAGTGACGATGAGAAGGCTCGAAGGCGACAATGTGACGGCGTCGACGAGAAGCAAATGAAGTCGGCCCCGAACGCGTATATTGATACGGCACCCAACAATGGTTAATTGCTCTCTCCACAGAAATCCTTCCGAGGCTGACTTGACATGGTAGAGGTGCGCCGCGGGGGCTGAGCTTCGGCTAAGCTAACCTCCACCACGACTAGCTTCCTCGGGGACTTACATGATTCCCGCTGCACGTTCTACCACGCGCCACCCGGCGAGACATACATAGGTACATGAATTCTTAGCGCGCGATAGAACCGGGGCGAGAATCCCATTGCGCCGCACCGATTGCTGCCCTCGCAGCTTGTCTAGGCCACTTTCCTAATCGAGGGGATCGTATTCGAGGATGCTGATGATGGTGGTGTGGAGTGTTTCAGGTACACTTCGCCGAGGGCTGGGTCCATTTCTCTCAGATCTGTCATGTGCTGGTCGAGCTGATCGGTATATCATTCTTGCCAGTTGGCTGTGCAAGTAGTCTTCCTTTCCATCCATGGCACTTTCGTCCTTCGCTATGGCGTCTCTTTCGAACTCATCAGCAGACCTCTTCACTGAGCGTGCTCTTTTCTCTTCAAACCTTCAATGCTGCCACCCCAACAGCAATCCCTCCCTCTGGCATCTCGGGGCGGGCGGATCGAACGGCCGTGCAGTAGCCTTAGCCCCTTCCACCACTCCCGCAGCGCCTTCAGGCCATAGAGTTCTCTTCTTTCAATTCACCATATTATTCCTTCTTGTCCGATACGCATGCCGCGTTATTGCCTTCCAGCCCCGCCATTGGGGGAAGTGGGGCAATGAAGTCCCCAGGAAGCCACCACTCCTTCCATACCTCGTTCCCATGTGGGGGAGCACGTTATCCTTCATTTTTAGACCACGAAACTTCATGATGAGAGTTGGGTAAGCACGTCGCCTCCCCTTCATACATGGTAGAACTTTCTGACTTTGCTTGATTAGGCGCCATTTTGGAAGGTTCATGCCGGTCCGAGTGCGTCTCTTATTTGGGGACGTTTACATCATCCGCGGGCAAGAGAACATCTCCAGCCTCTGGAAGGAATCGACACATTCCAACTACACCGAATTGCTTGGCTTCATGCTCGACCGCATGTTTGACATGCCCGCAAAGGCGTTGAAGCTCTGGAAAGATGACTCCGGGTTCCTGCCGAAACCACATCCCAACAGCAACACAGCGCCTAACAATCGCATTGATGCGATTATCCATCAGCTGGCGCACGACTTTCTTCTCAGTCCACGCTCTTCTCAGATCGCGGATCGCTTTTCCAATCTTCTGGAAAAGCGACTTTCGGGTCTTCCGATCGGTTCGCAATGGGTCGGAATGGACGACCTTATGGAGTTCTTCCAGCTCCAGATGACATCCGCAAACATCGAGGCGCTATACGGCCCAATCCTCCAGTCAGAGCAGCCCACGCTCTGCGAGGACTTCTGGCTCTTCAATCGGCACATCGGAGCGCTGTGTAAGCAGTTCCCGAAGTGGACGGTGAACTGGACGGTCCCGCAGGCGTGTGCGGCGCGAGCGAGAATTCTCCGGACGATCAAGCACTGGCAGAGCCGAATGCTAGGAAAGAGCAACAGCGATGAGAAACTTCCCGATGCGTATTGGAATGCCGATTTCATCCGGAAGTGGCATGACAAGCTCACTGGGATGGACGGCTTCGACGAAAATGCCGTCGCGTCGCTGTACTTCAGCATGCTCTGGGTCTCGAATGTTAACATCATCCCATGCGCATTCTGGACAGCTTTGGAGCTATACCGCGACCCCAGAACTCTTGCAGAAGCTCGCACCTCAGCCACGCGGTGCATGTCGGCACCAGTCTCGGACGCTCTTTCGCCACTTCCTTCAATACCGGATTTGACGAAAGACCCGCTGCTGCAGTCTGTCTTCGCAGAGGCGCTGCGACTTCGCACTCACGCGTATATCACGCGATACTTCTCCCACAAATCCGTCGTGGTGGGAAAGGAATGGCTAATTCCTCAGAAGAAAATATGTTTGCTTTCAACAATGCCCGCACACCATGACGAGACTATCTGGAACACGTACAATGGGCGCTTCCCTCTCGAAACCTTCTGGGCGCGCCGCTTCATCATTGATCCCGAGGATCCTATGAGCGGCCCGATCAAGCCAGAGGCTAGATCACAAACGAGGCGATCTCGTGCTGACTCCGTGACCGGAGAGGGCACACAGCTGACCTTCTCCACGGAAGGTCTTTCCGCGTCATGGATCCCATTCGGCGGCGGGCCGAGGGCATGTCCGGGACGGCATGTCGGGAAGCAGCAGGTGCTCGCAACGATCGCACTGCTGATCCAGCAGTTCGATATCGAGATCTTGGCGGATGAGCCTGCCTGGGAGATGGATGAGTCGGGCTACGGACCGGGCGTCCAACGCCCTGTAGCGAAGGTTCCGTTCAGGATTAGGCGTCGGGAATCATCTGTTTGAGGGGGGTCGGGGACCTTCCGGCCAGTCGTCCAATCGTTTCATATGTTCAAGGTATTGATATTAGCCCATGACGAAATACAATGAGCTGGCGTGGTGTGAGATATCCCGCTAATACCTATCCGATTCTGCCTGCTTCAAAAGCTTCTGTGTATGAAAGTGAAGTGGTGGTGGATTCTCGGAGGTTCTTGCTCGCTTAGGGCTGCGCCGCCCACGGCGCTAAATATTGTTAATTCCCGACGGTGCAACGTCCAGAGGGCGATCCAACGGGCACATCATATGCGATCCGGGTGGTTGGTTTGACTGGCGTGATTGGGGTCCAGGGTGGGTGAAACCTATCGCTTCGGCGGTTATTGAGGGGCAGCAGAGGCCTGCAGGGACCGTCAGCCAATACTCAAGGTAACCCAGCCACCAACGTACGTCCCTGCGCCTCCAAAAAGCTCCCCACCTGCTTTGCTTACTGCAGTACGATAGCTGCCAAACCGCTGCCGCAGCCGACCGTTTCTCTGCATGCTCTCCCAAGTCGTTAATTGTTGAAACGCGCCTTTATCAGCGCGGGGATCGACAGAAGTACCTAGGTACACTAGCAGCCATCATTCCATCCAATTTACTGGCGTGATCGCTCGGTCATGACGACCACCCAGCCAGAGACGATGAGCTCAGAGACAGGAGTGAAGAGCCGCAAGGCAAAACGCGCCGAGGCGTCAGATTACCTCAATCACTTTGCAAACAACAAAGAAGGGGCGGAGAAGGGTCGCGAGACGCGAAGAGAGGGATACGCGCAGCTCGTAAACGAGTAAGTCTCCACTGATAGCCGTGTCGCACCCCAGGACAGAAGATACGATACTGACGATGACCAGCTTCTACGACAACTACACCGACTTCGCTCTGGAAGGATGGGGCCAGTCCTTCCACTTCTGTCGGTACAATCGCGGGAGGGAGCCCATGGCCTATGCGATCGCCCGCCATGAGCATTACATGGCTTACAAGCTAGGGTTGAAAGAAGGAATGACTGTTCTCGACGTCGGCTGTGGCGTGGGTGGGCCGGCGAAAGAGATAGCAGCGTTCGTAGGCTGTAAGGTGGTCGGCCTTCAGCTGAACGAGTATCAGATTGCACAGGGCAGGAAGCTGGCCAAAAAGGAAGGCGTGCAGGAGGACGTGGTCGAGTTTGTGCAGGGCGACTTCATGGTAGGCTCACCCTCGCAGAATCTCTAGTGGTGGACGCATGCTCACCAAACTGCAGGATATCCCTTTCCCGGACAACACGTTCGATGCAGTGTATGCAATCGAAGCGACTGTCCATGCCCCAAGCTTGGAGAAGGTCTACGCAGAGATAGCCCGTGTGCTGAAGCCAGGCGGTCGCTTCGGTGTCTACGAGTGGGCCATGACGGACAAGTTCGACCCCTCCGTCCAGAAGCACGTGTCCATTCGCTCTGGTATCGAGCGAGGAAATGGCATCGCATGCGTGCGCACCGCTACAGAAGCAAAGGCGGCCATGGAGAAGAGCTTCTCCGTTCAGCTCGCCGAGGATCTTGCGCTGAGAGGAGACCCGCTCCCTTGGTGGTATGTCTGCTCTGGCGACACTCAGTTCGCTGAAGAGTGGCGCGACTGGGGTCGTGTGTTTCGCATGACGCCCGTGGGAAGAGTGCTGCTTCAGGTGATCGTTCGAAGTCTGGAGCTGACTACGATTGCGCGGAAGGGCTCCGCGAAGATGGTGAAGGAATTGGTGCAGAGCGGAGACTGGCTGGCGGAGGGTGGCAAGACGGGAGTCTTCACTCCCATGTTCATGATGATTGGTGAGAAGCCGAACCACTCTGGCGAGGCGCTTTCGTGAGGCAGCCCCGAATGCTGCGGGTAGTGGGGACTTGGATGGTTAGGGATGTCCTAACATGGACGTGTCTTTGTAGAGCAACACGTTGACAGCCGGCATATAGTGATCGGTGGTAGTGCGATGCGCCGATGCACTGGATTGATGAGGCAGGTGGTTCGCATCTCATCCGGACCTTCACGTGCCTCTCCAAAAAGCAAAACTTCTCTTCGCGCAATCTTGATTGTCATGTTCTTCCACGCATATTTTACCATCCGCAATCATCAACATCTTTCTCCGTCGAACCCATGCCATTGGATTGTGATCAACTCATTAGAAGGTAAGACGCCCTCGACACATTTCAAAGCACAAGAGATGGCCATTCCTTTGTACTGGAACAGAGACAGCATCACAGGAATTGCATCCACTTTTATATTGAAACGAGATAAACCATGTTTCCACACTTCCAGGAATCCCCATATTTCCGGAATCCTCTCCTTCCCGTCTAGCCGCCAACCCATCAGATATCGCCTACCTCGCCTTCTACTGCACCTCCATCCAGCCCGCAGGTCAACAGCTCTTCCGTCTTCAATCTACCACACAGTCAGCGTAGCTATCCTAATCGCCCATCAACAGAGACCCACATCTTCAAGCCTTAGCGGGCGGCCCACAGAACCGACATCCCCCTGTGCACGGCTCGCAGTAACAGATGCAAATAACCTCCCCCAGCTCTCCACGCGCAGAAACCGCAATGGAGTCGTCGTTTGGGTCCCCGACTGGGGATGCGAAGGCAACGGAAGCCACGCTGTAAAGCACGGCGAGTGCCGCCCGGAGTTGCATTTGCGATGAGAGAGAGCTGTTGCCGCAGAATAATGGAGACGATCTTTCGCGATGAGGCGTAACGTTGAGGAGATGCAATGAGAAAGCCGGGGCGGGCATGGCGTCTATTTATCTTTGCAACCGTTTACTCTGGCCCAAAAATTGCTAAATTCTTGGTGTATCGGGATTCCTGCTACAGGCAAGAAGGATGTTGGGCCAACGCGCACATGAGTGACCGGCGGGCTTCGCTGTTGGAGGAAAGCGTTAGGATTGTTGGTGTCTGGTGGTACTTCTAATAAAGTGGAGTGACGTTCCGCGAGAGGGATATTGGTCGCCTTCCGTTTAGGGGCACTGGTTTCGTATCCAGTTCCTCTGGAGGATTCATCACCACCTAGGTGGACGACCGCTCTCGTTCTTGCAACGGAGTTGAGGAACATGTGCGTACTTCTAGCCAGTACGAAGTTTGGGTCTAGTAAAGTGAGCCGGAGCTAATCCGGATCGAACCCGGAGCGACGTGCGCTAGGCAGAGGACTCAGTCAAGGCCGAAGCGCGGCGGAGGTCATTCCTCAATGCCCACGCAGTGATGGTTCCCTCTCCAAGTGGCACCTCAATCTGGTCACTCCGTGTTTTTATTATCTGTCTCCGACCACAAAACCAACATATCCGGAACTAAGAGCCATTTATAGACCGTAGAGACACCGCCACATGTCCTTATTTACGTCTTAGCTTCTTGTCGAGGCATGGGAACTCGGTTAAAAGGGGGGAAAGGCCCAAGGTCAAGAAGGGTTGCACTAGTGGATTCCTGCGTAATTCCAAATGGATGATTCAAGAACAAGTCGATCATAAATCCGGGTGGTCCCAGTATCTAGCTCTCTGCCCCAACGAGTCCACAATCCGGAGCATAGGATTACCGTAATCCAATTTTCATCCAGCGTGGGCGAACGCCACATACAACGCGCGTCCTGATATTATTGGCGCCCCAGACCGGAGGCCACGGCGCACATTCATGCTGAGGCCGGCCATGAGTTCATATACCCCCTTCAGGATGATTCGCGCGTCATTGATGGCTTATATGTTGCCTTTTCGTTCCAGCTGGAAGACACGAATAGGAATATAAACCATTGTTATTACAGTCCTAATGCTCTGCCGTGCGGAACCCGCTCCAGAATCATACTTGATTCGACGGTCGATCTTGTTCCTCTCGAAAGACGAACAGAGCGCCGGCCCATGGAAAATACGCTCTGCCGCTTTTGCCCAAGTACCCAACCGGGCACGCATGAATGCCCTTTGTTGTAGATTTTAAATCGCCGCAGAAAGGCAGAAGGCGGAGGAAGACATCTGCCCGCTGGATATCAAATTTTAGCACCGCCCGGGCACAAAACATGCCTAGCGAAACGTCCCGGTTTTAGTCCCCAGCCCAATATGGTAGACAGTAGGTGCGCAGAAGAAAGAGGACCTGGATACGCGGAAGAAGGGCTTATATAGATCGGTGAGAAGCGCTTCTAGGGGCTTAAAGGCGTGCAGGACGCCATACAACGCCACTGCCTCTCTGCGTTGAACAAAGTAAGGATGGTTGGGCGAGGGCCCGCTCTCCAAACCATCGACGGTATGATTTGTTCTTTGGAGAACTTGAAAGAAGGAGGAAGCCCAACCCATACGCCGGGTGAATACTTAGTTTTGCTCCAAAACAACGAAAGGGCATATCTGTTATTGAAGCACGTTTTAAGCCGCTGAGTGCAAGGCAGCCGGCAGACGTTTTCCATCCGCGAGTCAGATTTTAGCGCCGCCGAGGCACAAGACATTCGGTAACACTTTTTCTTCTTTGAGTCTTCGAGAGTAGAAGAGGACGATGTGTAGAAAGAAAAGAAAAGAGAACCCAGAAGGAGGGGAGGGGTTTATATAGCCCTCAGTTTCGCATCTCAGAACGTTAGTAAACCCGCAGTGGGATACCATAGGGCTTACTTCTCGCGCACTGCGTCCTTAACGGGGTGGTCAAGGCAAGAGCGAGAGAAGCGTGCGCTCTCTGAACGAGCCATTTTGTGGCAGTCGTTTACTTTGAGAGACAGTGTCGCAGTTGCAGTCATAGCTGCACTCTCACCCCCGTCCCGTAGAACGGGACACCATACGCTTAGGATCCAGCGAAGAGAAAAGCGGAGCATGACTAACCCATTGACGGTCATTTTGGACAGCAAGAAAGCGAGCGAGCCAGAGAAGCCATGGCATATTGCCTCTGGGGGTTTTCGAAGTCGCGCTGGTCCAGACCATCTCGTATTCTTCAAGTCTTTTTCAGGTCCCACATCATACAGGAGGGCTGAAGATATGTACGGAAGAAACCAGAGAACAGGCCGACCTACTCCAGCGCCACAGTTCGCAAAGAAAAGAGCATGTAGACGTAACGCTGGTAGTTTTAGACCGCCCCGCCACGGAAAGCGCAGAGGCGGAGAGGACATGTTATGCTATTTTCTGTTTTTAGGGCCGCGCAGGTCCGAAACATTGAAAGGTGTCCCGGTGATTTTATTCTTTCTTTGCCGCTGCGTGGAGAAGAAGAAATCCTTCCTGCAAGGAGTGGGAGTGGAAGCTTATGTAGACCATCGGGGAGCGTTCGAGCCACTCATCATATCCCCGGCCCCAAGTTGCGACAATGAGAAAGATTCGCGCTCGCTGCACACATCCCTCCTTTTCGAACATTCTCGATCGGACGATGGAACCAGCCGCGGACATGGGACGCATGATGCGTTGCCGTTAGACCCACGGAGGAGCAAAAGGCGCAAACAGCACATTCCGCGGTCGTTCGTCGAATTAAGAGCCGCGCGGGCATATAGCGAGCACATCGGTAGTTTTGGTGGGTACCTAGGTAGCGACAGGTGCTAAAGAACACATCCACTTTGGCGTTCTTGCATTTTGAAGCTGCGCTGCTCCAGACCATGTCGCCTTTTCGCTGGAGTTTTTAGTTCCCGCATTTGAGAGGCGGTCGACGAACAGAGTAGAGAGGAGAGGAGAGAAGAGGAAGAATATGGAGAATGTTCCGATCCAACCCCGGGCGGGGAAGAGGCGAGCATGAAGACCTTTGCTTCATGCTTTAGACCGCAGAGACATCCACGGCTCGGACATGCCTCATTCATGCTCCAATTTTTAGACCTCGGCGTCCACAGAACATGAGATTCGTCGCTTCATGTTTGAGTCCGCAAAGCCAGGCGCGGCAGGGACATGGTGCGTGCATATTCTTGTTTTAGACCCGCTTAGGCACAGAACATATATATGTTGTGGCATATTTTAGTTCCCTAGAGAGAGGTGGTGCCGATGCAGTGAAGAGAAGAAGAAGACGTGGAGAGGAGGGAGAGAGGGGCTTTATATAGCCAGGCAGATACAACCTTGGAAGAGGGAAGACGGGACGATACGTGACAGGACTGGGCATAGCGAGAGGACATGCAAAAACCCATTTGGAATAAAATTCCTGGAAAGCTATCGATGGTGATGATGCTGGTGATGACGGCGAGATGGAGGAGGAAATCATCCATAACGTCGCTGAAGATATTCATCGCTAAACTCTAGCAATAGCAAGAAAACGTCATCACCTAGCCCCTCAAACCCAACATCGACTTATCCAACTCTTATCCAACTCTCCTCTCTTTACATCGTCATGAATGCCGCAGATCACTTCAACGCCAGCACTCGCGGGTTCCCGTGTGCCAGTGCCTGTGGCAGAGACCAGGGCGATCACCTCCCCGATGGCTTCCCCTCCTCCAAACCCGGCACCGGCAACGCCGGCGTGACAGCGCCCTCTGTCGCCTTCGCAGCCTCGACCTCCTCCGCCGTAGGATAGCTGGGTAGATCAACGATGACGCCGGGGTCTTTACTCCTGCTCGCCAGCATAGCCGCTCGCTTCTGCTATTCATTAGCCCAAGTCCACATCTATAAATGCCCTTCCTTCCTTCCCCATCTCCGCCTCCGCACATGCCATGCTACTCCCCAGCCTCATCCTCATACATCCCCACCCGAAAAGAACAATATGTACTCACCTCCCGCACCTCCCTCCCCACGCCCCTCTCCCCAGGCTCCCCCAAAAACTCCTCCTCGATCTCATCCTCCTCGCCCAAGCCGGGACTAATCATACTGCCCTTCCTGCTGCGCTTCGCCTCGTCCGGCGTCGTCGGCGCGCCGTCCAACTCCACGGGCGCCTCGTTTATGGGCGGTGTATCCGTGTCGATGAAGGGCGTGCGCGTCGCCACCGCGGGGCTCGTCTTGTGCGGGAAAGATCCCGTCCGGCTGACGGGCGAGATGGGCGGTTCGGCGTTGGTTGAGGGTGCGGGCGCGGGAGCGGGAGGGGCAGTGGTGGTCGAGACGGTCGGCGGGGAGATGGGCGTCGAGTCGGAGGCTGTCATTGTGGACGCGGATGCAGAAGGGTGTTCCTAGGTTATTGCTCGTCTTTTCTGTACGTGTTATGGATAAGGCTCCGCCGTTCAGCTGAAACAACGCTCAGCCTGGGCTGGGCTGAGCCGCAAGGCAGCGTCGCGGATCAAATAAGGAAGCGCCGCGGTACAACAAACGCCCGAAGCCCTGTCAGCTTTCCAGGGACCTATGACGTATTCCCACAGGACCCTGAAGCTGCAAAAGCAATGCCTTCAGCTGGCAGTATCTTTTGGCGATGGCGCTGACCCCGGCGATGGAAGCTGTGGTGGGCGAGAGTGGGGCTCGTTAGCAAGGGTCGAAGCTTGTTTCGAGCGCGGTGCCTGGAGATCTGATGGCGGCGGCGGGACGGTGCGCGATAGAACGCGTTCGGGGTAAAGGCTGAATCTTGAATACCGCACTACTGGCAGAGGAGGCTTATGAGGCGGTCAATATAAGAGGACAATGGAGAGAGATCTCGTGAAGAGCTGAGACTTTGATTGTGACCTCAACGCGGGGCAGTGGGCTGTGCTAACCGCGCTATACCGCTTCCAGCACATCAGATGAGCTGCCATGGATATCAACACTTTTCCCTTATACCCTATGAACTTACCATAGCATCGCCCTTGCCAGAGCACGCTGCCAGAGGATATCCGCAGTCATGAAAGCATCTACAAGATCGTCCAGAGCATTCCCGCCACGCGTAACCCCCTTGAAATCCCAGCCCAAGCCTAATCAAAACGAAAATACCTAGCTCGTCTTCGGTATCATAAAACCCATCGTGTATCCTTCGCCAGAGGAAGTCTTCGGATCCGCCTGATAGCTGTTAATTTTGAGCCAGAGTGTTGCGTGGGGGCGTGCTCACCCCCATAAAAACCCCGCCATTCCCCGAAAATGCATTCGCACTGTTCTGTTGACCACTTGGGGCAGGTGTGTTTGGAAGACCGTTCGACGCCTCAGTCTGCACTTGCATGCCACTCAGATCCATCGGAAAGAATGAGTTTGTTGCGTCCATGCTCGGCCCCTGTATGTAGGAATCCCATGCATTCTGAAAACATTAGCGGACGAAATCTGGTACGTTACAAGCACTGCTCACCCAGTCGATGTTATCCGTGCTGGGCAGATCCATATTCTGCAAACCAAGACTAGCACCGAAGAGATTCGAGAATGGACTGGGTGCGTTCTCCTGCCCGCTTGTTGCACCTCCGTAATTTGGCGTCAATCCCGCTGGTTGCTGCGGAACCGCGTCGTTGAGAAGGTTCGCCATCGATGCTGGATAGCGCGTCTCGAACATGTTCGCCGAGTTTGGTGTCAAGCCGCCCGTGCTGAGCATGCCTAGCGTCATCGCGGCCGAGTGCTCCGGGGCAACATTTGCATCGTCCATGGGGCTTGTCGCTGGGAACGCAGATGACGCCGACGAGAAGCTCTGTTGCGCCTGCCTTGTTGCATGGTGCTCCTTCAGCTGCTGCAGCATTACGCTGAGTGTCGCATGAGCCTTGTATGCCTCCATTGAGTGCTCCCTCAGCCCGTCCCAGATACCCACGGCTGTTTCAATAGCGTCAAGCATCTCGTTCCGCCGTTCGTCGCTCCAGAAATACATGTCTGCCGGCGGTGCCCGACCTTGCCGCTCAGACCGGGCTGTGTGGTAAAGGTCGGAGCAGACAATCATGGCCGCGAGGAGGAAGTCCACGGTCGTGAGCGATGAGATGAACCACTTCACATTGCGCAACCTGCCACCTGGCTGGCACTCCCTGTGCAGCGTGGCCTGGTGTTGTAGCATGATCATCGAGGCGTCGATGCACGCCCTTCGCGAGTAGGTAAACCTAGAATTACTCCTTGATGCGGCGAGGAATTTCCGGTGTAAAACGCAGATGATCTTTAGATACAAGAGGTCGAGCGTGAAGCGTTGCATGATGAGGGTCGAAGGATCTCGCGCAGACTCGTCCATAGGTCGGATCTTGAGATGGGGGGCGATCTTGTCGTGCAGCTCCCGGGCTTGCGTGTCAGACTTCAGTACCTCTTCATAGGAGGAACAGGTAAGCGATTCGGTCAGCTCTACTGCTTCCCCCAGCTTGTAGATCAGTCGTGTTCGATTTATTAGAAAGAGGGTGGGTGTCGCTTCCTCTTCCGGCCTCGAAGGTGGTAGGACTTTCATGTCCTCATACAGCTCGTCATCGTAGATGTTGCGGGGGACCTCAGTGTTGGTATCTCGAGGTCGCACGATGGGAGGCAGTCCAGCTTGCGCGGAGAATAAGAGATCCAACGACCGAACTGCAGCCCACACTCGCCGTCGCATCTCGGCTTGGAAGGTTGTGATTCCTGGATAAGGGCCGGCATCGCGATGGAGGCCCATACGCATCGCAAGCCGCACGACGATGCTGGTGCTAACTAGGATGCCAGGTTCAGAATCTCTACTACGGGCGTAATCAGCATAGACGTGGAGGATCAAGGTCTCGAGCATGTTCGTGATGGGCGAGGTGATGTCGGCGGCGAGCAGGCACTGCGCAGTCAAGGTCCGATAGTCGGTCGACATGGCCCACGACTTCCCTTTGTATTCTGGCGGTTCGTCCCCTGCTCGCGTATACGACTGCAGCGCTATGCACATCATAGCAAACACCATGCCGAGCCAGATGACGGGCGACTCGTTGGGGTTCAACCAATGCTTATCGTACTGCTTTTGGAATGTCGGACCATGTATGATGTGAATGCCCGGGTCGTACGTATTGAAGTATCGCGCGACGAGGATATCAGCAGTGGCTTTCGGAGGGAATCGTGCGAGGATCTCGGCCTGTGGCAGGGGTTTCTGCCCGCCAAAGAGGAAGGCAGTGCCGGGGCTCTGCTCGTCGGTATGCGTGGCTTTGTAGCGCTTCAATTGCTCGTCGTACTGCTTCTTGTGCTCGTTGAAGTAGTTTTTGACCTCGGAGATCTGCGGGTATTTAGTACTCTTCCCAGGCGGTTGTATGTTCGCGGCTTACCTCTCCCAGAATCGCATACCAATGCGCTTCCGATGCAAACACGGCGCGGTTGTTGTCAACCTTCATGACCCCGATCGACTTGGTGACATGCTCCACCTCGCTCTCCTCGCCATCCTCCTCCGGTATCGACTCAGGGTCGTTACTGATATCATAGGGGTGGTCTGTGGAGCCATTCATCAGGTTGTTCGCGATGGCAGCGTGGGCAGCGGCGGGCCCAGCACTCTGAGCGCCATTGGTCATCAAAGAAAGAACAAGTCCTTCGAGGCGGTCAATGCGGTTTTGCATGTCATCGGGAGAGGTGGCGGAGCCAGTGCTGGACGCGCTCTTCTTGCGGTTGCCTGGAGCTGCGTACGTACATGATCCGGTGTCTCCCCGCTTGGTGCAGTTGTCGCAAGGGTGGCCGCGGTTGCATTTGAGCCTGTCGCAGTCAGCACTCACAGCTCGGGTCCCAGCGCGCTCTACCTACTTCCTATGCCTGCAGGGCCCGCAGGACAATGGCACGCGGTTGCGCTTACGGACGACGCGGAACTGGGGGTCTGGCGGCGACTGTCCCGCGCTAGACGAGGTGGTCGAGGGCGGGGTGGGCGGCATGGTGGCACAGGGCCTCGATGACGGAGGGAGCGGAGTTAGGGCGGTTAAGTCCGACGAGGGTGTCAGGCGATGTGCGCGACGCTGCGCGCGGTGGACGAAATGTCGGAGCTAGGAAGGGAGCGGGGGCAGCTGCGCGTCGGGCTGGCTTAGCGACTGGCTGCGCGCTGCTGCGGAAAGAGGGTGCAAAAGGTGGAGTGGTTGGCGATTCCTGAAGGCGGGCTGGCACGGTCTTAAATCTCTCGGAGGTGCGTCGTAACTCCAGACGCCAAGCGCTATGACCAGTGCGTTAGGATTAATAGCCCAGGCCTGTCCAGCGATGCCTCCCTCCTGTGATCTGCTCGTCCCTTCCCACGACAGAGTGTTGGTTTCGCCCGTCGACACAAAAGCAAAGCTCTCGACTGCGGTAGGTAAGTGTTTCGCGTCGTCTCGCCGTTTCAGTGTGCTCAGACTGTGAAGAAGCAGCGATGGTGAATGTTCGTCGAGCCCGCTATCAGCCCCGTCGCGCGATTTCCTCTCGTGAGGGGTAGACGTGTAGGCCTGCGACCACGGCCTGCAGACGGAGCCCTGGAGGAGGACGAATGGCGGGCTGCCGTGGGAGGCGCACCGATGGGAGAGATACGGCTGCTGGTCGAAGCCTTCGTCTGCCTCACCGCTGGGGCAGTGGCAGCTGCCGATAGCGATGCGCAGCTGTCGCGGCTGGTCAATGGGGTCCGAAAGGTACAGTGGAGGCGCGGCAAGGGGTGCTGGAGGCCGTGTCGGGGCGTGCGACGAGGGTCGGGCGAGGTTTGGGTGGTGGGAGAGAAAGGATGGGCGGCGTCTGGCATTTAACTCCGCATGCCTTCAGTCGTTCGTCGCCAAGAGCTCTCCTCCCCCCATCGTCACCGCACCACTCCATGCATACCAGTCTTACTAATCCCCTTCCAGCAGCAAATGGGCCTGTGAGTCACACCTGGGCACTCCGCCCTGCATCCCCGTCCAGATCCTTGCTATGGTCGCATCGTTTTCGTGCGAGCTTGCTCCTGCTCGTTGAGGCGGGGTCGGCGCGCACAAGCCACCAACCTCATCACCTTATCGCCTCATCACCGCATCGAGCCGACCTCGCGACTCCGTCGACGTTCCATCGAACTACCGTCTCCGAGAAGCCCGTCTACCGTCTGTCATCTCATGTGGCAGCCCATGTTTCTCTATAGCCGTCGAAGACCCCTGTCACGGCTTCTCAACGTGGGAGAAGTTGCCTCTGTCGCTTCGACTTAGTATTGCACGATTCCAAGCAGCATGCCAAAAGTAACAACACAAAGTGAGCCGTCCAGAAAGAGATGAACCTTTGCGAGAGCCCGCTCCCTTCAGCCTACTCTGCAGTTGCGGTCCCCGCTCCATTCTGTGCCCCATTCGCAGCACCAGCACCCTCGCTCCAGGCCATCATCTTCCCCGACCGCGCATCCCACCTGAACACCCCGCCGCCTCCCACATTATACTGATAATAATTCTCCGTCCCGCCCTTCACCAGTGCCTTTCGAAACGTAATATTGATCCGCCCCCTGCTCGCCTCTGCGCCCGCCCGCTTCGGAATACTGTGCAGCCAACTCGCCTGCGTCTTGCCCCTCATCAGCACCATGTCCCCCGAGCCCAGCGGAAGCTTGAGCTGCTTTGGCTCCGCGGCGGGAGGGGAGGCGGTGGAAGGCGGAATGGGCTTGTGCTTCATAAGGAAATCGCGCTTCGCGCCGAGCGAGAAGGACGCAATCGCCGGCTTGGGACCCAGGAAGCGCTCGTCGTCGGAGTGGTACGAGATGCTGTCCTGCCCATCGGCGTAGTAGTTCACGAGGCAGAAGTTGAACGTCTCGCCTGTACTGCCCTCCGTCAATCTCCTCAGATGAGCGAGGCATCGGGGGATAGGGCGGGGCGTGCACTTGTAGCGTCCTGCTTCCACCTTCCTGCCGGTCTTCGCGTCTACGAGCTCGCCATCGTCGGCGAAGCGAGAGGTAGCATCAACGCCAAACACAGTAGTGAAGCGCGGCGTGTTGATAAGTGTTTCGACGCCCCCGCGGTTGATCTTGTACTGCACGCGGTAGAAGGGGAGTTCTTGGCGCAGGAAGTCGAACATGCCTTTCTCAATTGCGCTAGGCACGTATGGTTGATAGTACACCAGGTCGAGGTCCAGCTGATCGTTGATGAGCTTTCCCTCCGCCGCCGGTGCGAAGTTCAACGTCTCGATCAACGGGCCGGGCAGGTGCGGGATGGCAAAGGGATAGGACGGGTGAGTCGACTTCACCGTGCTCGCTTCGTATTTAGGTTTCTTGGGCCCGGCGGGCTTGAAGAAGGTGTCGAGCGCACCGCGCTTCATATCGAGCGGGGCGAAGGCGCGGTTCGGTACTCGTTTGGATGCCGCATCGACAGTGGTGATAAGAGCGCGCTGGAGTTGGACAGCCAGTGTATCAGGGCGTACGTCACGCCAGCAACAGCTCTCACTTTCGACGGCAGTCGCGGCCAGCAGAGACCATGCTTTAAAACAAATAACGTCCACAGGCCCGGGGGACTCGACCAAGCAACCGAGCTAGTCTAGGAAGGGCGGGAAGGATTAGCGGCCAGCAGCGACCCAGCGGTGAAGCCGCTGTTGTTGAGTTTAAGTATGCTGCTGGACGTACGCTGACGATGAGGGCGAAGAGCTCCCTGGAGCAGTGCTCGATGCTCAGAACGAGTCTGGGACCGAATGACGGCAAGACGAATCGATGATGTTATTGGCGCGCTGGTGCTAGTGTATTATTGGTTGGTTTAGCGAAGTCTGAGTGGTAGCAGCCGGTATGGCGACACCCCCGACGCCTCAATGCACGACCCCGATACTATTTCATAGTGCGCATATTGCCCGAAGATGGAAAGGCTAAGAGTTCGAGGAAATACAACTAGTAGATTAATTATAGGAATCTAGAGGAGAGAAGCCACCCTCAGCCCCGCTATCTACCCAGACGCTCCAGAGCTGCACGACACCCCCGGACTAGAATTATCAATATTCGCACACAGATACTTGGGCGACCCATTCGGCGTCGTCACCGTCCAGCCCGAGAAGTGCACGTTGCACGTCCCCGCAGCGGGGCAGTTGATGTTGGCGACTGTCGGCGCATACTTGGAGCTCGTGGTGCCCTTGAAGTTCTTGAAGTAGACGTCGGTGACCTTGGCAGTTGACGGGTTCGACGCGCAGTACGAAGCGTCTTCATTGTAGCAGGATTGGATTTGGGCAGCGTAGTCGCTGGATGCGACGGTCACGCCGTCGAAGGTTACGTTCCTGCCGTACTGGTCAGTGTCGTGCCGCATCGCAGTGCATTGTGGGGTTCGACAAAGCTTACTTCACGACAGCAGTCCCGTGCGCCGAGCCTCCAGGGTAGAGCTTGATACCGACAGCCTTCGTCGAAGTCTCCATATTCGCGTTTGTGACGTAGACGTGCTGCACGGTATCGGTAGCGCCTGCTTTGCTGGCGAGCGAGCCGACTGAGAGGCCATGCGAGCCTTTGCAGGTGATGCCGTCGACGGTGCAGTAGCTTGTGCCGGGCTTGAATGCGATGCAATCATCGTCGTTTTGCACGCTGATGTTTTTGTAACTCGTATACGTTGCTGGACCGACGTTGAAGCCGTCTGTGTTCTTGGGCAGGTTGGAGCTGGAGGAGACGGCTGTTAGGGTGAGGGAAGAGTAAGATATGTTCTCCGTGTTGCCGTTGTTGCTGAAGAAGACGTCTTATTGTCTATCAGCAAAGGAACTCGAATAAGAAGAAGCTGCGTGGACTTGGGGTATGACTTACTGGGCGCATTTTTCACCCGCAGATTGCTCACCGCGATATTCTTCGACTTATTCGTGATCAACACCAGCGTCGGTCGGTCGAAACTCGAGTCCTCGGCGAACTTATCCCAAGCTTTCTGCCCGTTTCCATCGATCAAACCGCTGCCCGTCACACTCCGTATCTTCGCCCCCGTAATGCCGCTCACGGAAATGATGGCTGATTTCCCGTTCCAGAACGTCGTATCATCAGAGACCTTCAACGTTCCTTCGATCTGGAAGTCGCAGTTCGAGCAACCGGCCAGGTCAAGCACGGAACGGATCATGTACGTCTTGCCGGCTGGGATTTGAATGATGCCTCCGTTACCGCAGGAGGAGGTGGCGGCTTCGATGGCCGGGACGTCGTCTGTGCCTGCATTGCCGGCGGAGGTAGGAACGCATGTTGCTCGCTTGCTGAGATGGTGTAGTGTTCGTTCGAAGAGCGGGTTTGAGGGAGCGGCTGCGGCTAATGTGCAGCCTGCGAGGAGCTGAAGGAAAGTCGATGCGCTAACCATTGCGATTGCGTATGGAAGCACGAGAGTGGGTTGTGAGTACTATCCATCTTCGCGAATCTAATCGTCTTTTTTGAAGTCGGCCTCTAACAAAGCCACTCGTGGAAATTGAAGGCCGAGCGTTGATTAATGTAGTGGAGGGAATGCAGGGATAGTGGAGTATGCCAGGCTAGGAACGGCTAAAGTTTGTAGGAGGAGAACACGACTTGGGACTAGTGCTACCACCACTATTCTCGAAACATGACTTTCTTCCGAAGTTGGTTCATGGGGGCCAATTAAAGTGACGGTATGTTTGGAACGCAAAACGCAAGTCACTGTTCTTTCCTTTTCGGAGAAATACCACCCTCTAGTACTCTCTCGACTTCCCCGCAATTATGGAGATGGAAGGACTACAGCTTCTCTTTCCTCCATATTATTTCAACTTCCACATCCACGAATCGCCTTGCGCGATGTAGAGAACCTCAGTGCACATCACATGTGACCCATCTTAAGATACAGGGCCATAGAACCCTATGTCTCCCCGTTCTGAAAGTCCAGTTTTCCATTCATTTCAACATGGCCTTTATGCCACGGATCATTCTCCTCTTGATCGCAAGCCTGAGTCTGCAGGTACAGGCGCTACCACACGCACTCGTGAAGCGCGCCTCGCGCACAAGTCCCCCAAGCGGCTGTTTAACCGTCCGAAACTCAGGAACCAAGTCTGGAGAATACGCAACCTTAGGCTCAGCTTTATCCGCATTAGGTACCTCGTCCACGGCGACAGCATGTATATTCATCTACAGCGGCACCTACAACGAGCAAGTCACCGTGAACTACAAAGGCCCGCTCACCATCTACGGATACACCACCGAGTACGTTCCGTTACGTTCCGAAATAACCTTTCAACCACGTGTCTTGGGCTGACAGCGCTCGCTTACTTAGCACTGGAACCTACAAATCCAACACTGTGACTATAACCTCAGGCATCAGCTCGCCGGCCGCTGGCTCCCTCGACAAAAGCAGCACCGTCAACATCGTCAGCAGCAACTTCGCTGCATACAACGTCAACTTCGTGAACTCGTATGGCAAGGGCGCGCAGGCGGTTGCTGTGACTGCAAACGGGAATATGCAAGCGTTCTATGGCTGCGCGTTTAAGGGGTATCAGGATACGCTTTATGCAAAGGATGGAGATCAGTATTATTCGAATTGCTATGTGGAGGGTGAGTACTGACATAAAAAGGCTTGGCGTGGGGAAATAAAGACTGAGCGCTGATGACCGCGTTAGGTGCGGTCGACTACATCTTCGGAAAGGCGTCGGCGTGGTTTGGCGAGTGCACTATCGCGAGCAATGGCGGTGGAGCTATCACCGCGAGCTCGAGGGAGGACGCAAGTGACCCGGCGTGGTATGTTTTCGATCATAGCACGTAAGTGTCGCCTCTTTTTCCTGCCTCCCCTGTTCAGTGCCTTCTGCTGACGCTTTTCCAGTATCACAGCAGCATCTGGGACCAGCTTGAATGGGCAAGTCTACCTCGGCCGCCCATGGCGCGTTCTCGCCCGCGTCATCTTCCAGTACAGTTCGCTTTCCAACGTGGTGAATGCGGCTGGGTGGACTACCATGGCTGAGGGTGCTACTCCGTATGTCATCCCACCTTCCAACTGCGCATAGACGCGAATGCAAGCTCTAACGGGAAACGTGCAGGATTTATGAAGAGCTGGGTAATACAGGGGACGGGGCGAGTACGTCGGCGAGAAGGTTCTTGACGAAGACGAGTGCTGCGGTTACGAAGGCGCAGTTGTGGCCTAGCTCGGGCACTTCGTGGATTGACTCCTCGTATTAGATCGGCGGTATGGTTCTTGTTACTCTATGTGGCTTGCTCTCTTGCTTTACTATGTGTATCCGAGACGGATGAGAGAGGAGGTTTGATGCGCTTTATGTCCATTGTCTTCTCTTGCCTCTGTCTCTGTTTCTTACACAGCGGGTACATGGGCCGATGATAATGATTTCAATATAGGCACGCTATTTTCTGACTCATATTGATATCTTACGCCAAGGTTTTGGGCTTCGAATCACTGCAGGGGGCTGCGCTTGCCGGGGTGGAGTTTGCGGCGCGGTGCGGCACGGATCAGCGCAGATCAAAGTTTCTAATACCCTAAAACCTGGCTACCGGCTTCAGTATCTCTCTCTTCTTCATCCAGCCCTTTTTGTACTCCATCGCCCGCACAGTTCGCCATGGAGCCAGCTAACCAACTTAGCTCAGTGCTTGTCATCGGCGGCTGTGGGTTCCTCGGTCACCACATCGTTCGCAAGCTGCTCCAGTCCGACGATGTCTCTCAAGTCACGGTGGTCGATCTCAGAACGGATTTCTATCGCGTTGAAGGCGCGCATTACATTAAGGGGAGCATTACTTCGCGGGACGACGTAATGTGCGCGCTCGACACCGCAAGGCCAAGGGTCATCTTCCACACGGTATCGCCGCAAGCGCTCGGGAATCCAAGGCTATTCACTGAAGTGAATATTGGCGGCACTCGCAACCTTCTAGAGTGTGCGCAATCATGCGGCTTCACCAAGGCGCTCGTCTACACATCAAGCTCGTCAGTCGTCCACGACAATTATAGCGATCTGGCAGCTGTAACGGAGGACATGCCACTGCTGTTCATGCCGCAGCAGCCGGAACTGTATTCGCATACGAAGGCAGTCGCAGAGAAAATGGTGCTCGACGCGAACAAGATTGCAGGAATCCGAACGTGTGCCATCCGTCCTGCCGGCATGATCGGCGAAGGCGATCGGACCACAGCTGGAAATATCATCGGCGGTGCGAAGGAGGGCAAGTATAGAATTCAGATTGGCGATGATTCGAAGCTCTTTGACTGGACCTATGTGGGGAACAACGCAGACGCTCAACTGCTAGCCGCCAGAGCCCTTTTACGCAGCCACACGAGCCCGCCTCCAGACAACCTAAAAGTCGACGGCGAAGCTTTTGTCATCACCAATGACGACCCTCGACCGTTCTGGAACTTCCTTCGCACTATGGGTGCAGCTGCTGGCTACCCTGTCAAGAAAGAAGACGTTTGGGCGATACCAGCCAGTCTCATGTGGGCTGGAGTCTTCATCACGGAGATTCTATACTTTGTCTTTACGCTTGGGCGCAAGCAGCCCAGGTTCACACGCGCGAATATTAAGTATATGACGATACACCGGTACTTTGACATCTCCAAAGCCAAGACTCGACTAGGTTACGTGCCGCAACTTAGCTTGGAGGACGGTATCCAAAGGACCGTGCAATGGTACTGGAGTATCACCCAGGAAGAGAAGGACCAGAGCGATTCGTTTCGGAAACTAGTCTGAGTTTGCCCGGCTGGTGTTCGATTCACTTTTCAAGCCCTGAATTCTAGCTTGGAGAGATGTCTTTAGTTTCTTTCTTACTCCTCCTATTCGTTTCTATTATGCTGAGGATACAGCCACTTCGGCTGGTCATAATGGTCTAACGTCCTGTTTTTGGTGGACCATATATGTACACTGTTAATCCGGCCTCTATTAGAGGTTTTTGTAGGTTTTCCGCTTACTCGTTAAAGATGAATTAGGATTAGCGTTTCCATTGATGAATGAGCGAGTCAGGGGAGTTAAATGATAGAACTCTGGAGTGTATAGCTATATATAGGGCCCATGAAGTTACGTCAGAATACGAGCTATATCCGGTAACAGTTTCGCAGCGAGACTCGATCACCATCACCACTCCGCAGTCGGACTGAGAAATACGCATAAACCTAGTTCTGCTAGCATCAGTCACGCCGTTTGTAAAGGAACGCGGTCTAGTCTCCAGCCACATCCTCAGTGGCTTGCCTATCGCTGCATCGACCTCGGCATTTTTCGGCTGAGAATGCCCGCCTTCCCCACCATGCATAACACGTCTTCAACCAGATTCCGCGTTCAAAAGCCCATGGAGCTGACTTTGCCGTAGCAAACTCCCCCATACATTTCCGCAAAAGACTCCTTGCCTTGAGACCCAAGACGCAGCCGTCGCCATGCCTGAACCTTTTGACATCATCGCAGTGATTGAGCCCAAGCCGGGCAAGGCAAACCGCGTGGGTATTTCCTCTTCCTAGAGCAAGCTTTGTCATTTCTTACCGTGCAGTAGGTAGAGGAACTGCTGAAAACTACCGCCAAAGCCGTGCAAGCGAACGAACCCGGCACGCTGCGGTACCAAGTGAATCGCGAGACGAAGGGCGATGCGCCGACTTTCGTGATGCTGGAAACGTGCGTTAGCAGCTCCAATTCGTTCCTTTGGGCTTAGCACTGATACAGTGATGGCAGATACAAAGATCAGGCTTCGCTCAAAGCGCACGGAGGGAGCAAGGACTTCAAAGAGCTTGGGAGGGCGTTCAAGGAGGATTTGCTTGCGGCGCCGATGAAGGTGCTTTTCACGAAAGCGGTTGGCGGGTACGCTAGTAAGCTATAAAAGCATTAATTTACTCTAGTGTCCTTTATTTGTCCTGCCGACATGAACTGGACTTTGCGCCGCAGCCTTCGTTGAAAGCGAGGGTTTATCATGGATGAGCATAGCTACGAAGATTGCCCGACAACAATGGCTGATTTGGCAACTATGTTGGCTAGGTTAATCCCGGGCAGTGCGCTAACGTGTTGCATGGATCTTCAATTAAAGATTTCCTTCTTCTGTCATTATGCTGACACGAACGTCGGAAGAGCCCGCCCTTGTATCTATCTCCCGAGAGATAAAGGCGAAAGCAGAATGCATTATCCCGAGGGCTTCCGTGACGCATTTCCAGCAAGCCCATTCGGCAAAGGACATAGCCCCAGTTTCTTGCCGTCATAGAAGGCCATCCGGCACCACCAATCCCCATATCTCTTTTACCTGCCACCCTAGACCTCGTAAGGCGAGACCTGGGTGCTTTTGTTGCGAGCCTTCCACTCCTTCCAATAGTGCTCGAACTTCTCCCTGCTCACTTGCCGAAGGGCATCTTCCCGAGCAATCCGACCCTCATGAGCACCCTGAAACCACCCTGTGAGATGGACCTGACTATAGTCGACAAGCGCCGCCACGTGGTGCGGATGGAGCTTCTTCTTGTCTTTCCGGATAGCCATGACAGCCCCCACGCCCCTCTGCCACTCGATTGGCGCCATTCCAAATCCAGTGAAGCACGTGTACTCGATATGGAATTTGACTCTCTCGGCATTGGGGTTGAGATCTCGGTGCAGGAAGGTGGCAGCTTGGTTCACCCAAGGTCTCCGAAAGCCACCATGATCGGGCCGACGAGCCCATCCTTCCACGCTATCTGGAACGCGTCGCACGAGTATTGAAAGTCCGACTTGGTCTGAGATATCGACGGGATCCTGACCGAAGATGGGATGCGAAATAGGAAGCTTGATGCCTTCGTACTTGGGACGGCCGTCCACTTTGACATCCCCATCGCAGTTGATACGCACGCCCAACACCATTTCCTCTTTAAACGCCGCTTTCAAAACGTTGTGTCGAGCCTTCCGCTCCTGCTGCACCTCGCTGTCATCGAAGGGATCGGGGCAGAGGTAAGTACTAAGATAATCGGAGAGATGCTTTAGATCCACAGGAGTGAGATCGACACCATAATGTGGATTTGGGTCCGAAGACGGGAAGTGCACAAGGTCGGTTCCGTAAGCGAGAATTGGGCCCTTCCAGTTATGCAAGTATTTTGAAGATCTGTCGACAATCTTGAGGATGGCTTTGTTGGGCTTGGAGCCGTCGTACAGGAATGCCTCGCGGAACTCGAGCTCGATGGTGTGTTTGAGGTTTCGGCCTAGTGCCCGATTCCTGCCGATGGGATGGCTGTTGGTAGATATGAATACGTCAGGCTGGGCTTCCCCTTCGTTGGTGGCGAGATACCCTCCTGCCAACACGTCTTGATAAGTGGGGACTACGCGTTCGCATTTCAGCCATACGAAGCGTGGGACGTCCTCATCCGGGTGGAAGTATATCGCCCGATAGACGCGTCCACGAGGTTCTTCGGGTGCAGGGCGGTCATGAAAGTCTTTGAAAGTCTTGCAGAGGTGTTTGTGGACTGACCAACCCAACTCCTGGCACTCCTTTGAGCAATAGTGGCTCTCACGGCAGCCGCCGCAGCGCAGTTTTCCTGGCTCCTCGCATTGTTCGCACAGCCTCATGGCGGGAGGTACTCGTCTGTATGCCTGTATGTCTGTGGTAGAGGAAGAAAAACGACGTTATGAAGGCGGAATTTGGGTTGCTGCGGAGACAAGTTGGTCGGGCCGTCTATATTCCGGAAAGTGAGTGAAAGACTGCGCACCCGCTTCCTTCACCGCACCGATTCGAACTGCGTTCTCAAGAGCTGCACCAAGAAACGTTAAGCTGGCTCGGTACTCTGGATTAATCGTCGGCCCCCTCCTGGACAATCGCCGAGAAGAATTTCCATGCCAAAGTGAAAAGCGATATATTCTCGTGCTGGAACAGGTCACCACAGCATAGAGGGATTTAGCCAAACCTTTAGTATCCTCTGATGCATCGAAATTTGAAAACGGAGGCAATGCAGGTCACTTCCGCAGATACCTGGAAGTAGGCCGTATGATGCGAAGGACTTCGAACACCGCTATGGGGCGACGGCACTACTTTAAGTCAGCAGCTTCATCCGTTCCGAGCTCTTGAGCACTACATTCCAAAATGCCTCCGCGGTGTTCAATCTTCAGCTCAGTTTATCCGTTTTAGTCACGGTAGTGCGTCTTGGGATTTCCGTAGCGGCGATGCCGAGACCTTCTATCAGGTGCCCCCAGGCGCGAACGAGTCGCTTGCTCGCATTATCCGTTAGCCATGCGTTCTCCACAAACGTCCGCGTCGTCTCAGTAGGTAGGATAAACAGTGGACCTGGCGAATGTAGAGGGGGCGGCGCGCGGGGGTACAGAGACCAGCCAGTTGTGTCAGCAGGCCAGCCAATGTAAGCGAGGATTGATGGGTAGGACGTTTCATATACTACGTGTTGCACATGTCTAGAAGCCGATAGAAGTACGTTTATTAGAAGAATCTGCTCGCGGATATATCAGTCGTTGCTGGTATACCAAGCCTGGAGTCCTTCAAAGAATGTACACTATGTTCCGGTTGAGGCTCTGACTGTTCCTAACCCGGTCAGCATCGCTAGATTCTCGCACATGCCCTTTACAGCTGCGCTTTCTGGCGGCCATGTCAACAATCTCGTCCGTGTCACTGTCCGAGCCATTCCCGTCCGAATCGAAAGGCACGCTTCCAAACATATCGCCGTCGTAGCCATGGGTTTCCTCCTCCTTCTTCGAGTCCGGTGAAATCTTCTCAAGAGCGAGACAGCAGGACCAGCAAGTCTTTTCCGGAACAACTCGCGTCTCGTGTCCTTGCTGAATGGAGAGCGCGGCTGCCGCAAGCCTCGCTTGCCAATTGCCTCGTGCGCGGACTACGCCAATCTCTGTTGGGCTATCTAGGAGTTCTTCCCAACTGTCGATCGTAACGAACTTGGAGGTCTCCTCTATCGGTGCGGGCCGTTCGTGGTGCTGCGTGCACACTGGGATGATCTGAGAAAGCCGATGCCTGAATACGTCCAGAATGTTAAGATCTGCGACCCACTTGCCGCGGTCGTAGACTCCAATGGCAGCTTCGATATAATAAGCTTCCACATCTCGTTTGCCTCGTGCGCCGACATCAATGGGGAGTTGCCATTCAGTATAAGAAAGATGCAGGCCGGTATCGCGGAAGGAATCCTCTTCACTCCCATCGAACGGATGATGATTGACCAGCCGTACATCGTCGGAAAGAGATCGAACTTGAGGTACAACAGGGCACACAAGCAGGGCCATTCCAGTCTTGCCCAAGTTCCCGACAACACGCTCCACAGTCTTTGATGGGCGCCGATGGCACGGGTCTTGCAGCAGGCAGCTTGCAACGTAGATGGAATTTCCGCTCGAAATAGCCAGTACGCCATTCATTGCCGATGGAGGGAAGTTGAAGGTCCCGGACTCGAACTTAGAAATGCATGCAAACATCTGTTCCCGATTGAGTTTGAATCCCGCAAAGGGATAGTGGCGATGACCACTGTTATCCTGGGGTATCCATTGATGTTCATGTAAAGGTTGCTCGGCCGCCTTGAGCTCTACGGTCGCGTTATGCAGCTCTCCGTATAGCACTGAGGCGGTCTGCAGAGCTTTGAGAGAAGTCAAGATTTTCCCCGAGAATCTGCCTTCGTCGAGGTATTCAAAGAGGAACTCTCTGCTAGGTAGTTCCTCTTCTAGAGCGCGCAGCACGTGACGGATGACAAAGATGTTTGGAAGCAATCTGTATGTGGGGCCTCCAACGAGTCTGGGCGCGATGTTGGGCGAGAATGATGTCCAATAGTGAATACTAATGCAGTAAAGCGCTGCAATATCAGGATCTCCGAAGGCGAGAATGCTTCGGATGGTGACTCCTTTGGCACATCGCCAGTCAGAGTTTCCACATTCTTCCTCAAGGAGTGTCGCATAGAAGGCCTGGGGAGGAGTTTGCCAGTGATAACCGTTGGGGGCATAGAACCAAGGAATTGGCGCTTCTAGTCGAAGCGAATCTGAGTCTGGCTGGACGTCGTTCTGGTCCAGATCCCGGTGCATACGGTTTAACCACCTGATGTATCTTCGAGGGGCGTTGCATCCGTCCTCCGGCGGGTCTTCAAGGGCTCGTTTGGACTTGCTTCCAAATTGCTCGACCGATGCAAGCTCCCACAGAGACCTGGGGTTTCCGCATTTGCACTGGATGACCATCAGCGTACGGTGATCACTAAAATCCCGCGCGACGTGTCTGAGGAGCGCGACTTTGGCGGCATTGCCAGGTAACAAGCGAAGCAACGTCTTCGGGGACGAGAGACCGAAGATTGTATCCGTTGCTGGATCGTCAACAAAGAGAGGGAATCTTCTGCGCCCGCATTTGATCAGCTGCAGCCTCTCCGCCTTGGCCTCAGGTTCGGAAGTTAGGAACCCGCTGGCAGCGCAAGCTATCAGAGACAGCCATGCTCCATCTCTCCGAAGACGACCAGAGATATCGATGTATTCGCTGAGCTTGACGAGCAACTTGGCAGCGTAATCGATGTCGTTCGCATCCGCAAGCCAACGTCGCATCAAGCTTCCCAGCGCGATGTAGACAAGTTCGTTGAAGGAAGCTCGCGAGGTGCGCGAAGACAAACGTGCTTCAGTTTGCACCGGCTGGCCATAGTAGCGGAGATATGCTAGCGGGAGAGACCAGTAGATGCCGTCGCCGCTTCGCCGGATGTCTTGAATGCCGAGTGTAAGCACCCCGCCCCGCTCAATGTGGGGATCATCCTGGAGAACCTCCGTGGCCCTATAGCTCCTGCCGTGACCGAAGATGATCATGTTAGGGTAAAGGTGCCAAGCGGCAAGTCCCAGCAGAGGGGCACCTGTTTGCACGCTCTGAGGCTGTCCGGAAACCAGCCTGTCAACCGTCACCATAGATGTTCTCCAAGCATCAACGACACTGTCGATAAGGCACAGTTTGGTGTTTACGGGTATGCCTAAGTTGTTGATGATGAGTAGAAGCTGATTCTGCCGACGCGCATTGGCCTCGTCCGCGGTGCGACGCCAAGCTTGGATGCTGGTGTGCCAACTTGCTATTTGCTCCCTAGTCAAAGATATGCTTTTGGCTGCCGCATATTCGAGCGGATTTCCAGAAGATGCAAGGATTTGCTTGCGCTCGGCAATCAACTGCATCCAGATGGAGATGGCTTCGGGAGGATCCCACATCCTGGAGAGCATGCAACCAAGGAGGTGCACAGCAATAGCAGAATCTCCGGAAGTGGCGGCGGCCCACACAGCTGTACCATCCGCGCCGATCTCATTCGCGAAGAAACCGTGTTGAGAGGTGCCTTTAGGGTTAAAGGTTGGCGAGTTCGCTATTTCGCTACATCGCAACCCATACGCCCGGATGAGATTCGGAACCTTGGGAACTAGTCCGCCGAATAGTATTCCCAGCTGAGCAGCGGTGAGATGTGACTGCCCGTCGTCGGCATCGTCCTTTCGTCGACGAGAAAGGAATAGACCAACATCCAGGTATTCGCTTGGAGGCTCGACCCTCAGGTTGAAGAGGCAGACGTTAAACTGGTTCTGGACGATGGCGTTATTAGACTCCACCGTGTTCGTATTGATGGAGCCTTTGATCTGGGGCAGATTCATTGCAGAAAGAGTGCCAGGTCACTTCAATGGTTCTTGAAGGCCCTAGAATGAACGCGGAGAGAGAAGAAGATATGAAACGCGGGAGCGCAGTCATGGCTACTTATCAGGCAGCAATGGGAGGGTCGGACAAGGCTGAGGCGGTGCACGTCCGCCCGTGTTCGCATGAGGTATTTTGACCAGGCTGAGGGTTGAGGGGCAGTTCCATTCTGCAACGGCTGAAGGAAGCCCTCGAGGAGAGTGCACAGACAAGCGAGAAGATAAACAGCTTCTAGTAGAGAAAGCTAGACGGGTCAGTTAAAATGGGCCCAGCTCGATGATGGATGGCCCGGAGGTACGAGGAACGAGCTACGGAATGATGAGAGAAAAAGCAAGTTTACTAAGCTGGTGGGGCAATTCCAGCGCAGATCACGTGCCTCATCCTTCCTCGCCATCAACAAAATATTTTAACTTCTTCCTTGGACTGCACGGAGCCTATCAGACACTGGGAATCTAGTACTTGAGAGAAATTGATGTTGCGGAGCCCCCAGAATGTTTCGAAGCCACAACATGACGACGAGGAAACTGCCGAGGTCGGCTGTCGGAAATTTCTCCGCGCAAGAGGGGGAGATGCGGGATGGGTAACAAACTACGAAGGCTGATCAAAGAGCGACCGAACACACTAGGCAGCTAATGGAAAGAGCGACCAGCCATAAAACATGACCAAGTAGTCAAAACCAGGCATCAATAACCTGTCTCCGCGTGTCCAGCGTCGTCGGAGCCTGTCCCAGAAACGTGACAAACCTATCCTAGAAGTCCTTCCTGACGCCAGCCTCTCTTCTATCCTTTCCAAAATCCTCGCTCACACCCCCACAGCCGGGGCATCTAACCTTGAAGCTGTGGACGCATTTGTTACACCCTCCACAATGCCATGAGTCGGTCTCGCGGCACTCAAGGCACGCCCAGCAGTGGCGGAATTTCTGTGACTGTTGGTCCTTGCTGTGGTAGAGACAGTAGTACCACTCAAAGGACTGGCCGATATCAAAGCCTTTAAGGAGGAGCTCGGAGACGAGGAGGTTGCGAAACGTTGATAAATCGGTGATCCAGGCTCCCCTCCACTTTTTCATGCATTTCGCAGTGTCGAAGATGCGGTCCTGGGGGATGTCATCCATTGCCTCCTCGACGAGCGCATCGGTCATGTCCGCGCTGTTTGGCGGCACTGAGAGGCTTATCATCTTGCGAAATAGCCATGGGATGATCCTGCCATGCCATGTGACTTCACCGTGTTCGGCAGCGATGCTCTTTGAGCGTTTGGCGACATAGCTTTGGAAGCAGAGCGTGGGTTCAAGATACATGGACGCACAGAACTTTTCAAAGCCATTGACACGGTTCTTGCACGTTGTATTAGAATCGTCCTCGACGACATCATCATCGGATTCCTGTTCAAGAGCTTTGAGATCGGCGAGGTTAGGGTCGTAGTCGTAACAGAAGCAGTCTTCGGCGCAGCCGTTGCCAGCTTGGACGCAAATGCAGGAAGTGCAATCCTTGTCGTGGCATTCGCATCCGTAGCGGAATGAGGGGTTGAATCAGACAGGTCTATCCGAAGCGAGAAAGGCGCGTCGTCGTCGGAGTTTCAAAACTCCGACTGGCACGGTCACGTGCAAGCGCGTTCTCTTGGCATGGGTTGCCCACCCGATGGACACTCACTCCAGCCCTCCCTTCCACACAACAGGCCTTAGGGCACCACAACCTGCTTTCACTATGTTTACATAGTGTGCCATGTTCCGAAACCCCCGCGAAAACCGCTCGCTCTCCTCTTTGGCTCGATTGGCGCCGTCGACCGGTCGCCCTCCTTCGCCACCCCGCTCGTCCTCGACCGCGAACATGACCGCTAACTCGGCGTCGAAAAGGGCCGCTGCCAAATCCAAAACCGATCCCGCATCTGCACCGCCCAAGAAGATGCAAACCACTCTCGTGCCGCCAGCCTTGGGCAAGAAGTCTCCCGCCAACAATGGCTCGAAAACCAAGCCCAAGGCAACTCCGAACGGCAACATCATGGCTTTCTTCAAGAAGGCCGAGGAGCAGAACAACAGGATATTTCTACAAGAGAGGGGCAGTAACTCTACAATCATACTCGATCAAGATGGGGAGGAAGACGCTGGCTGGAGCGATGAGCCGACAATTGGCGTTATAGAAGCGGACAATGTCGAGCAACGGTACAACGAGAATGGCGGTAGCGTCAAGAAGAGGAAGCTGAGCGAGGAACTAACCGCTTCGGCATGCACGCCTCCTCCGCCAGCCGATACCACTGACCAATCCCTAAGAGCCCCCAAGAAGGTGGGCCCTTTCGTCGACGACTCGGAATCAGAGGACGAGGAAGAAGTCCCAGTTCAGAGAAGAGGTACGGTCATATCGAAGCCATCGACTGAAGGGCTTTCGAGTTCTAAGACTTCGGAGGATGTACCTCCCGCAGATTGCCCTGAGCTCGCTATCAATCACGTACCGCCGTTGCCTAACTCGGAGACAACTTCACAATTTGGAGGAGATGATTTCGACGATTTCGAAGGCCTAGAGGACGACGATCTTCTCGAAGGTGAAGAATATGATGAACAGTGGTGGATGCAAGAGCAGCGGAGGTTGGAGATGGAGGATGCAGGCTTTGAGGGAGACCCCGACGATTTCAACGCGCGTTCGATGTTCCCCGAGGATACGAGCGATGAGAACGCACAAAATGGCGAGGGGCCATTCTGTCCCATATGTAGCACAAGTCTGTCGGGCCTGTCCGAACAACATGTCTCCATACATGTCAACGCGTGCTTGGACGGAAATCCACTACCAGTACCCGGAACCAAAGAGCCGGAAAGAGAATCCACCCCAACTTCAAACAATAGCCACAAGAAGTTCAAGCGACCACTGCGACCGGCGAGGACCGGGCAGCAGAACCCTTTTCAACTCGGCGAGAGCGCGGCGCCGAAGTCGGCATTTTCCCGACTGATGGCAGGCCACGCCGAAGATGCAGCCTGGGCGACTGCGGCGACAGCAGAGAAAGCTGCGAGGGGAAAGCCGTCGTTTCAACGCACCTGTCCTTTCTACAAGATTTTACCTGGCTTCTATATCTGTGTGGATGCCTTTCGCTACGGGGCCGTCAAAGGCCAAAACGCATACTTTCTTAGCCATTTTCACAGCGATCACTACGTCGGTTTGACAAAGTCGTGGCACCACGGTCCAATATACTGCAGCAAGGTCACAGCAAACTTAGTTCGACAACAGCTGGACGTTGACGCGAATTGGGTTATGCCTCTAGAGTTCGAGAAAAAGACGGAAGTACCAGGAACCGAAGGTGTGCACGTAACTATGATCCCGGCCAACCACTGCCCGGGCAGCTCCTTGTTCCTGTTCGAGAAGGAAGTCAGCAAAGGAAAGAATCCCAGGTCGCAGCGGGTTCTGCACTGCGGAGACTTTCGCGCCTGTCAAGCGCATATTGAGCACCCTTTACTCAGACCCGAGGTCGCAGGCGCCGTAAGTGGGAAGAGCCGACAGCAGAAGCTCGATGCCTGCTACCTCGACACGACCTACCTTAACCCGAAATACGCGTTCCCTCCTCAGCACCAGGTTATTCAGGCTTGCGCAGAGATATGCGTTAGCCTCAACAAGCCGACTGTAGACAGGGCAGACGGGTGGGAACAGATGAAAAAGGAGCGGGCAGGCGAAGGCATGGCCAAGTTCGTGCGAAACGCTTCGGACCTAAAGGGTGGAGCCGATGGTGACAAGAACTTCGGCACATCGAAGGGCCTCATCGACGGCTCGGGGAAGAACCGAGGACGTCTTCTCGTCGTAGTCGGCACGTACAGCATCGGCAAAGAACGCATCTGCATGGGCATCGCCAAAGCCCTCGCGAGCAAAATCTATGCGCCACCAAACAAGCAGAAGATCTGTCGGGCGCTCGAAGATCCAGAGCTGAATGCGCTCCTGACTACGAATCCTCGCGAAGCTCAAGTCCACATGACGCCGCTCTTTGAAATCCGCGCCCAGACTCTGGGTGAGTACCTGGAGGACTATCGAGATAGCTTCTCCCGCGTTGTCGGCTTCCGTCCCTCGGGCTGGAATTACCGCCCGCCAAACAGTCGTTTCACCGATTCTCCTTCGGTCCAGACGGTCCTACACTCGCAGAATTGGAAGAGCCAGTTCACGATGCGAGATCTGACGCAGCAGCCGGGTAGTACGAGTCGCACGAGCTGCTACAGTGTTCCATATAGTGAGCATAGCAGCTTCCGCGAGTTGACTATGTTTTGTTGCGCGTTGCGTATAGACAAAATCATTCCAACGGTGAATGTAGGGAGTGCAAAGTCAAGAGAGAAAATGAAGAGTTGGTGTGAGAAGTGGGCCCAGGAGAAGAAGAAGAACGGGCTTTTCAAGCTAGGAGAGAATTGCAGCGGCTGGTGAGAGCATTGTGGTAACCCCATGAATGAAGCATTTGGTAATGGTAATCTACCCCCTCACTATGATTCCACTATCATGCATAGCTGGTGACGTCCACACAAGCTTCGACAAGCAACAGACCGTGCTGGGCGTCCTCATCATCAGCATCGATCAGCGCTAACCCGAGGCGCTAATACGTGAGCATCGCGTCACGTGCAAGTGCTTACTCAGATCCATGGGTGACAACCCTCCACCTTCAGCTCGCATTCGTACGCTGCTGCTTAGCCAGATTATACTGAGCAAATAAATTGTTGATTAGGAATCTGAAGCGGAGGTCGTTGGCCTCAGATGGGTATATGAAGCCTATGCGTCGCCCTCACGTAGGGCGATAGCCGTGTTCGTTTGTAGAGCTTGTTGCATTTTCTAAGTAGAACATGCGTCACTTCCTTCAAAAGTTACTAGCAATTGCGGCCTCAACGCGCAATAGCCATGGTTTCAATATCCTCACTTCGCCTGAGCAGTTGACGACAAAGGAATACGACTTCATCATCGCGGGCGGAGGCACAGCAGTGAGTCGAAGACCACACTTTCAAGATTCCACCGTTAAAACCTTCTAGGGATGCGTCCTCGCTTCCCGTCTCACTGAAAACACCAACATCTCAGTCCTGCTCGTAGAAGCAGGCGGCAAGTGCGACCCCTTAACGTTGACAAATGAGACGTTTATTTTTGACACCTTCACCCCACAATCCATACGTCTATTCTTCTAAGTCTATCCTAGTAATAAAGATTTCTTCGACTCCATCGTACCCTTTCTCGCTTCGGGCCTCGCCCACAGCCCCGCAGACTGGAACTACACCACCACCCCGCAAGCAGGCTTCAACAACCGCTCGATTGCGTTTCAGCGCGGCCATGTGCTGGGTGGAAGTAGTAGTGTTAGTAAGTCCATATTCCCTCAGTCCCTCCTTTCCCAATTCTAGTCCTCGAAAGTGTAGTTGAATAACGGATAACGGGGGACAGACTTCATGGCATACAACCGCGGCTCCAACGACGTGTACGAGCGCTGGGCGCGCATGAACGGAGACTCTTCCTGGTCCTGGGAAAAGCTAGAGAAATACTATTTGAAGCACTCGCGGCTCGTCGCACCATCAGATGGAAGGGATTACGCGGATGAAGTTATCGCTTCCGCCCACGGGGATGGGCCAGTTGAAGTCAGTGTTGCAGGGGAGCTGTTTGAGCTGGATTATCGGGTTGTGAATGCGAGTAAAGAGATGAGAGGGCGGTTTGCTTTCAATCGCGATTTGAATGCCGGGGACTTTGTCGGGCTCTGTAAGAAAAAGTGATCTGCTGGGGAGGGGATGAGAGGATGCAGGCTAATACATTATAGCGTGGATTCAGTCTAGTATTGGAGATAGTAAGAGGAGTAGTAGTGCGACGGCATATTTGGATGGGCTTGCGGCGGGGGAAGAGGATAGGGGAAAGCTGGATGTGTTGATTGATACGCAGGTTTTGAGGCTGGTGCAGACAGGCATGAGTGAGGGAAAACCGGAGTTTAAGAACGTGGAGATTGCCCAGTCGGCGTCCGGTACTGCCTCCCGTTCCTTCCCCAAAGTGAACCCGAACGCACCGCTAATGACACTAAAGATACTCCCATCACCCTAACAGGCCGGAAAGAAATCATCCTCTCCGCCGGCGTAATCGGAACACCGAAGATCCTCATGCTCTCCGGCATTGGGCCCGCATCGCTCCTCACTTCCCTCAACATCCCTGTCATCATCGACAATCCCTCCGTGGGTCAGAATCTCACCGACCATCCGCTGAACATCATGTACTATACAGTCAAGAAAAACACGACCGTCGATCGCATCCTGCAAAACCAGACAGTGTTCGCAGAGGCGCTGCAGCAGTGGAACGAAACAGGAAAAGGGCCGATGAGTAATACGGCCAGCAACACGATCGCGTTTCAGAAACTGCCAGCGGATAGCCCGGCTTGGACGCAGGTGAATGCAGATCCCGCGGCTGGAAAATTGAGCGGGAATACGGAGTTACTGTTTGGAGTGAGTCTTCTTATATTGCAAAAAAAAGGTCTAGAGCTGGACCGCTAATATAGTGGATTAGGAAGGCTTCCTCCCCCTAGGCGACATCCCCGCCCCTCCATCTGGCAACTACCTCACCATCCTCGGCGTCCTCGTATCGCCAACATCTCGTACGTCTCGCCCCTACTCCACACTCTCTCTCGTCCATTCCAATTAACTTTCCCCAGGCGGCAACCTAACCCTAAACTCCACGTCCCCCTTTGCCTCCCCCCTTATCAACCCCTCCTACCTAACCACTTCCTTCGACAACCTCGCCATCCTCCAAACCTTCCGCGACACATCCACTTTCCTCAACTCCTCCGTATTTTCCGGCTACATCGACGGCCCTTACGGACCCTTAGCCGACGTGGATATGAGCAGTGATGAGCAGATGCTAGCGTATGCGCGCAAGTGGAGTGTTACTATAAATCATGGGGTTGGGACGGCAAAGATGAGTGCGAAGGGGGATATATGGGGTGTGACGGATCCGGATTTGGGGGTTAAGGGGACGAGGGGGGTGAGGGTAGTGGATGCCAGTGTTTTCCCGGAAATTCCAGAGTGCCATACTATGGCGCCAGTGTACATTGTTGCGGAACGTGGGGCTGCGGTGATATTGGAAGCGCATGGACTCTAGAAATCAAGGCGCTGCCGTTGGTATTGTACATGCGGCATTAGCTTGTTTTAGTGGTAGGTAGATGCGCACTGTTGCTGGAAGAAAAAGGAAAGAAATTGCGTTGCCTTCCTCCACCTCGTTGGTCGTCCTTCTATGCTCTTCCGTCAATCTGCATGAAAACCATCAACACTGCCGCATATGCAGCCGTGGCAGCCACAACTTCGAACGGTCGATTCACAGTCGCCAGCGTCATCGTTCCGCTGAACACGCCCACAAACCCTGTGATGATCTTAAGCCTTGTCTCGCTCCTACTGACATATTCGAGCCACCACATGGGCGCGAGCAGCATCGCCAGCCCCACCAGTATAATACCGGTATTCGTGAAGCACTCGAAGGTCGTGTTGCTAGAGTACGATGTTGCTTCTGAGATATGGTGAAGGCCGGGGACGGGCTTGGCGCGGAAGAGGCAGGAGAGGTGGAGGCTGGGCAGCGATTCGAGCCACTGGCCTAGTGGGGGGCGCGTACGGCTGTTTATGGAGATTAGGTCGCTAGTGTTGTCGGTGAAAGAGGCTTCCGTTTTATCGATCGCTTCCCGCGCGAGCCAGTTTCGTACGTTGGTAATCTGGCGCTTCTCTGCACGGGGGCGCGCGCGGACCTTGGAGAAGGCTTCGATGTACTGGTCTGCAGCAGGTGAGTATAAGGCTTGAAGGAGCCGTTTATAGACTCCTAGCGTGGGGGGAGATGGGCTATGGAGGAGAGGACGTACTGTAGTGGTGCAGCAAGCGACTCAGCTCTCCCATTAATGCGTGCCTCTCCTGCCTGTACTTCTCATCCCAGCGAAAGCTGCAGTTTTTGAGCTTTTCATTTAGGGGCGCATCTTCGATCGTCTTGTGGATTTCTTGCAGTTTCGCTTCAATCCTCACGATCTTGTCCTGCATCCAGAGCATAGTAAGCGCGTTGAGATTCTCGAAGCGGCGGAAGATGAAGAAGTCGTCCTCTGAAGCCATCCATGCGCTGAAGGCTTTATATCCCTCGTATTTCCAAGGCAAGTCCCGCTTGGCTTGTTCGTTGGCGGACGGTTGAGGAGCGGGAGAAGGGGGTGATGGAAGTGGTTGGAGAGGTGCTGAGGGTGCGGCGGTCGGCATATGGGCTCCGGGCGATGTGGCTGGGCCTGGAAGAGGAGAGATCCCTAGTGGAGAGGAAGTTGATTGAATCATTTTGACCGGTCTGATGATGTTCTTTGCCCTGCAGTGCCGTCTTTATCTTCTTCTATTGTCGAGCCGGTTCCGTCGTGCAGGGATGTGCAGGGAGTTAGGCAGCTAACCTCTACAAGTCCTGTTTCTTATCAGGGTGTAGGGGGATAGCAGAGGAGACTTCCCCTGAAGAGGGCTGGGTTCTGCATCTTCCCGACTCGCGTCGTACCGTAAACCGCCTGTGCCATGTTGCCGACCAATCCTCTACGCCGCGACGGCCTTTGGGACGGACGGTTTCGTAATGGAGCCCTGTAGGGCCTCTCATAGAAGATAACGTTGTGACTCGAATCTGCGGAGTCATTTGCACAGAGCATGTATAAATAGCGCTGTTCAAGGCATCGAGCTCATCTTCACACACTTGTTCTTTGACCGGTCAAGGCTCCACTCTAGATCCCTCAAGCCTAACATTCAAGCATCTTTTGCGCTCCTTGTTGTCCCGTTGTCATCCTCAGCTGCTCGTTACCTACAGCCTTGTTCTCGCCCGAAATTCGGTCGATCGCCATGGGCTCCTGGAGGAAGGCGTCCACCAAGGTCGAAGCGTATAATGCAATCCGGGGAGGCATCCAGAAGGAAGACTCTCGATATGACTCCCAGACCAGGGTCCCGCATCCAATAGACTCGCCTCCGCTATACGCCCAGCAACATCCGCCGCAGCATCTTGGGGAGAATTCATCGTACTTCCTTCAGTCGCCTTTCACATCGACTGCCTTCCCTTCTCCTGAGCAGAATGGCTCGCATTCACCGATGCAGATGCAAACATCTTCCCCGCCGCAGACAAGCCACGATGCGAATCAAAATCAGTCTTTTGGGTATCAGACACCACCGATCCGATCGTCTCTCGACTCCTACGCCACGCGCCAGTCGCCAGCACAAACCTCTCCCGGCTCCTATACAGGGTATCAGTCCCCAGCGCCGTCCTCTCCCAACTTCTATGCCGGGTACCAGTCGCCAGCGCAATCCTCTCCCGACCCCATTGCCGGGTACCAAACACCGGCGCCCTCCTCGGTCGACTCCCATGCCGGGCCACAGCAGTCCTTCTACACGGACACAGCGCAAGGCCCTGGAGGAGGTACCCATTCTTTCTGGAACGCCATTCCGGGCGCAAGCTGTGACAACAACCCTTTGGAGAACACGGCTTACTCGTATACCCTGCAGCGCAGCACGACGCTAGCCGAAACTCAGTACGACCCGCCTCCGGCATGTGTACCGCGCAGTTACACCTTGCCCGTGGGGGGGTTCGAGTTCGATCCCAATCCGTCGTGGCATGACTGCCGGGCGAACTGGAATGCGTAGGCTCAGTGACAACTCGGCATAGGGGCCCGCGCTAACTCCTTCCAGGACCACTGGTGGATGCAGTGTTTGCCCACAGCCCCAGCACGCTTTTGGGAACCCTTTGTAATACAAAGAGGAGGCCATACGTATCCGTCGTGTGGCTATTGAGCATCGGATCGAAGGGGCGCCAATGAAAGATCTGTCTGCAGAAAGAGGGGCAGCATTGACGGAGGCTTATTGTCTGTCCGCGTCGGTCTCTTCCGGTACGAGTGCCGGTCTTGCTTTGATAAATGGTTTTGAGGCATCTGATTGATTTTTCTCGGTTTGAGTCACCAACCTATAGAGGGTAGAAGGGGGAATTGTCGAGAACGAGTGGACGTCGATACCTAGGGACGAGATTAGGTGCTCGGAACTTAGCGAAGGAACTGGCGAGCCAAATTGCGTGTAGCATTAAGAGCGGTGTTCGATACCTATGCCCTTTTCGTGAATGCATTGTTTACCCTGGATATCTGATTGACAGTACGGAGTAATCATGGCGTGTGGGGTCCGTTCGGACTGGAGTGAGATTGGAGCACTAGACCAGATGCGCTTAGCGTGCAGCTTCTTATGCCGTGCTGGTGATGGCGTTCACCACCATTCACCATTTAACCCACCACGTCGCCCCTCATCATGCCTCCACCACGGTTGCTATTCCTCCCTCGCCTCTTCAGTACGTGGTATTGTCCACATACTATCCAATTGACCTCATCTCCTCCCAGAAATTCGTCCCACAAACTGCCGAACGGTTAGGCCCCACTTCGCCTGCCCCGCCATCCCATCTCGAGCGCTTCACGTATCGCCGCCACGCTTCGCCATGTCCGAGTTCGCAGCTTATACTGCCAATGGCACCAAAACCGCCTCGCCGAGCGCGTCTGCCACTAACAGCAATGCCTGGGGCTCCCAGAACAACCCCGCGGCGTTCGACTTCCGATCAGACGTCACGACGACCCCGACGGCATCCATGCTGGACGCGATCGCGCAGTGTACGCTCCTTGATGATGTCTTCATGGAAGATCGTACGACTCTTTCCCTCGAACGCTTCATCGCCCATCTCACGGGCAAGGAGGATGCGGTTTTGGTCCTTTCTGGGACGATGGGTAACCAGGTCGCGCTGCGGACACACCTCACTGCCCCGCCACAGGCAGTTCTGTGCGATAGAAGGAGCCATATCATACAATACGAGGCTGGAGGGGTGGCGAGCTTGAGTCAAGCGCTCACACAGCCCATTGACGCGAGCAACGGGAAATACATCACGTTGGAAGAGGTCAAGCAATACGCGGTGGTGTCAGACGACGTCCACGCCTGCCCCACGCGCGTCATATCCCTCGAGAACACCTTGAACGGGACGATCATGCCTCTCTCGGAGGTCCGACGGATAGCGGCTTGGGCTCGCGAACACGGTATAATAATGCACATGGATGGAGCGCGGCTATGGGAAGCCGTGGCAGCCGGCGCGGGTACGCTGAAGGAATACTGCGCCGAATTGGACAGCGTGAGCCTGTGCTTCAGCAAAGGCCTCGGGGCACCCATCGGCAGTATCGTGGTCGGCACGACGCCTTTCATCAAGCGCTGTCGCTGGATCCGGAAATCCATCGGCGGCGGTCTGCGGCAAGCAGGTGTAGTCGCTGCACCAGCTCGAGTGGCTGTCGAAGAGACATTCCTTGGTGGGAGACTAGCACAGTCTCACGAGAACGCCAAGAATATCGAGAAGATATGGACCGACCTGGGCGGCAAGATCGCGTACCCCGTCGATACGAACATGGTATGGCTGGATATTGAAGGGCACGACATTGACCTCAATCAGTGGATCGACCTGGGCGAGAAATACGGGTTGCTGGTCAGAGGAGGAAGGCTGGTGGTGCACTATCAGATTGGCGAGGAGGCTATCCAACGGTTGACGCAACTTTTCACGGAGGTGCTGACGGGGAAGGCCGGCACCGCGAAGAAAAGGAAGGCCGAATTCGATGCGGAAGACGTGAAGCTAAAGGGAAAGGGCGTGGAGTAGCTGAGATAGGAGTCGCAACTTGAGCCTCCTGGGCCTTCCACAAATCAACTGCAATGTTGGCTAACAAGCAGCTTCCGGACGTCTCGAATATGGAAAGGCAATCTCCGTCGCATCAGCTACGAACTACCGTCGCAAGACACCCGTCAGCGTCGTCGTGATCACAGGCCGAAACAGATCATCGAGGATAGCTGTCCTGCGCCTTATTTGGAACACCCACACCCCCTAGTGAGGAACGATCCCTTTTCGCCCGTTCAGCACTCTCTCGGGGCAGGTTTCAGTCTAGTCTGTGTCTTCGTAAGCCCAGGGAAGCTCTTGCTGCGTTCCCCTTTTGACGCTAGTGAAGGGATCCCACCCGGCGAAGTTGCTAAAGGGCCTGTGTAGCGAGCGATTATTACGCTCAGCACCCCATTTGCTCCTCTATGTGTTCTTTTAACCTTCCGTTTCCGGACCACACTCCGCTCTCGACGTCATTTGCTCTACCCTTCACTCATCGAGCGGGACCATCGACTACCCATCGACCTTCTCGAACGCGTCTTCGCCGAGCCCTCCACCCCCCCACCAAGGTAAGAGACTCGCCGCGCAATTACAGCCTTTATAAGCTCATATCGCCCCCCACCTCTTGTTTCCTTCCTTCTCTACCCCACTCAACTCTCGACTTGTTGACTCGCCTCATCTTCATCTATCTTCTTCAATTCACGCGCTAGGATGGAGCTCCGTCTGGTGACTCTCATCCTCCTTTCGCTGTCGCTTTTTCTGGGCAGCGCTTCCACATATGACGCGGCGACGCCGTCCAGAACAATTTCAAATGACGTCAAAGAATCCATTTTGGTGCCGACTGTGGTCCAAACGGCTGCGCTTGATGCCTCTCGATCTAGGTTGCTGTCGACTTTGATTACGAGCTGGTTCTGGGTTCCTGTGGAGGACACTAGTACATCGGGTCCGGCAGGCGGTCCGGCGATCACTGAGTTAACTACGACCAATACTTGGAGCTCCTCGTCCATTACGTGGGGCACCTCTACTTCGAGCACGCAATGGAGTACCGCCGATGTGTCGCCGTCCGCGCCGACAAGCTGGCCATCAAGCCTCTTGACCCAAACCGCGAGCTCTGGCTCAAGCACTGTCGCCTTCTCAGAGTCCACACTGTTCCCAACTAGCTGGCCCTCGACCAATTTGGACGCTTCCTCGGCAAGCATGGCGTCAAGCATGCCCCATGTTTCTACGGTGAGCTTCGAGTCAAGCTCGCTCGGGGTCTCTGAGTCCATGGCGCTGCCGACGAGCTTGCCTTCAATCCCCTCTAGCGCCTTAACATCGAGCCCTCCATTGACCGCACCCGAGATACCTCGGACTACGTCGACAAATTCGTCCTGGAGCTTTACTACGTCCTCCCCTACGTCGGCTTTCGGTGTTCCCTCGACGAGCTCCCTGTCAAACACTCTCGCCGAGCCTTCAATGGTGTCAACAAGCTGGTCATGGCGCCCCTCCACGTCTTTCCCCACCTTCGAATCTGGCTGGAATGGCTCCGTTAGCTCTTCGACGCCGTTCTCTTCCCCTCTGGAGTGGACATCCCCAGCACCGACGTCCAACCTGACCACGCTACCCAGCCTCTCGACGTCGAGCGTTACCTGGTGGAGTGATGCTAGTCCGACGACGTTTTTGAATCAGTCAACCACTTCTACGACATATCAGTCATCTGATCTTGGCGCGTCCTCTAACACATGGACAAATACTACGTCTTCGAAATTGCAACAATCGTCGTCAACCCAACTATCCACGACGGGGGATTTGATTACGGAGACGGATACGACATCGTCCTCGGTCTGGCCTTCCACTCCGCCTATGTTTTCGTCGTCTTCGAGCATGTCAACGTCATCCCAGACGATATCCCCACCAGTTGTCGTTCCGCCTCTCTTCCCCAGTACCACGGCGCCGACACCCGTGCCAGAGCTCCCGTCCCGGCCTCCCAACCTTCCAACTTTGTCGCCATCGCAGCCTGGTCTGCCGTCCCTCCCCAGCGCGCCATCGAATCTTCCTACTGATCTGCCTTCCTTCAATCTAACGGGTACACCGCCGGGTACACACTCAGGTACGCGGACTGCTATATCCGGCACCGAATCGGGCACACAATCGGGCACGCAAGCGGCCACGCAATCGGGCGCGCACTCGGGTACATCGACGGGTACGGGAACGACTTCTTCGTCCAGCGCCGTTTCAAGTGACCTTGCAAAGGACAAGAAGGAGATCACCGACGACATTGATAAGCTCTTGGAGGACCTCGACAATGATGAAGACGACGACGACAAGAAGCGCAATAAGATTTTAGAAAAGATTGACGAGCTCATTCCAAAGATCAAGGGTCTGAAGGACAAGCTTCCGCCGGTTCCTGACCCTCCCGGAGGCTGCAAAAAGGCACCGAGGCCTAAATGTGGCGTTCTTCAATTTCTCTGCGATATTGCCAAGTCGGTCGTCGAGCTCGCCGTCTGTATAGTCGACAACCTGTACAAGCTCCGGAAGAAGATCATGATTAAAGCCTTCGAGGAGATCTTTGACATCATTACCGACATAAAGTTCCAGAATCAGGGCTTGAACGATTGGGATGTGAGGAAATTTCCAAACGGAGTTCCTACGCCGCCAGTCCCTTCGCCGCCAGTACCAACCCCACCAGTAACTCCTTCGCCGCCAGTGACCCAGCCTCCAACAACACAGCCACCAAGTACAGGACCAAAATCAAGCGAACCCAACGGCTCCACAGGATCGGATGGCTCCACGGGATCGGAGGGCTCTACTGCATCAGGCTCGGGATGCCGCACCCCTTCCGTCGTTTATCAGACGTATGCATCGTGTCTGGATACCCCCGTAGCTACGCAACCCGCCGCTACTACTCGCAGCTGTACCACCCGCACGTCGACAATCACGGGCTGCAACATCAATGGCTTCCTGACCACGGTCTTCTCAACCGCCTCCTGCTCTGCGCGCACTGTGAGCGATTGCAATATCATCTGCACCGCAACCGTAACGACTACCGTTGGTGCTGGCTCGAAGCGGCAGGAGAATTCCGCCTGCAGCACAACCTGCGGTCCTCCAATCACCACGTGTGGCGGAAGTGCAACTACAAGCTCCTCTACAGTTACGACTACCAGCACGACTTCAGTACGCATATGCGCGCCGTCATGTACCGCTTGCGCCAGTCCTGAGCCAAGCTGGAGCGGCACTTTCTCTCTTTCTAACGGATGGTCCACCCCAGCTGAGACTGCCGCACCCACTGCTGCTACGCCGGCTAAACGTGGGCTCTCTAAGCGCGCTCTGCCCAGTCCGAATGATCCGCTTTATGGGGGGAACGCGGCTCTTTTCATAATCAATATTTGTGCCAATTACGCCCTTCGCCTTCCGCTCGGCTTGCCGCCTGATCCCCCAACGACTGGCCTGACGCAGCGTTTAAGCCGGACCCGTGGCAGTGTGGCGATAACCAACTTGTACGGCTGCACTGCGGTAGTGGTTGTATCTCGAAGACGATTCTGGCTTGCACATTTCTGGGAATCCTCCATGATCCCTGAGGACAGTTTTCACACCGACGTTCTCCAGCCGATGGAATTTGGTGGGGCTAACTCTCAAATTCCGCTTGGCCTTTCTCCGTTCGCTGAACGCGGTGAAGACCTCGGTCAAAATCCTAATAATAACGTCAGAGCCTTTATCATCACTCCTAAAAGCCGACGCGCGCCAGATGAGCTTGAGTATCCTGACCGGGTAAATTCGATGGCCGACCTCTTACGGAGGGTTATATTGCCATATGGAGACAAAACCTCCCATCGCCATATCGTCCCCGTTACGACCATCCCCTACGCTGTTCAGCCGGTAGAGTACCCAGATCCCCCATATGTGAAAGCCGATGGCAAGCTCGTGATCATCTACGATCCGGTTCAGGAGCTGATCCCGAGAGCTGGCGGCTGTGAAGAGCAGATCGCGGCCTTGGAGATATGGTTTGGAGCAAATAATCGACCACTTGATCGCGACACCTGGCCCGCTTTGTGGGACCAAAATCTATCGTACAATCAAAATGACCTACCGAAGCCAGATCACGGGTCTGGCTCACCCAGCGGAAGCTTTGACTCGGCCGCCTTGAACGAGACTGAACCAGAGCTCGAACCTGAAGTGCCATTCATACCACTTTGCAACTTCCAGTCGCCGAACAGTACTGAAGACCTTCCACCTGCGGTAAACGGTTCTGTGACGGCGAATTCCACCGACATGTGGCCTTCTCGCACCCGCGGCCCTTCGACAATGCCGACGCAATTGAGCTCAGCCTCTCAAGGCCTGTCGACTTTCATATCGCCGCCTCCGATGTTGACGACATATACGGCGACGGGTTCTGCCGTGAGGCCGTCGTCCGGCTCGACCGCCCAAGACCGGTCGACTTACATAGAGCCCCCTCCGACGATAAATACGTTTACGACTATCGTGAGATTGACGACTATCATCACGCTGCCTTTCCCATCTCTAGCACCTAGCACGATAACCAAAGTCATACCGGCACCTACTTCAACTACGCCGTAGAGGTTTACCACGACTTTTGCCGGACCCACAGTGACGCAGAGCGACGTAAATATGGTGTGCGTCAAGCCTCCATGCTCCATGTAGGCACAGGCTCTCGTTATACACAACTTGGTGGGGTTTTCGTCGTGGGCTCCAGCCGGGAGATCACCGCCGAGCTTCTGCCATCGACTTTCCATTCGCTCATTCCCTGTATCTGGTTCGTACTTCCTCATATTCTGAGTCTTGCTCTGGGATCGCAAGAATCAGTAAGTTGTGCCGCATTACCAGACCGAAGGCCTTGGGCATAATTGGTGCGACAGCGGGAGCTGTTGCAGGGAATGACACAGGATAGATAGACAGATAGACGGTTTAAAGCTCTAAAATTCATGTTCTTCAATTGCCAAATGGAAAAGAGCGTGCAGAAGATGTTGGTTACATGCTCGATCCCCCACTAGCCTTTCGAGAGTGTATTTCCGAACCCCACATCCCACTCAGGACGTATAGCATCGCTCGGGAACAACAACACAATCATCCATCTTTTGCAGCAGCTCGAAAGAGGCGTCATGGTATGGCATAGCACGGGTTATATGTGCAGGCGGGGAGATTGGAGGGGTTGGGGATTGACTGGCAAGGACTCCGGGATACGGTGGAGCGATTCAATGGCTTCGTGGCGATGGGGGTTGATGAGGATTTCTATCGCGGGCAACGACTATACGATCATTTCTTCGGGGAACCTCGGTACAAAGAAAATCCAAATCTAGGATCTATTACCAAGCCGCCATTTTATAGCGCGAGGCTTGTACCTGGAGATTTGCGCACGAAGGGCGGCGTGCTGATAGACGAGCATGCGAGGGCATTGAGGGGCTATATGCGGTGTGAAATTCGTCGGCAAGTGTGATGGGGAGGGAGTATATTGAGGCGGGAGTACGCTGGAGCCGGCGTTGGTGTTTGCGTTCGTAGGTGTGGACCACTTGCATGCTTCGGGGGAAGTTGGGGCAACAGAACAGGAAGCGTAAAGAGCTTGGTCTTGATCTTGGACTACATCTACCTCACAAAGTAGACCCTCATTCAAAGAACATGGGACGACTTGAATGTTCGAGACACAGGTACTCTGCGTTCGCCAGTGTGCAGGTCTTCGATATGCCGCTTCATGTTGTCGTGCCTTGTCATCGACTTTCCAGTTTCAACCGCCCACTTACAATTGTCCACGGGGCAATGGTAGCGCCTTCTTTCGGCCCGCAACTCGGGATGCCTAGCATTCACATGCCGATCCAGATCTTTCCTCTGTGCGAACCTTTGAGCGCAGCTCTCGACCTCGCATCTGAGGGGCTTTTCGTGGATCTTCCGAGAGTGCTTTCTGTTGCACTATTAGTGCGATGCCACAAGATACCTTGAATGCTTACCTCAGCTGACCCGAGGTGGCGAAGCTTCTCCTACAAAGGCCGCAGGCGTGAGATGTAGCACTCACGTCCCGAAACTCGCGGTTGGCATCAGATTGTGCTGGTGGGGAGCACAGTTCTAACACGCTCAACGATAATGGCGAACGGGGTAAGGAGAGCGTCGAGTTGCCCCACGCTAGTGGGAGGGGCAAAAAGGGGTCTGAGGGTGCATCGAAGTCGACCAGCTGTGTTCCTGTAAAGTCCGAAGGGCCTGCGAAACCCGCCTCGTACGGTATATTGCAGTACTCATCCCACCAGTCTTCTCCCTCAGGTAGGTTTAGTCCAAGATCAAGACCAAGTTCTTTCAATTGCGATCCATTGTGTGGAATGTTGGTATTAGAGCAACGATGACGTCAGAATCAGAATCTCCGGTACTCGCCCTCAAAGGACTGAGCACCGGAATAAAGGGATTAAAGCCTCGCGAGTTGGCAGGAGAGGAAATAGGATATGCTGAAGAACCTTTTGTCAGGTTGCGGAATAGCGGGGTATATGTATACGGCCGGCGTGTTTAGTGCAGGGGTAGGCCTCAAAGTGCAACGACCTGATTGGTCGACGTCACCAAGGTAGGCCTCACAATACGCTGGTGTGACCGACGGATGCTAAGAACCTTTAGGATATCTCAGCCGACTTCATGACTGGTTCCGACACATTTGCTTGGTAGGCCTCAAAATACCAGTTCGGGGTTGGCTCGCTACCTCGATTAGCTCGATTAGGCTACCTAGGGATGGTAGGCCTCAACATCGGGGGACGGCGAAGAGCCTTTTTATAAAGCCCTTATGTCGAACAACCCTCATGATCACCTCTTTGATCATCCGGTGCCATTATTCGCCATCCTCTTTCCATCATGTCTTCCATCTTCTGCTGCTCCAGCGTGCAGCCCTACAAGAACAAACGCCTCTCCCACGAGTCCAAATTCACGGCCTTCATGGCGTGGGCAGGTTTCCCCAAGGAAAGCGAAGCCAGCCTTCCGATGCCGCCCGACCAGCCTCATCATCGTACGCAGTCCAAGTCGTCAAACAAGTCAACTTCGGTCCTCTCGAGAGCAAGCGCTACTTTACCGCCAATGACTCTGTGTCCGGGGAAGATGGTTTCGTTGAGGTTGCTGAGCAGTGGCTCATTGATGGAAATTTCCAGAAGCTGAACACGTCAGTCATGCCATGTCATTCACTCCTTGATATGCTAATCTAGGATAGCTTCAAGAATTTCAAGTGTTCTGCCCACAACGAGTTCTTTGAAGTGAACGTTTACCAAAAGGATCCTCTAAATTCGCACCACTGGCGATCAGATGTGGCGCGACCAGCATCGCAGATTGACTTATAAGTGGCACAGGTCGATCACTTGTTCACCCGGGAATATCTCCCGAAGTCATGAAGGGCGACGGTTACACTGTTTGGGATATGTTTGGTTCTCATGACATGAGAAGGCTTCGAAGACGTCTTCGTTTCCTAGCCCCTATGACTGTTGCTCGTTGCGCAGTAAGGTCACGCATTCTGGAATCTCCTATTAATCATTTCTGCCTCGTGGATGGAGAGGTTTTTGCGTCCCAATTTAGTTGCTTGTATATTAGAACAAAGAGAACCCCATTGTAGTAGCACTGCCTCAATCCCCTACACATTACTACGTGATTCTTGTACACAATGCAATCATCGCCTATATAACATCCCTCGTGGAGCACATTATACTGAATTGCCTGCTTCTCCCATTCTTCTAGTGTGATCTTTCCCTCGAAGACCTTGGCAAGCGCAAGCACCTGTAAAGCCGCTTGGCTCGTACTGGAGCCGCTCTGGGGACGATAAAGCGCCAACGCATCACCCAGTAAGATCACCTTTCCGTCCGAGAAAACTCCTTTCGTTGGAGTCGAGTCCCGGACGGCAGACAGAAAAACCTCCTCAGTTTTCTCCATCAGTTCGATCAACATGGGCGCGCACGCCGCTCTACCTTCTTCCAGCTTCTGTGCCCATACTTTGGGCTGGACCTTCCCACGCGGAACCGTGCTGAAGTGCCTTCTTCCATCTCTATCGGTCATGGCTTCATGAAACTCAGACGAGTCCTCTGCTAAGTTGGTGTACCAGATCCAAATAATGTCGTGTGTTTTTGGGGTCTCGTCAGCGGAGCCAGCAAGGACATAGTATCTTTGACAGTCAATAACAACATTTTTCCAAGCTTGGACTCTGGAAGAGACTCACATTACAAAGTACCCATCCTCCACACGATGTATCGTGCACTTCTCGCGCAATCTTATTAGCGTTTCTTGTGACGCGTTTTTCTCAGGCAGTCTCCCTCGCCATGTAACATATCCGGCGTATCTTGGCGATACTTCTTGCAGAAGCTTCTTCTTGACCATGGAGTTGGCGCCATCAGCTCCGATAACAAGTTCAACCCGCATCACCTTCTCCCGCTGAGCTTCTAGATCTCGGTAGACCACTGTCATACTGTCCCCTTCATCCCGTATATCCGTAACATGTCGATGAGTCTCGTATGTCGCGCTGCGCTTCCCCGGTATAGCATCCAGCAAAATGCCCAAGCACAACCTGTACAGCGCGTACCAGGTAACAAGACGCATGGGGACAGACATTGGGATACATTTAACCACTTCGCCTTCTTTGCTTAGAACATCCACCGAGTTCGCAAAGATGCCGTAGTTTCCGGGCTCCTTAATATAACGCTTGACGAAGGCTTCAACCTCCAGACCAGCCTGCATACCCGCTGCTTGGCTTTGAAGCTCCTCCGGTGCGCTTCGCTCTAGGACATGAACTTCATGGCCCAAATCTCGTATCATTATAGCAGCCATGAGGCCGGTGAGAGAGCCTCCAACCTGGACAACCTCAGTAGGAGTAAGGGCTGTAGCCGCGGATGGGGCTTACTATAGCAACACGCTTCATACTGGCTACGACGACGGTGAGTTGTTTTAGGATAACAATGAGCTGGGAGAAGGGTTTAAAGTTAAGGAAGGGTCGAAAGTCGTCCGGAGATTCGGCCCCGTCTAAGATCCGTGACTACGCCGCACCTAGTCTTCTTTCATGATGACTATTTCAAAAGACTCCAACCAATCTTGCACGATGACCTCCCTGCAAGTTCGGGCGTCCCGCCCAAGTGCTTACATCACGCAATTGTCAGTGAGCTACTCCCGTACGAGACTTTTGCCTAAGATGAACCGCGGGATATTCTCCTCTTTTCTCTTTTTTTGCGAGGGACTGCGATCCAAATCCTTGGATTGGGCTTCGTAGTTTTGCGGGTGGGAAAGATTTGGTCACCTTAGGCGTTTCGTTGATATTAGCTCTGGCTAAGCCAATTTATGATCACTACTCGAACCGTGAGCAATCGTGACACGGTCGAACATCTGAGGCAATGGCCTTGTTTAACGTATTACTTTCTACTGGTGGCGACTGAATAATGGAGGAGACTTGTGATCGGTTATGGAGATTATCTAGGCTTACTACACAGAGAGATAAGCAGGTGCTCACTGTGAAAGGCTTTCCACGATAATCTCCAAGGTGTGCCAAAGTTGTAGAAAGATAAGGCACAAAGGGAGCAAATGCATGGGCATATAAATATAGAAATACTTGTGGACTGTAGACAACATTCACAGAACGCAGCGCGAGAAGAAAACATGTAAACATCGGGATGCTTCGTGCTCTATGATCATCGAACGCATCTACAAGGGAGAATGTCTATGGCAACAATTCCGCTACAATTTTAGGAATTAGTGATGCGGAAAAGCGAAGTGAAGGCTCTCCCGCTCCCCTTCTCTTTGTGAAACACCAACCCCAGCCTACCATTCTCCTACCGTTGCATTGTCATGCGCATAACAGCAACTACGCCACACTTTAGTCAATACGACCAAGACCTCTTAAGCCATCCCAAACAATGATCCGACTCACGAAAAGAGAAATTCTCGACCTCATTCTCCTTGTAATATCCATTTTTGAGGCGATCGTGCTTTCGCTCACATGGCGAACAGAGGATTATCAAAACCTTATCACCATACTTGCCAAATTTCTATCTATTCCTGTTACGGAACACCTCCTTCGTCGGGCGCCAGCTATAGCGATATCGCTAATCGCATTTTGTGCGGGACTTTACGCGATGAATGCAATGGCTATATTCGATCGCATCGAAGATGAGCACTATTTGAGATGGCGCACGATCATGCAGGTGCAGCAAGGCCCCCGAAGGACGAGGAGCATGCTCTTACGAGAAAATGAAACGCTTGATGCTGGGGTTGATCTTCGAGAAGTGGCGAGACGCAAAAGACTATTAGGCAGTGATCGATCACCGTCGTGGAGAAATGCACCGCTGAGAGCGCCCAAATGCATCCTTTCGTGACCAACGCCTATTCTCGAAGCGGTGGCTATAACCCAATGAGAACAATCTTTCTACGCGCTATATATGATCGTTTCGACTCAATTCGATGGGATGCACTCTATCCTTCATTTATCTCGCCGGCTGAATGCGGTAATATAGTTCGACATCGACAATAACAATATACCCCATCCGTGCGCCCGATCAAGTGCCGAACTTTTGCACTACCTTACCGCTATTAATAAATGGGTGAACGTCTTCCTGATTGTCCTAAGTCGGTCGAGATAGCTGCCTTCACGACTCTGCCAGTATGCGCCTTCTCGCCGCTCTACTGTGGGCAACCGCAGCCCAAGCCCACTGTAAGTCGCTTAAATCACTGGGCGTGCTCATCGATGCTGATCTGAACAAGACCGCTTCCCAAAACTCGTCATCAACGGCGAAGCGCAAGCTTCAGAATGGATGACCGTCCGTCAGACCAAGAACTTCCAAGACAACCACGGCGTGACTAGTGTCACGAGCCCCGACATGCGCTGCTTCCAAAATAAAGCTGGGTCCGGCACTGCCACGGTTGCAGCGGGTGATACTCTTGGTTTTGTCGCAGCTGCATCAATATCCCACTTCGGGCCAGTGCAGCTCTACATGGCGAAGGTGCCCGATAACGCGGATATCAATACTTGGGATCCTGCGGGCAACGTGTGGTTCAAGGCCGGGAGCATCAGCGCTGTGCAGGGCAATGGGGCGCTAACCAGCGACGAGAAGACGTGGCCGGCATACAGTACGTCGGCATACCCACACCCCATTATTAGGCTTACACTCACTTCTCGTTCGCAGAGAAGTCGACCGTAGAATTCCAGATTCCTAAGAATGTACCAAGCGGGAAGTACCTAGCCCGAGTGGAGAGTATTGCTCTTCACCAGGCGCAGAACGTCGGAGGCGCTCAGATCTACCTCTCCTGCGCTCAGATTGAGGTGACTGGTGGAGGAAACGGCAAGCCTGGGCCTTTAGTCGCGTTTCCAGGAGCATACCAGGCGAACGATCCAGGGCTGCTCTGGTCGTATTATCCGGTTGCCACCAGTTACAAGGCGCCCGGTCCTCCAGTTTGGACGGGGTGAGTGGCTTAAACGACACGTGACTTTTCCCCCGATCGGGTGAGAAACGAGACACGGTGCTGCGTACAACCCTATTAGGATTTAATCATAGAGAACCTTTCGGCTCAAGCTGCCCTCAAATTCCCTTCACCCCAAGATTTCCAAAGTTCTCACCTAAATAACTCCACAACACAACCAACGCCCGCCATCTCCCAACAGCTGCCTCCTCATCCGTTCCCCATTCGCGGTCCCGCTCCCCTCGCTCCGAGGCTATTAGCTTTCCTCCTATCCAAAATGATTCGGAGGTCAATTCTAAGAGTCTCACACATCATTCTTCGGTATTATCCACCACCTATCCTGGCGTGCCTCTTTCTCATGACCATCGTCGCACTATTACTCACGCAGCTCCGCGTGAGATACGAGGTACCAACCGTACGGGAAGCCCTAATCGTCGTCACCGCCCTCAGAATATATGTTGCGGTAGAGTGTCTTGTGACGGCATCCATTGCGTTTTTGGTGATTCACGACAAGCAACACGCGAATTGGATGCGAACCAAGCAAGCTCGACGAAAGCTGTTGACACGAGCAGAGCTCTTAAAAGAATGGGCAGCAGAAGTGGATATCAGCGGCTTTCACGCCCGGGCACCATCACGCAGCGACTTCGGAAAACTTATGCTTTTGGCCTTTTTGTGGACCTACTCGGTGTATGCGATGTTTACGCTGAGGTTTCGGCTGCCGTCAGAACATCGTGAAAGTGGTGACATCAACAGAATACTAATTAGGTGCAGAGAATTTCCTTCCAAGGAAGGCTGGTATGTAGTAAAGGCGCGGACTCACTGAATTGCCGCATCCTCCTTCCACAGAAGTCCATCTCTTCCACACGCCAATTAAGAGCGCACATGCCTCGAACCAGCAATCCCACTTACTACGATGCGGCTCGTACTAATTTCACCAAATTAGCGGGAGCCCTCGCAAGCCGCAAAATTCTTTAATCACCACAATTAATGCACACATCTGCTTTCAGTCTCTTCCCCATCGCTTGCGGTGCGAAGGTTCGCCTCAACCCCTCTGTCACCCTCAGCGTTCACTCAATAGCTCTAGAGTCTGTAGATTTAGGTTAAGATCAAGCAAATAAAAGCACAGTCGCGCAAGAAGCTTCAGGCATAGGGACTGTGCAACAACTAGAGGACTAGGGTCCTCGCGACGGAATGTGCGCGGAACTACCAGAAAGTGTTAGACAGTCCCAATAATATGTAGGGTGAGATGGTGAAGAGCTACAACGAAAGCTGGCGGAAGGCAATATAGGGACCTAACATACGCCCACGCGTAACTGAGACGGGGGAAGCTGGAATCTGGTACACCTAGCTTGGGTTTTCCGCGCGCACCTACAATAAGCTCAATCGCATTACACATGCTCGTACCACCCATTCCATCCGTCTCTTCAACATTAACTCCTCGTAATTATCACTCCCACCACTAGACCATATGTTCTTCCTGCTTCAGCCGAGGCTCCTCTTGTTGAGCTTCTTCAGGATCTTTTCCATCCACGCCCATGCTAAAGCCGTGATGAAAAGAATTGCAGCATCGAATCGGCGACCTACGCCACGGAAAACGGCGCTAATGCCTACGATGCCAGTGATGATGAGATAGCCGGTGCGTAAAACGGAAAGATGGGCGGATTAGGAGGGAGGCATTCCGGTTGTGTTCTTGGTAAGTCTGTTGGGTTAGTATAGGAAATAGAATGCTAGAATAAAGGATCACTCATAGATGAAATTGCTGGTGGATTAAAGAGCCTCTAGGGGGTGGTTCTCCCATATAAGCTTAGAAAGGGACCTGTTTGTTCTCTCAACGGCCTGAAAATGCTAGAAGAAACACACATGGTTCTCTCGATTGCTTGAAGTTGCCACAAACGCCGTCCAAGCATTAGCCATACGAAACCATAGTGCAATGAAGTCCGTCATCTGCGTAGCATTCTGTTCACAGGAAATCCGGTTGCTGAAGCTGACGCGATGAGCTTCAGCCTAGATTTGGCACTTCTCCATCCCAGTGACCTTCCTACACCATTGGCTTCGCCTCCTTCTTCATGGTCAGCCTCTCTGTATATCTCTGTTACCACTCTACGACGATAGTAGCACCCATCTTCATGTAGAGGTCACGTTGTCTGAATCCAGGAACTATGAATCCGAGAACCGATAATGACTAATGGTGCGGAGGTAAACAAATCGGAAACGGCTAGGAAGACGCCCTCCCCTTCGAAAGGCATTAGCGGTCCTGGAATGTGACATTAAGCATCTGAGTTGGTGTAGTGTCCCAAATGACGTTCCATGGATCGCGCAAACGTCACCACCCAAAACCGCTTTCAGAACCCACCACTCCGCACCGACACACGATCCTCGATCCTCAATCCTCAATCCTCAATCCACCTCCTCCAATTCGACACCCTCCGCCCGCCCTCCCGGACTCCTAGTCTTTCCCTCCTTCAGCAGCTCGATTATCTCGCCATCGCCATCGCCATCACCTCCCCTCCTTCTCCTAGCCTCTCGCTCTCGGACCTCCAGAGCCGCGATCCACCGTGTGGTCGCTTCCACCCTCGCTTCCATTTCCGCCACTAAGCGACGGAGATATCGTATGTGGAGTCGAATCCAGACGTACTCAACCACGTATGCAGCTGCTCCGGCCGCGCAAACAGTGATCGGGGAGAGCTTGACGGTTTTATGGCTGTGAAGGACTAAGAGCGAGAACGAGGCTGTGTACGCGATAGCCGGGGGATAGGGAGGTGGAACGCGCATGGTTGAATGCGAGTTGCTTGGTGATGGAGAGATTAGATGTCGTGGGACTTGAGCGTAGCGTGGAGGAATGGAAGTTGCGGCGTGTGAAGTGACGTTCCAAGGTTGCTACCTAGGTACGGACCGGGAAGTGGACGATGGGATGCAAGTTCCTTAAGCGAATAGACGTAGCAACTGCACCCTCATGTGCTTTCTCTGCTTCGTAGAAAGCATGAGTTCTTTCTTCGTCGATTCCCCTCGCCTGTCGACGCTTCTCCAGTTTTTTAATTCGTCGAAACCTGCTGCTCGTCTTCTCGCGCTCAGCCTACTGCACTCACTCTCCTTCACTTCAACCTATCTGCACAGCAACAACATTCCCTGGCTTACCTTCCCCGCCCCCGAACATATCCGCCCATCACCCTCCTCCACCTCTCCTAAAAATTTGCCAAATCCTATCTCAACATAATCATCAAAGATGGTTAGTTAGCGTGTAATGGGTTCTGTCGCGGGCAAGCTGACTATTATGCGGAACAAATCCCATCTTTCCATTGATTTAGGTTGTACAAGAACATCAAGCGGATTGGCTATTAAGTAGCGTCCTGTGACCATGTCAGTCCTGTGACCGCTTGTGCAGAATCGTGAAATTACCTTTTACCTTTTACCTTTTTTTTTGCCTTTGGATGGAGGGGAATTCAAATGCGCAGGCGTTAGTGCGCGAGTGAGCGGTTGTGGCGCTGGTGCCCGAGTGAAAGGTGAGGGGCTACCACGCACGGTCAGAGATCTGGGCAGTATTTTTTCCCTTTACCTTACTTCTGCTCACTTCGCGAACCCTTCCCCTTGCTCTTTTCTTCTTCCCTACTTACGCAGCCTCTCGCGCTTCGGTCCTCTAGCAACTGAACCTCTGCTCCCGCAGCCAAGCTTGTCCCGCAAACAGAGAGCAAACAAAAAAAATTCCGGACCAGAAAACCGCACCACCGGGTCGCGTTTGTTCAACCACAGGCACACCACAAGCAACTCACCCCATCAAAATGCCAACCGCTCTCCTACCACCTCTCGTCGCCCTCTCTTGTGTCGCCATCTCACTAAGCGCCACACTCGTCATCCTAAAACACCTAGATTCCGCGCGGAAACCCGGATTCTACGCCGTCCTCGGCGCCACCGGCTCTTTTGTCCTCGTTCTAGGCATCACGGGGTGCGCAGTGCGCTGGATGTTGGGGCCTCGGAATATGGTTTTTCGTGAAGATACAAATGACGAGGGGAAGGACGCCGGATCGGACAAGGATGGTGAGCCAAAGGCTTGGGACGTGGATCGAGAGGATACTGGAGATATTATTGAGCTTCCTGAGACGGGTGACGATGAGGAGTATGAGGATTTGCCAGGATCGGGCGAGGATAGAAGGAAGAAGAACACCAAGAAACAGAAGGGGATGGTGAAGTGGATCAAGGCGGTTGAGCAGATGAAGAGGAGGAGGGAGTTGTTTAATAAGAAGGATTGATGACGCTAAGGGTATTTGGTTTGAGGGGAAATGCATGACTGGAGGGTGTCGCGGTGTGATAGATGAGGTTATGCTCCAAGATAAATCATATTGATTGGAGCATTCCGAGTATTGAATGGAGTAGATATAACAAGACTGCATATTCACGCATTCCAATGGAGCGACCATGCTTCATACCCAGATAGATAAGGACTCTAGCTCTTTACCTTTTCGCCTCGCTCTCCCCCATCCCCGAGTGGAGAGCGCGTTCCTATCCCTTAGCCCTTCGCCATGCGGTCAACAGGTTAGCACGGTTTGCTCTTCTACTTATCATTATCTCAACTGCACCGCAACCGTCTCTACCCACAAATACTTACGCAGCAGTTCTTGTATGACAGCTCCCCACCACAGGACTTCGGATGCTTCGCCGGGCACGGGTGATCAACATGGACTTCCTGTACACACAAATCAGTGATCAGCCCTTGACTTGTATTCCGTTCTCTGGTGCTGCTGTGGACTGCCTTGAGGCAGGACGCAAAGGGAGATACGTACGACGCATTTATTGTAGTTGCAGCACGCGCGGTCGACGAGCGAGCGCTCTTGCAGCTGGTCGTTCGCCAATTCGGCAGGAGCTGCGTACGCGGCTGCGAAGAGTGCTATGAGGGTGGCAAGGGAGAAACGCATGCTGATCGAATAGATAGACCGGTCGGGTGTGTTACAGTTACACGGTGTGGATTACTCAAGCTTTTAAAAGACTTCAGCAGGCGTAAAAACGGTGCATATTTATACCTCTGGGCGGTGCGAGAGCTCAGTAACTATGTCGTTTCTCTTTGACGTACAAGCGTGTACACCAACCACGAGCCTTTCCCCAATCGCCGGCACCGCCGAACTATCAACATCAGATCCCAACGCTGACCGCCTAAGACATTCCTGCTGGTTTCAGTCACGCTGCACGACATTTCGAACCCCCTCCCACCCACCGCATCAGCTGCAACGATCCAACTCACCATCATGCCAAGATCTAACCCCAGAAATTTGGGATGCAGGAGGATAGTAAGGCCGGACGTTAAGAATGGATTTATTCTGCTGCAAGGCAACCCGCTAATCAGCTCAAACACCAAGGTTCACCGCGGAGTTACATCGGTCACGACCTGATGGTACGACTGCAAACTGCAATAAAAGCCGACTTATCCCACCAAATGAGTGAGGGCCTTCGTGCATGCGTACCGGAATAGAAAACGTCCAAGAGCGTTAAGGGACTGTCAGGCCCCCTAGTTCCGGCCACATCCAGACACGTTGTGACCGAGGCTGAAAAGCGATTGCGTAAAAACTAAGCTTTACAAACAAGCTCTTCAAGCTACTGCGGTCCGGTTCGTCCGTACTTGGCCCTGCAAGGTACTGCGAATGACGTTCTAGGGCTCACCGGAGGGGTTTTCTCAGATGCCGCTCCTATGAGGCCGCCAAGGTACCTGACGTGCGGGCCTTCAGCGTCAGTCGAGCAGAAATCGTTGATGATGCTATTCGGGTGGAAAGAAGATGCCGTGGTGGGCGGTGAGGTAGAGGCAAGGAAGGGCCAATGGGGGATATATAAGCCTCTTCGTCCTGTCAATGAATCAGTATCAACCATAACACACCAGCCCCCTTCAAATACTCACTAACCCCGCCTAAATCTTCCAAAATGCGTCCCTCAGTCCTCACCCTCGCCACCCTCCTCAGCGCTTCCTACGCCCTTCCCCAGGAAGAAGCCGAAATTCAATACACCCCACGCGACTATAGCGGCACGCTCGAAGACCGCGACCTGCTGGTCTCTCGTGCCTGCTGCAACTACAAAAAATGCACTGTAAGTAGCCACCCGTGTTTCCCTCACTCTTTGAAGGAGCCTACGTATGCTGACCGCTACTAGTACTTCGAGGACCGCCCAAATTTCCACTGCCCCAAGAAACACCCAAAAGAGTGCGGTGGGGATCTTAGTTCTATTATCTGCTGCGTAAGTGATTTCATCTGAGGCCCAAGGAGCCACTGGCGTTGGCTTCCAAGAGTTTGGGCTGACGAGAATAACAGAAGACGAAGAAGTGCTAGGTGGGCAACGATCCGAGACGTATTAGTGCGTGGAAGGGATAGGGAGCGATAATGATGCAAACGAGGACGTATATGAAGAATTGAGGGGACTGATAAGAGCCAACTAGACTATCGCGTAGATAGAATCGAGTCCATTCATTTTGAAGAATGGTGTGTTGAGGCGAAGTGACGGCACCCCAGCATTGTGTGGCAGAGGCGAAGCGAACCCTAGAAGCCATGTTAGGAAATGAGCCGAGCGTGACGCGAAATAACTACTATTATCGGCAGCCACAGATACAGACACGTCGGTCACCTACCATGAAGCGAGGCAGCGGTAACAAAAGAGCAATGGGGAAAAAGCCCACGTGAGCAAACCCTCACAGCTGTCCCAGGACTCCAAATGCTAACCCGAAGAGTTTCGGGTCATCGCTGCAAGCCAGAGGTTTCCTAAAATCAGACCGCGTGAGCTTTGGGTTGTTCAAGCTCGCACCACCAGATGGGTACCCCGATGCGGAGCTGCTGACATGCGTTTCCAATGTTGCACAGCGTGGACGGTAGATTGCTTACCCCCTGCCGATCTCACTGTTCGGGCTCTAGTACTTTGTAGGTGCGAATAAGGTGATGACAACAGTCAGAAACTGGCTGCAAACTTGCTGCTCGGCGTTAGTGGGGCAAGTCGCTCGTGAGACAGTAAGATGTCGGCGGATTTGTGTTAGCTAGAGAAATATCTCGCGACATTCTTGAGCGGCGCCAGGCTCGGAAATTGCAAATGCAGAGCTGATGTCAATTTTCTCGATATCTATTTTGTCTACAATGTCTTATAACTTCATATACGGACGTTAGCATCGACGGACGCTACACGCTCACCTCATAGCTTCCCTCTTCGGGACTCAACCGCTTCTCTGAGCTTCTTGATCACTTCACCCGGGTCAGCGGCGCCAAAGACAGCGCTACCTGCGACAATGACATTGGCGCCGGCATCTGCGGCCTGGTCGATAGTTTTCTCCGACAAGCCGCCGTCGACTTCAATGTGGAGGTCGGGATACTTGATGCGGAGCGCCGTAACCTTGGGTAATTCGGACGCCATGAACGATTGGCCGCCGAAGCCGGGCTCGACCGTCATGATGAGCACCATCTGCACGCCGTCAGTGTCCGGGTGTCTTCCGTTTATTGCTCCTACGGGAGGAGCCGGGAAACCAGCGGGTAGGTAGGTGATAGCATGACACGGGAAAATGGCGAATAGAAAGGGCCAATGAGAAGTCGCCATTTTCCGTGGCAAATTCTCGAAGGGGAAGCGGAAAACGGGAGCGACAGGGCATGGAGGTTGCAAAGGGTCGCACGCTTAAGCGCCGCCACATGGAGCCGCCCGCACCCCTACAGCCCTACGAGCCAAGCAGAGACGACCTGTTTCCAGGCCCATCCATGCCACGTTTTATTGATATAGCACGAGCACGCCACTATCGATAGAATAGACGACAGAATAGACGATAGTGTAGCGAGGGAGAATGCACTCACATCAGGCACTTCCTCCTTGACTGGATTCTCGAGAATTTCCCACAGCACGTCGACAGATGTCTTTGGCTTTATTGCGATGCCTGCCTGCATGCCTAGGCCATGTATGAAGCGAATCAGCTCTTTTGGCGAAGTTTTCTCGGTGGAGGTGGCCGAAGGCTCTTCGGCAGCGGTCGAGAAGGCGGCTTCATAGTGGAAGCAGTACAGATCGCAGCCGGCCTTCTTGAAGTCTCGAACCCATCGCTTGGGCTAGATGGGTAATCCGTTAGCTATGGGTGTCTTGAGTATATTGAAGGCGTCGTAGAGCGTAGGGGAAAAGCGGATAACGGGGTGATGGACAGGAAACGGGCGGCAAGGCAAAGGACGCGAGTGGGATGGGAGGCGAAGCCGCGCACCTCTGCGATCATCATGTGGCAGTCGAAGGTTCCGCGTCCGTACGCGCTAGAAGGGCGGTCGACGTGCGGGCGGATCTTGGTGACGACGGGGGCGCCGAAGGTCATGTTAGGCACGAAGTGGCCGTCCATGATGTCGACCTTGGACGCGTCAGTGGCACGGGCACGGGTTGCGCGCAATCGGCCGGGAAAGCAAGCGTACGTGCAGCCAGTCGGCGCCCTGGCCCATGGTACCAGAGCATGCCTTGCCCAGCTCTGCGAAGTCGGCGGACAGAATGGAGGGGGCGATGATTGCGGGGGGGGACATGGCGGGCGGCTCTGCTGCGAGGCGGGAAGGAGCGCGCAGAACTGGAGATGACGCACGGCGGGGCCAATGGCAGCGGGGGGGCAGCGGGGGGGGCAGTGGGCGGTGGAGATTGGGGATGTGACATGTCGCGATGGGTGCGTGGTGTTGAGCGCTGGTCGGCGTCCGGCGTCTCGCTGCCCCACCAGCCCCGCCTTGGCAACGGCAACCTCTTCCTCATCCTCCTTCTCATTCACCCATCCCCCGTTTCGACCGCCCTCTATCGCAGACGTCTCGCGTCAATGCCAGATGCTCTGATTCAAACCACCGACGGCATCTATTTCTGGCCTCGTGATCGAGGCACGCGCTAGCCTGGAATAGCCTGCTGTGGCTGGACGCAGCACCTGGGCAGCTGCTCGCCAGGCAAAGGCAACCTCCGCAGCCCTCCGCCGCAGCAGCCTCGCTCCCGTCACTTACAAAGTCTACCTGGACCGACGAACGCGACCTCGGGAGGTCTCTCCACCGAGCGTGGCTTATTGGCACGTCTGCTGTAGAACGCGGTGCGGCACAGCCATTGGCCACAGCCGCAGCACGCAAGCGCCCCGAAATAGCCAGCCGCGGCGCTTCGACGAGAAACACCCAATCCACCGCCGCCGCCATGGAGCGCCGGACTCCCAAATCGCGAACAGCTCAGGACCAGCCCATGCTCGCGAAGCCCACGGTCGTCCAGCAGCCAGCCAACCACAGGCGCCAACGGCCGGTCGCCATGTCGTGGCCGTCTTTGAGCCGCCAACGCCTCTCTACCCTGTACCGAGCGTTCCTTTCAATGGACAGCACAGCTTGCACTGCAGCCTCGACTGCCACGGCACAACTGGCTCGATAGGTAGGTCAGCGGGAAAGCGGCTACGCGCGATATATACTCGCAGCTCCCCGTTCCCGCGCCCACATCCCGCTGCCGTTTCTCTGCCATTCCCTTCTTGCTTCCCTCCCGAGTCTTCTCTGCTACGCCGCACGCTTCGTTGATCGAAGAGCCATTTTTACGAGTGGGCTGTTGACCAGTCCAGGGTTATTGCCCGTTAATACCGTCTTCCTTCTCCTGTTTATAGTTTTCTGCCCCCTCCGTCTCGCCAAATCCCCTGCTGCTCGGATTCCAAAGTACACTTTTCTTAATAATAGCACGCGCGAGGCGGTGCTCACCTCAGCCCAATATACCGACATGCCAGAAGTACACCCTTCTGCAGACTACCATCCTGCAGCCCTTGGCGCAGCCGAACACCCTCGATATGCCATGTCCCCGCTGGACGACGGACACTCTCTTAATATGCTCGATGACGACGGCACCATCCCGCGGTACTACTTCACCCCGAGATACTCGCCCACCTCCAGCTACCAGCCCAGCGCGGCCTCACCGAGAAGCTGTCAGGAGTACCCGCCGCCAAAGGAAGCACCGCCCAGCGTCATGAGGCCGTCGCCGCAGCCGTCGCCGAGACACTTGCATCCTGCATCCTCATCGCAGTATCGGATGAGCCGAGCCGATAGCGACTTCGACTCGCTGTACGATGTCACTGACGACGAAGCCGAGGTGCCGCTTCACGCCTCCAAGTCCGTCAAGGAGACTGCACACACAAGTCGGAATCGGTACCCATCGATAATCATCCCCTCACCATCCGCCTGGCCGACAATCGAAAAGCTCAAGAGTGCATTGTCAGCCGTCCCCCAGACGCCTTCCCAATTGCTCACGCCATCTCAACAAGCAATCTCATTAATTACCTCGCATAATCTTCGGGTGCCGGCGCGCTCGGCGGCACCTTCCCTCGATGGCAGCATGTCGTCGGAAGAAATGGATAAGCTAAGCTGCCCTTCGACCCCAGAGACCCAGAAACGTCAGTCGCAGACTAGCCTCGATTCCTGGTCACCAGTCCAGCTCGATTATCAGGCTCTGGAGACCCTACAACATCTTGGGCAGCCTTCTCGGGAGCCATCGCGGGAGCCATCACGAGAGCCGTCGCCGGTGCCTGGCGCCCCGCACGCCACCCAAATAAGAGGGGGAGAAATGCAACAAGTATCGCGACCATGGCTTGCTCTCCGTATCCCATCATCAGGCATCCACAATGGCTCTTCTGGAAACACGCCTCTCTCCGAACTCTCTATTCCATCCCCTGGCGGATTCTTCTCGTCTCTCCACTCAAGTGCCCGGCACACCTGGAGCATACCGAGGCGAGAAGAGTCTGTACCTAATACATCTACAGCTGAGAAGTTCTACCAGCTTCCATGGGGTGAAAGCCGGAGAAACACCATCGCAGAGCAAACAGTCACGCTAAACGGTTCAACCCTGGACGGCTTCGATGATCCCTTACCAACCTCGCGACCGGTGAATCTTAGGGACATTGATGAGACAATTGAGGTGAAGGAAATCAATCCCAGCAAGACTCTCTTTCAGTACAATGAAAACTACCACGTAGAGCTCCAGAAGATGTCTTCTGCGAACCTAGAGAGGACCGGTCATTGGCTGGAGGAACAAGAAGAACTGCAAGCTGCTCTGCGGGAGATGAACGACATGAGCTCCCCGAGTCTCTCAGGCGGTACGCACAGTCGAGGCAATTCAGTGGATAAGGTCGTCAAGAAATCTGTCAAATTTGCAGATGAGCCAAAGAAGTCGCCAACAGAAGAGGAGGATCCAAAGAAAACACTAACATATTTCCAAGGATTTGAGTATCTGCAAACGCGCAACCGAAAGATTGATGTGTTCATCCATCGGCAAACCAGGGCAGAGGCGATGCACGTCCATCGCAGATGCAATCCAAAATCTCACCAAGATCAGCTGCTCGGCAAATTCGAACTGACCAATCCGGTGCGGCCATCGCCGCCGCGACCTGTTTCCGAGTTTTACATGAACGATCCGACCGTGTTGAAAGAGCGCATCGCACGCGCTCAAATGGAACGACAAGCGCTTGACCAGATGCTACCAATTACCTGGGTCCTGCAAGCACTCAAGCAACTTAACGGCGGGAAGCTGCTCAGCAAGCCGGCCGGAGCTCGCATTCGGCGCACGAGTACTGCACACGTCCTGGATGTCGGCGGTATACCGACCAACGACTGGGCATGGCAGATCGCGTACGACTATCCATACACCGTCACCACCACGGTATACACGGCCGGCCGCAATCTCACCTCCAACGTTACTGGGCCAGACAATCACAAGCACATGACAGTTCCTAACCTTTGGACTCTACCCTTCCCCAATGGCCACTTCGATGTTGTCTCAGTACGCACACTGCATGAGCTTCTCAAGACCGACAAGCCCCTGGGTCGCTCAATGGATGAGTACGATCTCTGCCTCAAAGAGTGCTTCCGGTGCCTCAAGCCGGGCGGCATTCTTGAGTTCTCACTGCTCGATGCCGACATCATCCACGCAGGTAGCCAAGCCCAAGCCATGGGCGTCGAGTTTGGCTTCAATCTCAAAACACGAGGCTACGACGCCGCGCCCACGAAATCATTCGTTCCACGCCTCCGCAAAGCTGGCTTTAAGGATGTGCACAGGATGTGGATGGTTTTGCCGATGGGCAAGACGGCTGCTCACTGGAAGGACAGACTCCGCGTCGGTGCTGAGCCTAAGCAAGAGGAGAGGAGTATCAGCCCGGACGGTCAGGTGGATGTGACTGAAGCGCCGGTATTCGGTACAACAGTTGATGCTGCGATGATGACTGGTATCGTAGGGAGTTGGTATTGGGAGCGGTGGCTGCTGAGGTTGCAAATGGAGATGGGCAAGGAGGAGGATAGGTTTCTGGAGGGTGTCGTGCAGGTGTTGGAGGAGGGGGCAAGGGAAGGCTCGGGGTGGAGATATCTAACGGGTTATGCGAAGAAGAAGTCATGACATCACGTTGGTAGAATGGCGGGTTGAATAGGATCATCTGCATTGGCATGGTGTTGGGGCTTCGGCTGGCTGGCGTAGGGATAGCATAACATGGATCTCGGTTGGGATTGATATCACAATAGCTAATTCCTTTTGTCACAAATGAGAAATTGTATCAATCACTCTCTTCGCTTCATATTTGGAGTCCTCTCTTCGCTTCTAGCTAGCTATACTGTGAGAAGGCGCGGGGCGCCACGGCGACCTCTGGAAAGACAGCTCACGTGAAGAACGGCAAATCTTCGGCAATCGCGCCCTACGCTCGACGATCAACCTCGAGCTTCCCGCACGACGAAAGCACACTACAGCCCACCAACGCCACAAACCCTCAATCGTCACGACACCTTACCCATCTCACAATGCTCTTCTTCAGGTCTGTATCTTATATCACGCACTGCTCATCTCCGCACATCCTTTACAGCGTCAAACGTGCATAGCGCATGCTATATTCATCGTCATCCCACAAAGGCTCAGAGAGCAGTTGAGCGCTAACGCTTGCGGCAGCTTCTTCAAAACACTCGTAGACCATGAAATCACCGTCGAACTCAAGAACGAGGTCTGCATCCGCGGCACGCTGAAGAGCGTCGACCAATACCTGAATATCAAGCTGGATAATGCCGAGGCGACGGATGAGCTGAGATGGCCGCATCTGGTGCGCTTCCCCCAATATTCTCCCCATTTTCAAGACCTATGCGGGAGCCATAGGACTAGGGAGCGAAGGAGTGTGTAGGAGGCTAATAAGAGGGTAGTGCTCGACGCGCGACATGTTCATTCGAGGATCCGTCGTCCGATACGTACACCTACCCAGCGGCGCTGTGGATACGGCGCTATTGGAGGACGCGACGAGGAGAGAGGCGGAGGCGGCGAAGAACAAGGCGAAGTGAGGATAGTGTGGCGCCGGGATTGAATGAGCTATGACACCTCGCTTCCGCCGTGGATACCGGGGCCGTCAACCGGGAGAAGACGGGCAATTAGCTCCCTAGCATGAAGCTCCCACGCTCAGTGGGGAACGAATCAACAAACGAAGGAAAGACCGCGTTTGGATGGTTCAGAAGCGACGCGAAGGCGACCAGGTTCGGCAGAGAGCCTGAATATACCCCGCAGGAGAGGTTCGTTCTGGATTGCTTGAAGAATCCCAATATTTCACATCCGTGTTCCTTCTTCTCCTCAGCCCTAGGGCAGTAAAGCGCTGTCTCAGATCGCTTGTCGTGATGGCAGCTTGCGGTCTTGGTCTGAGACAGTACGCTGGCAGCTAACCGTCTTCAATTTCCCCCCTTCACGCCCGCGGGCTTCATCACTCATTCAACTAATTCAGGTTATGTTCGAAAATTCGTTCGCACCTTTCCCTACTCTTTACATCGGTTTTGCTCGTAAACCGCGCTCTCGCGGCCGTGCAACGGTGCAGGCTAGACTACAAACTCAACCCCGCCTTCAGCACTGCTCACCGGAGACCTCAGGCTTCTCATTACCCTTCTCGCTACACTCGATCGGTTTTGAGTCCGTCGAACGCCACAACCTCTCTCGCTCGGCTGCTTACTATTGTACTTCTAGCTCCCAGCATACACTGTCTCAGTCCCTTTCTGCTCGCAATCACCACTATTCGAAGCGCTGACTACGTGGGTAGTCTTACTACACCGCAACACTCACAGCGCCGTGATTGGTCCAGGTCGATTGCGCTGTGGCCTCGTGGTCGCCGTGCGCCTCCCTCTTCACGCCGACTCTCCACTCGTTTCCGCAACCCATATTCTTTTGCCCTATGATTGCCCCCTCTTCTTTACTCCTACTTTTTTTTTTCTCCTGGGCCTTATACTCCTCTTCTGTATCTCTCTCTTCTATTCCTTCTGGTTGCTATCAGCTTGAGAACGAGTTCTGCAGACCAACCGCAGAGTGATCTCGACGCTTCAAGCAGGGCAAACGCAATGGTTACTACCCTTACAGCACCATCAACGTTAATCACCAGCACTATTTGGAGAACAGCAGTGTCGACTGAGTGTTCCTCACCAACACCCCTACGTAAGTACTTTCCGCAAGATAAAGGCGGAGGGCCTCGCTAACGATGCGGGCACGAGCAACGACGCACGGGAGCCCGGGATACCAATTCCGCTCCCGAGCTCGCGCTCGATCCCAATCACAGCGACAACGCTTGTCACTTCTTGCGATAATTCGGTGATTCAATTGCAGCCTTCTGAAACGTCCGGCCGCTCAAACGATCCCTTAACGTCGGGTTCGAGCTGCGTGATTATCACACGGCAGTCTCCAATCGGCAGCACCTCGCCTTCTACTTCGTCCACGAGCAACCCGACTGCGCCCGCAACGACCTCAACCATCTACACCCGCATTTCTAATGCATCTAGCGCTACGCCTTCCACCCCTTCCTCGACTTCCTCCTCCACCCCCACGACCACAACATCGCTCCCCAGCCCGGGAACCGCGCAGCCCCTCGAGGCTCACCCAACGGAGAGGTCTAAAATGGTTGCCATCCCCGTCGCCTTGGTCGGCATGCTCCTAATCGTCGGTGGGCTTGCGTACTCTCTCCACAGGCGAAAGAAGCATCAGCGCACTAAGGGTGGTTCTATTAGAAAGAAGAAGAGGGAGTCGGGAATTGGGGAGGAGCATCAGGAGCCGGGCATGGGGAATAATGCGACGGTTGTAGCGAGACTGCCTGTGGCGGAGCTGCCGAGGGATAATAGGAAGTGGACGGATAGGGGGTATAGGGAGTACCGGAGCAGCAACGCCGGGAGGGCTTAGTTGGGAGAGGTGGATGGGTGAGGGGAGTGGGTTGGTTATGCTGAAAGATGATCAATTTGGTGTGGATGTCGAGAATATGTACGGGATAGAAACTGGCTGACTATCTATAGACTACCAGCAATGTTGTTCGTCAGTCGATCACCGCTCCCCAAGCGTAATAAGGAATCGGGTGCGGTTCCTTCTGTCCTTGTATGTATGAGTCAACTTCACTATTTATTTTCCGACTCATTTCAAGCTTTCGCACTCACTCCCAGCACTCATCCACCCCCTGCCTGTGCCTGCGCAATCCTCTATCCCATCCCTCCTCAACCTTCGCCGCAAACTCCGCGATCTCATCATCGAGACCGTACTCCAGTCTCCCTCAACATCCGCACCGCGGGGCCCCGCATCGTATAACCCTCCGCGCACCCCACTCCCCAACGTACTCCATAGCTCGCGCATCAAGCTGCCCATTTTAAAATCCGCATACTGCACTACGTCACCCGCACTCTAGCAAACAAACGCGCAACTTCGCAGCGAAACTTGCTCGCGCATACGCATTCTCCAATTCCACCACAAGTATGCGGTGAATATCATGGCAGGTAGTGAATGAGCACGAGCTCTAAGCCGACTGAGCTAAGCGTACGGCGGTGAGGAAACTTCGTCGGGCAAACCTCAGCTCTTGACGTCAGGCAAGCCGCGTTTGCGACCGGGTGCTACGGAAGCTACGGGTGGTATAAGAGGTGCGGGAGAGATAATGCTATGTGTTGCTATCATAACGCTGTTGATCGGGCGCACAGTATGTAACTTTTGGGCAAGACCTGCAGGCGACGACAACATGCAGTCCTCCGGGCCCAAAACCGCAAGTTCAGACAAAAACGTGGCTCACACGAGAGCAAACATAAACCATCCCAATAGCGTCAACAAAACTTCGACCTTCAGCTGCCCTTTTTAGGCGCGCTAAATCATACTCAGACTCCTCCGGACCGAGACGCCGGCCGCTTGCGTTAACTACAACTGCTTCGGAGCTCAAGTACGATTTCGCCACTACACTAGGACGCAAACACTCACTAACACTCAGACACTCAGATAACTATCCTCCAAAGTCTACTGGATCCCCGTTCCCGATTTCCCCCGCCGCGCCGGTCTGCAACAGTCGTCGGGTGACGGGGGCGAGCATCTCTGAAGCATGCGGCACTTCCACGCATTTTCGACTTTTTGCCGGCATGCGGCTGAAGTGTGGGGGCGTGGAGCCACCATGTTTTGATTGCCGGCATGGATGTGGATACCGTAGATTGAAACACTCGTTCCACTGCTCGAAGGCTGTGATTAAGCTTAAATTTAGGGCCTAGGATGATCGCCGGCGTTGCCTTTCCCTCGTGCGCCTGTGCGCGTTCGAGCCTTGGTGGAGTCCCCTACGTCACATTTTTTCCGCCACTGAGGTGGCATGTCGGCAATTATATCCAGGGCATATCGTTTGCTGGCAGCCTCCATCCATCGTCGCGTTGTTGACGAGTTAGGCGAAACCAAAGGAACCATGGTTGAGCGTATAAACACCCAACTACTGTACGATGAGATCATGTCGAGTATGGACAAGATGAGAGATGATAGCCCATATATATGAGCTGATAAGGCAAGTTTTAATTCAAGCCCCCTTTATCCATATTAACCCCGGATTCTAGCTCCTGCGCCTCGACGCAGTGAAGCGTGGGAACACCGAACGGTCACCGTCGGGCGTCGGACGAGGGGATGCAGAGCCTCAATATCCCTGAACGGGGCCATGAATGCCTGTGGAACATCCCAATGACCAGGCTATGGGTCACGGTACCGGTCGTCTTCTTTGAGTCGGTAGTGGGGCCTTGTTCAAAATCAGCACCACCTATGACAGCAGCGCAGGCTGTGAACAAGCGACACGAGAAATCGACAATATCGCTTCATATATTACTCTAACGGACTAAATGGGACTGCGCCTCTGTGTCACGGCCAGAACGGACGGCAATTGCCCGCGTGCCACTTGACTGCCCATAGCTGCCTTGCTACCTGGGGAGTACGTTCCACCCACTGTCGGCACATTGGGCTGGCCTATTCTACAGAATCTATCTGGCGATGGAACTTCATTTGTCTCCTTCGGGTCGTTAGAACACCCAAGTGGTGGGGCTTGACCCCCCCGGGACTGGTTAAAACTCGCCCTCTGGCAATCCGCAGGTGACTTCCCCATCCCAAGTCACCCCTGCCGCGTCGTTTCTCAGCATCTGTGTCTCGAACCTCCATGAGCGTGAGCTCATCATGGTAGTCTCACCGCAAAGCCACCTTGCCGGTGGCCGCAGCCAGGACTCTCTCGATGATGCAGAGAAGGGCATGTACGAGAGCACTCTGGAGTTGACGGCGCCTCCACCTTTCGTCTACATGGGCCCGAAGAGGGCAACGCACATCAACACCCAGCTGTTATCCCCTGCCTCACCAGTCCATGAAGGCATCACGCCGTTCTCCAGTGTGCCTGAACTGTCGCTGTCATGGCCGGCAGGGCGGCGGGCCACCGACGCCAACGTACTCGAGGCGACCGTCAAGAAACCAGCACCGCGAAAACCAAAAATCAGTCGATGGATCCTATTCGATCTTTGGTTCAACACGTACCGGAAGTTTTTCACGTTCGTTACCTTGCTCAACTTGACTGGAATCATCATGGCCGCACTGGGGCGGTTCCCTTACGCCGAGAACCACCTGGGCGCCTTGGTACTGGGCAACCTCCTCTGCGCAATTATGTTCCGAAACGAGTTGTGGATGCGTTTTCTGTACATGGTTGCCATATATGGCCTGCGAAGCGTACGTGCCCCTTCTCTTCACTAGTCATGGGACGATTGCTGACAAAGATTCATTAGTGGGCCCCAATGCGCGTCAAGTACGCAGCGACGTCTATTCTGCAGCATGTCGGAGGCATCCATTCGGGATGCGCTCTCTCCGGTGCTGCGTAAGGCAACCCTTCAATCCGGTGATGAACGGTACTGACAGAGTCTCTAGCTGGCTGGTGTTCAAGATCGTCGACATCATTCGTTATCGCGCCGTTCAAAACCCTGCTGTGATCGCCAGCGGCATAATCACAAACGTCTTTATTATCATTTCCGTCTTAAGTGCCTTTCCTTGGGTTCGCAAGTAAGTGGGTCCAATTTCTACATCGAACTTTAGATAACTAACGCCTCGATTAGCACGTATCATAACGTATTCGAAAAGCATCATCGGTTTATTGGATGGTTGGGCCTCGCAGTACGTACCCCTATCTCAATTTGCCACTGTGCCTGCGCTGACTTATACTAGACCACCTGGATATTCGTAGTTATGGGAAATGTTTACGACGTTAAACTTGGGCAATGGAGATCCGACACGCACGCCCTGCTCAGCGCGCAAGAGCTTTGGTTTGCCGTGTTTATGACAGTGTTGTACGTTGCTCTCCGCTTGTTCGGTAACTATTACTGATGATGCACAGTGTCCTCATCCCTTGGGTTACCCTTCGTGAGGTCCCTGTTGAGGTTGAAATCCCATCTCCCAAAGTTGCGGTTCTCCGTTTCGAGCGTGGCATGCAGCAGGGTCTCTTGGGAAGAATCAGCCGCACTTCAATCATGGAGTACCACGCCTTTGGGATCATTAGCGAGGGCCGGAAGGCTAGGCATCACTATATGATCTGCGGCGTTCAGGGTGACTTCACCAAGGATCTTGTTGCCAATCCACCCAAGACAGTGTGGACTAGGGAGCTGAAGTTCGGTACGTTGTCTCCCCCTATTCGCCGTCGTCATCCACTAACACACCATAGCTGGCGTGGGGCATGCCTCGGCAATGTTCAAGAGAGGCATTCGCGTCTGCACCGGAACCGGCATCGGGGCAGCGTTGTCCACGTGCATCCAGAGCCCGGACTGGTTCCTCATTTGGATAGGCTCTGATCAAGAGAGAACGTTTGGGCCGACGATTACGGGCCTGATCCATAAGCACATGGAACCCGAGAGGATGATCCTCTGGGACTCAAAGAAACGAGGAGGACGACCAGACACTATGGAACTTCTCAAGGATACCTGGACAAGATTTGGAGCCGAGGTCATCTTCATTACGTCCAACATGCAGGGAAATGATGAGATGATGCAAGGCTGCCGCGCAGCCGGGTTGCACGCATTCGGCACTCTATGGGACTTCTAACAACATACTTAGCATTGGCATCGTGGAGTTATCCTTTTATAGATAGTCATAGTAGAACTTGTATTCTAGATAGTATTGCAATGCTTATACATACACGTACACTATTTTCCTATCTAGGTTGGTGACTCAAACACGAGAGAAACCAGTCAATCAATCAATCACTATTCGACGAAGCGGGTTAGCCGGTGATACTAAGTTGTAGAAGCTGAAGCTTACTCAGCGCGCTAAACATTTAGTACTGTGGACCATGTTAAAGGAAATAGAAGCGTTGGCTCGCCAGGTTACATAGTGTTCGTGGTGGCGCACGGCAATCGAAAATAAAGAGCGAGCGGTAACTTCACACTCAGCAAGCTGCCACTAAACCCCACAAAAAGTCGTTGGAAGAAGTGAAGACAATGCCATGCCTAGGCGCCGCCCCTTACGAACCTGGTGTACGGAGTAGAATACGATAGCGGCAGGGGATACGACCAACGGCTTCGCGCGTGGCTTTACAGGAAATCTCCCCTCTCGGCTCTAGTGTTGTCGTCTCTTGATCATGCGGGCAAGCTCGTCGTTTCGTCGTCGTTCGCTGTCAATGTCGTAGTGGAGAATAGTTCGTACCTCTGGAGCCGTTTGCCGTGCACTTGGAGCCAAATCTCTCCCCAAGCCCCTGATAGACCGGAACACATCCTGTAGGACACATCGGCATCCTCATCCAGGGGACCAGCGCAATGCAATGCGAGAAATCACCATGTTCGGAAGATAAACGACGATACCTCCGTAGAACCTATTCTTAGCATACACGCGACCAGGCCCAAGCTCGGCTCGGTGCCGACGCCGTTCACGCACACACAGACAGGCCCCGGAAATATCGGCAGGAACACGCCTCAGGCTAGGAAAAGCGTCTTTTCGTTCGGCGGATCATCGTCAGCAAAGGAAAAGTCGGTCGGCTGGTGGTGGCATCAGCAGATCCACAACCTACCCGCTTGTACCACACAACTCGGTACCTCTTCATTAGCCCCCTGGCCCCCGTATTCCAGCAGCGCCAGCCAGCCCGTTTGAGGCAGCTCGGCTGGAACCCTCGTCGAGCCACGATCCCGAAGCAGTTTAGCCGCCGGCATTGAGCCGTCTGATTGGCGGCGAGGAGCAGCCTTCAATCTTTCCAATTCTATGGCTGCAGTCTCCCTAAGCTTAATTTATGTTCGTGTTCGTTTTTGTTGTTGACTGAGCGCAGGCAGGCCGGACGGCAGAGAAATAAGGCGACGAGCTGGCAAGGAGATTGCAATGCGGTGAACACATCCCCCCTCCCCTCCCCTCCCATATAAGGGGCGATACGTATCCCGTCAAAAATGGATTCTGCAGCGGATTCTTCTGCCCAGCACTCGTTACACACAGGTAGAAGAAAAAAGGTCCGTTTTAATTATAATACTAGTTAATCTTTAATTCCTTTTCTTGGCTTTTTGGGGTATCATTGCCAATAGCCATGCGCCTCTCGTTTTCTCTCGCGGCTCTGCTCGCTGTCGAAGGCGTGTCTGCTGTCGCTCTTCCACCCCGTGCTGTCGCTCCAGCCCTACCACTCACGGCTTTCAACACCTCGCGCCCTAACAAATTCACCATCGAAGATGTGCTCAACGCGCCCGCTGTTACTCCGCCCACTCGCGAACCCACGATGAACTTGATGGCCGCCGCGGCCACGTGCGCGAACCCGCGCGTCCGGATGGAATGGGACTCGATGAACAACAACGATCGCCAGTCTTTCGTAAACGCCGTCAAATGCCTGATAGGCAAGCCGGCCTCGGGCCAGTTCTCCGCGGCCAGGAATCGCTACGAGGATCTCGTTGCGCTGCACCAGACGCTCACCGTGAACGTGCACAACAACTCCAAGTTCTTGATCTGGCACCGATACCTCCTGTGGACGTTTGAGGACATCCTGCGCTCTGAGTGCGGCTTCACTGGCCCATTGCCTTGGTTTGACGAGACCCGCTATCCAGGCCGCTTCTCGCAGTCGTCCATTTTCTCGAGCTCATGGTTCGGTGGGATTGCGCTTGGTGGACGGTGTGTAACAGACGGGGTGCGTATATATCCTCCTCTTCTTTGGCAATCCACTCCTGAGAACAATCCACTAACATGCCCATCCCAGCAATTCGCCGGTCTCACACTAAACATCGGCCCCGGCTCCGGCAACACCGCGCACTGCCTCGCCCGCAACGGCGACGCCAGCCAGACGCAGAACTGCAACTCCGCCCTGCTCAACGCCATCAACGCACGCACGGACTACGCCGACATGGCCTACTACGCCGAAGGCGGCCTGCACGCCTGGGCCCACAACGGCATTGGCGCCGTCATGGCCGACGTGTATGCGTCGCCCGGCGACCCAGTCTTCTGGCTGCACCACGCCTTCATCGATCGCAACTACCGTATCTGGCAGAATGCGGACGCAGCGCGCGTTACGTACATCGACGGGACGGATCGGGTGGGGAATCCGCTGACGCTGGACACGGTGGTATCGGTAAATGGGCTGAGGCCTAATGTAAAGGTTAGGGACATTATTAATACCTTGGATGGGAAGTTGTGCTACAAGTACAACTACTAGTGCGGGAGTGTGCGTTCGTGTATATATCCCCGCGGTCATGCTGTCGAGCGATCGCTTCGATGTGGTATATTTTAATGAAACCCAAAACTTACGTATTAATGTGAAAGACACAAGTGACGTTACCTTGACCTGTTGCGGACTCGCCTTGCTCCGGAATTTCCAATTACAGACATCTTTTGCACGGATTGGGTTGTGGGGAATGCGCTCAGTGGAAGTCGGCTAGACAACCAAGAGAGGTTGTACGCGGCGCAACCCCATCCGTCATGCTCGGCGCTATGAAGACCAGCCGGCCCTGAAGAGAGCGAAAGGTGTAGAACTATGCTGCATAGAAGTGGGCGGCTCAAGTCAGGAGAATGGTTCGCCGGGCGGGGTGGTGTAGACGTTCAGTTCTCGTTCGGGGCTGGTGGCTGGTTGAGCTTACTAAGGTTGCGCCACAGACGCAAACTTACGTAAGCACGGTCCCTGAGGCTTCACCAGCCAACATAGACAGATGGCCGCACTTCAGTGCGTCAATTCGAGACATGGAAATCTAAAACCCGCAAACGAACTCGCTCATATAATACACTCCCTCCCCACCGCACCTCCTCACGTATGCCCCTGTACCTCCCCCTGAATCACCATCCCCCAAAGCCTCCCCCTCCTCCCCATCAACTCATCCCACCTGCCCTCCTCGACAATAGCACCCCTCTCAGCCACAAAAATTCGGTCTGCATCCCGCATAGCCTCAACTTGATGCGTCACACTTACGATCGTCAGCCCTTCCCTTTCCAGCCTGACTCTGTCCAGCGCATCCCGCACAGCTTTCTCGCTCTCTGGATCAAGCGCGCTCGTGGCTTCGTCGAGCAGAAGGATGTCTGGATTGCGGATGAGACATCGAGCGAGAGCGAGACGTTGGCGTTGACCACCTGAGAGAGCCACACCGCGGGCACCGATGTCGGTGGCGTAGGATTGCGGGAGGGAGGCGATGAATTCGTGAATGTTAGCTTGGCGGCATGCAGTTTCGACGCGGGATTGGAGCTCTGAGGGATGGATCTTGCTTTCGTCGATCCCGAGGAGGATGTTGTCCTTGATCGTGCCTTGGTAGAGGATAGTGTCTTGCGCCATGAGGCCCATCATCCCGCGCAGTTTGTTAATATCCCATTCGGTGATTGAACGGCCGTATAGGTATATCTCGCCCGAATCGTAGGCATTTTGGTCCTCGGTTTGGGTTTGCAGGTCGTAGAAGCGTTCAAGGAGAGCGACAAGAGTCGATTTACCGCACCCGCTTGGTCCCACGACGCAGACATGCGAGCCGCGTGAGACGGATAGAGATATACCCCGAAGAACGGGGACTGTGGGCCGTGACGGGTACCGGAAGTGGACGTCACGGAACTCTATTGTTGGAACATCTGCCGTTATCTGGGCCTGTGCAGGATCGAGCCCGGTTGACGAGTTGATGGTGGGTTTGGTGTGCGTCAGATACAATATGCGATTTAGAGCTGCGTGTGACTTGTTGATGCCTAATCGAGCTGTTAACGTAGGATTAGATAGAGCAAGAATATGGTACTCACTAGTCGTGAAGCCAAATATAAATCCTGACGACTGTCCTCCGAAAAGGATTGCCGCGAAGATGAGAAAGTACTGCGCAGACGACATTTCGCCAAACGACACAAGCCGTCCGCCGTACCAGAATACTAGACCACATACTTCAATCAAGGTTAGAGCCTACAATTTTTCCCGACATATCGTGCGGTGTCTTACCAGCAAGCCCGAGAGTATCTCCCGAGGTGTAAAACGCCATCTCTACCAGCATCCTCCGAAGCGTTCTAGCAGAAGCGCTCTCCAGCTTCTCATGATACATGTTCTCCACCTTTCCCTCCATGGTCAGGCTCGACACTGTCCTGATCGCGGAAATCGCCTCAGTGCTGTACCTAGCGCTCTCGAGGAATGCAGCAGCGCATCGGTCCTGAGCTCCCAGATCAAGCCTCATCCGCGCGAAACCGGAACCCAGCAAGACCGGAATACATCCAAAGACGGAAACGAGGCCGAGCTTCCAGCCTACCGCAATGGATAGGATGCAGCATGCGACAAGGGTCACTATCATCGAGATAAGTAGTCCCGAATTCATCGCAAAGAGCAGGTACATGCTGTCGCCGTCACCTCGTAAGAGTGTCGTGAGTCCTCCGGCAGTGTTCGCCTTGTGCTGGAAGAAGACAACATCCTGGCCGAGCATGGACCTGAGATAGGAGTGCCAATAGATTGTCCCAAACTTGGACGCGACGATCCCCATGACGGAGAACAGCACAAGATAGCAGACAAAGCTGGAAATTCCGAGAATGAAGAACATGAGGGCCCAGAAGTTGCCCCGGCGGATTAGCTCGTCCCCTTGAGCTTCGAAGATGGTGACGAACCGAGAGAATAAGACGGCTTGGAGTGGAAAAGCAGCCCCGACAGCAATGGCAGCGACCAGACCGATAAAGCTGGGCCAGATAAGTCCTGGGTGCTCTGCATACAGTTGATAGATGCACCATAAGAGCCTTCGCTTACGGCTGATTACCGGTGACTCCAGAGAAGAGCTTGTATCTTCCAAAGGCGCAATTGCACCCTTAGTCGATCGGCGGGTCAGCCTTCGCGATACAGTCCGAGAGACATCCTCAGTCTGTTCCACGAAGACGTCCTTTTCGGAAGAGTGGCCGCTAGAGCCGCCCTGTGCAAGCAATAAGTTGCAGTAGTGGCCTCCTAATGCGAGAAGCTGAGCATGCGTCCCTTGCTCGACTATGACGCCCTTCTCCAGGACGACGATATTATCGGCGTTCACGACTGTTGAAAGCTTATGAGCGATCATGACGGTCGTCCGGCCTCGGGAAGCTTTCTCCAACGCCGCCGAGACCGCTCTTTCTGATTCTGAATCCAGCGCAGAAGTTGCTTCATCAAGGAGAAGGATCTTCGGGTTCGAGACGATGCTGCGCGCAATAGCGATTCGTTGCTTTTGGCCACCGCTAAGCATTCCGGCTCGCTCTCCCGCAGGGGTGTCATAGCCCTGAGGCAGCTGTTCGATGAAATCGTGAGCATTGGCCTGTTTGCAGGCATCAATCACAATCTCCCGCTTCTTCTCTTCCGATAGCTGCTCGTACTCGGGTCCGCGCAGGCCGTTGAGTACGTTGCGATAAATAGTATCGTTGAAGAGCATCGGCTCCTAGACACTTGTTAATGATGGTCGGGAAACCACTGGGCATCGCGGCTCACCTGTTGAACGAGACCAACCTGCATTCTCCACCATGTGAGATCAAGCTCGTTGATATTCTGCGCGTCTACCAGAATCGTGCCCTCGTGGACAGTATACCATTTTTCCTGCTGTGCGTTAGTATCTGCCATAAGCAAAGCGCATAGATGTGAGGCAGCATCATTGAGTTTGACGCCTAGAAATAGGTGTAATAGAGCACAGTAGCTCGCTCCAACTGAGACAAGATCCGGATTATCCCAACGGAGGTGGCAAAGTAACACGGGTCGCAAATCAAGCGCGGCATGAAACTTACCAGGAGGCCAACAATGGTGCTTTTCCCGCTTCCACTGCTCCCCACAATTGCAGTTACTTTATTTGCGGGAATATGCAGGCTCAGCCTGTTGAGAACGGTAACCGTAGGCCTTTCAGGATAAGAAAATGATACATCCTTCACCTCCAGCTCGCCCCGGAGATGGCGAATCTCTTGACCAGAGCGCGTAGCTTCCGATGCGACCTTGTTTTTCGGATCCCCGATCCTTTTGATAATTTGCTTTGACGCAGCGGTGGCTTTGGTGAAATCGGGTATGACGGGAGCGATGAATCCCATGGAACCGCTCGCGAGGACGATGCAGAATAGGACGGTCGTAACAGCGCCGCCGCTGATCTGGCCTCGGTTCCTAAAGTAGCGGTACAATTAGCAGATAGATGTTCGATGTGCGTACTCTGCGCTTCGCTTACACAAGTTTGACCCCGTAGAAAAGTGCTAGAGCGTAGCCGCTATAGGTAGAGAGGAACACTAGGCTGTTAGTGTGTAGATGATGCTCCCGCTAAAACAACTTACTGTCTCCATAGATGGCCGCGTTCAGCGGACCAATGCGCTTAGATAGCTGCATTGCCCTTTTGATATGGACGTCGAAACGGCGAACAAGCTTCTCAGCAGCTCCCATAGCGGTAACATTGAGTATACTACTTAGCGCTTCTTCGGCGACTCCATCAGCTTGCCCGACCATTTGGTTTACCTTAGCTTCGATCTTGGCGCTCATACCGCCGAAGACGGCAGTCATGACTATCATGTAGGGGACTATGACTATTGTGACGAGGGTGAGCTTCCAGTTCCTTGTAAAGGCGATGATGAAAGCACACATCATCATGGAAAATGCCTGGAAGACGATGCCGACCTTCTCCGCGAGCGCCACCTGGACGACATTCGTGTCGTTTGCGAGACTAGAAGCGATGGTACCTGGAGCATTCGTGTCGAAATATGAGACAGGTTGGTGGAGAACCTTGCGGAGATATTGTAATCGGATTTTCCTGGTCATTCTCGAAGCCGTATAGTTGAAGAGGACACCGGCGATATACACGCACTGCAAGGGTTAGTTTGTCATTGAGCAGACTCAAGAGAGACTTACGGCAGACTTGCCGAGGAACAGGTAAACGAAATATAGACCGTATTGGTTCATCTCTGACCTGAACTTCTCTGGTGTCACTGGTGGGTTCCCATTGAAAACGTTGACAAGGTTGCCGAAGACGATGGCCATGACGGGCTCAGCGGTTCCAGCGCCGGCGGCGGACAGGCTGGCCAAAATGCGAAGGAACACATCCCAGCGAGTTGCGAAAGACCACAGCTTGAGATAGGCGCTTGCTGGAGAGATAGCCGGTATCTGTTGTGAGTCTTCCGCCTTCTTCTCAGAATTGGCAGCGTTGTTCTCGATGCTCTCCTTCGCCTTCTTCTTTGAAGATCGCTTTCCCATGGTGTTGTAGATGTAGTCAGGTGACTAGACCCGATCCCTTGCAACCTCGGTAGAGTCGAAAGGAGGAAGATAAAGGAAACGCGGAGACGGCTATATACTCAACAACAGTATGGTAGCATCAGATATCGCCGTCTTGCGTATGCCGATCGGCATATACGTTTAGGCAACACTCCCTTCGACTTTTTTATTTGAGCATGACGTGGAAGTTGCAGCGGTGGGGAGACGTCGCAGCTGAAGTTGAAAGAGCGGCTGCAGCCACAAGGCGTGACCGTTGCGGTGCAAAAGCGCCATACGAGAAACGCGAGGCGTGGCTTCTTGGCTGCCGAATGATGCCTCAGTGAATGCATCACCGCGAAGGACCGACGGCCGTAGAACGCGTGGCCCGAGAATGAAACGGGGGATCTGGCATACTCGTCCCGGCCGGAAGGCATCAGCATGCAGTATTGCAGGTGCGAGTTCGTGCAACGCGGAGAAGGCGAGGCGCGGTGCAGAAGTCAGAGATGGGATGATGTGCCCAGGTTGGCGGCGATACGGGCGATGGGTCTAGCCGCGCCGCCACGTGGGCAACCTGCCGCAACGGGTAATTTTCGCACAGCCGTCGAGATATGCATCAGAGGCTGTCGCAGGCGCTAATTTTACTCTTCTCTCCTTCCAACGAGTCACTAGTAGTGCTGGCACCGCTATCCACCCGGTGACCCCTCCGTCCCACCAACTAGAATGCGGAGATGCCTTAGCGAGCACCAACAATGGTTAGGAATAATTTTGGCGCAAGTCTCATGGAGGGAGCTCATCACAGGCACGCCCAAACTTCCTCATGCATGTCCGACGAAAAGTGTAGGATAGGCACAGCATCTGAATGTCCAGTGGCAAATTCACTGCCTAAAGTCAACTGCATTGCGAGATCCATTCATCCATTATCACATCCTATCACACACCTTTCATCCTCTCAAAGACCCTTTGTCCGATAAGACTACATGTATACATCAACTATCTACTATTTCTCATCCCCCGTATCATGAATCTTGTTCGGTAGCGCCCTCTCCACCTTCTCAGGGACAGCCTTCTGCAGACCCTTCGGGACTATCGACGCATCGCCGCCATCCTTGGCGTGTGTCTGGCGGCCGGTGCCGGAGCCAGTGTCGTGAATCTTGTCAGCAAGTCAGCATACCGCCCAGGATACCCAGCACACGGTGAGTATGATCGTGGTGGAGACGGAATGAGAGAGGGCAAAGTGGCGGCGTACCGTGTTCGGCAGATCCTCTTCGAGGCCCTGAGGGACCTTCTGCTGAGCTTTCTCGGGGACCTTGGAGCCGCCGGTTGCGTGGGAGACGCCTTGGCCGCGTTCGTTCTGCATGGTTGATGAGGTGTTTGCTGTTCGTAGAGGGTTTGAAAGGGTGGATGAACGTTGTAGATGTAGTTGAATGCTTTGATGAAGAAGATCCTTTAAGAATGGCGATTCCGTGAGACTTTATACACCTCTTAAGCCCCATTATGAAACCTTGCGTCACTCCCACATGTTCATATTCGTCCGCACCTCACATGCTACGTATGCTGCGCAGGTGCATGGACCCAACGTCACGTCGACCACTGCCACAGGCGAATGCGAGATCCTCTCAGACTCCCCGGCCGGCACCGGAGAGGCTTTGGCCGATATACATGTGTCACGTTGACTCCGTACCCAGTGGACTCTGACGCGTCGATTAGGGGAGAGTGCGACTGGCGTCATAGATGTTAAGAAGCGGCTCACTTTTTAGTCCGTCTTGACATACGTATTTTGTGAGATGGCCTTCCAAGGAAAGTAGCGTGGCTGCACCACTGGCGAACGCGATGTTTCGCAAATACCCAAGCCGTGAGATCTCCAAGGTGGTCCATGACGAGCATATATTCACGCTTGGTGATGCGGTTAGACCGGTTCGAGTAACGCGTCAGCACGCTCCTCGGAAGCGCCCGCGATGAACGAGACACGGCTTGATGCGGAATTGCGGAGTAAAAGGAAATGGAAGAAGTTGGCAGTATTGAAAGAAATAAAGAGAAGTATATTATTGAGGCGACCATAGCTCGCAATCTTAAGAATCGTTAGGAAAAAGGAAGCGCGGAGATGGATCGAGGACCACCGCTTTTGAACGCCCAGCAATGCAAAGCAATGGGCGTTGCTAAGTTGAAAGAGAAATAGTCGACCGCAAGGCACTTTCGCTGTCCCTTACGCTTCGTCCTCATAGATGCAGATTCGTATCCGTCTCTCCATGTGCCCGCGTCCTCGGCGAAGGCAGATGCGTAAGCTCCAGACTACGATGCCTCGCGGCAAGCGCTGCAGGCGTGCCATAAATCCCCAGATTATCCGGGTACTGCTGAAGCGGCACCGGCGAAACCACATCACTCGACCTCCGATCCGGAGAAACCACCGTGTCACCTCGCATCGGTTCAGACGCTTCGGGAGCAGGAGACAGCGACCTCGGCGACGGAAACGGCTCCGGATGCTCCGCCAGCACTTTATCCCCTGCGTTTGTATCTGTGTCCCCAAGCGCTTTATATCTCGCTTTGCGGCGGCGGTGGATGAAGCAGAAAGCCGCGAGAGCGAAGAGGACGGCTGCTCCGATGAATGCGCCTATGCCGATGCCCACTCTGACCGCTGTGGAGATGTCCCTTTCAGCGTCGATGTTCTTTGTGTAGCCGTTTGTGGCGCCTGGGAGGGAAGGGGGCGGTGTTCGGTCGGGTCTAACAACGACAGACTGGTCGGACGCGGTGGTTAAGGGAGTGAAGATGGCGGTTACGGGGATAGTAGTATTGGGTGCGGCGCGTTCGGTGCTGCTAAGTGTTTCGTTTAACAGGTCTCCGCAGTCTCCTACATCAGTGTTCTAGTACTTGGTGGGTCAGCCCCCATAAGTTCGCATGCGGAGTGAGGTAGTCCACATACCTTCTCGCAGCAGAAAGCCACATTCTTGCTATCATACGCGCAGTAGAACCCATCATAACAGCTTGCCGCAGACTTCGAAGACCGGGTCGTATCCATGCTCGGATGTATTCGCGGGTTGATACCCCCACGAGAATTCTTGAGCAGCCGCTATTGAAGCCGAAGACGAACGCGAGTAGTGACGAACGAAACATCATGGAGAATTAGACCTACGGTAGAGTTGAACTAGCAGAGCGCGACAGAGAGGGCAGGAATTGGTGTGGGATGTCGAGAGGCATTCAACAAGCACACCCCGATTCCGGCTTGTCATGCTGGTTTCTCGACAGCTGGACCCAGCGATCGGCCACAGAAGGATTTTATGACGGCGGTAGGCCTGACCTGCGACGGCCATCTTGGCGTGCTGTGAGTCGGACACGGCGAGGGTGGCAGACGTACTGCCTCTTAGCGGACGGTAAGGCGATCGATGTTGGAATCCCGCCGTGAGGGATGAAAGGAAGCAAGGCTCGTGAGTCGGGGAGAAGCAACAGAGAAGGTGAGTCGGGGCCGACCGCGCACAGACCCCTTCCTGCCAGGCATCTAAGCATCGCTAAGTTGTAAGCTCCAAGCAATGCCTCTGTGGCAGGGCTGTGACTGTCGCAAATACCCTTTTACCTCAGAACTGAGAAGGGAATCGTCTACACGTCCAAGGTATCGGAACAAGTGATAAAATCAATACACATACCTAGGTAGCGAGCACCTCCAGCGAGCACCTCACACCGTCCTCGTAACCTTCACCCCCGTCTTCTCCGCAACATCATACACAGCGCCCATGACCCTCTCCACATCCTTACTCTTAATCGGTATCCTATGCGCCCCCTCCCACTCAATCAGCGTCGTACTCCCCTCCTCACAATATTCATCCAACAGCTTCCTGTGAAGATGCAGCCCCGCGTCCGCCATCCCATGCACATGCACTGTCGGCTTCCTCAATATCGCCTCTCCATCCACCTCCTCCACAAACTGAAACCCCTCTGAAATATCCCCCGCACTAACCAGCGCCCGACTCGTCAACACCTCGGGGTTCAAATTACTCAACGGCGCGCGTCCCGCAAGCAAAATGCCAAACCGCCAATTCAAGCCCGGCACGCCAATCGGGCCGACGCCAATGTCGTTCTTCCTCTCCCTCCTCGCCTTCTCCTCCCTCGCCTGCTGCTCCAACAGCAAACTCGCACTCAGCTTGGCCCCCTGACTGAACCCCACCAGCCCAACCCACTCTCCTCGTCCGCCTTCCCTGTCATCATCCTCCATCGCAGTGCGTATCGAATACCCAATCTCGTCAATGCAGCTCTCCGCATCGATCTCTGCGTGGTCGGGCAACCATCGCAGCCAGCGGCGGAACGGCGCGTACGAGCCGTAGACGTGGATAACGTCGGAATGCGGGTCGCAGAAGAAGGGCCCGTCGGCCCAGACGAGGCGGAACGAGTGTTGTAGGTGGCGAATGAGCGAGCGCGACTGCGCTTCGAAGATGGCGGCGTTGACGCCGCCGCCGTGGAGGCAGAGGAGGCGTGGGAGAGGCTTAGAGTCGGGGATTGTGGAGGGGATTTTGGAGCCTGGCGGTGCGGCGGCAGGCATGTTGGTGGTGAAATGGGAAGTATGTATAGGCAAGCTTCACCGTGCGGTCGCACGCTCGGTTCTTGGTGCAAAAGTAGAGAAGAGGTTAGAAGGAGCTGTAGAGAGTGCAAAGGACAGAGAGAAGAAAGAAGCGGATAAAGAAACAACAAGACGTCAGACGCCATATGAAAGATTTCAATACCCACCGTTCGATTTACGAAGCAGTCTGACGCAGGGTACGCCCAGGCAGCCTTCAGCTATCGCTAAAATTCAAGCATCCCGAGGTCATTCGTGGGTGCGACATCTCGGAGTCCGAACTTCGGGTTCTGCAGGTCCGACAGGTGACACGGCGCTCCCAGAGATCTATGGCTCCCAAGTGATGCTCTCGCGTCCATATCCATGGCATATCCAATGTTTCTTGCGGTTTTGAACCGGAGCGACTGAGCGACGTGACAGTTTGTGTGAAGCATGTTGTTGAAGAATGAAGCCCTGGAGAGTAGAAGGGAGCTGTCAGGTGGGGCCGAACGCTAGACCCTTTTTAGCAACTCGCGATGCCTCCCCTGCGCAGAACTCCAACAGTGACGGGCTGCCTTAATTATTGCATTGTCAAGATCAAGCCTTGCGTGTGCTATCCGAGGCCTGCAATTCAGTCATCGTCTCCAGCCTCATCCACCTCCAACCACTTCGCGCGACACCTCACCGCCGCGTATCTCACCTCTCGCTTCCCGTCATCCAGCGCAGCCGTCAGCTTCTTGCACACCTGTCTTCGGTATGGCAGCACCACTTCCACCTTCAGCTTGTCCGGGACAATCGTCAAGCACCTCAGCGCCGCGGCCCTGACCTTCGCCGGCGTTCCGGCCTCCTTGTTCACAATCGAATTCGCCAGCAAACGTGAGATGAGGCTTCCAGCATGCTCCTCCACGACAGTCGGTTTCTCGACGAGGGTGGAGGTCAGCGTGCCGATCGCAGATTCCTTGACAAGGTCCTCGCCCTTGAGATCTAGACTTTGCAGGAGCAGAAGGAACAGCTGGCCGACTTCTTCCATGACGATGTCGAAGGGCATCCATTTCAAAATGCCACTTAGCGCGATGAGATAGTTAGGCTTGGTCTCGGGTGAGGCTTCGCGGAAGGCGCGTGTGATGTTTGGCACAAGCAGCGCGAATGACTTCTGCTTGTGCAGTCCGGAAATTTGGCAGTGGTTCTGCTTCGTGAGGAGATCGTCAGGCTGGAGAAGAGTGGCGAAGCCATGCGCGACCGTGGTGCCGTACTGCGCATGGGACAGGAAGGACAGGACATGTGGGTACAGCGTGGCGAGTGCAGGGCTGCTCCGAAGGAGAATGCCTTTTAGGCAGGCAAACATGATGCGTATCCGCGGCGGATCAAGTTTCTCGGGGACAAAAAGCTCGAATGGGGAGTTCACCAGAGGATCCATGCAGGTTTTCAACGCCTGCGCCGAGTAGAATTTGTTGATCGCGAGCGACAGCTGGCGTAGAGAAGCGAATCGAACAGAGGCGGAAAGGTTCGCTTGTTGAGTGTAGTTTGCCAGGGAAGAGATGAGGAGGTCGAGCTCGCAGGGCAGCTTCGTCTCTTTGCGGAAGGATGCTAAAAGGTGGGTGGAGACGATCATGGTTCTGTTCGTCTCTGGGGGTGCGTTGAGGTTAAAGGGGGGGAGCTCGCTTTGCGGTGTGCCTCTGAACATAGTGTATAGTTCGGCGGTAATGGTTTCCTGATGCTCCGCCGACTGTGCCCTTATAATTATGTTGCATATCCTTCCCACAAGGTCGAGTGTCGCTTCGTCATCGAATGCCCTTGGATGCGACTCATCGGAGCTCGAGGTCCGCTTTAGTAGAGGGAGAACGATGTCCTGAAAGTAGGATGACGATTCTGGATTTTGCTCAAGCTTGTTTGCGCCTTTTGTGAGCGCATAGAGCATTGCCGAAAGAAGCGCAATGATGTAGGCCGAGGAAGCGTTCTGTTTCACCGCGGAGGCGAATTTGTTCTTGAGTCGGAGGATAACAGTATCAAACACCTTCTCTTCACCGGCCAACTTTGCAAAGGCCTCCAGAACTGGGATGTAGCCCCGCGACTCTACCATGTCAGTGTCGGGAAGTTGTGCCATGAAAGCTGGGAATGCTTTGTCAATGACGACTTGGGGTTTCTGGCGGGCCACCTCAACGAGTCCATTGATGGCAGCTTCTTTGACTTCGTCCTTGCCGTAGGACTCCTCGTGAATGACGATAGCGTTGAAAAGCTGGATGATCTTGCCGACGTCTTCATCGTTGAGTAATCCCCGAGCTTTCGATAGTTGGAGCAAACCGTCTAAGCACACCAGGCGGAACGACACTTCTTTGATGGGTGCTGTCTCCAAGCCGTTGAGCATGATTTCTCGTGCTTGGTCGCGAAACTGCAACAGCGCGTTATTGGACGAGTGCTCGCCGGCGGTGCCTATGGATCGCCAGTCTCCGTATACACCGATATTCGCACGGATGAGCTGTACAAGCACCTCCAAAAGTCCCCTCCTCTTAGCGATGGTGTCCGCCGTTTGAAATAAGAGGAAGAGATTGGGCAACATGCCGGCGAGAAGAATGTTGGTGACCTCGGGAGATACGTCGGCAATCTTGTGCAATATCCGTGCCGCAGCTTGTGACTGCTTCGTCGGGGCATCCTCCAGATGCTCATTGCATTCTTTGATGATCGGTCGGAGGTATGCGTTGAGCGGGCCGGTCGTCCCTTGAGATAGGACTCTCGCAATGGCCGCCAGGCCGTTCAGTGCCTCCTCCGCAAGATCGTCTTCCTGCACATTGAGAACTTCAAACTTCAGTGCGTCCCACAGCGTGATTGAATAGAGGGAGACTGTACGAGGCCCGTACTCCATTACCGAGGAGGTGATGGTTTGGAGGACATCCCGCTATTATCATTAGCATACGATGTGAGGAGTAGCTCACGCGTTACTACCTTTGTGTTCATTGATGTAGAATCCAGCTTATCCAGCAGTGCCGGGAAGGCATAGGGAGCAAACTCGGGGGTAGACGATATGCACTCCCTCAGCCGGTCTTTCAGGTCTTGTGCCGTAATTCCATATGGGTCATCTGGAGGTGGTCTAAAAGTGATAGGGAAGTAATTAAAGACGGCATCGAAAAGATCCTGGATCCAGTTAGTTCCCATTGACGGCCCTTGCCATAGGGTCGGCATGTATACCTGAGCATCTGCGCCGATATTCCATTCCGTCATAGGGACCCTCAGGATAGAGAACACAAGCATTAAATTCCGTGGATCCTTTTCGCCGTCAAAGTATGCGATGAATCGTGAGAGGAAATCGGGCGTGGCATCGTGCAAAGACCGTAACGCTTCGCGCAGATCAGCGTTCGGCCCACCAATAAGCGATAGCGTACCTGCTCCATACCCTCTCTATATTTCGCCATCAATGTGTCTATAAGCCGTAAGACGGGGTATCGTTCGCTCTGCTGCCGGAACTGGTTGAGGGGGTGGGTGTGTGCGAGGAGCCTGCACGGATAAGCACGAGACCAGGCGGCAGCCCACGGAGGGATACGCATACGTCTCCACGATCTTCTTTGCCCTCTCGCTATCCCACTTCCCGCGTTCCTCGAGCGCTATCAGCCCCTTGGCGCAGGAGCCCAGGCCTTCGCTGTCTTCGAGACGGGCGAGCACGAAGTCGCACAGGAGATTCCCTAGAAGCGCATGAGCACCTGTCCGCTATGGTGCACGTCTCGGCTGTATACGGGAGCGGGTATCGAGCGGGATGTGACGTACGTTGCTGTAGCGAGAGCACCTTCTGCGGAACGAAGGCCAGCACCTCGGCGAGGTACGACATGGCTGGACTCGTCAGCGCGGCTCTCTCCAGGCGCGGGGACGCCTACTCTTCGCGCGGATGGCTCCATCTTCGCTGTTGAAGTACTCGCCGAGCTCCTCGATCAGCGTCAACAGCTTCAAGTCGCCGGCCCGCAGTCCTGTGCCCTGTCAACGCGCCTTCTTTTTCGTCCCGGAGCCGCAACACGCACGCGTCGCGCTGTTCTCGGCGACCGCGCTGGCCTCCCGCCTGCTCCGGTCATAGTCCAACAGGTACTGCTGGATGTCTGACATGCTCACTCAGGTAGCGATCGTGGGCTTCGTCCTGCGAAAGTGGACGGCGGCGGGGGCCAAGAGAGCGGGCCAGGGCCTGTGATTTGGGATGACGCTGCCGAGGCGCTGATTGGCTGCCGAAGTCGGAAGTGCGGAGCGCAAAAAAAAGTGCAGGGCACGCGAGGGTATGACGAAGGGGAGGGGCACAGAAACACACCGGGGCAAGGCATATATTGGCAGCAGAGTGCCTCAGACGCCGATATGAGGCATATCGCATAGGCGCCACGCTTTCAATTCCTCTTTCGCCGCTTCCCTTGTCTTCTCGCGCTCCTTGTGCCTCCGCTTTCCGCCATCCATCCCGCCCATGGCCGACGAGAAGCCGCACTGCAAGGTCGTCCTCGCGACCAACATCGCGAAGAGCCTGCTTGAAGAAGTCCAGGACGGCCTGGCCAAGATTGGCCGAAAGCCGCTCCTGGTCGGCTTCCTGTCGTCGACGGATCCCGCGGCGAGAGTCTACGCGGAATGGACGGGCAAGACGGCAAATGAAAAGTGAGCATCTCCGTCCGATTGCGTTCCGCTGGCCTCGTAGACTTCGTCTTGGTAGAGGCGCATTGGGCTGACAGCGCCGCAGTGGCTTCGCCTTCGAGCTGCGCGAAATCGACCGAGAAGAACTCGAAGACGCGCTCCTCGACGCGAACAACGACGCCGCCGTCGACGGGATAATCGTCTATTACCCCATCTTCGGCAACCGCCAGGACCAGTACCTGCAGCAGATTGTGTCCATCGACAAAGACGTGGAAGGCCTCTCCCACCGCTACATCTTCAACATGTACCAGAACATTCGCTTCCTCGACCATGCGAACACGAAGAAGAGCATCTTGCCCTGCACGCCGCTCGCCGTCATCAAGATTCTCGAATACTTGCGCATATACAACACCATTCTGCCGTACGGGAACAGGCTGCACGGCCGCACAGTGACGGTGATAAACCGGAGCGAGGTCGTGGGGCGGCCGCTCGCTGCCCTGCTAGCCAACGACGGAGCATGCGTATACAGCGTGGACATCAACGACGTCCAGCAGTTCACAAGAGGCGAGGGTCTGCGCAAGAGGAGGCACGAAGTCCACGAGAAGCCTGGCTGGACGCTAGAGAACTGCCTACCCATCAGCGACGTGGTCATCAGCGGCGTCCCGGGCGACAAGTACAAGGTTCCCGCGAACCTATTAAGGGATGGCGCCGTCTGCATCAATTTCTCCAGCGACAGAAACTTCAGTCCCGACGTTAAGGAGAAGGCGTCTATCTATGTGCCTGCGATTGGCAAAGTGACCATCGTGGTCCTCCTAAGAAACCTACTAGTATGTCTCGCACGCCGACAGGTTCGCGAACGGACACTGACAGTATTGCAGCGCATCGTGCAGAACAAGATCGACGCCGCGGCAGAAGCATCACGGGAGAATGTCTCGGAGGCGGTCCAGACATCGGAGTCGTAGACGTCTGCCACTCACAGCATTTGCACCATTCGCTTTTGATACCCTTTAGAAGGCAGCATCACTGCCGAATAAAACTTTGGCAACTCACCCCCCTCTGCGCCGTCTATCCAGTCCTCGATTAGCCTAGTAGACATGCAGCGTTCGTCACTCAACAGTACCGCATCTTGACGTGGATGACCCACGACACGTACCATCATTCGACGCTGCGAGCGTTACCCTCTAATCCTATAACAACCTCCACGCCCATAATCCAATCACTGCCTTCATATAACCTAGTCTGTAGGCCCTCCCTTCAGTGCGCCTCGCTCGTCAAGGCCCCTCACAACCGCAAAACACGACTCCCGATCATACTCATACTCATTCCACTCCTCCGTCTTCCAGCCCTGCGCTTCGGCTCGATAGCACGCCATATCGAAACCATCCAGCTGGACATGCCTGGCATTCGGAAACACGCAGCCAGCAAGTCCCTCTTCAACAGCCAGATAGTAGCAGTGCGCCATCGGATGCTGGTCAATCGTGACGTCCTCCACGTTCTCCAACAACTTCATCACCTCCCACAACTCCCACACCGCCTCCTCGCCCTCCGAACACCCCAGCGTAAACTTGAAGCTCTTTACGCTCTTCGCAATTGCCGGGTTGCGCAGCAAATACCCCATAGCAGCTCTCTGTGGAATTGCAGCTTCGAACTGCATAGCCCACGCTAGCTGTCTGTTTTCGGCTGCCGATGCCCTCCAGGGATCTAAGTCTGGTGCCTTGAGATGCGTGTAGGATAGGTCGAGGGCCCGGTAGAGAATAGGGATGCAGTACTGGTTGAGCGTTTTACAGGTCCGAGAGAGGATTGCGAGGAGGGGGGGTGGACAGTGCGAGGCGAGTAGGTGGATGACGATGTCGAGCGGGAGGTCAAGGAGAAAGGAGGACCCTGTGGTATGTGGACTTGCATGGAGCGGAGAGGGCTGGAGGCTTTCTAGTTGGCCATTGGGAAGACCATGAGGTGTCCCAGAGGCGTTTAGGAGGTCTGGTGGGAGAGTGAGGCGGTACGCGTCCATGGTGCTGCGATGTGGGAGTAGATGGAGTAGAAAATGACTAGAGAGAAGCCGAAGCTAGGCAAGACGAGGGACGCTGCTCGGGTTATTCGCCCAGGCTGCCAGCCACCTCTATTTTGATAATGACGACAATGGTGAAGTGTGAGGAGTTTGCGGGAGTCGTGCAGTGAAGTGAAAAGAAGTCTACGAGCCGCTTCACTTCCTAACGCAAACGTTGAGGCGTCCTGCCTCGTTCGTTCATCCCTTCTCTTAAGATACAAACATGCCGGCCTTTGTTACCCTAGCTCTTATTTGTGTACAGTTGGGTGAATCCATGGATGCTCAGGGTCAGTGGGTCTTCATTGGGGCGTGACTGAACTGGCGTCTTCACGCCTGCTGGTGAATGCGCTGCCCTGTTTGCCCCCACAATACCTGCTCTCGCACAGCAGCCACATCGTAGTGAAAAGAACGCCAACACTTCCGAAACAGCGTGAAGGGCAACACTCGAACGTCGACTTTTTCCTGCACCGTTTGTCCTACGCCATACCTCTTCGAGACTAGTCCTTCACTGATGTAATCTAATCCGCTTTTTGTGCGGCAGCACATCCCCAGCCACGTTTTAGAGAGTGCAGAGCGGCTACCGAATAGAATCCAAGATCCAAGACCTGTGTACGAGGGCAGAAGGGTACAACCACCAGCTCAACTCTAACCTGTCCCCTACCGTTTCAATTCTATCCAACACTATCCAACAATGACAAACGCCCCCAAGCGAAACTCACGTCCTCAATCCCCGCTAGCCCCAGCACGCCCGCTTCCACAATGGCCAAACTATGTCCACCAGCCTGCTCCTCGGCTTCGCACTGACATAATCTTCGCCACACGTACATAAACTTCGCCCTGCTACTTCAACATGTCTACTACCTGCCCGGCTTGCCAGCGATCTTGTACCCCGGCGCAGACTGGACTGATCCTGAATTCGGAGAGATGTGTAAGCCCCATCCATGTTGGTTGTGAACTGGCGCTAACTTTGTGCAAATGCCCTTTAGGGACATCCGCAGTGGTATCTGTTTAGTGGCGTTCTAGCAGTTGCCTGGTTGGGATGGTATTTCTAGCGGAAGAGGTTGCGGATGGAGATGAGGGAGAAGCAGGGGTAGAGACCGGCTTTCTGCCGAGAGTTCATCTCGGATGTTCGGTTGCTGTTTGATTTGCCCACGAATATAACTGTATTACTTGGGTACTGAAAAGGGATTATTGTCTCAGTGGTGCCAACGATAACATGCCAGATGACTCTTGCAAAATATTCCTCCCAAAACCAGCGCTCGATGGAGATCCTAACTCAAAGAACCACGCCAGGCCATGCAGTCATGACTGAAGCGTACAAATACACGCAAACATGAGATCTAGCTGCCAAAAAAATTGAATAAAAACAACCTGGGTATGCACGACTCCGTAGATAGCGAATTCCCTGGCGTGTAATCCCATGCAACACTCCAAACACCTCGGTAAGCACCTAATTAAGCATCCGGAACGGGTGCGGTACTCTCCACCTTGATCTCCGCTGGCGGTGGTTCATACGAGCTCTCCGGTTCAAAGGCCGGTCTACGCGCAGCAGGCGGCGGCCTCTCCATTTCCCTCTCCCCTTCGTCATAGTAAAGGTAGTCAGGCCGACTTTCATATCGTTGTGGAAGAGGACGGTCATAAGAAACAGGAACGTATTGCACGTGTTCCGGTTCATGCTCCATGTACCGGCTGGCAGGGGGATGGGGGAGGTAAGGTCCGCGAGCTGGGCGAGGATCCCGCGGCACCCGTATAATCTCGTACTGCCGGAGCTGGCCGTATTCGTCTACGTAGACTGGCGGAGGACGAGAGTCTTCTGCATAGGGAGCATAGCGGTACCGAGGAGGCGAGTAGGCATGTAGGCGGTCCTGGACCGAGACGTACTCCCTTGGTGCCTGTCGTACCTGGTAGGGAGCCTCGTCCGGCGGGCCCTGATCGACGCTATGGTCCCTAGAATAAGCCATTTCATAATCGCGATCCGCATTGGGCTGGGGAGTTTCCTGCTGATCGATCCGGCGTCGCTGCTCCTCATATCTCTCGTACCTCTTGCTTTGAGAACGGCTCATACTGGCACCTCGAGAGTACGGTTCATCGCGAGCGACGCTCATGTATCTGTAGTACCGTGACGGTAAATGGTCATGGTACCTATCCCTTCGCCGATGCGGGCCAGGCCTCCTCGGACCGCGTCCGGAATCTGGGGTCGGGACTTGGCGGCTACCCGGTCGGTGCTCTTCATACCTAGAGCCATTAGAGATGGTGGAAGGTGCCGTACGCGCAGCCGGCCTGAGAGGAGGATGCAACAGGTCTGCCGCTTCCTCCGCAGCTGGCAGGTTAGGGGGCGGAGGCGTATATCGGGAACCGTCGTCGAGATCCGTTTCAGCTGGAGCAGGCTTTGTATCGGCTGGCGGGGCGATGGCCGGTTCATCCTTTTCAATTGTGGGCGGTTGTCTGGGCACAAATTCCTCTAGAAAACGATCTGCCGCCGATTGGCCTCTATGGAGGCTGGGCTCCCGCGACGCAGGTTGCCTCACATAACGGTACTCGGGCCGTCCACCATCATCTTCAACATAGCGAACCTGACGAGAGTAAGGGTCGTAATCTTGGATATGGACTCCTTCGCGCGGCTGCGCGTAAACAACGCCACTATGAGCAGGGTGATAGAACGATTCGCGCTCTCGATAGTACCGCTGCGGCTCATGGTATTCCTCATACATAGGTCCAGGGTCACGGATTCTCCTGGGGCTAGGTGCGTAATCCAGAAATTCCCGCGGTCGATGATACTCATCATCGATTGGCTCCCTTGGTAGCTGGAAAGGGAGAAGGTCAGCTTCAACCGTCCGCTCTGAAGGCTTTTCCAAAAGACCTACGTAGTATCGCGGCTCAGCATAGAAGCGAGCCCTTCGGTCGTTTGGAGGGCTACCACGGTAGGAGTGCCTCCTGTCAGCGAGCCTAGTAGACGGATGGGCCTGATCCGCGAGCGCCGGCCTCTGAGGGTCATATTCATCTTCGGCCGGTTTGGGTGGCCTAGGAGAATCCGTATATGGAGAATCCAAGGGGGAAGGGCCAGACTTGTCCGGGAGCACTCCAGGGGTTCCGCCAGCCCTAGGCGCGTCTTTGGGGTCCTTTGAGACGGAGTGGGCCGGAGATGCCGCCCCGTTGTTGTCTACTACTCCAATTTTCGGCAGCGGGGTAGGAAACAGCCTTGGGAAAACAGTGGCAATCATGAGAAGTTTGTCGTTGTCCATACCGGGAGCGTGGATGAGGCCAGATATGAAGCGATCACTCGGTAGTTCAATCATATCTTCTTTCCAGTCTAGAGCGCCGGACGGCTGGCCATGTCCAAAACTGGCAACCGCAGGCCCAGAATGTTGCGTCTTGAAATGTGCAAAGAGATTGGAAACCGTGTAGGTTCTTCTCTCTTCTGGCCGAGACTGGTGTTGAGAGAAATCGTCCTGACAAGCTTTGCAACAAAGCCCAGGAGCGTTTTTGAGGGCTCGCGGTATCTCGTGATTGGAAAAAGCATCAATGAAGTGATTCAGATTCGGTTCATGATTGAACTCGACATGAAACTTTGAAATGACACGCTGCAACAAAACGTATATCCGGAGGCTGTTCGGAAGGTCCTTGATCCCGGAAGTCTGCTTCCAGATGTCCTGGGCCATTTCGATGATAGTACTCACTTGCTTATCAAACATTGGAGTACGATAATCGGGCTCCTCCGGCTTGGGTATGTTGTCGTTTGCCCCCGGGGCCGGAGGCGCACCAGCGGGTGGTGGCGCGATGGCGGGATTGGACATGACGGGGGATGTCAGGTAGCTATTACCCGGCTGGTGCCCGTAGCCTGGTGGTGCCATAGACTGGTATGGGTAAGTATCCAGCGGTGTGCCAAACTGCTGGCCGTAATCGTATCCCGGAATTCCAGCCGTGGGCACCTGTGGAGGAGCAAAGGGTCCGTTTTGATGGCCACCGTAATGGTACGGACCGGGACTGGCCTGGGGTAGATGAGACTGGACAATGGGAGTAGAGGTTCCCGCCCTTGAATACCCACCATAGTATGCGCCATAGCCGGCGTGGCCAGCTGCGGTAGAAGTAGGGTGATAAGCATGCTTCACCGAGATAGGATCCGGGTGGAACGGGGTCTCCTCGGGCCATTCAGCTTCTCTCCAAGCCACGACAACATTGCCAACGCTGAATGCATTAGTGTGTTTAGCTCCGAAATGCTGGATAACGCCTTCGAAGCCATAGAACCGAAAGTTGCCTTCGCATCCGCTGCCGTTGCACAGGAAAAGCTCCTTGCGATACTGTTCTGTTAGAGGTTTGACCTTGTTATCGTATACCCATTTCATGTTCTCCAGGACGAGTTTGGGTCCGTGGGATTCGACTCCTTCCTCAGAATCGGCCTCTTGCTGTGGGAGGGTTGCTCCTTCTTCTTTGGAGAAGCCCACATAAAAGGTGCGGCGGACATGGACCAGGAGGTCCACCGCGAACTTGGGGCTGTTGTCGTAAGTGACGGCCCTGCCATGGTCCCAGTCCTGGTTGATAAAGTCGTCTGCAATGGCGCTCAGCTTGTCGCGAATGGGGCGCTGCGACTCTTCCCATTCCCGGTCCATGACTTCCTTGGCTTCCTTGGAGTTGATATCTGGGTGGCGGCGATCGGTTGTTCTTGAGAGGGATGCCAGGCGTGACACGTGGTCCGCTTCGGCCTGTTGGGCAGCAGGGAGTTGGGCCAGAAGGCGGGGTTGCAGCACACTCCAGGCGAAGTCAGTCATTGGCTGCGAGATCTGGATAGCCGCTTTGAACGAATCCATGTGGCGCAAAATGTTTGGCGGGATAGGTGGATCCATCTGTTGGCAACGCCGTTCAATGTCGGCTTTGCGACTTGCTTTGGCCTCGTTTGCATCGTGAAGATTCCTCTGCGAAGGTGGAACGCTTCCGGTGGGGATGGGGTGGGGAGTGTACTGCTGTGGTACCGTTGGGGGCCGCGGGTGCATGTATTGTGATGTGGCAGCTGCGGCTGTTAGGCTGGGGACGGGAGGGGCGTTGTTGAAGCGCGGGAGTATGCTGCTGCCGCCTCTGGCAGGAAGCGAAACAAGGGGATACTTACTCGCTGGGATTGGTGCATGGATGACGGGTGAGGGAGTTTGGTGTGTCGGGGACCTCGACGGCTCTTTGTGCGACGCCAGGGATGTAGGCGCGGGAGAGAGAGCTGCAGAAGCGGCTCGCTTTGGTTCGTGATGCTCCGACCACCACTGGTATTTGACTTCCCAGCGCTCCCACTTCTCTGCCGCCTTCATGCGCTCATTGCCACGGGCATCGAGGCCTTTGGACCACTCCTCGGCCGCGGCAGAGCCAAGGCCCAGCGCGTGGTGGAGCTCTTTCGTGATGTCCTCGACGTGTTCCCTGTAGTAGTACTTTGCGATGTCGACGCCGGCAGGGGTAGTTGCGGCCTGAAGCGTGTACGCAGGGATGTAGTTGTGGTCGTTGGTGATGAAGGCATAGGGTAGCGCGGGCCGAAGAGCGGAGGCGGTCGAAAATAGAAGACTCGCGTCCTGCAGGTGTTTAGTCTCTACCAACTCGTCGCAGCGTTTGACTGACTGTCTGGCATTTCGCCATCAGACAAGGCCCGCACGCCTTGACCCCAAACGGCCATATGGTCCGCACTCCGGTCGCACCGGGCCCCTTTTGCCAGATCTTCTCTCCCGCGGTGAAGGAGCTCTCCCTGGCGCAGAACTGGCATCTTGTAGACCATACAAGCCGGCACATTTGCAACTCGGAAAAGCCTGGGAGAGGCTTCGGGGGCTTGACAGGAAGCGCATTGCGGGCCGAAGCCCACACAGACTCGGACTTTAGGAGACGCAGAGAGGCAGACTCTGGGTTCGGAAGAGAGACGTTCGGCACGTCTGTGAGATAGGAACGAAACGATCGATTGACCTGAAGCAATCGACCCAGATCAAAGAGAGAACAAGAAAGGAAAATGTGCTGCCACACTGCTGGCGGGAGGCCAGCGCATGGCTTCAGCGCGCATTGAGAGGAAGGGGACGGAGAATCGAGCTTTCGTCTCTTCTCCGGAGCGGGCGCATCATGGACAGCCTTGCGCTTGGGGGCAGAAGAAGCGTTTTGCGGCTCTTGTGGCGGCGTGCCGGCGTTCCTGGCGGACTCGTAGAAGTCGACCGAGGAAGCGGTGCTGGACTCGCGCTCGTCCATGGCCTCGGCCCTCGTCCCCGGGCGAAGCTCACAGGCGGAGCTCCACCGAACGCGCGCGACAGGCGGGAGGCATGAATTGAGGTGATGTGACAGGGCCGGGGGGTGCTGTGATGGGGGTGTATTCGGGCGAGAAGACGCGATGCCGGTGATGCGCCGGCAATGCGACGACAGGACAATGGCAGGGTATGGGCAGAGGCAGGCGGCGAGGTGCAAGGTGCAGAGGTGGTGGAGAGGGCGATGTGCGAGCAGTAGTAGCAGGTTATGAGGGCAGGGTGATGGGGCAGCATCTGATGCCAGGACGGCGACGGGGCGAGCGCTGTGAGCCAACCGTTCAAAATGAGGCGAGCGCGTCTTGGCGGGTGGAGGTCACGTGATCGCATGACGAACAACCCCGGCCGGCCCTTGGCAGCCACCGCCCGCAGAGGCTGTGCTTGCGAGCGTCGCCGCTGCTGTGCCCAAGCTGCGTTTCTACGCCTGCCAACCGACTCCAACCCCCAAAAAGGCGCTGAAGGCCTCGCAAGCTGTAGAAGACAGCCCTCCGCTGCCCGTCCTCTCTCCCTGCCGCTCCCCCATCCCCCCCATCTTCCCCGCCCGCCCACCGAGACCCCGAGCCCTCCCTCTGCCACCCACCCGTCCGCCATGGCCACGCTCAACACGTCGAGCAACGGCCCTAACATTACTAGGAGCTACCAGAACGTCGTCAATGCTCCGCCGCCATCCGGGCCCCAGGCCAACTCGCCGACCTACGGTCAATGGGCCGTCTTCACCGTGGCTGCCCCGCTCGTCAGCGCATTCCAACACGATGGTGGGAAGGAGAGCGTCTTGAAGGTCCAGAGCACTGGAGGTATGTAGGCACCTGCTAAATGGCTTCAATCGCCGTGGTCCACCTTTCTTTACTCGACGGAAGCTGCGCGGCTGGGCCATGGGCTGGCACACTCGGTCTGCCACACAGGATGCAGCGGCTGTTGGACCTGCGCTGACACATTGCAGAGGGCGAGCTGGTCGATCTGACAGACGAATTCTCCGACGGCCGCATCCAGTTCGGTTTTGTCAAAGTCAAGGACCCAAACACGTCCCTCCCGAAATGCGTGTTAATAGCCTGGGTAGGTGGCAGGCAGGCCGGCGCGATACATGTACCGTGCTAACCGGACGCAGTGCGGCGAAGGCGTGCCAGAGCGGACTAAAGGCTATTTTGGGAGTCATCTCGGTGTCGTTTCGAAGCTTCTCCATGTCCGTATAGCTATCCCCGGGCGTCTTCAGCCCATGTGCTCACTCGGTCTAGGGTTACCACGTCCAGGTCACGGCGCGATCAGACGCCGACCTCACGCCCGATCGAATCATACAAAAGGTCGCCGACGCATCCGGCGCGAAGTACTCTGGCGGGCCCGATATCCCCTCCGCAGGCGGCCCGCCCCCAGTTACTACCAAGAAGCCCGTCTTTACCCCGACCCAGGTAGGGGGAGGAGTACGCTCAGGATTCAATCCGTTAGGACGGCCGAAGGGCCCCACGCAAGCCGATACTGACGCCGATGGTTGGGGCACCGATGCTCCGCCTGTGACACGCACGCAGCTAGAGAAGGTGGAATCTGCATACAAGCCGACCAGGGTCAACATGGCCGAACTGACCTCGAAGAAACCCGAGTCGTCTCGCTTCGAGGCCCCTCAATCGCAGAACACCCCGCCGGATGTCGTCAAGGGCGGTTACCAACCGATTGGCAAGGTGGACATAGCGGCGCTCCGCGCGCAGGCGAAGGCTTCTAGGCACGACGACAGGCCCATCGTCGTCAAAGGTGCGTATGAGCCAGTCGGCAAAGTGGACATTGCAGCAATCCGAGCCAAAGCGCAAGGCGCGCCTCGTTCATCCGGCCTCTCTCCCGCCGCGACTGGAACATCTAGCCGCAGCGGCGGCGACGACGACGACGAAAGACCGAAGCCGTTGGCCGAGCGATCTGCAGCGTTCAATCAACCCGAACGCCTTACGAGCCTTCCCAAGCCCAAGGTCGCGAACAAATTCGGCGGATCGAGCGCCTTTACCGGCACCAAAGCTCCTACACCCAGCGAGTTCGGCGTGAAGCCTGCTGCTCCGGCCCCAATAGTCGGGAGCGCAAGCAAGACTTTTGCCGATCAAGGAGGCAAGACGCCTGCGCAGCTTTGGGCAGAGAAAAAGGCGGCACAGGGGGGGAAGTCACCCACCGCCATTGGCGGTGTCACGTCGCCCACAGTTCAGACCCAGAAGAGCGGTGAGGGAGGCTGGAAGAGCTCCTATACAGGAAAATCCTGGGCCCCTGTCCAGACTACGCGCACCGGCCAGTCTGTGGGCAGCAATCTCAGCGAACAGCGTACCGGTGGGGAACCCCAGCAAGAAGAGCCGTCCTCTCCTGCAGGCGGTGTCAGCGCGCTCAAAGACCGTTTCAAGGGCGCTGCCCCAATGGGGGCGCCTACGACCCGGCCTGTTCCCGAGCCCAGCCCGCCGCTGATGGACATGTCGAGCAAGCCCAACGCAGGAGCGCGCGGCATTCCCATCCCAGGTCTCCCAAACCGTCCCCCGGAGCCTGAGGTGGAGGAAGAAGTACCTGCTGTTCAGCACCAGCGCATGCCTTCTCCCCCTAACGTACCTCGCAGTCCTTCTCCAGAGCCGGCTGGATCTCCGGTTCGCATTGCTATGCCTGTTGGACGCGGCCGGGTACCTGAGGAAATGTCTCCAGCCGAGGAGACAGCACCGCCCATGCCCAACCGCTCTCTCGATCACGCTGCGCACCAGGCTCGCGACATGTCTCCGGAGCCGCGAGTGGAAGCTAGGGATCCCGCTCGTGGAGCTGGTGCTGCCGTTGCTGCCGCAACTTTTGGTGCTGGCGCCGCCGTCGGCGCGGGCATTGGCGCTGCTGCTGCGGCTGGTAGAGGTGGCGAAGGCCAGCGTGCGCTCGTGCAGTACGACTATGAAAAGGCCGAGGACAACGAGATCGATCTCCGGGAAGGCGAATACGTCACCAACATCGACATGGTGGACGAAGACTGGTGGATGGGCACGAATGCGCAGGGCGAGCAAGGTCTCTTCCCGTCGAACTACGTCGAACTAATCGGTGACGATGATGACGAGGGTAGTGCCGGAGCTCCGCCACCGTTGCCGACACATCCTCCAGCTGCTGAAGAAGAGCCCCCAGCAGCTGCAGCAGCTCCACCGCAGTCTGCAGGTGGCGCAGGCCCAACGGCCACTGCGCTCTACGACTATGATGCGGCGGAGGACAACGAGTTGAGCTTTCCCGAGGGTGCTACAATTACAACCGTGGTATGTTCACGACACGCACCCTTTCTCCTAGATATCCTTGCTGACGTAAATAGGAATTCCCTGACGAAGACTGGTGGCTTGGGCATTACAATGGACGGTCTGGTCTTTTCCCGGCCAACTATGTCCAGTTGAATGAGTAAGGAACTCCGAACTTGAACATTCCCAACGTAGATAGCCTCAAAGTGAATGTGGAAAATAGGAGGGTTCTTCTGGGTGCCCGTAGTGTATTGAGCACGTTCCCCCCCTTTGAATTGCTCCAATGGTAAGATTACACGGGTAGCAGGTAAAAAGTTCAAAATTATTACCGCTCAAATCTGGTCTTTCCATCCGTTCCTAGGTTCCCTCTTGTTCCTTGGTCCGGTTCAATCGTTGCCCTTTTTGTCCTGCTCAAATTCGGTATTTGGACCTGTCCCCAAGTTTCTCCTTGGTTGGGGTTCCTAACCGCGGTTTGACAGGTGTCATGATTCTCTTTCATCCACCCGCGCTCCGGAAGGATATCAGTCGTCTCGGGCTATATCCCGGCACTGCTTTCCTGGACGGCATCCGTTGAGCTGGCGACTCAACGGTTCCAGGATTTAAGGTTCTTGATAATGGGTATATAAGTGGGTGCTTTTCCTTCCCTTTTGCTTCCTACTTTGAAAGGACACGGAAGACCTCCAGGAGCTCGGATACACACTGTGCATTCAACCCTACGCAAAGGACACTGAAGGCCTCCGGGTCCTCTGATACGCTCGTTCTCTCACGATGGCACCTAATCGATACACGGCGGAAGAGCAGCGCTGGCAGGACACCACGGAAGAAGCTGCGAAGCTCGCCGCTGACGTTAAGGAAGAGCGTTCAATCCGCTGACGCGCACGCCGCAGAGACGACGAATCTCCAAGGACAGATCAAGGGGCTCAAGCAAACGAACGAGGAGTTGAAGGAGGAGAACTGGGCGCTGGGTGGCAAGCTCGAACGAGCGGAAGCCGCTCTGGGAAACCTGGACCAAGCCCTTGAGAAGGCGAAGAGCGCGATGGTGGGCCAGATTGAAGCGTTGAAGTTAGTGGACGATCTGCAGGGGAAGATTGTGGGGCTTAAGTTAGTTGGGGATGTGGAGAGGGCGCGTGAAGTGAAGGGAGAGGAGTCCGTAGTTGAGGAGGTGAGGGGAGTAGATGAGGTTCTTTCTTTGTCGTCAGGGGGGTCGGAGTTTGAGGAGGTGGAGGTGGAGGCGGATATAGAGGAGGGGCTGTGGGGTAACCTCCTCAGCTCGCTATGTGCTAGAGCTAGGTTTCGGTTGATGTGATTAGTTGAGTTGACTTTTGTAGTTGAGTAGATTAGTCCTTCACGTCCGTCGTGATAGTTCCCGCGAGATTCTCCAATCAATCACTTTCCCGTGGGAAGTATACCAAACTCCGCAGATGACTCTGCATAGCGATAAGGAAACCCAGTTCTCCGAGCAGAAAGAGTGCCGCGAGGGGTTTTGGTACGGAATCAGTACATGGAAGAGAACCAGGTTTCGACTCGTCGTACAGCAACCTAAGGTGCTTCAAGCCGGCGCCCACACCCAGGGCCCGGTCGGCGAATTTATTCAGAATGAGGTGATGGGCCTGATGTTGCAGAGCGGTTTGGTTTTGGAGTCACGCAATGGAAATGTCCTCAAGCGTTCCATGTACTTTGTCAGAAATGGTATACGTCTATACGCCGAAAGTGCCTGTAACGCCGCCCATGCAAAAGATGGCTGTTTTCTCCTTCAAACCCTCGACCTTTTCGACAACGGCACCTCCTCCTCATCGCCACTATCATCACTAACATCATTCACATCCGCCATTGCTGCGTCCTCGGCCGGACTTCTTCCCCTCTTCAAGCCCTTCATTTTTCGCGTCTGTAGTTTGGTGAAATCCTGCTTGCCCACATGTATCTTGCCGACCTGATCACCCATGATATCCATGTCGATGTTCTTCTTGGTCTTCGCTTCCGCGCCCTTTGGCTTCTTCAGTGCCGCCTTGAGTACGTCGGGATCAGGCAACTGTTCGCGGCCGAGGGTTGCGTCGATCCTGGGGCCCATCTCTTCGACTTCGACGCGCGGGAGCCTCTGCCCCGAGCGCAATGTCTTGATCAAGTAGAAGCGAATATGTAGCTCCGGTTGTGGCTTTCCCTCTTCCGGCTCCGCCGCGCTTATGCTTATCAAATACTGCAGACCTTCCACATCCACCTCTGTCGCCTCTTGTCCCCTGAACAAATCTAGCAACAAGCTCTTTGCCAGGGTCCACTTTGTCTGATTCGGGTCCTCGAACACGGTGCCGTGGAAGGAGATGAGAGGCTTGAGGCCAACGGCGGGCTTCTTGTTCTTGAACTGCTGGAGTGTGCGGAATGTGGAGGGGTTTACATACAGCTCAAGCATGTCGAGCATCTTGTGGTCGAAGGTGCGACAGAGGGTGAGGCAGTGCGGGCGTTTTTTAGAGTGCAGGGAGAGGACGATAAGGGAGGTGTCGTTTTTGAGGGAGAAGAACTCTAGTGCTGCAAAGAAGATCAGCCTTCCCCTTCCATTCCCACGATGTCTAGGGCACAAGGGGAGGGTTTGGTGGGGGGTGCGTACATGAAGCGTCCTCGAAGGGGTGGATGTCATTCTTCTTCATAAAGCTCTCGACAAGGGGTTTCTTCATAGTGCGCAAGTCTGCCGTGGCGAGCTTGAGGATCTGGGACGTCTTCTGGCCGGCGAGGAAGAGCGTCGTCTTGGGGTTCTCGTGCGTCTGCGGCGCCCGCTTGTCTATTGCCCGTTTTGCGCGGGCATTTTTGGGTTTTCTGTAATCCCCTCAGTACAGTAGCGCCGAAAAGTGCCCGGATTGGAAATATACTCACACTTGTCGCAGCATCTTTGCGCTGAACGGGTCGGAGCTGCGGTTCGAAATCTTGGCGGCGCTGGAACTTTTTTTGACATTCGGCGTCCGGCAAAACGAAAGGCCGACGGCTGTGGAGGGGCGGCTTGGCGTGCCGCATATCGGCGGGTGGCGGGGCCCAAGCACGTCAGCTATCAGATCATTGATGCTGCAGCCCGGTGCTTTTGCTCTTCACCTTTCTCCGGCTACATCATACTCAAGCCGACCCTTCCCTCCTCCACTCTTCCACTCTTCCACTCTTCCGCCACCTCCAGGCAATCCCAACCATGGCGACGGTGCAGGAAATCACCTCAGAGTCTGCCTTCCAGTCCAAAATCTCCTCCCTCCCGCCGTCGACCCTCGCCGTAATCTACTTCCACGCGCCCTGGGCCGCGCCATGCAAGCACATGTCCCTCATCCTCCAGACCCTCGCCAGCACATACCCCGCCGACGCGCCCATCTCCTTCGTCGCCCTCGACGCCGAAGAGCTACCCGAAGTCGCCGAGCACTACGATGTCACCGCCGTGCCATTTGTAGTCTTGCAGAAAGATGGCCGACCGCTGGACTCGGTTTCAGGCTCGGACGCGGCAAAGGTGCGCGCGGCGGTAGAGAAGTACGCTGGCGTAGGGAGCGGAGAGGCAAAGACGAGTCTACCGCCCGCGCAAACCGTCACCAAACCCGCATTGGCACAGGAGAACGGCATGGGCGATGCCAAGGGGACGAAAAACCTGTCAGCGTACGCGCCCACGGCGTCAGACCCAGTGACGGCGCCCGACTACAGCTCCGGCGACGCTGCGACAACGAACAAGGAGGAGCTACACAAGCGTTTAGGAGAGCTGGTCAAGGCCGCGCCCGTTATGCTGTTCATGAAGGGCACACCGAGCGCGCCGCAGTGTGGCTTCAGCAGGCAGACGGTCAGCATACTGAGGGAGAAGGGCATCCGGTATGGCTTCTTCAACATCCTGGCAGATGACGAGGTGAGGCAGGGGTTGAAGGAGTATTCGGACTGGCCGACTTTCCCACAGCTGTACGTCGATGGCGATCTTGTTGGTGGATTAGATATCGTGAGTGTCATTCGCAACTGAGCGTGGCCGATGCTGACGGAGCGTAGGTTCGAGAGGAGTTCGACAATGACCCAGATTTCTTAGCGGAGTATTCCGTCAGTGGGCAAAAGGGCGGCCCAGGAGCAGCATCAGCGCAAACCCAGGCACCACAGGCCGCGTGAACGGCGTCGCCTTCAGGATGAAAAGTCAACGGTACTTCAATCTACAGGTGCAAATGATAAGCCGAGCTCTCCTAAAGACAAAGACGAATCTAGTCCGGGGCCATCAAGAGAAACATGAGATACGCTCAAACTCGGAACGTCACTACTTCAAGCTCCACGTTTGTTATGACTCGGTAAATGGCTGTCGACGAAACATGCATTCATTTGCGAGTTCACGCTCCTTTTCTCCACGCTGTTTCTTTGGTGCCCATGTCCCTTAGATCATCCTAGTCTACAAGGGCCTAGATTCAACATTTAAATATCCCATCTTATTCTAGACATGCCTAGTTCCAATCGTCTTTGCACAAGTCCCACCTGATTAAGCGCTCCTGCCAACCTAACGCTGAACTCTTTACACTTCGCATTCTGCCAATGGTAGACTAAAGTGTATAGTGGACATCAGTGTGGCTCTTGCCTGGCTTGTCTGTTTCCGCCTCTCCAGAAGACACCCAAGTTTTCAACATGCTCTAGTACTGGAATTTTCCAACTGGAATTAAACGTCAGCTGTGCGCATGCGGTAGTATGCAAAACAGATCCTGAACCTTATATGTCAGTAGCGGTTTTGGTCTTAAAACCCGCCTTCGTGGAGAGATATAGAGAATACTGAGGGACCTAGACAACTATATTCGCAATCCGCCGCTATTCTTCCTATAAGAGCGATTTAACGCATCGCTGCGAGAAACGTACTTCACAAGCGAACCTCCTAAAAATGCCAAGTCTAAGAATTAACGAGTCTTTCTTAAATAACTAACGTATTTTATTATCGAACCCTCCACGATTTCTTAGCAACGAAAATTAACGAAAATTAACTTATTTTTCTTAAATAACTAAGCGAGACCTTAATAGTTTTCTATAAAACTTTATACTTATATTCTTTATAATAACGTACTTTACTACTAAACTAGTTACTCTACCGAACAACCCACGATTTCTTGGCAACGAAAATTAACGAAAATTAACTTATTTTTCTTAAATAACTAAGTAAAACCTTAATACTTTTCTATAAAAATTTATATATATATTCTTTATAGTATATTATACTTTATACTAAAGTTATACTAAGATATATTACGTAATTAAAAAGCTATACGTATTTAAGTAACTTTTAAAAAAAATCTAGTTTATATAATAGTCTAGTTTAGAGATTTACCTTAGTTATATAATCTTAAGTTACGTAACCTTACTACGTAATCTAGCCTAGCGTCTTAGCGCTTAGCACCTCTATATATAGAGCCTTTTAGAGCCTTTTCTCTACTTCTTATCTTTAGATAGCTAAATTTAACCTAATCTACTCTACTAGCGTCTCTATTCTTATAGCTTATAGAGATAGTACTACCTATAGCTAACTTACCTAGCTAGATATTCTAGAACACTTATAGTAGTAGAGACTATAGAGCTAGCTCTTATATTATCTAAAGGTTAATACCTTTTTAGCTAGAGATAGTAGTATAATATTAGGCTAAACTAAGTAGTCTTATAAGAAGCGTTTACTAATAGCTATACTAAGAATTAGAGCTATAAGAGCCTAGTTACTTACTCTAAGAATTAAAGCTATAAGAGCTCTAATTACTTATCTCTCTAGCGCTATATAAGACTACTAGTAAATCTAGTTAGTAGTAGAAAAAATACCTCTAGTAGTAAGCTAAAGAGAGCTATAAGAGCTCTACGTATAGAAGAACTTCTATAGAACTTCTACGTATAAAAAATCTTCTCTCTTATTTTAAAAATTAATAATTCTCTACTCTACTAGTAGAGCTAATAATTAGCTACTTTACTAGTAGTATATACTCTTACTTCTTAAATAAAAAGCTATACCTAAGTTAAACTACTTAAATACTATAGATAAACTCTTATAAAGTAATTCTAGAAGTAAGACTCTAGTTCTATAGTACTCTTTTACCTCTATAATTCTTAAATTCTAGATAGAGAATCTGCTAGCTAGTTATTTAAACTAATATTATTATTATAAATTACTTGTTTAATAATATAATATAATAACTAATAAGAATTAGAATAATAACTTTAAATAGAAGCTAGTATAGCTACGTAAAAGCTTAGTAATACCTAGATTATTAGCTATAGATAGCTTTTATATACTCTCTACCTCTAGAAAAAAGCTCTAAGAGCTTTTTCTAGAAAAGCTAAGTAAAATTATTAATAAATTAGTTAGCTAATTACTAATACGCTAGATACTTAAATAATAAATCTATATATATTACTAGATTACTACTAATATACTTACTAAAGAAGATACTATATATAGAGAATATTAGAATTTATAGTAGAAAAAAAAAAACTATTTTAGTAAAGATTTAATAGCTATAAGTATAACTATAATTCTATTCTAGAAGCTAAATACTACCTATTTTATTAGTTTAATACGTAATATACTTTATAACTTAGATACTATATATATATAAGTCTAGTATATTACTACTAGATAATTTTATTCTAGATTTTTATCTAACTATATATATATCTACTATACTACTAGTAACTAAGTAATATTTAGAGAGCTAAATAAGACTTTCTACTAAGTTTCTAGACTTTTTATTACTATTAAATAGTAAGGTTATTACCTTTAAGTAATAGAAAGATAGCTTATAAGATAAGCTTTAAGCTAATTATAACTAGTATCTAGAAGAAATAGCTAAGAATACTAAGAAAACTATTATAGCCTATATATATATATATAAATAGAAGAAAATATATACTAGACTCTTTCTATAATTCTATATACTCTAAGAAATAGTACTATATAGATTTTCTATAAATATATACTTAATTAGCTAGAAAGAAGCTATATAAACTTCTATAAAAGACTAAATACTTACTATAACTTCTAGAAGCTATATTACTAAAATACTACTAAATTTACGTACTTCTAGATTAATTTCTTCTATCTTACGTAGAAGCGCTAGCTTCTAATAGACTAATAGATAGAGAAGCTTTATAAGAAGCTTCTAGTAAGTTAATATACGTAGATAGATATCTACTAACGTTAGTATACTAATAATTATAATTAATATATAGACTTTACTTAAGACTTTACTAGAGAGCTTACCTAAGAAGAAGCTTACGTATTTAGAAAAGTTAAAAAACGTAACGTACTTACGTTAACGCTATGTTATACGTCTATAGCTCTTTTAGGTATTTTACTAACGTCTAATAGAGCTCTAGTAATTAAGAAGCTAGTTACCTACTTTTAATACTAGTAAACTAGCTATATAAGCTATAATTACCTAAATACTTCTACTACGCAGAAAGCTATTAAGAATATTAATTTAGAGAAGATATCTACTAAGCCTATAGAGCTATAAGTACCTAAGAATAATATATTAGAATATAAATCTAATAATTTAGAAAAAGTCTAGCTCTAGAAGAAGTCTTCTCTCTAGAGCTACTTACTAGAGTAATAAATTTATATAAAAAGCTATTTAGTAGTTCTATATTTACTCTACTCTACTAAATATCTATAAATAGTTTTATTATTAAGCTTAGAGGCTTAATTAATACTAGAGTAAGTAGTTACGTTCTAGTATACCTAAAGTACCTTTAGACTCTTAGAAAAAACCTCTACGTTAAGCTATTATATATAGAACCTATCTCTCTTACTAGATATAATAGATAACTTAATAGCTAGATAGATAAATACTTTAAAGCTAATTTAGTACTAGAAAGCTACTAAATATGTACCTACTTTATATATTATAATACTAGCTACTATAACGTAATAATTAGTTATAAGCTACTTAAAGAAGCTAACGTTTAGGTTAACTATAAGTAGCGCGTACTAATATAGCTAGATACTAATTAATTAATTAATTATAAATATAATATATTTATTTCTATATAATTCTCTTAATTCTCTACTAAAGCTTAAGTAGCTTACTAAGCTAATACTAATTACTATAACGCCTTAATATTAGTAGTAGAAAAGCTAAGAGTAATATAATAAGAGAATAGAGAATTATAATACTAGAAGCTTTAAGAAAACCTATATAAAATAGATAGGTAGCTTAAGAATCTTAACCTATCTACTAGGTTACTCTATAAGTCTAAAAAGCTACCTATTTTATAAGAAATATACCTAAAGACTAGGCTTAACGTTAATATAGTTAGTACTACTATCTTTATAATTAACGCGTATAGAAAAGACGTTATAATTAGATATCTTAGTATCTATAAGGTTAATTAGCTTATTAGTAATAAGAAGAAAACCTCTACTACTAATTCTAAGAAGAAGCTCTACTAGTTAATTACTTAGAAGCTCTTATCTCTAGAATACGCTAGCGTAACTATAGCTTATTTCTCTAAAAAGAATTCTAATTTATTACTACTATATTAAGAAGGCGTAAATTATAATATTAAGCTTATAGTAAAAAATACGCTAATAAATAGCTCTCTCTATAGTATATTACTAGAGTACCTATAGCTTATACGTAACTATCTAGAGAATTACCTTTACTATAGCTTTATTATCTATAGTAATACGTTATACGTGTTACTAGTTCTATTTACTAAAAAGCTAGAGAAAGAATAGAGGTTCTACGTTAACTACTAAAAGCTTAACGCTATTATAAAAAAAGACGTTTATTCTATCTTTTTTATCTAGAAAACGCTTATTTACTTATTACGCGTAAAGGTCTTTATAAAGTTAGATATTTAGTAGACTTTCTATAGAATCTAGCTTAATAAGTTAGTAGAGAACCTAACTTCTTTCTATATATAATATAGTAACTATAAGTATTATATTCTACTCTTTAGTCTTTATAATAGCTTTACTACCTTTTAGTAATATATTAATAAGATGTTATATAAGTTACTAGATAATTTCTATATAGTATATATTAATAATAATCTTATTTACTTAGAAAATTCTCTAAAGTATAAAGCTTACATTACTAAAATACTTAATTAACTATATAAGGCTAAGTTATAAGTAGATATTAAGAAGTTAGAATTTACTATTAAGAGTACTAAGTTTCTAGAATTAATTATAAGTACTAATAGAATCTAGAAGAACTCTAAGAAGGTTACTACTATTTAGAATTAGCCTATACTAAGAACTCTTAAGAGCCTTTAATTATTTCTAGGTTTCTATAATTTCTATTAAGTCTTTCTAAGAGATTATAGTAGAATTATCTATCTACTTACTAAGCTACTAAAATAGAGAGTATAGTACGTCTTTAGTAAGACTAAGCTTATAGCCTTTTAGTATATTAAGAATCTTATACTAGCTAATAACGTTCTAGCTTACTACTCTCTCTATTAATAAATAAGAGTTAAGATAGAC